CGACAGCACAGAGATCAAGTGTATAGATATTATGAAATTTCCCCCTCGACACTTTAAGTGCTCCCGTGTACGTGTACCTACGCTAACGAACATGTTATTTTTTTCATATTTTTTTTTTCCAACTGTACGTTCTCGGGTAGCTTAGTTGGTGTCAGAGACGTATTTAAATGAGTTTTGATTCCCTAAGTAAAGTTTTGATGCTGCCCCCGCATCAAAAAACAAAACAGAAAAAAAGTCCGATACTGCTGATGGGTGTTTTAGAAAACGATTAGAAATCAACAATACATATACAAAAGATTGACAAGTTTTTCAATTTATTAAGAAAACTTCAAAGAAAATCAAAAAAAAAATGTCTCCCCTTATACACCAACTAAATAAATATAAAATACTACAAGAAAGTTCCTATAACATATTTGATTGAAGCAAAATTTCTGGTAGAAAAGTTCTTTACAAAGATAATATTATTTTTCCATACACGATAATGAAATTATAATATTTCTTAAAAAAAATCTCAATTTTATGTACAATTTCGGAAAGTTAAAAGATTTTCAAGTTTCTCGATTGACGAATAACTTATGGGCAGCAATTCTGCTGCTGCTTCCTAAAATTGTGTGCCCAGGGTGATGTTATCGCCTCACTCTTCACCCTAAATACGCCACTGGCCGTGTAACTATATAAGCAAAGATAAATCGTCGCAAACAAGTTAACGACACCGATTTGAGCTCGTAATTATAGTTTGATTTTATAGACGAAATTTTAGATATGTTTAATAAAGTTCCAGCAAAAATACGATTTTCAAACAGATAATCATGATAAAGGAGAATCAAAAATAAATCGAAAAAAAAAATTAACGATTTTCCACCTAGCTGTTTTATTTTATTTTAAACACGAGAAAAGCTCAACATACAAGTAGGGAAAAAGGCATTACAAGCTAAATGAAGGGTCCGAGTTGACAGCGAGAAAAAAAGGTACTGTTATTTAAATTTTTTTTCACAAAACTATTAGTTATAGCTATTTCGAAAAAAAAAAGTTTCAAATACAAAAACAATGGACTACAGAATATTCGTTTTTTTTTTTTTTTTTTTTTGAGCAGGACAGAGTACAAGTATCAAAGGAGATTTATTAATAATTGAAAAATTAGTTGCAAATATAAAAAAAAAAAAAAAAAACAAAATAGAAAATAAAAAATACAACTATTTTGATTTTAATTTTTAATTTTAACAAAAAAGTAATAATATAAAAATAAAAAATCGACGATTTTTACTTTTTAATTGGATTATTTCTCGGAAAATATCAGAGAAAAAACAAAACTATTTTACACGTCGGTTAATTGTACACGAATACTAGGAAATGTTTTTACGTTCCTCCACAATATTATAGATTTGAAACATTAAAATACGAGTACCTAAAGGAAGAGGAGCGGGTAAAACATACTCATATTTTATAGGTACTTAAAATAAAGTTTTTAGGGGGGGGGGTAATAATAGAACTAATAAGAGAGAGTATTACGGGTATGTAAAACAACCGTACACTACGCAGACAAACACGAAATATCATCGTAAATATGTAGTAGTTTATACGGGCTGATTATTGTTGGTGTTGGTATTTTTTTTATCACGAACCAGAAAATTACGAGTAAAATTGATTTCGCGGGTTTTGTTTTACTCGATTTACAAATATTACTTAAACTACCGACAGATAAAACAAAATTAATCCCGTTCGAGGATATATTAATGTGTGTGCGTGTTCGTGTGTGCGAATGGAATAAGAGGGGAAGAAACGTCACATTGTATAAACTAAAACAGTATAAAGCAGACACCGTGTATATATATATATATATATATATATGAGGGGAGGAAAAGGGGTTTATATACGCTGTCGTATAACACACGAGTCGTGTGTGTCGTACACATAATATTATATACCTATATGCACAACACACACCTCGTAAGTTTTCGTCGGTCTTTCGCTCCCCGTGTTATAGTCGGGTCTCACTTCTCTTCCGTCACGTCGTATCGTTCCCGCATCCAGGACCACATCGCGTATTATATATATACAAACGCCGAATAACACTCGTTTTCATAACATTACTCGCCGACGTCATGTATATATAATATATCATGTATATATATATATATATATACACACGTATATACATTTTAAACGAGCCTCTCCCCCCTTCAGACCGGTCCTCCCACCGCCGTTTCGCCGGCGGAGCAAAAACCTTACAAAAGCGGAGAAAAAAGAAAAAAAAAAATAGACCCTACGGAATTAATGAAACGTGTGCTCGTCACGCCGAAAAACAAAACGAGAGAGAGGAGAACCGCCGGAGCGAAATGCAGTCGACGGCTGCTGTTTTTGTCGCGTTCCCGTTGTGTATAATAGTTTCACTGTTGCTCTTGTGCCGGGAAGGAAAAACGTCGGGGAATTCATCGTTTCGTCCGATTTTTTTATTTTTTTTTTTAAGAAAATAATAAACCGCGCCCCCTCACTTCGTATAAATTACACGGCACGCACAGCTCGACAGGGCCCGGGAAAACGTTCGAAACAGGACGATGTTTTTACGCCTTGCAGTAGCAGCAAAGCACGAGACGCGGTTTAACGAGAATCGCTTCTAGATGACGGACCGTTACAACATTTTTAGCCGAAAATGTCACATACCGCGTCACGTTATTCTGTTCCGAAAACCCAAATCTCTGAACGAGCCGGTCCGAAAATATCAGTTTACGAGTATCCCGCGGTAGGGAGGGCTATGGGAAATTTACGCTATAAAAAATCCTTCGAATACCACGCATTTGTCTATGCCCGAAATATTGATCGTCTAATACAATATTCTATCCTTTTCAAACGAAAAAATGGCGTAAATAGGCCAAACAAAAAAAAATCCGCCTCTAAAATTGTAAATTTAAAATGTGAAAATAGTGAAACATTATGCAAAATACAATCCATTAAATATAAACGCATTGTGTATTGTTTCAAACACATTTGTATAATATTATATCACTTGGTTATACAATTTTTTTTTTTCTTACTTTTTCCTATACAAACGCATAAAAACCCTTAGCTATAAGTCTCTAGCACTATTTACGAGTGTCTACTTACCCGCCGTTCATCCAAGATTTTGATCCTAGACACGGTACCGGAAACCGGGGAAAATATTTCACGTACTGCTAAACACGCCGTTAAACGCCGACGGATGACAACACTATTGACACGACCGTGTATACGAACGTCGGAAACGTAAATTCGTGTCAAACGTATTTATTGGTATTTATAGTATAGTAACGTATTTAGTATGGGTATTATTTTCGCAGTGTTCCCACTCCCCTTTAGCCCATATAATATTTATAAAACGCCAAACTATTTCTCCTCTAGTCTCCAAAGATACTGAAAAATTAAATTAAAGGAATATCTATCGAAAATAATGTGAATAACAAAAATACGCCACTGAAGATTTTATGCAAGGGAATAAACTATTTGTTTTCGGGTATTGGTGGAAGTTATAAATAATTAACGACACGCTAATTTTCGAAACAGGAATTTATTAAAACGGTCTGTTCGAACTGAACACACAGGGCTCAGCGCAACAACAAGACAAGTCTAATTGTTGACATTCGTCAGTAGTGTGAAATAACACAGATCCACTATTCGAATCTGTTTAGTATAAATAGAAAAAAAAAACTATGAATAGGTATATCTGTGGGCTTGTATTTTTTTTTCTCCAGAATTCGATCGAAATCAATTTTTCTCCGTATTTATAGCAGACGGACTTGCACTAATGTTGCACCAAATTGTGTAACATTTATTGTATTGCTTTTCGAAACTATCAGAAAGTCGTTTTCAAAAGAGTAAAAAAAAAATGTACTTGCCTTGTCGTTACGCTGAGCTCATCAATTATAATATAATACGAGACGAGAACGAAACGAATGAAATTGAAGTGAAACAAACATTGCTGGGGTGAAAATCAATATATCATTCGTAATATAAAAAACTTTTTAAAGTTTGTGTTTTCATGATTAACGACACACTATATATATACATACGTTTTTAATATGCGGATTAATTTTGTTTCAAAACTGAAAAAAAAATAACATTAAATAAATATATACAAAATTATAACGGTACCGGATTTATCATATAAAATTTCATTAGTTTCTCGAAATACGAATGAGGTTATAGAATGAATTTTTTAGCATGCCCACTGCGCTATTTCCGTGAAAAAATTCCAATTAATTTAAGTACGTTGTATAGGTACAACACGTAGCAAGACAAATATGGAAAACATTTTAAGTACAATGTTAAAAATAATATCCTTGAGAAAAAAATGTAAAACCTATACTTGATAAAATAGCCGACTCCTTATCGCGTTAAAATTATATTACTGAAGTTAAAAAAAAAAATTACTGAATCGTATAAATAACTTTGTTTATGAAACATTTAATATAATATGGTATTAATGAATCGAAATTTAGCTGCTAAATTATAATATTATTTATACGTAAACTTTTCAAATGCTATAGGAGAAAAAAAATTCATAAAACGAAAAATATTATTCTATTCTATAGAAAAAAAAAACCCCTATAAATAAATAACATTTAATATTAAATTCAGCTGAATTTAAAGGGCATCCGTATAATTTATGGCACTGCTAAATTGCAATAGGTATACCTATGAAAATGCGCATTACATTTTTTAAGAAGTCTTTTTCAAAAATAATTTCTTTGTCACATTTGAATATGGAAATAAAATAAAAGGTCATCGGAACAACACGGCAAAAATATAGTCGTCAATGAATTATTAAATTTTTATTTACGACTATAATATTACGAACGAAATATAACGAATTAGAAAAGTGTACATTTTAAACATCACTATGACACTAAATTGTACGGACAATTTCGGTATTTAACAGCGATATTTCGGGATCGTTTTTTACAAAAATTAAGAAACGTAAAGATCGTATAAATATTATAATATCATTACAATCTCTATTACCCAGGAAGATGGGCTCATGTCAATTTTGTACATGATTTCAAATAGATGCGAGCCAATTGAATGATGAAAATTGCTGAATGATATAGTGGGCGTAACAGCTGAGTAGCTAAATTGCTAAACTAATTAAATTACAGTTCCGAATGTCCCGAGTCAAATAGTTATATGACTTTTTAACAGACAAAACAAAACATCATATGGTAACTTGATAATTGATATTTTAATTTTCAGTAAAACATATGAGTAACAATACACGTATGCCATTTAAGCGAAAAAATAAAAGGGAAAAATATTACAAGCTAACGCGAAATTTAAAAAAATAATTGCCAAACGTTTACTATTAAGCCCTGATTTCCTTTGACCAAAGATATTTTAACATAGTTTTAAAATATCCAAAAAGGGCAATTGAAAAATAGCGTTTAAATTAAAGACCAATTTTCTAACGTAATCTAACATAATCTATATAAACTAATCATTAGACACAATAATTATTGTACTGTGTATTATTAAAAACGGACGAGAATATAACGAACAAATTATTCCAGAAAATGCCTACGTACGTACTCAAAAGGAATAATTTCTCGTAGATATTTACCATAGAAATTTCAACGTTTGTTCGGTACATATAGCTATACAATAAAATAGTACGCACACCTTTTTTGAATTATTCCCTGTTGGGAATGTTGTCTTAGCAGTCACGTTTGACGACGGACTCGAATGCGAAATATTAATTCTATACAGTATTTTCATATTTCTCTAAATACCTCGCTGAACCGTCGATTGTACTGTTATTGCTCCGCATAATAATTTCAATTACCAAGTTGCAACGAAATAATTCCACATAGCACCATGTAATCTTCAAGTACAAACTAGTATAATAATAATAATATAACTATCGCAGACTCTATATAGGGTATCTAAAGCATGTAATCTTCAAATTCAAACTAGTATATTAATAATAATATAACTATCGCAGACTCTATATAGGGTGTCTAAAGCTGTTACTTGACCAAAACCGTATAGACAAAATTACTAATACTCGATCGCTGTAAATGAACAATAATATTATTATAATATATTACAATAACGCGGTGTATACCTACCTAGATATTCAGTTCGGTTATTTGATTTTACTTAAAACGATACAAAACACAAATAAAACATTTGCATTTCGACCAAATAATAAACAAAGCCTGCGGAATCACTAATGCAATATTTTATTCTATATGCTAATCGTCGGGGAGGGGAAAAAACGCAAATAATCATCGTACAAAATTTACTATCGTTTAGGTACAATCACGTCGATACGATTATCTATATACCGAATAACGTACAATTCATTTAATTATTCGGTAAACTTGTACTAAATTTGTACCGCGGTTATGGTAATAACGTATTTTGTATTAAAAGTTATTGTTTCTGCAAGTCGAAAAAACAATTTTGGAGCACAATAAATTTAAATCATTCTTTTTAGTCTGACAATTAGATGTATTAAATAATATTGTTCGTCAATGCGAAAATAAAATTACACGTTTTTTTCCAAAGATTTATGATCAAACATTCAGAAAATTACCTATTAAACTCAGTACATACTCTACATGAAAATCGGTCTGATTTTAATATATTCTATCTAAAATAAAAAACACACAAATAACTTTTTTTTTATTTCTATTCAACGACACTGAGAACTATTTTTCCAGTGCTAAATATTCCGAGACGTTTACATGTTATGATTATACAAACGACTTTTGTTCCTAGGGTTCCTTTTTATTACTTTGTTATATTTCATTTACGAGTAAATAAACGCGCCCCCTTTTTTGTTATGCTTCTTATTACGTTTTTAATACCAAAGAGATAATAATATTTTACACCGAAATCAAAAAAACTATGACACGCGAATTTTAACAAGAATCAATGGAACAAACACGACTAAAACGTCTATTAGGAGGTAATACTGTGTAGTATTTCAAAACTAAATTTAAAAAATTAAATTAAATTCAAAATTGTTAATATCGAACAAATCTGAGTAGGTAATAATATCATTTTTCCGATACCAAATATATTTTTGTAATTCGTACTAGAGCTGGTATACCAACACTAAATGTTCGCGAAAAATAATTTTTTAATTTTTTTTTTTTTTTTTTTGTTTTGCTATACAAAATATTTCTTTAGGGGTAAAAAAAATTAATTTCTCAACAAAATGCAAACATTTTAAAATGATGTCAAGTGATCATCGGATTAATAATAGTATTCTGACAAAGTCGATGAAATAATACGATAATGGGCATATTATTTTGCGAGGAAAAAGAACCAATCTGCACCGCGGTGTGACAGCGAAAGCTTCATAAATCATTGGCAGAGTTATTCATCTAGGACAAAGAGAACTGCACTATACGCCACGTGTTGTCGTTGAGGAAAAATAATCGCAGGATACTACAAAGATATTATTATTATTATAGTCGAATATATATAAATAAAATATACATAAATGTGAGTAATAATATGATATATGATGACTATAATAATCTATATTATTATGTATTTTTAATGACGGAGAAAACGTAGTATAAAAAATGAAAAGTGCAAAAGGTTCTCTTTATGCTCGTGCGTACACAATAATATTATTATTATTAAATATTATTAAACGTTACCGCCGAAATTGTTTGCGCACAACGATCCATCAAAGATACCCGAAGGAAAAAAAAATCCTCGGCGAATCATAACACGAAGAAGTCGTCTCGATAATATATTTTTCGATTAAATAACGACTGAGTATAAAACGATCTCGGAAACTTCAACAATTAAACAATAATATTATAATTGAATAATTGAAGAAATAATTCAACGTCTGTTGTGTATAGCTGAAGTGTAATAAAACGTGAATGGTATACGTAAGTACCTATATGCAACTCGCTATACACAAAGTAGATTATAATAATATTAATAATAATAATAATAATTTATTTGAAAATATTATAATATAATAAGCAGTGATTGAAAGTTTTGATCAATTGTCCATTGTCGATCGCGGTCTTTTATAAATTTCATCAAAAGTCGGGAGTTGATTACGTCTCATAAAATATATTGAAGGACACGTTCGTCGAATAGTTTTTCAATAGAATTTCTGGCCAGCTAGCCGCCGAGTATGCAAGAAATCAGATTATGAAACTCGAACAGGCCCAAAAAGTTTTCGAACACACGCGTTTTGTCGTAGTTCACAAAAGAACGCATGGCGGTTTCAATTATTTCCAGCCGATGATATTGCCGAGAGAATTCGTCTCTAGGGCTAGGAGAGGGAAAAAAAAGAACCAGCCAAGTGAAAAATCACACGGGTAGAAGAGAAAGAGAGAGAGGGGGAGAATAAAACGGAAAACTTCGCGTACTCACAAAAACTATTTCGCCCTTGTGTCACCTAACTTCGAAATAAATTGGATAGGGCGGTCGCCGATGAGATGTAAAATGGCGGGAAAAATTGCATATTTATCTTGAGTTTATATTTTCGCACGTCTTATGATGCAGACCTATATAAAAATAAAAATAAAAAAAATAAAGGATAAAAACCATCCATTTGAGAGTAGGTGCACGTAGGAATTGTTGTTACGAAAAAGATTCAAGTTTATATAATATAATAAAAACAACAAAACAAATGCACACTGTTGAATGTGGCGAAAAAAAAATAAAATAACCTTTTCGAAAATACAAAAAAAATGTGTTGACAATATAATATTATAGTGCATTTGAATTATTTTTCGTATATTTCTCTTAAACATTTTATAAAAGAAAATATATATATATATATGTATCTAAAAACAAAAACAATATCTAACTAATACGCTTTATGAGACGATTATCCTTGTGCAGATTTTCGTATTTAATCGTATCCATACAATTACGGGACATGATTAATTATTTACGTGTATAATATATACAACTGACAAACAAAACTCTTTGTAATCATTTTGCTTATTTAGCTTATTTGGTCGCTGTATTAAATGTATAGGACGAAATAAAGATAAAACTCCGAACGATTTAGTTGTTATACTGTAAGGTCTGTTTTTGTTTTGTCAGCTTCTTGGCTCCTAAACTGCGTATTGCGTCATTAGTACAACTGCACAAGTACAAATACGTGTTTTCTCAGGAGTAATCAATGACGCAGTTGCTCGTAGCAACTGATGACCATCCCTTTTTCTTTTTTTTTTTTTTTAATATGAATACGTTTTTGGGCTACGGTCAGTCGAAAATTTGAGAGACAATTTTATAGAATTATGCGAAAAATACCACGCTGTGGTATCCTTGAAAACAACAAATAACATAAAATTCAATGTAAAATACTTTCACGAACCTATGGTTGTTACATTTATTGGAGAAAATAAGTAATATTTTTTTTAAAATTACTAATAGCCTAACTATTAAACAATGACATTTGACAGATCTAAAGATGTTATCGAATACGAATAATTACAAATATACGTCACGTTTTTTTTTTTAGCGTGTAATCTGTCTATGTATTTTTAACAATAAGCACATTAGATGCTTAGAATATTATAGTTTATATTTAGTTTATAATACAGTCTTAAAATTGTAAACTAATGGACTCAAATGTATATGTAAAATAAAAAACAAATTCAAATGATAAAAATGAAATAGCCGGATATACTTTGTACGATAAGGCCGTTGTTGTACGGTTGATGTACGATATACTGAGTAATTCAGTTCGCGTACTGATGTTAACAAATCATCTCAATCAAAAAACCAATCTTAGCGGTGCTCGGTAAACTGGTAAAGGAAAAGAGGTAAATTTACAGATTTTAAAAAAAAAAAACAGCATTATAACACGATAGGTCACATACTGCGCCGATGAGAGTTTGTGGAAGATGATTATTAAAGGTTATATGAATGGTAAAACTCGAACGGGTAGACCAATGATGAAATATATGCTACAAACTATGGAAGAAATAAGAATGTTAAGTTATCGAGAGCTGAAGGAACTGAGTCATGACATAAAAGCGTGGACCGACAGATCGAAAGATAGAAGACCGAGATGAAGAACAAAACCGATATATTTTCACCGTGTCGCTCAGCGTCTAAAATGTCGGTTTCCGTCAAATTTGGTTCAAATCGAGCATTTTATTCAGATATATATATATTATATAAACGCGGATTGCCGACGATACCAAATATTATTGGTTCTAATATTCTTCGTATTATTTTATTATTATTATTATTATCAGTCAATTCATTAAGTATACAATAAGGAATCGATACGACTTTGAACATTGTTTTAAACGAGCGAAATCCGTATAAGGAAAATAATAGTATGATTAATGTGTTTTCTATGAAAATATTTGTCTACACAAAGTTAATATCGGTGTGCATTATTACGGTATATATTATAATTATTACTAATGCGTGATAGCTGTAAATATTTCACAATGTCCCGAAACTTTAAAGTATATTACAGAACTATATATATATATATATATATATATACTATACTATACATACTATTGCGTATTACTTATAATGTGTACTTGCGATTTAAGCGTTACGACAAACATGCGGATCGTTATTATAATATGCCAAATATTCGATTGTCGTATTATTATTATTATTTATTATATCGGAGGTTTCGCCGTCCGTTTTGCGGTTTTGCAAGTACGCGAGTGTGTGAACGCTCGCGTAAGTACACGCGCGAAAACGGACACGAGGTTCGGCACGGCCGACGCTCTGTGTGTACTTCGTGTATAAATACTACTTTTTGCGGCGTGTCCGAGAAATTTTCAACAGGAGAGGGCGTCTTGAATAATAATCGCGGTTCGCGAACAAATCGTATTGAACATAGGTTCCCAAAGGGGTTTATATAGACCCCCGAGGGTCTATTCTGGTCTGCGAGAAGTCCGTAGTATCGAAAACAAACACAGGAGGTGCGTGAGATGTAAATAGGTGTCAATAACGAGAGTTATTGAGTAAAAACGCACGAATCGTCATTGTTACTATATAAATTCGGGTGAAAAAAAAAGTTTGGGAACCTCTGGTATAGAACCCGTTTCCGTTTACCGGATTCGTTTACGAATCGAGCTTTTTTGTTTTGCCTAGCAACTCGGCTAAAATATCCATGATTTCCAGATGAAACCACTGAACTCAGTCGTAGTATATTTTTTTTAAGCCGGCGAACGGGTTAGGTTAAGTTACGACCCGTACGATGACGGTAAAACAAAAGACTGTGGTTTTTTTTTTTTTATAAAATACGGCGCTTATGTAGATAACTACGAGTTATACGTACGAGTGATGTGCATTGCCGCCGGTGCAGCGTTTACAAAATGCGCGTGACATATTATTTTGTACAGTGTTATATACGTAGCTAGGGTAGCTAGGGTACTATAATATTATGCACGCAGATGGACCTGCAACACGTCATCGTTATTCGATCGACTAATAACAATACAAATAAAAGAAAGAAAATAAAAAACCGAGAAAAACCGACTGCGGCGCGCCGTATATACAAAGTCGAGACCTCTTTTGAGGCTTTTGATATTGAAAAATATATATTATATAATATAATAACGGTAATGGGTATACGAATTACGCGTGACTCGAGCAAATAACCGACCCCCGGACAGCTCAATAAAAACAACATTGTGCGATTCATAGCTGCTGCTGCTGCTGCTGCTGCTACTGCCGCTGCTGTATCCGCCACCCTGATGGTCGGATAGATAGCGATATAAATATATATATATATAAGAAACCGGCGGCACAGATGCTCCTAACGAGCCCCACATACTCTCCGTCGCTTTTCTCTCTCTGTCTCTGTCGCTTCTTTCGGCGGAATATAAGAAGAAGAATATAAACGTGATTTACTGGCCAATTTAAAAACCGACGGGCTCGCCGCCGCCGCCGCCGTAGTAAACAATATATATCTATACGGTATAAGAGCGGTGGAAGAGAAGTAGAGTGCGCGAGAGAGGGTAGAGAAGAAGAAGAAAAAAAAACTTTTGCAGACGACGACAAAATCCAAAGAATATATATATATATATATATCGCCCTTGTCGTTTTCCCGTATACACGGCACCTCCCGCGTCCCTCCTAAACCCCCCCCCCTCTCACCCCACCGGACCCCGACGACTCGCGCGGCCCGTTAACCCGTGACGGAATGAACTTACTTACTCTCGAGGGGGACAAGGCAGGGCAGGGCAATACGCCCTAATGGTGTTCCGCAGGTAAAATATTGTATTAAAAAAAAAAAAAAAACACCCGTTTATTATTTTTGTTTATTGCGGTACCGGGGGTCGGTTTTTATTTTATACTCGATTTTTTTTTTTTCAACCCTCCATTCTTATATTTATTATTCGAGTAAACGAAAGGAGCAACATCACTAAGCCGATTATAACTACGATAAGAAATCAAATGTTATTATTTTTCTTCTTTTTTTTTTCTCCTTGGTTACCTATATATACATTTATTCTCCTTCTCGGTCATTTTTCTTCTCTGGACCGCAACACCGACCGTGTAAATACTGTTCGTCGATAATGAGCGACCCCGAAAAGTTTGACAATACAATAAATAATAAATAATTCATAAAACGTGTCGATGCTCACCACAAGTAATACAATATGTATCACAATCGCAAGTATTTTATGAATATGAAAAGTATTTTTCATTACGCGTATGATAAAAATTCACCGTTGTAGAATTATTAATATATAAAGTTTTGAATATATTATACAAACAAAATGTAAAACGATACGAACTAATTATTTTTAGGGGGAAATTTGTAAGTATAATATTATACTATATTATATTAGGTGTACTAAATCCTAACTATACCGACACAACGCATAATTAACTGAAAATTCTGTAGAATATAATTTCGGGCAAAATATACGTGTTTAACTAGTCTTAGATAAATTGTAATTAAATACAATTAATCATGATAAAATAACTCGTTTGCGGGGTTGTATAATGCAAAATGTTTAACACAACTGTTATTAATTTAGTGTCTATATACACTCGAGAGTCATCATATTTCGGATAAAAAATGCATGTAGTCGGGTTTATACTACTAAATGTTTTCCACTAGAAAAATGTGGACACATTACTTAGTGATAATTCCTGCAGTGCCGACTCTAGTAAAGATTTGAGTCGAACGAATAGAAAACGGTTCTATTTTCTCGGTCGAGTTGGACAATATTGTTATTTGGCAAACCGGTGTACACGTCACCGGCGACACTAAATTCAGTAAAATTGCGAGTAAAATACGTTATCGATGAATAATCACTGTTATCCGGTGTCAGCGTGGCAAGTATAAGGTATTAAACATCGACGGGCTTATTCTCGTACAATTTGTGAACTCGGTCACATCAGCAAGTTCACTTAAGAACAAATTGTTACCTCGAATTTTGATCCATTTCCTTACCCGAATTCGTATTCTCTTTCCACTTTTATTGAATCAGCAATTTAGTATTCGATGTATATAGTAATTTATTTTAATGACTCGGCCGAGTATCATCCTATAGTGTAAACAACACATTGAGTATACTATTATGTACACAATATAGTACTCAAATAGGGGTTAGTTTCAATATTTTTAATCTCCACAGGAATAAATTGAATAAAAATGTCAAAAAAAAAAAAAAATTAACCGGTAACTTTCGTCTGTTTATGAAAATTAACCGGAAAACAAATAATACATAGTATAATATAATTATAATATGATAAATGTCACAAAATGTAATTATATTGTTATGAATATGTTGCCATACAAATATTGAAATATAGTTTAGAATAAACGCTAATATACAAATGGAATTAAATAATAATGCAATTTAAAATAAATTTAAACTTTAATTTTTTTTTTTTTTTTTTTTTGTAGTTTTATTATTTCACAAGAAAGTTTGTTCGTTCGCAAAATGTCGCGTATAATTAATATTATATAGTAATAAAAAAAAAAAAAACACGTTAATTAAATAAAACTTGAGTTTAAATTAGAAATGAAACAATAACGAGAGATAGCTACTCAATTTTAGTTTTCTCGGAATAATTCATCTAGATATATTTTGTGTGCACTAATTTTAAAATGTGTGCTTTTTCTCTATCTGTAAACAACTTTTCCACCATTAAAATACATTTAGTTCGACGATACTCAATTTCAAATCAAACTGAAATCCCAATGTATATAAAAATAAACATCAGAAAATAGAATAAATATTATAAATATTATACTATTATCTGATATTTATTTTAGATTCAAAGTGGAGTGAGGAATATTGGTTTTATAATCATGTTTATTCTTTGTATGTGAAATTTTTTCTACCAGAAAGCATAAACCCAACTTCTCACCTACAAAAATGACTGCACACACATGTGAAGTACAACCGTACTTTTTTTTTTAAATACAGTCGAATCCGCTTAATAGAGACACCGGTTAATAAGGACAACCGCTTAATAGGGACAATTCTTCAATTACGAAAACAAATGTATACTTGTAGGGTAAACGTTCACCGCTTATCTGGGCCACGAATTCGGATAATTGGGACGTTTTTATCGAGTATATTAATAGATCAGTAGTTCGAAAATCGCGACCGACTCGCGTAATCGTTTAATAGATTAAATTTTATCTTATCATATGTTCACAAAGGAAATTTTTCCTCTTCGTTGAATTCGTTGAATGTTATTTGGTGCATCAGTCGTGTTTGTCGCGTGTATTAACGATGTCTCGTGTACGTAAAGATTTATCGCTCGCGCAAAAATTAGAAATTATCGACAAGATTAAATTACAGCCACCAGGCTGTAGTACTCGTTGTCTTTCGGAAATTTTAGGAATACCGAAATCAACAATCGCACGAATTCAACTTCAAGAACAGGTTTTGCGAGAACAAGCTCTTAGCCAAGTGACAACACGGAANTGTACGTAAAGATTTATCGCTCGCGCAAAAATTAGAAATTATCGACAAGATTAAATTACAGCCATCAGGCTGTAGTACTGGTTGTCTTTCGGAAATTTTAGGAATACCGAAATCAACAATCGACTATTTTTTCTTCAACAAGAAAATGAGGGAAGCCCAATAAATGCTTTGGATGCTTGTTCGGACTACATTCGTCAACAATCAATAATACGCAAGAAACAAAGTAATATTCATAGTTTTTTTAAATAACATAAAATACAATGTACATTATATATGTGTATATATGTACTTTATATTAATTATGTATGTATGTATTTTTATAAATAACTAAGTTATAATACCGTGTTTTTCTTTTTGTAATGTAATAAAAAATTTAAATAAAGTCAATAGTAAAACAATTTCAAAAAATGTATATGTCATTTTTGTATTTCGGATAATTGGGACAAAATAAAATGCAACCGATGTGTCNACTTCAACAAGAAAATGAGGGAAGCCCCATAAATGCTTTGGATGCTTGTTCGGACTACATTCGTCAACAATCAATAATACGCAAGAAACAAAGTAATATTCATAGTTTTTTTAAATAACATAAAATACAATGTACAATATATATGTGTATATATGTACTTTATATTAATTATGTATGTATGTATTTTTATAAATAACTAAGTTATAATACCGTGTTTTTCTTTTTGTAATGTAATAAAAAATTTAAATAAAGTCAATAGTAAAACAATTTTAAAAAATGTATATGCCATTTTTGTATTTCGGATTATTGGGACAACCGCTTTATTGGGACAAAATAAAATGAAACCGATGTGTCCCAATAAAGCGGATTCGACTGTACAAATAATCGATAAAACAAATATACAAAGTTAAATTATTAAAATTTAAAATTGTTAATTTCTATCCTTATCTATATCAATTTTTTTTTAATAATTAGTATTGCCTAACGCAGTCAAAATTATACGTTTATGCGGTAGCGACCATCATCAAACGCGCGCGGTTTCTCTTCACTTGATATTATACAAGTATATTACTGTATACATAGGTAATTGAACACAAATATTGACTTAAGAAAAAGTTAATTTATCGAATTTCCCGGTTAAATTTATTTACTGAAATTATGGTAAAGAAAATAAAATCATAAACTGTCGCGAAGCAATTTAAAAACGAACGTTCAAATAATTATTATTTTCTGAACTTTACTCGTTCGCTAAAAACACTTTTCCGCGGGTCAAAGGATATTATAACGAAGCGAGACGAGTGTATCTAACCGCAACACCGCAGAATCGTTATGTACCATAAAACAAACAGAACGAAAAAAAAGAACAAAAAGTGCATTTCTATCTAAAATCGATAAGCTGCACCAGTAAAAAAAAACCCTTTCCGAGCTGTAAAAATGTTTCGGGTTTAATAAAACAATAATATCATATCGTTATATCTGAAGTTCACGTGAAATATTTCGAATATCACGTAAAACAATTTATTGTTATCATCGCGGAACAAGTGAGAACTGCAAACGCGATAAAACAAATAATTTTATTTTTATTTGTTTGAACTATATAACACACAGTGCAGTACAGTAGGTACCTGACTATGTAAATGCATAATACAATATGTATAATCATTAAATGCGTATACATAATAAGAATCGAATGAATAATTATTGTAATAGAAAACGCATTCATTAACCGTACCCGAGCGTGTAAGTGTATAATGAAAAAAAAAAAATAAAAAACACAAAAGCATGTGTGTAGGTATACGATAATTGAATTTGAATAAAATAAAATGATCAAAAGAATATCGCGTATTATATTGCATCTTATGGAAATTCGCCAACGTGATGCATACAGTGGATGTTTACAATTTGTATACAATACATTTATGTATGAATGTGGTTTTTTTTTTTTTATGTATTTAAAAAAACAACTCAAGAGTACATGCTCGTCGCAGTACGCACATAATAATATGATGTGCGTTTTAGTTTATTTATACTATATATAGGGTTTTAGTTTATTTATACTATACATATAACGATCAATGTTGTATTTAAACCCAGCAGCACGAGAGTTAGGTACGAAGAATAATATTAATTCTGCATGCTTTATGCAAAACATTAATACGAGATATAATACTTTTTACAGCACCTCCGTTTCGGTGCGCGCGTATCATTATAATAATGTTTTTATTTTATTTTGCGCATATGTTAAAAGTGAAAAATGTTTCCAATTGTTTACGGAAAATTGCGTATAACTATAAAAATATTAGAAACAATTTGTTTTAAACATAATATATAATTTGTATTATTTTTATGTTATTTATTTTTTTAAGAAAATTCAGAGGTAAGATCCTATAGTGGTTGACGGGTATGTGCCACTGTTATAGGCGGAAAGTTAAAAAAGTAGGATATTGGAGGTAACGGTGTATCAGAACCATCGGTTCCCGGACTATTTTAAAAGCAATTTAAATTTTTCCTTCCTGTTTTACATAGATTAAGAACGGCTGCAGTCTACACATTGATTAGACTATATTTTATTATTTTTCTTCTCATTCGTCTTCGTCCCAAATATATTTCGGGTCTGTCATCCTCGTTCTTAACTTCCACTTGATCCAATCTCCCACCTTGCATACACCAGATATCCTTATATCATTCTCAATCGTTTCCAACCACATATTTTTCAATTTTCTCTCCACCTCTTCCCACATACATTTATTTTCATTGCAAACAATTCTTAATGCTTGAGATTCTTCTCTTCCCGTTACATACCTAAACCATCTCGGTCTATTTTCTCTTGTTTTGTCTACTGTCGAAGTCACGCCTAAGCTCTTAGCTACTCAGTGGCAGATTTACGGAGGGGAGGGAGGACTCCAGGAGGTCTGGACTCCCACCCAAGACACCGATATAATTTCAATAAAATATCGTCCAAAAAAGGGGTATTTATTAATAAAAATACCTTTTAAATACATATGAATTTTCAGGACCTCTCCCAGAAAAATGTTGAAAATCCGGTACTGTACAAACTCGATCATTATCCCAACTTCTCTCGTTACTCCATGATTCATTCTCTGTTCAGATTATACAAAATATAATAAATGATATTAGGCAAATGCAAACACTACAAACAACACAGATACTCGTGTATCTAATACAGTAACGAATAACGACAATATTTATTCGATTATATAGACCCGTATACATAATGATGGGAAATATGTTTCATTAATATACTGAATAATATTATTGAATTGGATTTCGCCTTTTTCAAAAGTCTTCTCCACGGGAACCAATTCGGATGCACCCGAGGGTAATTTATGGTTTATAGTTAATTACGCAACGATAAATCATTACGAACGGAAAAACCAATTCTGAGGGGAGTAATTTCAGTGATGGTTGTTTGTCCCGTAACAAAAGTAAAACAGACGTATAGTCAATATTTCTCAATTTTTTTTTAACTTTATAAAATTACTATAGAATACCTAGCAATTTTACTTGAAGCCTTCTGACACAAATCGGAAAAAAATTTTACATAATCGTAATAAAAGTAATAACTACACCGAAAATCAATACAGAAGTAATTGAATACGATATTTTAGTACAACGACCGTCATACATTTGATACGCATAAAATATAATATATTCTTTATCACTTATGTTTATTTATCAATGATATAAATATATTTATTTTAACAAAACAATGACTGAGTACCAATAGTAAATGATTTATATATATATATATTAATAATATTTTTTACAGAAAAAAGCTAATATTTCTTTTTTTTATATAAATTATTATCATAAGTACTTTAGTTAATAACGTTATTTTTCTTTCTTTTTTTTTTAAACGTAATTATGATTTTATAAGTCTATAAAAAATTGTGACTAATAAAGTAATATTATAGTCAACAGTATAATTTTTAAAACTCTTAATTTATATTTATTATAATATTTAATTGCCGTTCGTATACAATTAACTACGGTATAATAATAATAATCGCCAGTCATTCTTATTCATAATGTTTTTGTTTTTAATTTTTATATTTTTTATATTCGTTCCACGACATAAACTTAAAATTGAATTTTAAATAGGATTTTAAATAATCGCAACGCATAGATTTTATAAGCAATTTTTCTAATGATTTTTTTTTTTTTTAAATACTTCAGTTATTTAATTTACTGTAGTATAAATCAATCGACGTAATGACAATATACACCCTACCCACACACACACACACACACCGATATGTTAACCACAACATACACTTATTATTATATCCGTATGACACGTACTTGAACTCTCGTATGGAACTTTAATCGGAAATGTCAAACATCCAGCAATCCTTTATTTTATAAAAAATGCATAACTACAGATCTGCTATATGCCACAATGATTATAACGAGTAGTACTTACACGGAATAGTTTCATAGGCGACAGCCTTTATAACCTAGTAAAATTATAACTGATCCTAGCTATAGAGCTTATGAAAGTATATTCTAGTTTAGTTTATGCTCTAAAACTCGCGAAGATATTGCACGTTATCACCCATAAAAATCATAAAAATATACTCACACACCATAAATAAGTTTCATATTGTCGTTATTAAATCGCAGGCTCACCTAATAAAATAAACACAGTGTCAAAACAATCAAGACAAAGACAATTTCGTCTGGTTCTTAAATAATATTTTACTGCTAAACACAAATATTATTTTACTCGTATTCTATTATAATAATAACGCGTTCACGGTAAAAATATAATATTACAATATTCTCACATTTCAACTCATTGTTTGCTCCGTCGTCTACTGGAAAATTATATACAAGCGTTTCAAATTACTCGTATATTTTTCGATAACATTGAGATATCTAATAGATTTGATTTTACCAAATCGATTAGTAGATTTTTATTATTATTATTATTATTATTTTTTTTTTTAACGATACTTTACATAGACTCCTTAGAAGTTACAAAACCGGAAGAACGTTATTGCGTATGTTCATCGTGGTTAGCTATTAATGGTGCACAATAAATAACCGCGTGCTCTATAAACGTGCGGTAAATAATATAATATGGACGCGGTTATTAAGCGGTAAGAGTACTCTAAACGATTCGCACGATGAACATTTACAACGCTTGACGGTACGTATAGGTGAGATTAAAAGTGTATATGATATTATCTATTCCAAGTGCATTATGTCCTGAGGGATGAACGTGCGGGACCTTGCACGCTGCTCGACACACATTCGCCACACGCGAATATTTTCCACGTAAAAACGATACAATATACGCGCTACATCTTTACGACGGTGTGTTTTGGAATCGAAAAGGATATTGGAGTGGTAGGAGTGAGGAAACTATGATGGAGATACACAAGCTCGTCAGTACAATAACAACTGTACCGAGTAACTGCAGTGTGTATTTACAGGGTCTTGGAAACTGTGTAGATAAAACTATGCACACAAATGATGCTTCACTCATCTCTCTTTATATATACCTACACCTGCAAAATAAAAGTGGAATATATTATACGACAGTCAACGAGACGACAAAAATCAAAAATGTATTTAAACCAAAACTTCGTCTGTTTGCGGAATATGTAATATAGGATGCCTAAAATATATTATAATCTAAGGTCCCAGGAAATTAGGCTTATGCCATTTTTATATAGTTTTAATACAGGTAAATTGAATTTCGAAAATTGCTTAATGATATAATGGTTTAATTTCTGAATTTCTAAATGGCTTAACCTAAATATGGCGTTCTAAACGATTTAAGTCAAACAAAAAAAATGCATTATACAGTGAGTGAAGGTTTTTTTAATTTTCCGTATAATATTACGTACATGAGAGCATACAATTATTAAAGAAAAATAATCAAAAATTAGCTTAAGCATTTTTCCTTGGGGCCAAAAACATCATTTCAAAATCGATCCACACTACAGGTCATTTTTCGAGAAAAAAAAACCATTTATACATTTTACGGTGAAATTGACCGTAAAATTCGAAAGACCCTGCCTACATATAATAACATAATATAGTGACAGTAGTGAAGTGCAAAAATAAAAAATACACTACACAACAGTATTTCATTATTATATGGCATTCGATACGGAACACGACAACGACGCGGACGAAACGGCAACGTTTTTGTTTTTATTATTAAATTCGGTACACGCGCGCGCAGAGTTTGCACAAAAATCGTGTGCACAATCGGTTTTAACGGCGCGGAAAGGGGGGGGAGGTGCACGTCGTGGGCTATAAGGTCAAAGAAGTGAACGCGCGGGTATCGCAAAGGGGACGGACGCGGAAAGCTTTTTGGAAAACGACCCAATCGCCCGGAGTGAGCATATTGCCTCTAAGTATATACACGTATTATACACACAAACACGAAGGGGTAAATAGGAGAAGGTCCCCTCCCTTACAGCTATTCATATTATGATACGAGATAAAAACGAACAAACGGTCTATTACACACAATTGATGTCGGGCGCAATAGCCAATCTTACTCGAATAAAATTTCACTCACAATTCCTCTTTTCCGATACTACTCTGCTTCTGCTGCTGCTGCTGCTGTAGTATACAGATGCGATTCGATACAAAAACCATTTGCCATATAGAATCGCCGCCGCCGCCGGCGGCTAGCTATTATATTATATATAATACGGAGATGCGATTAAATAAACGAGAAAAGTGCGTTGCAATAACAATAATTGAAACTAAAGAGCATTTCAGGGCATTTTTTTAAGGTTTTCCTGGTCCAAATGGAAACACACAGTAAAATCCATTGGACAGTCTCCATTTAAGTAAGATTTTGCTGTGTATCAACTATAGAAAACAAAAAATGGTAAACAATTGAATTTGTAACAAAATATTTTACTGTGGTGGGGCGGAGGGTAACTGGGGAAAGTCTAAAAGTTAATAGGAAAGTTTGATCAATCTGCTCGTGGGGTTTTTTTTAAGAGTGAGGGGGGGTTATCGGACATATGGTGGTTATTCATTCAAAAGTGTCCCGGAGCATTTAGCAATTTATATTTTTATAAGAAAGCGCGTTAAAGAAAAACAAATTGAAAAATATAAAAAAAAAAATACGTGCAATATTATTGTGGCGTGTCGTATATCTTCTGGGAAAAAGAATTGCGTGAAAACGGGTCAATTTCTTATTATTATTATTATTATTATTACTTTTTTTATTTTTTATGAGTTCCTCGCCATCGTCGACGGCGCAAAGACGAACACGGTAAAAATATGAAAATAAATTTGTACCGATGATTTCCAAATCAAACCGACAATCTTCCTATATATACCTATACACAGCTGAAAGTATGACAGGGCGAGGCAAGGACACGGTGGTGGTGTGCGAGGAGTGTAAAATACATAAATATTATCCGCCAACGATTGGCAGACAGAAAATGTTTTTGACGTGAACACCACACCGACTCAGAATTTTTCTCTCTATTTCTTCTTTAAGTATAATATATTATAACGTACGTGTATTTGACGAGAGGTATAACCCTACACCATTCGAATTGATAATCCATTTGTGGCGGGCAGAGATTTATATAGGTATATATATTTATATGTATGTAAACATATTATTTTATACGTATAATGTATGGGCCGCGGTAGTAGTTTATTTATTTATTTTTTTTTTTTTGAAAAAGACCGCTAAAAAGATTATTTCGCTTTTTTTTTAAATCGTTTTTGATTTGTTTCCCAACATTTCCCGAGTTGGACCGCACATCGTAAAGCCTAGCGAAGCGCCCCGGCCATCGTCGGCCACCACCCCGTATCGCCCGCCGAGAACGGCCCGCTAAAGGAGCGTAATAAATTTCGTACATTTTTACCGACAAGTATAAATGTCGGTAAGTATTTTTTTTTCTACCACGTATGTGTACACCTCCTCTCTGCCTCTCGCTCTCTCTCACTCACTATATTTCTCTCTCTTCAACAGTATATATGTAATTTTACAACGAAACATAAATATAAACGAAACCCTGTTATATTTATACTGTAAACGTATTATATTGTGTACGTATGTGTACCTACTTTAGCCATACATATTGTATACGAACATTATACACGCCATAGAAAACGTTTCAACGTTAACTTCTCGCGTTTGAAACGTTTAAGAAACGAGTATCAATACATGAGATATAGGTTAACTGTATATTATACTTACTGCAGCTGATGATGGTCTGCTGATGAATTTTATACTTATTTTTTTTTTCAATAGGATAGGAGCTATAGGAGTTAGATAAAGAATATTTGAAATTAAAATAATAAATAAACACGCTACAAAAAATCATCGTCTATACACTCTTGTTATCAATTAGATTTGTTTTATTTTGGTATTAGGTATACGGATTATTATTCATTATTAATCCATATGCTATTATTGCAGGATTCCGTAAATCGCCATTAAGGGTCCTGATCGTGGGTTTTTTTTTTACAAATCGTTAACAATTATTAATCGGAAATTGTCAACAAATGATTTAATTAGTTTTCGTATGAAAAGGGGCCTGAGCGTGACCTGCGTTTTTTTTTTTTGCTCATAACCAGCTTATAAAAAAAATCTCTCACGCCTCGACGAGTGATCCGATTTAGAACGTTTTTTTTTCCTTATATAAGAAGACATCTCCTACGGGGCCACATTCGACTTCGATTTTTAATAATATAACCAAAAACCACAAAAAAAAAAATAGCTAACGAATTATGAAATTATTCATATAATATTCAAATTTTAATCATTATAATGTTTAGAATTCAAAATCCAAGAACAACCATATAAGAACATAACTTATAAATCTCTCTCATTCCAACAAAACAAAAAAATGATTGAAATCGTTTCACGCTACGAGAGCATGAGATATTTTTTCTATGTAAAGCATGTTTTTGAATAACTCATTAGTGCACGAGTTTAAAACACTGATTTTATCACGATATAAATGATTTAAATAATATAATAGTCACCAGGTCAAACGACAAAATAAAAAGGGTCACACCGTACCGGTTCCGTCCACCTTTCATATTAATATTGTGACCTCGATTTGAAGAATACCCACCTACGTGTAAGATACACACAAACATTGATTACAGTCGAAGGTTATAACCATCACAACTTCTCTGGAAACAATTTTAAATTGTTTTTATTCGTTTTCTGTTGGCTTTTTAATAGTGTTAAATAAACTTTAAACTCTTAACCGACCACTGTTCGTGTTTTTTTTTCTTTTTTTTTTATGAACATATAAAACAACTATATAACCTGAATATATTATAGTGTATGTATGCGAAAGGCACGTAACGCCGACTTCGGACTTATACACTAATACGTTATAAATTAATTTTACCTTTATAAAAAAAAAATTTAAAAAAACATACATTTTGTATATAAACGGCTATTGTACACACTGAGTAAACAATAATGAATCAATTCCTACGTGCGGTAAACAAGAGAAAAAAAACAATTTACAGAATACGAATTTGTATCCATCTAACATTCCAGGTCGTTCGTTCCAGGGATATGGTTTTTTCTGTACCGGTGTAAATCGCATTTTCGTAGATTGACATATACGTCTTTATATAATGAATACATATACACTTACCCGCATAAAATATATGATGATATATTATATTTACGTAAATTCAAAATTTTAAATACCTAACTATATGGATTTTCAGCGAAACACCCCTATTTCATACACATATAATTATACGCATTAACTTAATAAATATATACTAAATTAATTTAAAATACGAGTAGAATTTACTTTTACGCGTGTTAAAAACTTTCAACTATAATAATATTCGTCATCGTCAAAACTTTCGCACTATATCACACGAAATTATGCAAATTAATATCGCTGCAAATGCACGGGTATCTATAAAATATTACAAACCATAAAAAACATTTTTTTTTTTTTTTTTTTACTTTATACCTAATGAACTCGAGGAAAATGTTTCAATTATTATATTATTGAAAAAATTATCAAACATAATATATCATATTATACTCACTGCGAATCCATACTACTTGAGTTTTATGTACAAACAACAAACAATTCACCGTATACACTTACCTGAAAAAAAAAAAGATATAAAAATTAAAAATCGTTGTTTTTATACAAAAGATTAAAAACAAACGAAGACAATTAATCGAAATATTATTATAAATATGTATTGTGCACAACTATATGAAACGTCTATAGCATAATCCCGCAATATTACGAGTTGTATATTTTACGACTGCGTTAAAATAATATAATTATTATTATTATTAATATTGTTATTATTATTATCATCGAAAATCTCCGCCGATAAATGTGAATCATACGATATGGTAATATTTATACGAAAGTATAATTTATTCCGTGGAAAATTCAATCGTCTTATAATGTATATAATATACTATAATTTAACACAAAGACGGATAATAATAACAAAGTCAGCGGTTTCCAAATTGATTTCAATATTTATACAATATAATACGAGTATTGTATACATAGGTACCTAGCTATACATACATATTGCCGTAACATTTATTATTGTATGCGACGAAATATTAAAATATAATATACCGAACAAAAGCATAATACACGAATAAGATTGCGATAAGATTTGTTACAGTATAAGTATTATGCTACTTACGAACAGAATTTTCGTTCTCGTACTCGAGATAATAATAATATATTATGGTAAAACTAAAAAAAAAGTTTGGGAAGTTTATATTATTGGTCATGCATAGCTACACGCGTCATAGTTATTTAATTCATGTATCTGTGTACGCGAAAATGAATCATTGCTAATGAAATACGTTTTTGAACAAAATTCGGCTACACATTTTGTCTTAAAATGCCGCTATTCGTATGGTTTTCGCCGAAATTTAAACTTAAAACGCTTATAAAAAAAATAAAAATAAAACAACTACATTACGCTCAATATGTTTTATTTACCTACAAGTACGACTTTTAATGTGATGAACCTCGCGTTAAATTGTCAAGCGTTTCTGTTTGACTAAAACAATTGTATTCACATAAAACTAATTGGAAAACTAAATATAAAAAAAAAAAAAAAAAAATACTAGGAAACATCAAATACCTTTGAGTAGCTCGAAAATCTCCAGACCAACGTTTTACCGCGTCTAGACAGAGCTAATAATTTAAGTAGTTATTCTGTGAAATACGGATTCGAGTCTCTGCAGTGATTTAAAACCGAATGACGAGAAAATCACAAAACCGAATATATAATGAAACCGCGGCATTGCCGTGATAAACTTTCCGGGTTTTCGTACGCTTTTCCGCCGGGTTTTCTCAATTATAATGTAAAACTACGAGAAAAACCGAAAAACTAAAACAAAAATACTAATATCAATATTATACGCAAGCGCTCGGCACGCTGCGCAGAATCGCACCAATTGTACATACGACATTAATATATATATATATATATATGTACAGGGTTGTATTAAAACACCTGTTGGCGAACAAAACAACATTATGTCGGTTAACGACTTACTGAAAGTCGCCGTTTAATATTAAATCGTATTGTCGTTACGTTATCTCCGTCTCGAAGCGTGTTGCAAAAGGTCACGATAACAGAGATGGTGATGATAATAATAATAACAATAATTCCCAATACAGGCCACAGACACCGTGGTCGCAAAAACGTGACAGAAATCAACGGACAGACAGACAGACTATACAGTACCTACTTATGTTATATAGACTTATACAAACGGACCGCAGGACTTGGGCGGCGTGGGATTACTCACGGTGATGCGAGCGACGACTGCGACGGAAAATGAAATAAGCCTCGCCGCCAATCAAACCGCAGACAAAACGGATTTGCTTTTTTTTTTGGTCTTTGTCTAATGATTTATCCCGGCGAAATTTAACTGTGTGTATTCGGTAAACAGTCTTACGCGAACTGCTAAATTTCCGAGTGTATAAAACGTATCCGGGGCGTCTCACACATTGCGAGGTGGGCCGGTAAATTTTTAACGGTTTCCAAGACGTACCGAAAATGTTTTGACATAAATCTTCTGTCCCGAGGAAGAAGAAGAACTTATATCATTTTTTAACTTTTTTTTTTATGTCTTATGCAATTACTCCTTTATTTTTAAATCTAAATGACAGAAGTGTGCGTATACACATTTTATATTGAAAATTATGATCTAATCGTGATGCATCGCTAAGGCGTACTTGAAAACGGTAATTTATAGCCGTTTAGCGATTCTCGACATTCGATACGCTTATATTGAAAAAAATTAGACAACATATTTTACTTAAGCTTTTCTTCCCTCGGACCAAACATACTATAGAAACCCATACGCTTATAGCAGTGGCATTTATCTCCATAAACACAAATATTGATTTCCGACAGTCAGGTTTGAACAATTAATTATTGTATAACGGTACTCGAAGCGGAAAAGTCACTGCACGGCGAAACAGACACCTTGTATGCGTTTTGTCACGGCGGTATCTATTTAATATCGTTATAATAGTATTATAAAATCACATATAAACGACGTAAACACGCCTCACACACGCGTTTTTACAACATTTTACGAACGGAAGCGCAATATTATTATTTTTACACAAGCGTTTTAGATATTTCTGCTGAGAAACTTCGGCGCTGAATGCAGCAGCCACGTCCGCGTACATTTTAACATATAATATTATCGGAACCTATTCTCAAAAAATAATAACACCCAGACGTTGTTGTTTCACCTATAGAATGTGATGCGTAGGCGACAATATTTATAGTAAAAATAAATCGTCTCAATATGCTATATTTCTGATTACACCCAGCGAAACGTCGTAGGTCGATTCGAATAAATTTCGCAGGAGAACTGAAAAACTAAAAAATGTATCGAAAATAAATTTAAATGTCAAAATTTTGACTTACAAGGTTTCGTTGAGTTTTGTTCGTCTACAATAAAAATAAAAGAAATGACGCGTAATCTATTTTTTTTCTTAAAAAATAACCGCGAACCGTTCAGTGCGCAATGCAGCACATCGTCACATCACGGTCTTTGGCCCGGATATGTCATTTCCGGTAGACCGTACGAGTGAATGACGCCGCTGTATACTTTGGAAAATTGTTAAGGATGCAAAATCTTTAGTTTTCTTTCGTTCGCATATATATTTATATACACATCGCGTCGTCGAAGGGAAAAGAAAAATATTTGTGAAGCGCGCGCGCGCAGTATTGATAGACGTCCGGTTATTTGCGATTTTTTTTTTTCTTTTTATCGACATCATACATTTTTATAATATGGCGAAGGAGTTTAATATATCATTTCGTTTCAATAACTCCCATACGGAATAAAAAATACCGTACAGCGAGAAACATACACAGAGAAATATTATTCAGTAAAAATAAGAGAAAAGCTAAAATATATCTTCGTATTTTCGTACAACCAATTATTTTGTATTCGTTTCGTGTATACGTATAATCTCTTTGATCCTTTAATAATGAGTATTTTTTTACTTTTATTTTTCCAAACAAAATAAATAATAATTAATTTACAAAGTTTATAAAGTATATTATTATTATTATTATTATTAATGTTAATAATAACAAAATTAAAAAAAAAAATTTCCCAAAACTATATTCTAATTAAAAACATTGTTCGAAACCGATTTTTTGAAAACCTATCCGTTTATATACATGTTATTTAAAAAGTAAAAAAAAAAATAATAAAAGAACACAAAATACAACTTCTCCATCCCCGAGTTAATGTATATATATTTAAAAAAAACCAATTCAATAAACAATGGGTACCTACGAGTATATAATATAAGTGCGTATAACACAAAACACAATAGTTTTTTTTTTTTGTTATTATTATTATTATTTTGGTAAGAAAATATTGTTTTTTGAACGAAAAAATTATTATTAAAAATTTGTAAACAAATTTGGTACATTTCACCAATACGTCACATAAGTGACTTTGTACATTATAACATCTATGAAATTACCCGACCGGCGCGTGTATACGCGATACCGTAACGCGTTTATAATAATTAGAATTGTTGACAAATACTGTCGTTCCGTATTATACAGGGTGATTCGTATATGACCATCATATTTTCGTCACACAAACCGGCCAAAGTACGAAGAATTCGAGCATTTTCGATTGTGGCGTTTTTCAATCGTTATATATTATTATATTGACATTAATTAATTTAATATAAATCATATTTAAAAAACAAAGCAATTGTTACATTTAAAACACGTTAATCGTTTGTTGAACTAATTTTCGTTAACGACTTATGTCTGCCTATTAGAGTCATCATATTTTATTTATAAAAATCGAATTCTCGAAAAATGTAACTTTCAAGTAAAATTGTTGAAACGAATAAACCGTTCAAGAGTTACGACCGCGGTTTCGATTTTTCGAATTTTAACCGCGGGGCATATATCTTTGGCCTCGGGAAAGATGGGCTCAAGAAAATGTTCGGCTTTTCTTTATACGATTTTGTCATTTAAAATTTGTTTTCCTTTATTTTCTGGTCTAAAAGACATAAGGGTATGCATATTATGTTCTATAACACTTGTTATGCTTAAAATAAAAAATCCTTAAGTCACTATGGTTGTTCGGCAAAAATGCATACGATTTGAATAATGCTTAATATGCTTGTATTGAGTACAACATATCGATATCGATGTTTTTTGAAAAGTGTTATCTTTTCAAATCGGGATTTTAAAACGTTTGAGAGCCGAAAAACGATAAAAAGTGTGTGTTTGCGGTGCGTGGTAAAAAAAAAAAATAATAACAATATTAATAATAAAACAATTGTCAAATCAATAAAACCGTCGTCATTTGCCGATACTATACGTCACGTGTAGTAATGATAATATTAATACAATGACGATGTTGCTACTACACATGTAGCTACTGCCGAAACTGCAAAAATTAAAACCGCGTCGGATTTCGCCCGAAACCTTCGTGCGGACATGCGGACTGCGTGTCGGCCCGCGATGAAAACAACATCACCCTGTAACACGACGCGTCCGCGCGCACCTTACGCCGCCGGCGTGTATAAGGCGTGAAATGCAAATGTCCTCGTGAAATATATCGCAACGCCACATATGATATTACAATAACCGTACGTCAAACGCGGTTACACAAACAATCGGTTATCCGCGATGAGAGCCGTTCGGCGTGCACGCGACATCTGCTATCTATCAATATTCTCGGACGCCCGTCCTTAATTTACGTCGTGGCCCCGATCTCCCCCCGTGTGAATAGTCTAAATATATTATTATTAATAGGTCTCGGACGGTTATAATCGTTTCAATAACAGTATTGCCGCGCGTTCGTTTAAAATGCGTATATAAAATCGTACGGCGGTGAGTCGCCGCGTTGAATTTATAGTTTGTTTTTCTGGTTCGGACACGGACCAGAAAATAACATAATATCATACACAACACTTGTATACAAAATAATGTAAACGCGATTCTACGGCCAATACGGTAAGATAACGGGTTTGTGATAATTGGCGGGGATTTTTTTTTTTTTTTTGGGGGGGAGGTTATTAAACAATATTACGGACAGGAACAAATTATAATATTATACTCATGTATATATTTACAGTAGCGTAATTAGGGGTGGTAACTTCCGCAGGTCGCCAAACATGTAATATTAATTTGTACCACATTTTCAATACGTATTTAATTATAATTATTGTAATTATTTTTAATGGAAAATATTATAATTTGTACTACGTGCATTTTGAATTTGAGCAGAAAACGATTGTAGCGGAGATGAGAAAGCTTAGGCGGATGAGTGGAATGACGAGAGAAAATAGGATAAAGAATAAGTACATATAAGAGATAGCTTAGGCGTAGCTTCAATGATAGACAAAATGAGAGAAAATAAACTGAGATGGTTGGGCATGTCACGAAGGGTGAGGAATCTAAAGCATTATAATGAAAATAAACGTAGGGAAAAGGTGAAGGGAAGGCCGAAACATGCTATTTAAAATGATAATAATATGAGAACAGCCGTTGTATGCGAAGTGATAGAGATCGGGTCAAGTGATAGTTTAGAACGAGGGCGACCGACCATAAATAGTTGAGATGAAGAAGCAAGGGATTTATAGCCACTTAGGGAAAAATTTAAAACAAATTTATCCTAAAAAAAAATCGACCAAGTATATAGGTAGGACGCTAAACCTAAACTTGCCCCAAAGCGCTTAAATCTCTGGCTAACCCACTGTGTGCTATACTACATACTTAGAAATATATAAAGAATATCTAAATCGCATATTTAAATTTTCTTAAATTTGATACATTACTTTATGTGATTCGAATAAATCTACAATCAAATGTATGAGAAAAAAAATTTGAATTTAAACACATCTAAAAATACCCATATGTCAGTACTAGCTACAATAACGCTTAAATTTATTTTTCTTTCGATCATTAAATACAACTTATGACGAACCTCCTGTTAAATTTTCAAGTATTTTCGCTCGGCCACAACAATGTTATCCATGTAAAACCGAATAAAAACTAAAAATTCAAACGCCTATGTAAACAGCCCCAAAAAGCCCAGAATGTTTTGATACCGTCTATAGAAAAAGCTACAATTTCTAGTGAAAATTTCAAGTCTACAATTATTTTTAATCGAATTACAATTATTATAAAAACCGAATATTGTAATCATTGTAAGATTGTGAAAATATGTTTCGATTAGAACGGATTAAAACTATTATTTTTTTTTGAAAATTGTATAAAATAATAGTGCTGATAGGTCGAAAAAAACTGCTAGGAAAGTTGAGAAATGACGTCACCGTTTATTCGTTAAGTATTGCGATGTGTGGAGCGTACGTCGCGGTAGTCGGTTTTACTGCGATTTCGTTAATGCGTTTCGGTTCACTTATAGTAACCTAACCTAATCTAACCTATAGCAGGTACCTATAGGTATGTTATAACGTCTTCGATAGAAACGTTAAAAACGAATGGTTGAAATTGCACAACGCGAAATCAGTTAAAAAAACTCGACGGTTTACCATACTGCACAGCTATATAAACTTGAGAAAATTCGTAAAGATAACAGATAACGTGTTATATACGTACACGTAGAATAATCAATAAATATGTACCTGCGCATTGTTTTAGCATGATAATACATTGCATACATAACTATTGCATACATATATATTAAATACGCGCATATCGAAAGCAAATAAAAACGTAATGGTCACGATTGCAGGCGACAGCAAACAGTGCGGTTGAGTAATAATTTCCATACGTTTTTATCAGTTTAGACGGAAATTAGATATTCGGTTGAACGCAAACTCTGCTATATAAATAGAAACAATAAGACATTACACAATACTTATTGGTATTGTCATAAATTATTAATTTATACGACGATCGCGTTTCCTTTTTTCGATCGTCGATGCTCGATCGAGGTTTATTCGTTATTGTCCGTACCAAATTTTAAATTGATACTTGGCGTTAGAACGTCAAAGATAGTCACGACCGTTTAAAATGCGATTGCAACTTTACCTCTCTATACCTATATATACATATGTATACGAGTATATAACAATCAGAATTAGAGACGTCTGGCGTTTGCATATAATTGTTAAAAGATTAAACAAATAGTTAAGAATCGAACGTAAATATTGTTCATCGTGTAAAATCGTATAAACGTTATTTCGCATACTTTTGCATATTTTACAGTTGTTGCTGTTTAGAGAGTATTTTAACCGCGGTTACCGATTTTTAAATGCTATAAAAGGATATGAACTCGTATCCAATCGTATTATTGTACATGCGCTTTTTTTGATTAACATTGTTCAAATTCATACACACCGATGTGCGAATAGACTATCGTAAAATTGAATAGACATTGAGTCTGATCGATAATAACTCTCAAATTATTCATCTCAAAACACAAAGGTCTTACGTAAATACCATTAATAAATTAGTTATGTATCAAGTTTTTAGTACAAAAATATCAATAAAAAAAATATATACATTTATAGCGTATTTCTCAGTACATATATTATATTGTTTTTTAAAATATAATTGTTTGCATATTTCGGATGTTTTTTAGAGCTAGAAGTCCCTAAGCCTAACAATAATATCGTATGTTCAATATCAAACTTTAAAATTTGAATAGACATTAAACGCCGATAATTTTATTTTATTTTAAAAACGCTGACATTTCAAATTGTATGTTGTACACACCGAGTAAATTAACTGTATGCAAAAAAATTCGACTGGTAACTGTGATTCGTAAACGCGTATGGAATATATAATTCAGCGTCGTACGTATCGTTGCACTTTGTCGTGCACTAATCGTTTGCTATCGTTAAGTTGTGTAATAGTACAGTTCAATAAATATAATTTAATTGGTAGGTATTATGTTGTATTTTTTTTTCCGCCTCGACCGCAAATTAAATTAAACGCTGGGGTAGCTGTTATTATAATATACGCACCGACGAAAATATTATATTTTTCAAACAAGTTATAGAATATTAATTTAACGAAATCACGTTTCGCACCCGGGCTATCAAATGGCGAACATTCATATATGAACATAATTCTAGTTCAATTAATTGAATTGGCATTTCGATGGGTTTCATTTTTCAAACTGTATAATTAATCAAAAAAAATATTATCACTGCATTATTATTGCTATTAGGTGGTTTTTTTTTTTTTTTTTTTTTTTTTAATGATAACTTTGTTCTATAATAATATAATAGTAAATTGTATTTGCTTCATTAATTTATTGAGAAAATATAGAATTATTAATTTGACCAAAAATATGATAACATAATATTTTTTTTTTTTTTATTTATGCAACCTGAAAATGACTTCGGCCGAAACTAGCATTAGTTGTACTGATATTATATTATTTAATTATACTTTTTGGTCGAGCAAATAATTCTATATATTTTCATAATATAGCGTTGTTCAATTATACATTATATTTATTATTCATACTTATAATAACATATCGATTATATTATACATACATATTATAGTACATTGCAGGTATTTCCCAGTATTCAACCCTTAAGGGGGTAAAATAGGGGTTTTTAGGTATTTTTGGTACGAATATCTAATTGTTTATGTTGATTTGTTACCGTATACATACATAGCGTATTACTATTATTGTTATCATTACTATTATATTTTACACTATTATCTATAGCAATAACAAAGCATTGTCGGGTCAGCGAGTGTAATAATGTATAATACATTTTACTACATCGCATCAGAAGTCTACGAAATGGGTTCCCTCGACAAATATGAAATTATCGGTAAACCACGATTGATACAGTTAATAGGGACGTTGAAGAACTACGAGGCAGACCAAACTGGAAGGATTTGGCAATGAACAGAGATGACTGAAGAATTGACTGTGAGACAGTATGGTCCTAGTGGCCGGATAAATCCCCCCCCACACCCAAAAAAATAACCACGATTGAGCATATAATTTTTTAGTAACACGATTGGACATAGAGTATATATTTTTTTTTTTAAATATAACATTATTTTGCGCGACGTTGCCAAACCGAAATTTTGTATCACATTATTTTCACACCAAGATACCAATAGCTTATATGAGCCGCGAGCTTCACCCTCGTGTCCGTGCATTCGTTATACACAAACAAAAACTCTCGACTATAATTTATTGAAAAAAAATTATATAAAATTACAAACCGCTCAAGAAATTAAAATAATAAAGTAGAATTTAATATAAAAGCTTTCAACATTGTAACAATACTTAATCGTTGGTATTTTACTCGAGACAAATAATGATTGGAAACAGATACGAAGGTATAACAAATTCGTAATTTTATGTTTTTGTAATTTTTTTTTCACGACAACAGTAACCAGCTGGCCTGGTTGTTTATTATTATTTTTAACAAGTCAACAATGCATACATAATATGATCATGAAATAGTGATATTAGTTTTCAACTCTAACTATATATTTTGCATTAATACAATTATTTAAATTAATATTATTTTCGTATAATACAATTCAGAATTGTTTAAAATGACAATAAATAGTAACATCACAGAATTTGTTATACTCAATCGAGAAGGTTTTCTTTTGTATTAATTCTATACCGTTTGATATGCCGACAAATTTGCTCAATCGCATCGTGAAAAAGATCTTTTATGCTCGATCGTGTGTGATGGCCGAAATTATTGTTAAACATAATGCCTGCATCACGTTTTCGTAGCGTATTAAATAGATTCAAAATTAATTTAACCTAATCGTATACGAGTAGTTTATCAACCAATTATACATATTGTATTGACTCGGTCGAATAATAAATGTCTGATATACTGGAGGCTGTAACACGAAGATATACGATATTTTTAAGTTTTTTTTTTCTTACAATATTTTTCTAAAGCGTTGCGCTACGATTCCTTTATTTTATACAATGTATTTTTTTTTTTTTTTACAACAAAAATTAAACAATTTTAATTTTCAAACAAATAGCTTTTCAAAGTCTAATATGGCCTTTTTATATACATTTATTTTGAATCGAAATTTCGGTATTACACTGCACATTTACTAACGATAAAGCATTAAGTTTCATGGAAAAATTGATGAATCAATGGACATTATTTAGTATATATAGTGACAATGAAAACAATTTGAATCATTTTAAACTTCAAAAAATAACGGTTCGTCATTAATAAATATTTGTAACTGCACCAACATTTCAAAATATATATTATTACAAAATAGCCTTCTTTAATTTTGTACAAATTTAAATGTTTTATTTAATTAAAACAAAAAAACATGCAATAGAAGAATCATAGTGTGCCAAGACTCTAGTAATTATTACAAACAAATGTTTAAAAAATCCTAAAAAATATCGAATAGAACAAAAGTTCTTTCGGGTGTCTTCACGTTACACCATGACGTATAAAGCATAATAAATTATTACTGTTTTGATCATCATACGACATACATATAATATTATTATGATAGATGCACAGACAATAATTATTGAAATAACGTACATGATTCATTTCGGTTCAAATATTATGGACATTATCAGCAATAATCAACGCGAAGCAAGAATCAGCATTATATATATAAAAAAAACAAATCGTAAATAATTTTTAACGCGTATTATGCAGAATCTTTCATTATTATTATTATTATTATATATAGTTTAATATACACAAATAAATGTACAAATAGTGGCTTCTGTATAATATTATAATGTGCGTTGTATGCACGCATCATCTTTTGCAGTTTGTATAATACACACATGATAACATAATGATTCTTACGGCTAATAAAACGAAACAATAATTATGTTATTAAAAAGAGAAACTTTTTCCCGTTTACAACGACCAGAGTGGTAGGTATAATATATATATATTACTAATATTATTATTATTACTCACACTCACATATTATACAGGTAAATACGTCATAATACCTCGGGTATAAGACAAAATGAAACGGCCACATAATATATAGTAAACTTGTAAACATCAAAGTGGTTTCGTCCAATATTAATTCCGGGCGAGCGTTGTGAGGATGTGTATATACGGTTGTGATATAATGTATATTTCGTATAAGCACGCGTTTTTTACACGTACGTATATGTATATATTTATGCGGATTATACAATAATTATATACGGTTATTCGGTTTTAAAGATTCTCAGAATTTTAACATTGAACACACGACTCCAGTGGTGTTCCGAACGTGTATATATTATATAGCCGTATACATAATATTATAAATTCAAATAACGATACGTCCATTATTTATATACCGCGGTACATTATCCGTAATGGACCCCGAAACTGCGTAAAAAAAAAAAATCAAAAACAAACAAAAATAAATTACGAAAAAATCCGAACGGAATGAACATCACGTGTGTAGACCGCTATAATTGTAAGTTAGGTTAGGTGCAGCAGGGGAGCAGAAAGAGAAGGCAATTATTATATACTCGTGAAATAAATTACGGTTATAGTTCAAATACTATATATATATATATAGACTATATGTACAAATATTTTTATTCGACAGGACCAATCGCGTGCTTTTAGTTTCGATATTTGAGTGAATCGACCCGTTATCGAATTTAAAGGCAATATTATCTGGGTTTGTTCGTTAATTTATGAAATATATGCATTATTTCTCGCTTAAACATTTAAATAACGAAAAAACCGACGCACGCAGACACTAATAATGTTCTTCCCCATGAGTTTAATGATGTAACCATCCCATAAATTGAATCCGTTGAACTCAAATTTTTTAGACAAAAAATGCATGTGTATCGTGCTCTAGTAGACTGCGCCTTGAACGAAAAACAGACGGCGTTCGATATGCACAAAGGGATACCTGGGAAGATAATGAAAACGACTTTTTTGTTTTTTTCTACGAACAGCGTTGATTTATTGTCAATTATATCGTATATAATACGTTATTCACTTATGTATAATTAATCACGACGAACGTGTGATAATCACGAATTCGTGGCAATAAATAAATGGTATTTTATATATATTCACTACTCCCTCTCAAATATACCCATTTTTGCTGATATCAAGCGTTGTTTGATTTTCGAACAACACACCAAAGGATGTAAAAAGCGCAGTTCATAGTTAATAGCTAAGGTCTACGATACAAATGAAAAACGATTCTAAGAGATGTGACCGTGGTTCATCACCATAATTACCTAATATCGTGGCAAGATTAAAAGAATTAAAAAATTAGTTCCATAAGTTACCTAATTATTAATTAATTTTGATAATCAATTAATATTACATACTAATAATTAAATATAAAATGTGTAGCTAATATTCAATGTAATAATTTGTTTTATAAAATATAATATGTGTACACACTTACTACTTCTGTTTATACTAAGGCACTTAGCTAAATAAAACCGAAGTTACAAAATATAAATTTAAATACATGATGTACCATATTACTATTTCGTATTCAGTATAGAGTATAGGCCAAAGGTGCCTCCGGATTTTTAGAAAATAATTAAGGGTGCCGTGAGTCAAATAAGGTTGGAAACCTCTGGTCTAAATTGTCACCTTGTTTAGTCTTCAATCTTTCGATTGGTTAGCCGCACCATTCCATGCTTGACTGTCATAACTCAGCTCCTTCACCTCACGATAACTTTATATTTCTATGTTCTTCATAATTTGTGGTATATATTCGATTCTTAGTCTTCCTTTTCCAGTTATACCATCTACATATAGTCTTCAATGATCACGACCATCCCGTCACCTATTTTCCAAGTGTCACTATAAACTGCTGTTATACCATTCAGTCTGCCCCTCCATTTCGCGATTTCACGTCTCTCCTCACCACATTTTTCCATCTTAAACAGAGGAAGGTCTCCAAGAGGTATCTTTCCTTCCGGTCGGTTCTTGTCCATAAATAGAAAAATAATGAATTCTCACTTCGCCGAGCGAACTGACCCACCCACTTTAATCTTCTACACTGCGGATTATTATTATTAGTTATTTAATATACTTTTTGATTTTGGAAGAGTAAACCCCTCCCCTCGAATATGATTATTAGGGCTTTAATGTCTTAAAAAACCTCAAAAAATGCATTGTAAAAATGACTTCGACGTTGTTTAAATAAAATAAATACACGCGGCGGTTACGGCAACAAAACTTTTACTAAACGATATCATCGGACGTCGATTCTACCGATTTAAGATTTGGTGATTCTAAATATACCACGTTAGTTTTATCGTAGACGCTGCCACTCGTTATCTATGTTTTGACATTCCAACGATTGTTATAATATAACAGGAATTACGAGTACCTACATTATAATTTGATACATTTATATGTAAATCCTGTCTGTGTGTAAAAATCTTAAAATAAAATTTCAAATTCATATTTTGTATCCAAAAACTCTAAAAATTTAAGAAAAATAATTTGAAAACTAAAAATTGTCGAAAACTGCCAAAAAACGCTAAATAAACTTTCTTATTCTCATTCAAACGTCACACGGATCAGACCTAACAATCACGTGGCGTAGCTGTATTAGACGACGTTGACCCGGGCTCGTTACGACCGATTGTGCTACTGATCACATACGGTAAATTTGTCCGAGATGAAAATACGTACCCTGTGTTACGTATATTATGCGCGTCATATTCCGGGACCCCGAAGCATATAACTGCAGAGCTCGGCCTTTTGCGGGGCAGAGTGACGGCAGACGTTTTCGCACTACTACATTACTATAACGCGTTATCAGCGGGGATTTTTGATACCGTAACAGCGGGTACAACGTCACGCGCGCGGTACAACGACAATAATAACGGACCCGCAGAAACCGGACAACCCCCCCCCCCCCCCTCATCGTCGTGTTCGCGGCACCGTGTATAAGCTCGTCTCGCTCGTCCCGCGCAATAATAATATGTACGCACATACACGTATACACACAATATAACATATAGGGTGTACCGGGCTAATAATAATAATAATAATAATATATATACACGTGTGGCGGTATTTATATTCCTGCGCGGGCCGTGATAACCTTTTATTTATCACGTTTCATTCTGTTCGCGACGCGCGATAAAACGACATCGCCGGATTTTACGAGCGCTCTCCGGCGTGAACGCCCCGGCCGCCGGCCGCGCCGCACCATCGTCGTCGCCTCGCACGCGACTGCTGCGTGCGGCCGCCACCCGACACACGTCGTGCGAGCGCGCGGGATTTTCGGGCGAAATCCGCCAATTGACCGCCGAACCATAAAACAAAATAAAATCCCTCCGACCCTACCCCTCGCGTACATACACTATATAACAACGTGCGCGGTCGAGGGGAGGGCAACATATACGCGCGCACACTGGCAGCGCGTTGTAATATATTCGAATCTGCTGCCGCGTATTCCGCGGCGTATTGTGTGTAAAACGGGGCGCGTAAACGACGGGACGATTCGCTTGAAAAGGGTGCGCCTTCCGAGATTCAGCGACGTTCAATCAAAATGGATAACGACGCGTTGTTTAATATGTTACGGGCAAAAGTCGAAATCGGGCAAACCTCGGAAATGCCCGGGTGAAACGCAATGTGCCCGCGATACGCGGGATGCAAAACGTCAAATTTCGGTTTCCGCCCGGGCAAACCTCATTCGGGCAAAACCGCAGTCGCCTTTCCTAATATTGCATGTCGATGGTGTTTTGTTAAAATGGCGTACGCGCTATACTAAAAATCGAAAATTACATTTTTGGCAATGAAAAAAATATCAGAAAAATTATGAGCATATTAGGAGCATTAGGGCGTATTTAAATACAGACAATTAAGTTGGTAATGTCAACTAAAAGATATCCAAAAGCCCTTTTAAAATATAATTAAATCAACACCGATTTATTAAAAGAGCGTATTATACCACATAGTTAAATATGATTATTTGTCGCTACACACATTGGAGTTCATTTAGCTTAGCATTTAGGTTTCGCGTGGGAGTTTTTTAACGACAAATAAACAAATATATTTTTATTACCGAACTTTTTTAATTTAATCGTATTTAATTATATTGGAACCACAATACCTGTTCAATTGTTATGTATACACGATGTAAAAAAAAAACACGGTATACTTACTTATCTACTGTGTACAATTTTAATTTTTAGACGCCACGGTTTCGCCCGAAAGCAGAGGTTTTTGGTCACTGCTAGGGGTTCGCCTGGCATTCTTCCCGAGTACCGTTGGCACCTCGCGTTTTGCCAGGGTATTTCTGAGGTACGCCCGATATTACCCGTAACATATTACGAGTACGAGTGTTTGCCTCAATGTCGACAAGTCAGGCAATGCCGGCGATTAACATAATTGAGCACGAAATAAAAGCCTACCCGACGTGCGGTTTTGCATAACAAATCGGGATGGTGTTTGTGATGCCCGATTAAAAGTCCGACAAGAGCGAACAGAACGGAGATAACCGACAGTTCCCTTTAGCTATAGACGAGGCAATTTTAAGGAAATGTACTCCGGTTGCCCGTGTTACCGACATCGCCTAAATTTCCGACATTGTCACCGAAAATCCAACAGTTTGATGATATTTCACTATCTATTGTTCCGAAATTTATTTGAATTTCCACCGGATCCAACGTTCGAGTATAACGATTTTTCTGATCAATATTTCCAATCGGTCCTTATTTTCCGCGATTTAAATTTATGCCGGGGATAAGGTGTGCTTATTACAGTCGATAAAGTGTTAGGAAAACGTTACAACCGTAATACGATCACGTTCACGTACGGACGACTCAATCTAAATCAACTAACTTCCAACATATGTGTCGATTTCGGAAGTCAACGTACATAAGTAATTTATCACGAACCCGTGCGGCGGTTATCCGCGTAAACAGAAATACGATTTTGGTTTTTCGGTTCGCACGGTAAGAGCGTCGAATCGCGGTAACGTGTGCAGGGGAGGGGGGGGGGAGTTGTTATACTCATTTGAAAATACAACATCTATGGGTAATTATTTAGTAACGACCCGATCTGGCCAGTAAGTGAAATAAATTCCAACCAATACATGTTATATAATTAATACAGGACCGAGAGAAAAGAAAAACAACCAGATTTATGAAATGAAAATCGACTTTTCCGGATCCGGATTAACGGATTCTCGTTGCCGAGTCGGATGTGCACGACATGTGAAGACCGTAGGGTTCGTTTGCGAATCGCGATTATTGTTATATTACTACATTGCCGTATACATCGCCACCCGCCGAGGGCATTCCCGGGCCGGTTGATCGTCAATCGCGCCGGTACAAGCACAGACACGGTAAAAACGCGTGGATCAGTCGCGCCGGAACATCGATAACAATCGAAATGATATAGACGCGCGAAAACGTGTGTACATATGGTATTCCTCGGTTAATTTTCAGGTGTAATTTATAATTCGTTAACGCGCAACGAAATCCGCCAAACCTAGTCGTCGGTAGTGCGACTATCGCGCGTAGAACGGACCGTCGTCGAGATTACTTCCGAAAACACAAATCTCGCGGCGATTATAACAGTAATACGATAACGCTACGGATTCATATTTCACCGTACGGACGGGTAGTATTTGTCCGAGAATTCCGACGGGTACCGTTTAAAAACGTACACGGCGCAGTTTTCCCGCGGCACAGCGGCGCGTGAACGCATCCCGAACCGCGACGGTCGCGCACGATAAGACCGCACGTGAAATTGTTCTCGGGAACGTTACGGATTACAATGCGCAATGACTGTTAACGATCGGCGCGACCGACACGGCATTTACCACGGCGTTTTTCGCGACCGATCGCCGCGCGGTTCGCGTACCTCCTGTTTTCCGCGCTGCGATTTTTTCACACCCCCCCGCCCCCCCCCCGTTCTTTTGCCCGCGATTTCCGGCGCAACTGATCGCCCGGGCGACGCGGTCCCCGCCGCACAGAAACCGGCGAAACGCATTACACCTCGTAATACGCACGCACAAAGCGCGCGTACGCACAAAGCGCATTCGAGAGACACGAGGAATATTTGACGAAAAAAACGGGATGTGGGAAAATAAATACTATATTTTAATATATCGTTACAATATTGTAACGATTGTCGTGGCGCCGCGCGGCACGCGTCTCTCGCGCGCGAACCGGAGAGACACAATGACCACGGCAATAATAACATACGGGTGGAGAAAAAATAATGCGCACGGTGATAATAGTAACGCCGACGATGTTACGCGCGTCTCGGCGTTATGCGCGTAAACGTAAATATTAGACATGTCGGAAAATAACAATAATATTTCGCGTATACATTATAGACCACGCGGCGGCGGACATGATAAAATAATGATTCCGTATTATTTTTATATTTTTTTTTTTTTTTTATATATATACACCGGAAATCCGTATCGTCCGGCTCGCGCCGCTTTATGTCGCGTTCCGAAGAGAAAAAAAAAAGAAAAAAAAAAGTTCGTATAGCCGGAAACGAAAAACTGTAAACACGAATGTTTACGAGACATAATACGTACACATATTTCAGATTCGGAGCGTAGCGTACAGGGGATCTATTGATTTTACTATGATGTGTTTTTTCATTTTTTCTTTTTTTTTGCTGTGTCTGAAAATAACTTTTCTACCAGAAAATTTGCTCTGTCGAACGGAGCAGAGGTCCCCGACCTTTTTGTGGCTATTACCCATAAATCGGGTTAGATATTAACAAACGCCCCTCCCCACGCAAAAAAAAAAAGTTAAAAAAAAAAAACTATTACAATCGATCGTAGTACACACGACTAATGCAGAGTTAATAACAATAGATGTAAAGTACATAATATAAAACAAAATTAGGTAGGTCTAGTATAGTGTTTACCCCTCAAAAAAAAAAAGTATTTTACCCCCAGGCCATAGAGTATATATGTATAACCTTTTCTGAAAGAAAAATTTTTGGGGCATTAGAACAGGTACATTTTTTGATATCTAAATTAGTTTACATAATAACCGGGAAAAATCGAAAAAGTCGAAAAATACGATTTTCACGATATTTTCTTTAGCTTGAAAACCATATGAAATCGTCAAGGTATTGGAGATTCAAATTACGTTCGGGGCGATAACGGCCGTCTAATAATGCAAGCCGATGGACATAACATTTAAAAAAAAAAAACCACTAAAAGCCGTGTTCCTGTTATAAATCTGCAGACGGGCAAAATTGTTTAAATATTGTTTAACACGCGGATACGCTGACGATTTATTTCCGCGCAGTCGCTTTTTATTCGGCAATAATTCGAAAACCGCGACGACAAATAGAATACGTACGATAATCGCGTTGTTCACACACAAAATCGCAGCTCAAAAACTGGAAAATTCTTCGGTTTTTTTTTTTTTTTTGGATTCGGAGGTATTAACGTTATACACCCGTACAAATAAAAACGTAGATACGCGACTCGGGGGGAGTAGGGGTGGAAACATTTTCACCTTACTAGCCGGTATGTACACCATACGCCTATGGAAAAAATGGAGAAAAAAAAACCGCCCGCTCGATTATTAAAAAACTTCGGGTAGGGAAATTAATTGTCATTATAGCCGCCGCGGCGGCGGCCGAAGAAAAATTGATGAAAAAAAAAACAAAAAACAAAAACAAATAAAACGAAAATTCGTTAAAAAAATAAAAAATCGCCGCGCCCCCGCGTCCGCGGGACGCAAACGGCGGGCGCGCAATACCAGAGAAGAGATCCGACGTCGGCGGCCGCGGTAACTCCGGGGCAGGGGGACCGAAACTCGGCGGCGGCAGCGGCGGCGGTGGCGGCGCTGTCGGTCGGCCGGTCGCCACTAACGCTGCCGCCGCCGTCGCGGTAACCACTGCCGCCGCCGCGTTCCGCTACGCCGTCGTATCAGTGTCCACGAACGCGCTTCGCCGGTACGGTAGTCCGTCGCCAACCGTACGGTAGTGAGACGTTTTTTTTACGCGCGAGTTCCCCGGCGCGGTGATTAACGTGATTTTTTTTTTTTTAATTTCCGCGTGTTTTCCGATCCGTCTGGCTCGCGTAACGCCCGTCAGATTTTTTTCGCAGTGTGTCTCCAGAGTGTCGCGACGGTTGATTCGAACGCGGTATAACTATTACGCGTCGGGAAATAATAAATTTCCGCGGTCGGTTTTCCTCCGTGAACGCGATAAACCGGTAAATCGATCGTATAGTTGATAATATTTGTAGACGCGTTGTACGTCGGCGGTGAAAGGTATAGAAAAACGAACATAAATATAACGATACGGTATATTATTGAAAAAGTGTGCGGGTACGAAAACGGGCGAAGGAAAACTCGTCAAGAGTACCTAAACATAATAATACACGGCGGTATCGGCCGATTCGCGTACACGGTACATTTTCGTCGGGAATTTTTTTGTTTTTTTTTTTTTTCGATTTTTACAAACTCTTTATACGCGGGAACGGGTAAAATTCACAACGTCGCGTAAAAAAAAAAAAACAAAAAAAAAACGCACCGACAAACTTTTCTCGATTTTTACGTCGGCGGCCGCTGTATAATAATAATACGTAATTAAAAGTTTTATTGCGCGACGGGCGCGGGCACCTGCAGCCTCCTTGTAAAAGTAAAAGGTTCGGACGTACGCCGCGAGACGAACGGGATTTCAAAAACAAAAAACCAGAAACGAAAACCCCCGACGAATCGTTTCCGCGTGATAAATATCGACAGATCGCCGTTCAAACGTATAAACTCTGTCAGCCTCCGGGGGGTCCACCGTCGCCGGAACGGCGAAATCTGATAACAACCGCGACAACAATATTGCCGATCATCCCGCCGCGCTAATTACAATAATAATAATAATAATAATAATAACAATAATAATAATAATAATTCCTAAGATTCGTCCCCCGCCCCGGCCGGTTAATGTATTATACAATAATATATAAGCAGGGAATTGTTTTATTTTTTTTGGTGTCGTTACTGTTATTGTTATATATTGAAAATAAAAAAAAAAAACACGGAAAATAAATAAATAAAAAAGAACCGAAACACGGCTGCGTAAGGCTACGCTGTATACGTATATCGCGGAGCGAATTAAAAGTGATTAATCAAAAAAAAAAAAATAAATAAATAAAAAAACTTTTCCCGGCAAAAGTCGACGCGGCGCGCGGCCGAGCTTTTATGCAATTTCCCCGAAATTAATTCGTTATAGTAATTTTTCTTCTTTCCCGTCCGTCCGTTTCCGTATATATATATATATATATACGTATACGCAAACAATGATAAAAAAAATAATAATAATAATAATAAAAAAACAGCCCCCCCCCCTCGAGCCCGGAATTGAAACGGACAATCCGATCGCGGATCGGAACGCGCGCGTAGAGTACTGCGATCGTTTTTCACGATTCGATTTCGCATTGTGCGCTATACAACACGGTGAACGGGCGTCGGGACCGCGAATTTTTCACCGAATTAGCGTTTCGCCGGACGGTCGGTGGTGGGTGGACATGAACGCGGGCCCGTAAAAAGTCTCTTCCGCTCGGATTGTTCTGAATACTTTACACGCGGATCGACGGCGGCGGGGGAGGGGAGAGGGGGAAGGCTCGGCTAGAAAGGTGGAAAATTGGAAACGTTTCGAATTGAACATTACAATCGTCACCGTTCGCCCGGAGCGACGAGGAGTGCTGTCGAACCCCGTTCGCAAAATATTTTATACTCGGGGGTTCGCGCGAAGACCCGTACCACGCACGCGGCTGTTATACAAATGAATTCGAAACATCGCACAAACAAAATAAACGTGTCTACAGCGTTTTGCAACACGTCATTGCATATCGTAAGCGCGAGACTGTGCCCACACAATACATACGCGCACACTATAACGGGCATCCGGTTACACGTGTGTCCCGCGGTTTCCGAATCACGTTTTTGTATCGATTAATCGATCATTGATGATACGGTTCTCGGTTTTTTTTTTCTGTTATTTCTCCGGCCGACACGTCCCCGATTTTCCGGTCGTTTTCGATTCGGTTTCCCTCTCCAAAACCGCAGTTTTTTTTTTTTTGTTTTTTTACCGTAAATTATTATAAGACGCGTACTTTCGAGGTATAAACGAGTACAAAGGTGGAAAAAAAAACCGCCGTAAGAGTTATACATAATTGCACGCACACACGTTATTTCGTAGACGGTTTCGAGAACTCGGAAAGATGCAGACGACAAGGCGATTAATTATCCCGTATACTACTATATACACGGGGTTATATAGGAGGCCGGGGGTTTGGGCGTAAAACATTGAGCCGACAAAGAGGACGGGGGAGACGCGGGAGACGTAATAAGTTAATAATTTCGGTTTAAACTCGCGGGCGGAAAGAGGGGAAAGCGGGAGAGAGGGGGCGTCTGTGTATATTGTTACAAGAAAGTTACACCGTGTCTACACCGCCGCCGCCACCGTGTGTACAGTAAAAAATAACGGAGGGGAAAAAAGAAACACTCCATAATAACGTTTCGGTCTTTTGTACGTATTATTATTATTATACCGATGTGTACCGTGCGAGCTTTAAACGCGAAATTATACGCGGCCTAGACGAACGGGAAGAGGACGAGGGAGGGTGGGGTTGTTTTTACCACAGAATATTTTCTCTTACGCCGCGCAGTAGCGTTGAAAACCGCGCGTTAAAAAAAAAATATATATCATAATCCATTAAAGACGTTTTAATAGGCGTAAAACTGCGTCGTACCCCGTGCAAAACCCCCTAACCCCCGGACGCTTTCGCGAGATTTTCCGGCCGCTCGCTTCCTGTATACGTTATACGCGACTTCTGCGACATTCGTGAGTCTAAAACACGAGAAAAAAAAATACTCTACTCGAATGAAAAATACGGCGGACAAAACACGTGTTTGTGGCGGTAAAAAACCGTAAAGTGCGCGTTCCCGACAATGCAGGTGGGATAATAATATACGAGTGCCGTCCCGCAGCGTATAAATCGTTTGTTTTTCGACATATAGTTTTCGAGTGTACTTTCGGGACTCGTCGTCGGCATAGATTACGGTGTATACGCGCGTGTAGGATTACGCTCCTACGGGTACAAACACCCCGGTCGTGGTTTTTTTTATTTTTTTTTTTTTTTTCATTCGGGTTTTTTAGTGTTTTCATAAGACACGGAAAAAAAAATTAAAGATAACAGAAAAAAAAAAAAAGAATAGTACGGTATACGGAAATCCTTAACGTACGGAGAAACAAACGACGCTCGCCCGCTCTTTCACTATCGCGCGCGCGCGCGCATGACACACGCTCCGACAGACAACAACGACACGCAATTATGTGATATTAAGCAAGTAAACGAGAAAAATCGCCGTTTTCTTTGGTTTTTTCCCCGCCCGCCGAAACGTTCCAAACAAACGCCGACGCCCCCGTTCTCCCGTATTTATACACCCGCGCACTACACTGCCACTCGATTACCGTCAAAACCCTCGGGGGGCGTCTTGTTCGTGTCGCGGCCGGCACTTTACGCCGCCGCCGAGTGGACACTAAACGGCGCGGATTTCACGGGCCCACGCGTCGCATAACGCATCGTTAAATTGCGCGTTTTCGCGCGTCGCCGCGTTTCTCGCTTTTGTCGCCGCGAGTTTTCCCCACCCCCCGGTTTCCGTCGATATTATTATAATACTGCTGCGGACGGGAACAATTACTATTACCGTTGTTATTACGTATACGCGTACGGCCTCTCGTTCTTGCGTTATTGCGACGACGCCCGACGTCGAGGCGGACGACAAAAAAAAAAAAAAAAAGATTTTCCGAAAATATACTGGCGGTTTTCGGACTGTAAATCCCGGGGAGAAAAAAAAAATAAAAATCCGAGCAAGCCCGCCCCGCCGCCGTTGCGGTCGGCGAACAGTCGCAGAGAAGAGTGAACTCTCTCGACGGATCCCGGGCCGAGAAAACGTGGATCAAAGAGCGCGCGCGGTTGATAATAATACACGCGGCCCGGCGAGAGAACCGGACGAAAATTTCTCGGGTAAATAAATCTCGGCTCGGGCGTACATACGCGTTAAATAATATAGGTACGAATGTTTTATTTGATACGGTTAATACCGCAATTATTCAAAGGGGTTTTTATTTTTACGGGTATTATAGGCGGAAAACGTGACTTAATCCGGTATTTTTTTTATTATTATTACTATTATTTTTTTTTTTTTTTTACGACTTAAGCCCCCCCCCCCCCGCTCCTGTATATAGGGGGTTTAATAGCGCGCGCGCGACAGCAATAAGCGCCTCCCGCGGCCCATAAAAAAAAAAAAACAAAAAAAAAAAAATGTCAAAGAATGCGTTTTAACGATCAGCCGTTTCCCGCGCCGTATAATAACCCCCCCCCCCTATCACCGTCGCGGCCGTTGCGTATATTTCTAGAAATCGGCACGTCCTATTTTTTTTTTTTTTTTTTTGTTATACGCATAAACAATACGTGATACTTCGGTACGGGCATTTGTCGGCACGGGCGCGTACCGATAAACCGTTAAAAATGAAAAGGCCGCGCGCGGAATCACAATAATAATATACACGATCGCCGCGTATTGTTCTCTGTCGTTCGTCGTGACGCGATATTGCGCGGATTTTTTTCGGTTTTTGTTTTTTACGCGCGTGGGCTAGTAACGCGTATGCATTCGGGTCAAGAGGTATGGGTGGGGGATGGGGGATGGGGGATGGAGGCTTTGTCGTCGTCAAAGGACGCGGAGAGAAAAATAACAGAAAGAAAAACGTTCAAGTGCATGAGGTTTGTTCGGGTCGGAAGGATAACGCGCTCGCGGGAACGCACGACGACGATGATTGCGCGACGCGCGGAAGCAAAGAGAATTGTTAATTAGAGAAACCTTTTTTTATTTTTCCCCGTTTCATTTTTTTTACTCTCCGCGTGCGTGTATCGCATACCGTTTTTTTTTTTATTATTATTATTACTTTCTGTACCGAGCGCCCGGAAATCTCTCGACTCTCGGCCGGCCGACGCGAACCGAAATGTCCGCTAACGACGGAGAGAGAGGTGGAGACGCCTGGCCATATCGTTTGGAACAATCGACGGCGGAAAATCGGGAGGGGAAAGTGTTTGTACACACGCTACACGGCACTGCGTTAAAACTGACGCCGCATACGATGTTAAAAAATAAACAGTTATAGGTATTTTTCCAGAGTCCGCGAGATATTGCACAACGGAACTCGTTGTTCGGATATTATCCACTCCGGGGCCGTCGTGTCGCGAGAAGTGCATACAATCGGAAGTTATTACTCGTCACGACGGCCCCCCCCCCACCTACTCGTACTGTTGTTTAATTCTTATGATTACGCTCGAATGCCCGTCGCCCTCGAACCGCATAACCTACGCTCTTCGCCCCGGGAGGGAAGGAATGGAGCGAACGGAGATACGTTCGAAACCTTCGTTTGCAATATTATTTTGTTTGGTATTTTTTTTTTTTTTTGTTCTCTATCCGTACAATTCGTCTATACGATATCAGTTCTCCCGGCGCACCGGCAGCCTCCTGACGGGTCTCGGTGGCGCGCCCCGCCCGGCCCGTTAAGTGCAATTAGGACGCGGGCGGCACCGTTTCCTTCGCCGGGAAACGAGCGTACGTAAATAAACCGTTTTAATTGTTATCGTATATATCATTTGCCCGCGCGCGGGACGTGAGCGAAAACGACACGAAACCGCACCTGTGCGAACGACGGCCGGGTTATAAAGATAATAATAACGTCACACTCGTAATAATAATACGCCGGGACGCGATTGACACGGTTATTGCCGCAATACCAATATTATTTTGTTTGGTATTTTTTTTTTTTTTTTTTTGATTTTTTTTTTTTTTTTTTACGACTTTTATCTTATCTGTTGTTAGTACTGTTATATTGTTATACTGCGGTTATTACGATGTTCGTTCAGTTCGTTCGGCGCCGGTAAGCCCCTCTCGACCGCGTACGCGAAAATACGGTCCCGCCGCGATAATAATATTAACGCAATACAGATTAGCGCGGGCGCAAACGAACCGGCGGCGCTCCGATTTCGGTACCGGCCGTCTCCTCGGCGCCGTCGAAAAACATATTGCGTTTCGCCATTCGCGACCGTTAATAATCGCGGCGTTTGTTTGTTTGTTTGTTTGCAGCGTGTCCGAAACGGCCGGCGGTCGAACAGCCGACGGGAGCAGCGTCGTTGTCGCTGAGACGGCGGCGGTCCTCCGGAAATGGGCCGGTGGCCGAGATGACCGGCGGCCGGAGCCGAACCCGGACTACGGCGCACCATGACGCCGTTCCCGCTGTGGACGCTGATGGCCGCGGCCGCGGTGCTGGCGCACGCGGCGCTCGGCGGCGGCCGCGGGGCCAGCGCACAGTCCCTGTGCGACACGCCGCAATGCGAGTGCGATGAGGCGCAGACGCGGGTCCGGTGCGATTGCCGGAGAGTGCCGCAGGAATCGCAGGTACGAATCATACGACGGTGTACCGAACAGCGTCGACCGCCGTGCGTGAGGGGGGGAGGGGAGGGGGGAGAATGCCGGCGAACGCGCGAACAAGGCCCGTCGAGAGAGAGACGTCCGCCCCCGGCTCCCGTAAATCACGCGTGACGCGAGCGAATAAACGATAATATTGTAATTATTGTCGTTGTACCGCGGCGGGAAAAAACTTTTCCCGGGCGCTTTTCCCCGACGGGGAACAGGTGCTCGGGTTTTTTTTTTTTTTTTTCGTCGACGGCGACGAAGGCGCGTTCTCCCTCAACCCCCCCCCCCCCCCACCCGGTCGCTTCTTATTATTATTATTATAATAATATTTTCGAAATTGCCATTTAAATGCGTTCGGTCCCTCCGCCGCCGGTCTTTTTTCGGAATCGGGCGTGTCGTAACGCACAGTTGACGATAATTTCAACGTAACGCTACACAAATTACTTTTTCGCGTGTTTCGCGTATAAGCGCCGCGCGCCGGTAACCTTTTCCGAAAAGAGAAAAAATAATGTATACGTATCCGTATAAACAGAGAAAAAAAAAAAAGTGTCGCCTCGGTTTTTTTTTTTTTATTATTATTATTTATTTTTATTATATTTTTTTTCACCCTCCACCAAGCTGGTTTTTTTATTTAAGATTCGCCTAGATTTCGTTACATTAATAATAATAATAATACAAATGAGAGGGGGAAGCGGTTATTTATACGTAGTAATATTTTTTTTTTTTTTAAAAAAAAAAAAGCACTGCCGCTCTCTCGGTGCTTATTTTAATGACAGGTTTTTCGGTTCAACAAATTTATATATTATATAACACGTATTTTTTTACTTTTATTTTCGCCTAAAGAAACGAGTCGAGAGCGGAGACGCGGCGGCGACACGATGATTATCCGATGGCGATTAATTAACGAGAAGAGAAATGGGCGCGTCGAAGAGAGTGAAAAAATCGTGCACAAAGAGTATAATAAATATTGGGGGGGAAGGTGGATGTAACGCGGGCCGCGATGGGAGGTGGGGGGAGGTGGGTGAAGATCGATCGGGACAAAAGCCCGGGACGCGAACAAAATAAGAGGAGCGCGCTCGGGTCACTTTTAAAAATCCTCAATGATGTAGAGCCCGACGCGTATTTTCGGTGTACACAACTGCAACACGCATATGTCATTGTTAGCGAGCGTCGCTGTCGAAGTATTGCGAAGAGAGAGAACACCCCCCCCCCCCCGTAAAAAATAGAAACGTTAAAACGCGCGCCGTTAAAACCGCAGACACCCGGACACTATGCGACATTACCCGGAACGTGCAGACGGTCCGCGGGAGGGATCGCGTATTGCAGTCACGAGTCACGCGTATACGCGGGGCGAGCCGGTAACGTCCGTACACACCCGTGTGCACAGGTAATGATATTCGCGCGCGCGTTTTGCGGCGACGGCGGCGTTTGCAACGGCCGCAAAGAAAATCGGATAAATACGGGGTGATACCGGCAGAGACCGCCAAAGGTTTCAAAAGGGAACCGGCGACACGATCGTGTTTCGCGACAAACTCCCCCCCTCCGTGTGTGTCTGTGTGTGTGTATGCCGGACCCGAAACTCTGGGAATTATCCGCGCGGTGACCGTCGCCCCGCTGCGCTGCGCCGCGTACCCGTCGGTCGGCCGATCGGCCGTCGGGGCTCCCGCGCCGAAACAGCGGCACTTAGCCGCGGCGTGTTTTTGTTGTGCGAAACTTTTGCGCCGCGCGCGCCTACGCCTCTAATCCAAAACATCGAGAACTCCGCGTACGGCACACTCGCATTGTGTACGGTACCGTGCGCCGGGTACAGAGAACCCCCGGAGTCGACAAAAGGGATCGGAGGGGAGGGGGCGGTGGACGGGAGAGGGGGGAGCACCGGATTTAATCCTTTCGCGGTATCCACGCGGTCCATTGTTGTTTTTCTTGACCGTAGTCGCGGTATAGCTGCGTGTAGACGGTACGCACACACACATATATATATATGTATACATTATAGTACGGCGACCGCGACCGTAATTGTATACACCGTGACGACCGGCACACGAGCATAAACGATAATTTATTATACCGACGTGTACACGCGACCGCGGCACCTGATCGCGGGCCCTAAAACACGTGTCGTCGAAATATGAATTCCGTCGCGCGCGCGCTGTACCGGTTACACGTACTAACGAATCCGTTTTGTTTTTTTTTATTTTTTTTTTTTCGCAGAAACTCGTGCTGAAAGCTCAAGGACCGGGCCACGTGCCTCGGGTGGCCAACAACGTGGACGTGGCGCATTGCGACCAGGTCCGCGTGTCCAATATGGCGTTTGACGGAGCAGAGACGCTGTTTACGGTGGCCATAGATTCGGTGGGCCGACTGGAAATGGCGGACGAGGCGTTCGGGTGGTCGGAAAACGGCGGCGGCGGTCCGGGTCAACAGCACCACCAGCACCGGGGACTGACCATCACCATAACCAACGTTACGACCGTACCGGAGGTGCCCAGCTGGACGTTCCGCGGCCGGCTCCATTCGATAACGTTCGACCGGGTCCGAATCGACGCGATCCGGCCGTTCGCGTTCGGCAGCCTGACGGGAACCGTGAGCCGAATCGAGTTCCGGGACACGGTGTTCGGGCAAGTCGAACAGCAGGCGTTCAAAAAATTCACCGTCAACGAGTTCGTACTGAAGCGGTGCCGTTTCGAGCATCCGGTGCCCAGTCGCACACTCACCGAGCTCACCGTGCACGATGAGCTCCGGCTGGAGGACGTGGTGTTCTCCACGATCCGGGGCTTAGCGTTCCGCGTGCACGGGCCTAAGGTGTTCCGGTTACAAAACAGCAAGGCGGACTGCGTGCAATCGGACGCGTTCGAGATCCGGTGCCGCGGGCCCGCGTTCGTCGAGGACAACGCGTTCGGCCGGCTAGAGCGAGGAGCGTTCGCGGCCATTACCTTGGACGCGCACAAAGTGGCTGAGTCCGACTATCAAGAGTTTGTGTTCGAGAACAACACGGTAACCGAGTTCGAAAACGACGCCCTCGTGTTCAATACTAATGGGTTCCGGCCGCGCGTGGAATGGCTGATCGTGGGCAAGGAATGCGGCTGTCCGGCAAGGTGGCTCACCGATCTAGTAGTTTTAGCCACGAATTACCCGAAAAACGTTCAGCGGCCCGCGTGGATTGTCCAACAGGCCACGTGGTGCGCGGTGCCGGACGACGGCACCGGGCGGTTGATCAAGGCACAACAGTACGACGAGGAGCACTGCGGCGGCGGTGCGAACGCCACCGGACTGGGCCGTTTCCACTTTACCGGCGGCGTGGCCGTGATCGCCGTAATCGCCCTGACGGCCGCGCTCGTTTACTGGGTGTGGTACAGAAAGCGCAAACGGATCCAGTGGACCAACGTGCCGGCCTCGTCGCCGCTACAGAAAACCCGTTCGATACTCAGGGGCGGCAGGGACGACGGCGACGAGGATGGCGGCGACAATAAGCACAGACAGATGGTCATGCCCGAGGGAAAGACTTACAGAGAGACCGAGTTGCACGTGATCGTGGAGCGCACGGGTAACGCGGACTGCAATCACCAATCGTACAGGTCGACGACTAATTACCGCCAGCAGAGACATACCGAACAGCTACCGTTGACCAGCGATTTGTAAACGACCCGCGTTTCCTATACACCCTAACAACACTCCTATACGATATTTTTTATTTTTTGACCTATCCCCCGATTTTACATAATATTATAATTATTATCATGTATCTGTATTATGTATTATATTATTATATTTATGTAATTTATGATTGTATAATATTATACACATTTTGTAGCCAATAACGACTGACTGCAATTAACATTAGTATTAATATTATTACGATGTTATACTGTATATATTATTTATTATTATTATTATTAATATTATTAATATTATTATTATTATTAATATTATTAATATTATTATTATTATTATTATTATTATGATTACGATTTACGATTATTATACGTATATTTCGCCATCAGTCGCCGTTCAACAAAAACCATAAACCGAATGTTTTACATAATATACAATTTATACATAGTTAATACGATTTGCTTCAGAACAATAAACGATACTTATGATTTCCTTTTGTAATAGAAACGTTACAGAACTCGGAGCACAGAGAGTTTTTGCTTCTTTGTATTTGTTTATTGTTATTATTATTATTATTATTGCTGCCTTATCGAGTTTTTATCCGACTCGTTTAAACGAAATCATACTAAAATAACGATAATATATGAAACAAGGAATTGTATACGAATTCGAGTTTGTTTACACCGAGTCGCTAAATAATTGGCTACATCGGCGTCCAATTAAAAACATAACAATAATAATACGTTGGACGTAATCGAAGGAATAATCGAAACCGACATCGTAATAACGAATTATTCCATATCTTTTAATAGCATATTTTTAGACAGACAGAATGTCTATCTATAATAGTAGTGATGATTTACGAACCGAAAAAAATATAATATCTCATCGTTTAATATAAATCTTGTACAGAGTCCAAACAATTTCAAATTAAACAGGGCTCATGTAATATTATTTTTGCAAATAATTGAGTTCCGAAAAAAAACTACTATATAAACAAGACGAAAAAGAAAAGCTTTTTTGCAATTTATCGCATATCGTAGTAACTATTAATTATTATCGTGTAGGTAACTATAACATAAAGATAGGTAGGTAAAATTAATCTAATGTCGTATTCAAATTTTAAAATTGAAAAACTGTACGGGTTTAAAAAATCAAAAATAAATAAGAGAAGTAACAGGTATTATATCGTAATAATTACCGCGGCAATTCAAATTTTACCACACAGCAATAATTAATTGTGTTTGAGTATTTAACCGATTTTCTCGGTTTTGTATAGTAAGAATAATGAATATTTGAAATTTCGTTAAAATATCGAATGGTCGAAACCAAAAATTCCAAAGTTTATAAATCATAAACCAGAAAACGAAAATTCTCTGATTGGTTTAACGTTTTAAAATGCTTTGGAAAGCCAAAATGTTCAAAAATGTGAACAAAAGTTGTAAAAACTTCAACAGCGTCTATAAAAATAATAATAGCTACTAAAAATAAAATCGATAAATATATTTCGTTTCTACAACAAATAAACCACATGACGAAAATCAATTTAATTAAAAACGAATATTACTACTATAAATTTAATTGTTTTTGGCTATCTTTTCCGGGAACTAACATAAAATTTCGAAAATCATTTTTTGTTTACATAAAAAAAACCACATTTGCCAATTTTCGTTCTCTTATGCAATCCTATATAATACGAAAAATTTGAAACACATTTTGTATTAGAAAGAAAAAATGTTTATGTTAAGTATACAGACATAACTTAAACCTGGAAAACTGTAAAATGAAAATAACTTCCTCATTGCTCTCAGAATTCAATAATAAAACACCAAAATATCGATATTACGACAATTATATAATACAACGAAAAATGAAAACAATATTTGTTTATGAAAACAAATAAATATTCATATATCATTTGTATACAATTGCTTTGAAAATTATAAAAATAAATAGGAAGAAAAAGCATTAAAATAAAGATAAAACAATAATTTATATTTATATTATAATAAGAATTTTGCTTTAGACCTTTCCGACAATACTAAAAAACAGTTCAAAAGAAATTTAAATCAATAAAAACAAAGAAATTATTAATCAGGAAGAAAAGTTATATAATCCTATTAATTCTATTTCCTATTGCTCCGACAATCCTACTTACACTTGATCAACTTTAGTTTTTATGATATCAGATTTTAAAAAGATATTTCTGAATAGTTGCCATGAATACTGGTATCTTTAAACGTTGCAAAAAATGTTTTTTTCTTTAAGACTGGTTAATCAATAATACTATTTTAAAACTTTAACAAAACAATTTTTAATCATTTACTTAAAGCCAATCAATTTTGTGTAAATTTTTAAGGAGTACTCTGAAGTTACATAAGTTTCCATTCAAATAGTAAGTCTAACAGTTCAAGTTTTAACAAAATGTGAATACTACACTAGTAACAAAAACACCAATCTCTAGGTGTTCCTGTTAGTGTATTGTTTTGCCCAACAAACTCAATGATAAATTACATTTATTTTTTTCTCCTTGTAGACTTTAAACATGCAATACTTATGTAATATTCTAATCACTTACCTTAATGGCAAAACACCGTCCATAACCTGCTGAATGTTAAGGAATGGCGCTAATGAATATCCTTTTTTCAACAATCCTGAATGTTTAGAATATATCTGGTCAGCAACTGACACTGAATCTTGTTCTAAACTGTGTGTTGTCTCATCTGAAAATGTATTTAAATAAAAAATCTTAAATAACAACAAGGAATATATATTTTAAGTTGTTACCATTGGGTAAAATAATATCGCATTTTAGAAGTGTTGATACACACATGCCTCCGAGAAATGAAAGTTCTGTTTCCAAATGAACAAGACCATAACCAAGTCCTTGATATTTACTTAGTTCTTCTACCTCATACCCAATAACAAGGCAACGAAAACCATACCGAGAAATTCGATCGTTCTTAAGATAATCTGATGCGGTTTCCAATGAAAACATGACTTCATTTCCTAAATTAATTACAAACAAAGTTAATAAAATAGTCTTTGTAACTTTTATAAACTATAGCATTGTTACCGGGCAGCATTACAGCAGCAAAAGGCCATTCCAATGGTTCATTGCTAAATTTTTTCAAAACTGGTATGTAAGGAGTAGTAACTACATGTTTGTTATCATCGTCAGTAAAATCTCGATAATTTGGAATGTAAAGTTGTAATGAATCTTCAGTTTGTGCAGTACAACTCCGAGGGTCAAACTCTAGACACAACCATTTAACTTCTTTTGGAAATTTAACTCTAACAAAAAAAAAGTAACATAAAAAATTTAACTTTTCAATAAATAATAATAGTAATAATAATAAACTGGTAATATACTTGTAATTTGACACAGTGGCAGGTTTATATGGATGATCACTTTCAACCCATGCATAATGATGAGATGTTGTCATACATTTGTAATCTCTGATTTCAGTCTTGGAAGATTTCAACTTTCCTGGCTGTTTTGATCCATCTAATTTATCATTTAGTTCTTTATGCATTATGTCTAATTTGTTACTGGAATACAAATTAATAGATGTCACTGCAGGCAACAACTTATTTATGAGATCCAAAACATGAATAGCACTCTGAAAATGGATAATACATGCAAATTATATTTAATAAATACTCTAGTATTATAATATCATGTCATACATAATAATTAAAGCTTGATATCAAACCTTTGCATCTTTAGAAAAAGAAGTCAGTGGGCCAATATGGGCTAGCACTAATGGAAGCAATACATTAACAATTGCTGATTCACCTAAATATTTATATACATGTGGATCTTTTTTAATTTTTTCAGCACCCATATTTATTAACTCCAATGATTTATCCACAACTGTTGTTAACAATTGCAGAGTATTCTCTCGAGCTTTAAATTTATTACATATTTTTCTCTCAAAATCACAATTCTTATCATGACTGTTACTGGCAAAAACAAATTTTAAATTAAAAATCAATCCAACAATTATTTACACACTTCATAATATGTTACCTATAGTATAAAATATTCGGTATTTGACCACGTGATTGAGTGGTTCCATTTAAACTCAATGAGCACGTATTGAATGAAAAAAGTGTATTGTCGTATCCTTTTACACAACTAGCCCCCATATCACCATTATTTGTTCGACCGCCATAATTTCTTAAGCGAATTGCATACTTTACTTTTTCCTGTTCAGTTATAAATTATTAAACTTAAGTATATCTTCCTATAAATAAAAACGAATGCAACTTTTACCTTTATTCGTATAGGATAATCAAACTTCAGATCTGCAATATAGTTTAAAGAACTATCTTCAGGTCCAAATGATCCTCTAGTTACAATTAAACTTTTCCAACGGTTTCCATGTGGCTCGTCAAATTCCAATTGATTTTTCTACAAAAATTATAATATAACCAATTTTGATAGTTAATCAGTTGATTATTAAAACATATTTTTAATATCAATTTTTTGTTTTCATTACTTCTGCCAGCAGTTCAAGTTCATATTCATAACTTCCATTGCCAGTAAACACACCACAACCAGCAATAGCAATTCCGGCACGATCGACCCAGAAACAAATAGCATCAGGTGATCCATTACCAGCATTCCACGTTTTAGTTTGATTGATTTTGTTGAATCGAGAAGGAGTAGTTAGCAATATTTCTCTTTCGTTAACCATTTCTGTTCCATCCTAAAAGTATAACATAAATATAAATTACATAATTTATGTGCTCAATATTTAGAAATAAATCATATTCTCTACTACTTCAGATAAGGTAGCTTGTGAAGATAGTTCAGCTACAATCCTTGCAACAAGATGAGAACAGTTAGTGGAAAGTGATTTTAAATCATTATCAGGCTTTTTTCCATTTGATATTGCATTTTGTACCGGCAAAGCAATAATGTCTAAAAGTTGGGTAAGCAATATGTCCCAATTTGGTTCGTTTTTTAAATTAGTATGAGTCGCTGATGTAGTGGCATTGATCAATAATGGATAATAATATTGGTGATCTTGATCTGATGTTCCGGTGTTCTCATTGAGCTTTGTTGGTTTTAATATGGGCATAAGATCCCGAAGTCGAAATGTTGTATTACATAGTGCAGCCACTACAGCAGTTAAAAGCTTATTCTTGTGATCAATCTAGAAGAATTTAACAAAATAAATACAATTTCAAAAAATAATTTTATTTAAAAATAGCTTACATTTTTCTTATCCATCAGAAGATCCCAGAGAGAATACAATTTCAGTTGAGGTGAAGGATAAAATGCATGGTAACAAGATATAAATGTCGAATGGCATTCATTCAATATTTGATTCAACCATTTAATACACATCATAACCTTTACTACTTCATTACCTGCTGGAATATATTAAGTTAAAATACTTCAGGTAATATTAATATAATTTTGTATAATTTGTGTGTTTAAATTATAAAAGCTATTATTTTAAAAATTGATTTATCTATTTACTTAAATATCAGTATGGATGATATTTTAATTTTTAACTGTAATTTGTAAGTTTCTGTAACTTACAAAGTCTGACTTACTGTACTCTGTGTACAGTCTTCACACTTTGATAAATAATTGTTTTCAGTTTATCACAATGGGACAAACCCATATTTTATAATTGAAATAAATGATACAAAAAACAAAACTGTTAACTTAGAATTATTAAAATTAGAGATACACTTAAAAATATTCTCCTCTATAAATTGTCTTTATTTGCGTTCAAAATTTAATTTGAATTTAAATACCACAATTTTAATTCTAATAAATGTGCCTATTGTTTGCTAAGTTGCTTATTAGTTAAACTGAGACAGTAAAATATACAGGTAGCAATTTCCTTTTAAATTCAAAACATTGAAGGTATTGAAATCAATGTAAATTGTATGATTTTATAAATAATACTTCTTTGCTTAAAAATATTTTTAAAATTACTCTTTCAAAAAATCAATACCTTTAAAAAAAAAAATCTTAATTTGAATAGTGTGTTAAGTTGATTAATGTAATATATAAATGACAATATTTTTATCTGTTAATTAGGTACCTAGTTATTAAATTGAATATCTCTACAAGTAAGGCGCCGTTAGACGAAAAAGTTTTGGGAACCACTGGTATAGAATATAAAATATTGTGTTTTTTTTATATATATATATATACTTATTAAACTTTATAATATTATCTTTTCAAATATGAAATACAAATATAGGTTGTCACTTTAAAGAAGTAGTAACCAAACACAAATATCGGCTGAATAATAAACAATATTAATAATAACAAATCAAACTGTATAAAACAAAAATAAATCAAATCTAAAAAATGTATTTATAAAATTAATGTACTAAAAAACACAACGCCTGCCTAAATAAACTGCCTAAATAAGTAAACAAATTTTTTGAACAATATTTTTTGCATAATAAATACAATTTTTAATATACATATAATTATTTTTTAAATTACAACAAAATGACCAAAATTATAAAAAATTTAATAATTTTAAAGAAAACTATCAGGAAAATAGAAAAATTTATTTTAATAAAGTCTATTTAATCAAAAACTAAATTAAAAATGTATGTAACAATCATAATCTAGAAAAACATCCATGACTTTTAAAATAATTTACTGTATTAATTTTTTTTACTTATAAGGAAATATAATAGCTTAGAACCAACTCTCGAATTATTAAAGAAATTTAAATTTTGTTATTAATAACTTGTTAATAAAAATTAATATTTATTATTTTTAAGTAAATAAAAAAAAAATTTCAATTATTTTATTGGTTTAACAATTTTAAGAATCAATTAAAAATTTGATTTTGTTAGTAATTATATATAAACGAGTAGATCAATACTTTTTTGAAAATGAATTTACTTTGATATTGATGACTATAATTAATATAAAACTTAATGTGGCTAAAGAAGAATTTGGTGAAAAAGATATAATAGGGTACTGCAAAGAGTGATGAATATGGGACTGATAACTTTAACAAGTGACAAAGAATCCAGTTTTCAGATCGTATAATATGATGAAACGAAAATTAACTTAAAGAGCAGTTTTCGAATGGGTGATTTAAGGAAAAAAGCCACAATGCAGGATACTTTAGGTATATTTGAAGGAAATGGTAGATAAAGATACGTAGTGGTAGCCCAAACTCTTAGAGAAAAGCTATGACAAAAGAAAAAGGAAATAAGGAGTTAACTATAAGTTAATTTTTTAATATAATATGTAATCGTTAATCAATGATTTGTATGCCTTAAAAAATTATTATATTCAATAATATTACCTTTATTTTCTATGAATATACGGTCTATATTTTTTAATACATCATGTGGACGAAAATCTGATAGTATTTTTTGCAAAAGTTGCCGGACTTCAACTACACAACTAGCGAGAGCTTCAGTTTCTGGTACCTTAATTTTATCAACTGCATTAAGTATAAAACAAAATTCAATTAGTTACATTCATATACTTCAGTTATCAATTATTAATAAATAGTACCTTGATCTGGATATATCTCATGTATATAAGAACGAAGCAACCGAAAACAAGATTGACTTATAAACATTAACCGTTTCAGTTCACTAATAGATGTAGTATCTTTTTTTGATACATCCATAAAATAATTTTGTTGTGAAGAAGGAAGACACATTTCAGAAGTATGTTTGTTAATTGTTGTCCATGACCAACGAAGAAGTATTATCAAAGCATTAAAACATTCCTGAAGAAACAGAGATTAATATTAATTTTAAAAGTATATTAACTATTTTAACATAATTGAATAATACTATTTTCAATGTATTAAATTTCTAAATATAAAATTTCAATTTTAATAATTCATGAAAAAAAAAAATCAAATGTGCCAACAAAAATTATTTATTATCATGGTTTATTTTATTTGAGCACTTTATGGTGTTTTAAATTTTGAACCAAATTTATTGTTTTTACAATAAAGTTTAATTTTAAATTCCAGAAAAAACTTTTTAAAAATGGAAAAAATGTCTATTATATCTATAAAGATGGATATCTTTAATTAAAAATAAGCACTAAAAAATCATATTGGTTAAACATTTTACATTAGAAAGGTTGTTTTAATTTTCAAAGATTTCATGTTATTAATAAATTATTTTAAAGCTTAATTAAATTTTCTGTCAAATAAAAATATACAATATTAAACATGCTATACAAAACTATAAATAAAATAAAATAAATAGTGTGGTCTTTATCAAAGTTGCCAGTCATCAATTAAGACAATTGTCAATTACCATTAATAAAGTTATTTTTTAAGTAAAATGCAATTGATATAAAATTAAAAATATCTAACCTTAGCTATAATTAATTAAAATGTAAGTAAACAATTTATGTCATCAACTATGTTTAATAGTTTATTTAGTTGAATAGGTTTTCACCCTCCCCTTTTTTGTACCAAACATTATTCACCTTGTAAATTCAATGTTTACAATATAAATATAAATAATAAAAAATAAATTACCTTATTGACAGAGTGAGAAAACGAATCACTTAAAATGTGAATATCAGTATTTGATGTATGTATAGTTGATATTGACAGTGAATCAGGAATAACAGTTTTGTATAATATTTCTGGTATTTGTCCAGCATTTACATCTGTACCATTATTTGATTTCCGTGATGATTTAAATGTAAATGTTATCCTAATACATACAAATATATATAAAATTAATAATTATTTAATTAGGTATATTAATATAATTGTATTACTGTTCGTCACTTGTAACACTGCACATTCCACTGGAACCACAATCACTTGATGGCCCGGTTATTCTAGCACATGCTACATACCATCGATTTGCCTAAATATAATATACAACAATAAATATTATTTTAAATAACCTATAATTACAATAATATTTACATAAAGAGCAACAGATTCATCAAATAAAACTGGATGTTTCTGTCTAGGAGAACATTCATACATAAGTTCGTCAGTTTCAGCCATCAGTTCGCCATCAGACTCTTGATCACCTCCATTCAAACCAATATCATAAAGCTAAACATAGCACAATAATTATTAAGCTAGTATACACAATTTTATTTTTATTTTTTAACAACTAAATATTATTTATTTTCAATGAATAAACAAATAGTATGTTCAAAATAAATTAAATCACTTTGAAACTGAGTTTTCAAATTACTTTTGAAACAATATGTTAAATGTAAAATGTAAATTAAATTAATATTTATGTTTCCATTAAACTTAAAATTATTAAATATACATTTTAAAAATCTATTTATATACATCTTAATTATTTGACAGACAAATTAATAAATCAATTAATTTTACCTTTAATTTAACAGAGTATTCTCCTCTTCCTCCGAATAAACCAAATCCTACTAATAAAATATTACAATCAACTGAGAAACGAATAGCCTCAACTGAATGTCCAGAATACCCCCAACCACCACCCAAACCTAAAACAAAAACATATTTATAAGAGCTAATAATTTAACTAATTATATCATAATTATTTTGTATATTACACATACTTGCAAATCGATTGATGTGTAAATATTCTTTTTTTGTCTCAACTGTATTTGATGAAACTGGTATGTTACTTGACGATGACGCAATACCAATAGGAAACATGGATGAATTTTGAGCTAAAATATCCATGCACATAAGTAAATTGATTAAAACTTGAATTCTAGACACTGAAATCCCAGCAGTGGGTGGCAATGCCAGTTCATAACTCAATAAGGAACAACTATCATAATGTTTCTTGCACGCGTTATTCACATTGTAACAAGTAACTATCACTTTTTCACTTATATCATTAATACTGAAATTAATATAAACATTCTATTATTATTGAACATACTTATAAGTAATAACTTTACTAGTATATATTTTTATTGTGTTAATTAAAAGTAATAATATTAAAACACTCACTGCCATAAGTTATTATATAACAAGTCAAAGCACCACATTCCAGTATGTTTTTCATCAAATTGTATTTGATTACTTCCAGAATAACTGTTACATGTACCATCATGTTTGTTAATAGCTAAGCATTTATTTGAAGTCATCACCACTGATTATTGGACATGCAATATTAATACAAATTAAATAATCGCGTAAGCTTGTAGTAAATTAAAATAATTTATATTTAAACAAATTGTTTCAAATCTAATATGCTTACAAATAGTATCATTGTTAGCAGCTATAGACAGTATTTTACTATTAATTAATGCCTCATCTACTTTTACAATTGTCTGATCACCACAACACATAACAACTTTTGCTCTTCTAGTATGAGGTGGATTTATGTCTTCAACACTTAATGGTACATGATTACATCCACTGTCACGGCCAAGTTGACTTTTCTTTAATTTTATTATATAAATAAATCATTTGTATACAATAAACCTAACATTAGAGATAAAATGTTGACTATTTACTAGATAACTGCCAAAAGTATAAAGTTTGCCATCTTTTGAAACTAATGCAGTGTGGTTACTGCCAGCTGATACACTAATAATTGGGTTCTTCAAACGCGGTATTTTCAATATAGTTGGGCCTTTCTTAGTGAGTGATAGACTACACCCAAGTTGTCCATTAGAATTACTGCCAAATGTAATCACTTTCCCGTTGTTCAGTAGTAATACTATAAAATAGCACCATATAATTATTGTAAGTAAATTATTCGACATATTTTATTATAAAAGTATACCTGTATGGTGTAAACCACAACTAATTTGAACCACTGGGCAGTCAGAAGGTAAAAATACACGTGCTGGGGGTAGAATAGTCACTCTAGCAGTATCTCTCTCTATATCACTTCCTGGATTGTTAACTGAATCATCTATTGAATTAAACATTTTTAAACATTATCAAGCATATATTAAATGTTCTAAATATATTTTCATACCAATGAAACTTCGGGCTAAAATACTATTACGAGATTGAAAATGAATGTTTGTATTATTTGCTGTTTGTACATTACTATCAATATTTCCATCACTGGACCAATCTGGTTGTGCTACTAAATGCCGTTTTTGTCGTTGTTCACGTTTATTCAATCGTTTTTTTAAATGATCATCGAGTCTTGCTTCTTGATGTGTACTTACTTTATCTTTATTCATAAATTCAAAATACATACAAAATTGAAAACAATTAACTATTAGGCCCTCCTCACACGATGATACACAAAATAAACTATAGTTGCTTGGATATTAGGAGATTAGGCTACTAGGCGACTGAACATGCATATTTAAATAGCGTAGATGATGTCACTGAAATTGCCGCAACTGAACAATTGACAAATCTCCTCGCTTTTCTAGTTGCCAGAATTGCCCGAGTTTTTAATAATGTATTTTATGTAATATAATTTTAATTTTGTGATAATTTTATCTTTACATTATCGAGTAAAATTTTAATATAAATTTTGTCAATGAAATAGAAAAGCACACCAAACTATACAATTACATGTTAAAAAGCTATTCGAGAAAAAACATGATGGACAAAGCATGGAGTGAAGTAGACGTTGAAGTTAAACTCACAGATTTATAATGATGGTAAAGAACAATACCTTCATCACTGCTAGAATCACTACTTAAAGACATTACAAATATTAAAAAATAATATAAACAAATCAACTATATGAAATACTGAAAACATTCAGTGAAATCCCAAGTTGACACTATTTTAATAAACTGTATGTGAGGATAACTGGAAACTTCAGTCACCTAATTACCTAGACTTTAAGTATACAAGCAACTACATTTTTTTTGAGAAGGGCCTTAATCAAACAATTACTACTAGATAAAATTAAAACAGTTTAAGAACTATCAAGGAATACTGATTTTTTTTATCATATTTATATGAATTATTTCCTTCACCAGTAAAATTGTAATATTTTAATATCTGATAATAATAAATTGATTGTACCAAGATTTTATACAATTAAGGTAAGGAATAAGTAAATATAATATTAAGATATTACAGTACTGCATTTAAGTTAAAATTTGTGCTGGGGTGAAGCAGTTATTATCAATTAATAAAATATGCCTTAATTAGTTTAATATCATAAAAAAAAAAAAACAATAAAATAAAATAAATTGAATATTCCTACCTCCAATACCAAATATAACATCAAGTCTCATCATTCCTCCATTATCTCCGGCACCATTTGGTCCAAGTATAGCTAATTCTGAATTATCTTCAACTTCTCGAGCACAAATACGACAGCATCCACAAATAGAACATCCAGCATCTCCTTCGCCACAGCCACATTCCCTAAAAATATATTTTTTCCCTTCTTGAATTTATCGAAATAAAATAAAATCAAAAGCATAGTGTATACATTATTACTGATGACTAGGCTAGTATTCGTTAAAAAAAAAAAAAAAACAATATGCACATAATACTTTAAAAATAAAAAAATATACCCAATATACAATATGTTTAGTAAAAATAACAAGATATTTAAAACAAATTATGTTTAGTTCAATAAATCAAAGTTAAATATTTAAATGTACTTCATTTTTTTTTTTAATACTGGTTAACCAAGTGCAACTATACACCAAGGTTCAAATATTTAAACATATTAGGACTATATTTACTTAACATACTCAACAAATAAAACAAATATATTGCCATATCAATTATAAACCCTAATTATTTCTTTATACTTACTGGCCAGATTTTCTATTGGACCGTATGCTACTAAGACAACTAATGCTATATCCTGTGCATTCCCCACATACTGTACAAACCATGCATATGGCATGTTTCCAGTTGTGTTTTCCTGGTTTACAAATATCTTCATTGGGTTTATTGTCATCACAGTCTTCATCAAATATACCCTGTTCGTTAGCAGAATTCTTTTGGTTTGCTGGTTCAATATTAGTTATTTCCGGATAATCTGCACCAACACATTGATTTTGTCATTATTTATTATATATTAATACTTAATATAAAATTGTATTATTATTCATTAAAACTCAACTGTTTTTATTAATCTGAGGGGTACATATATCACGTCCACACTGCCCTTTATTGTTTATTCCAAAACTATAAACGTGACCTTTAGCACTTAAAGCAATTGCATGTGCTTTACCTAAAGCTATTTGCACTATTTTAGCATTCTTTAAATCTTTTACAAGACCTGTAAATAATATTGATAAGTATAATTTATTATTCATATTATGAATTTAAATATTCACCTGTATGAGTATCGCAATAAGTATCATCTTTTCCAAACATATACAAAAGACCTTCTTTAGTCACTAATGCTGTTGTACCGTTATTACAGGCAACATCAATAATAAATTGTCCATCTAATTTAGCTATCTTTTTAGGCTTCACTACTCGAGGTTGCTTTCTATATCTTCCATGATCACCATCTTCACCACGCCGTGAAACTCCTAAGAAATAAGCTGATCCTGAATCACTGAGTAACACACAGTGTAAGCCATCGTGGCCGGCTGCAACTTTCACAATTTTACATGGGTTAGGTAAACTTAACTCTGACCATACAGAACGATAACAATTCAGAACACTTTGTCCATTTGATTTTGACCATTGCATTGCCTAATAAAATAATCAAAGAATAAAATACAGAATAAATTAATATTTCAACTTATTATTCTACTTACTTTTCCAGACTTTATTGATATAATAAAGCTGTCTTTTAAAGTTGCAACAGAAGTAACTTCTTCATCGGTAGCACTGTTAATAGCACTCTCAGCTGTAATGGAATCCCATAGATCAGACACACCATAAATTCGTACATTACGACGACTTAATACAAGAGGAACTTCATTAACAAGTTTCCCAGTACTTGGATCAATACTTTTAATCACATAGTTATTCTATGAAAAAATGTATAAATATACAAGAGTAATTTATGTATTTGTATTTTATGAATTTCTATACTAAATATGATTTTACATGAACCAATTATTATAAATATTTTATTAAATGTATTTAATAAAATATATAATATGTATAATTTATTAAACACACATATTAACCTAATTTAAAAATTATCTAAACCAATAATCATTCAACAACTAGGTACACTTATCCATTTCTTAGTTCAAATATTTCAATACTTTTGTCTAACATAAATTTTATAATTTGTATGGATCATAGAAAAATGCGTTCTGTATCATTTTTTGCGGTGAACATAAAATAATCAATAAAAGAAAAAAAACTAATCATTATAAATATATAAACTATATCGCTATTAAGAATAACTATTGTGTTATTACAATAGCTATTAGAAATAACTATTGTAACAATACAATTTTAAAAACATTTAAATACAGACATTATCCATGCAAAAAATAAACATTTTTCAATACCCATTTAAACAATATCTACAAGCTTAAAGTACAGTATCTAATCTAACATATTATATAATTATAATAACAATAAATACTTACAGCAGATTGATCAAGGAAACATAATCTATCTTTATCATTAAATACAGGCTTACAAGATGTATCCAATATCACTGAATTATCTAGTTGAACACGTCCTAATTTTTTAAATGTATCTCTATCCAAAAACTCAATTTCGTGATTACTAGATTGATTTCCATTATTGACTTTTAAATATAAAATTTTCTAGAACAATAAAATAATTTATAAAATAAGTACTTAACAGGTAATATAATACAATTTTAAATAACATATACTTACTTGATAGAACCCCAGACAAACATCAGTGGTATGTAATGAATTACTTGGTATACGTGCTACTTTAACATACGGATGTCCACTGACTGTACCTCCAAAACCAGTACCGATTTTATGAAATCCATATTCTGAATATGTATACAAATAATCTCCATCACATGCTAGACCCTTAACATCTAAAAATAAATCATAACTTCATGGTACATTCAGTTAATATTGAAATGGAATAAAATTGTACATACTTTTTAAATAATTCAAATTTAATGTTACAATTTCTGATGATTTTGGCACTCCATTGGAAATCCAATTAGGTGTTTCATAATCGCCATGTGTAAGAACACGAACACATTTTTGCAAACTAGTTAATACTTTTGGTAACTATAGCAAAAACGTCTTAATTAATTACTCTGAATTATTTGTATAAATTAAATATCTTACAATAATCTTTTTAGGAGATGCATTCAACGGGCACATAAGTAATGTTGTCAAAGTGCTTAGAATTTTACCAGTATCTCCCCTAATTATTATTAAACTAATAAGACAAGAACACGAAATCGCTTTAAAATCATAAGTACCATTCTCATGATTTCCAATTGACATTTCCAATAAAAGCTCATATAATGGATCTATAAATGTATTAATCATTGTTTTTATTAAAACTTTTAGAAAATGTGTAATATCATTTTTTCATGAAGATGAACATACCTATAACTTCAGATGGCTCATCTTTTAAAGCTTCTGGTGATTGATACTGAATAATATCTAATAAAGCCATCAAAGCTTTAGTGCATATATCAGGAGAGGAAACTCTACTTTCTTTGATCAATTCAAATACACTACGTATACCAATACCTACTACCTAAAAATAAAAATCATAAATTTGATTTGTTTGTATTAATTCAATACTATTAATTATTACTATTACTATATGTTATCATTAATAGGCATATATACTAACCTTAGGAATAACAATTTCAGAATTTGAAAGCCCCTGTCCATTGTTAGATGATTGTAGCGCTCGGCCCAAAGTTTTGGGGGATATTGGAGCTGACGAAGAGGTCCAATACACTTCGTCAGACTTCTTTGCATGTCTATCAAATACAGCATAACGAGCAGCAGATAGTACGGCAAATGAAGAAGCATTTCCAGATACATACATAGTCCAGCCGCCATCCTGCCAAGAGAAAAAACTAGTAAGAATTTACAGTTAACTAATACTAACAACTGTAAATTACCTTGTAGAGTTTTGATCCTTTTTGGACTTTATGAGAATTCTTTTTAACGTGTGGTTTCCTATTAAAACACATATATTATGTATTAATAATAAATAATATATATATATAAAACAAAATAATCGACAATTATAGCTGTGGGAAACTCACTTAGGTAATTCTTGAGCTTCCTGGAAAAATCGCTTGTACAACTGTTCAATACCATCCACTTCAGGCAGCATACTTACGAATGGTAAGACATTCTATATTCATGTACAGCGGATATTTTCAATTATAACCATTATTCATTTGCGAGTAAGAATAATTTACAACGAAGTTGTGTCATAGTATTGATTTATTTTTACCGGGTTCCCTGTTATCGAATTTCAAACTTGTGTTGATAAACAAATGACATGGGTAGACGGTGAAAATGATAGTGGAACTAACCAATCGATACACGCGAATCAATAACGCAAAGACAGCCATCTACCGGTTATATTCTTCAATAATCATCAAAATCCAACAATGATCATCGGCCAATCGTCTAGAGTGCACTACTTCAATAAAATATCTCGTTTGAAAACAAAATACAATATCTTCAATAGATAAATCGGGATTTAGTACTGATCCTGAAATACTACATCAAAGACATAATTTAATATTAATTTTAATAATAGAAACCACCTGGCATGCAAAGAAAAATGGTCAAGTAGTTTAGAGGAGGTCAAGTCATGGGAGTTAAAATTAGTGTTTACAATGAAGTAATTATTCCGTGGTTTGGACACAATAAATTATGTAGGTAATAGACTCAAGACAAATAGGTATATTATATTATTATTTATTATACCTATATATGTCTGACTAGTATATTATCTTTTTCACATTAATAAATATATTAGATTTTAGGTAGATATAAGGTAGGTCCGTGGCTTATTAATATACTTAGTTGTGTTCCCATAGGCCGCAATGTTTCCTAACTTATTTTACTTACGGAACGTTTTCAGGAACTTGAATATTTGGCAAAATTTTTTGTTCATAACCTCATACGCAGACATATTTTTTGGATAGGTACCTACTCAAATGAGTAAGCAATCTTCCGGCAAAAAAGTGAGTGTATGGGAATTTAATTTATATTTGTAAGCAACGGTAAACCATTACTAATGAAAAACGATTAGGAGAGAAGTTCGATTGACGATTATATTTACATGTTTTGAAAGGCCTTAATATTTAAGATTTTCATCGAAATTTAATTTTTAAATTCGTATATAAAAAAAAATACACTACACTCAATTTTTTAGCAAGTCGAAAGATTTTGTAACAACTACAGGTCTTTACAATTTTAACCGATAAACAAAAAGAACGAATACCGTACACTTTATCGTATTTCCTACGTTTTTTCGTAATTATTAGGAAAAATGTACGGAAAATCAAACAACGACTTTCTTTATAACAAACTAGACATAATTTTGATTCAGAAAATATGCTATTCTTAAAATTTTGACAAAGATTTCTGGTAGAAAATATAATTTTAAAAATTTTAAATAATGAAATCATTGTGTCTTAATTTGAAAAACATTTCGTATTTATTGGTTTTTCTTAATTATTATAAAAAATACTTTAGACATCAAAAATAACTTTATTTGTCAATGGCTGTACCAGGTGATTCATTTAAGTGGGTACACTCATTATCTCGGAAAGTATTAACTTTTTCCGGAATTTGTTTTCTAGAAAATTTAAGAAACAAGCTGCTTTACAATTTTATATTTACGTTAATTTTTTTTACCTTTATTTTTGGGGGTAAAACCACTACCTACTTTTAATTTTCAAATGGCAACCTATATTAAAGAGTCCATAAATAGGTGGAGTATATTAGTTAAAATAAATTTCAGCATTGACATTTTTGATTACTGTCAAGTAGGGACTAGAATCTTGAATATTGCGATTCTGGTTCCGGTTTTTAGGCAGGTTCTAAAAAAACTAAAATTTCGGTTTCAGTTTTAAAAATAACAAAAATTTAGGTTTCGGTTTCTTTTCGGTTCTTAAAAACTTAAAAAAATTTTTACACTATCAGAATCCTTTTCAGATTACAAAATAATAGTTGCCTAATTAGGGATGTGAATTGGAAGATTTCTCCTCGTCTTCCACATCAGGGCGCCAAAACCTATTTCGCCCAACCTTGGCGCCCAAGTGTAAATATCATTGGTTCATCTACACTTAGTACTTTAATTTGACGAACTGTAATAATAAAAAACTTTTTTTTAACTTGTTCGTAAAATAATAACTGTATACGTTTTACTGAAAATCTTCACTGATAATATTTGTTAATTTTTTCACGTGAATTCGAGGATTCCGTTACATGTTAAAAAATAATTTTTCATTTTTCTCTTGTTTAATATTTGGTTGCCATTGATATAAAATATATTATTATGTACCTACAATGTATATATTTATTTATTTATAAAATACATGCATAACATTATCATTGTTATACTTAATATGCAATAATTTACTGAACTCAAACTCCGGTGGCAAACCAGGATATATCTTTACATAAATACATAAGGATAGATTTCACATACCTAAAAAAAATTTGCAGTAATAAACCACAATGCCAAGATTAAAACGTATGGGCATGAATATCCACCAACTGCGTCAAGTTTTCGAATTGGAAAATGAAGAAGAATCGAAAAATTTTACTCAGTGCCATCCTGCGAGACCTTTAATGTACCATTTGCTGTTTACGTTTGCTGTAAGAATACAAAACAAAAATTAAATATTTTTACCATATTATAATCAAGCAAGTATACCTACATTTCCAAATGATTTAAAACAAGCACATTAATGTTTATTTGTAAACAGGTTTATTTTTTTACTATAATAGCTGTTTTTGGTAATATTTTCCACATAGGTACCTAATGATTAGCTCGTTAAAACTATTAAAAAAATCTAAAACCGGTTCGTATTAGAAGTCTAAATGTTTTTATAATAAAATATGAGAGAATATTTTTTGATTTAAGTACAATCTTTTAGTTTTATATACTTCTAGTTCTACTATAACTAATATTATTGAGTATATACATATGACTAGAATCAGATTTAAAAGGAGCTGAGTGGGCTGAAGTTTATAAGCCTTCACAATTTTTAAAATAACTTAATAGGCTTTCTACATTTTCTTTAGTAATATTTGTTTAATGTTGTACCGATTTCCATTCAGAAAAGGTGCTATACTTAAAAATCGGAGCAATAGTCTTCTGGTAGAGAAGTTGCGCACAGATAAAAAAAAATAAACATCTTTGTAAAACCATAAGCTTCTTCGCTCCATTCAAAATCTAAAATATATATGTAGTTCAGGGATTTAAATACTTAACAATTTATTAATTTAATTTGCATGCAACACGAATGATTTGCCTGTTCCTATTTCTATAATGCTAGTTGATAATACTTTTCCTGGATTTAAATGGTTTTATGTAGCAAAATATTATATAGACAATTTAAATTCAAAATTTACATATGTTGTCCAGTTGTCCTAATTCCTATTTATTTATTTGGTGCTTTGGAGTCTCTGCAATTTATTCCGCACAAGGACCATCATATATCTAAATACGATCCTGGATATATAATTACATGTTATCTTCGTATATTTTTAAAACCTTATTGATTGATCTATAAATTAATTTGTATATTGTTTTCTGTAGATAATCACCGCAACATCAATACTGGGCATTATTGTTGAACACGAACGAAAAATAAATACTCAACTCTGGTCAAACCTATTGCAAATGTTTAAAGAAATTGTAAGTTTACTGTCGTTCGTGTTCGTTCTGAAATTATAATAAATTATTGCCCTTATTGCAAACGCGTTATTTTTAAGTGGTTCTGCCTGTGTATAAGAGTGAATGAAAATATTATAATTCATCTGTATAGACATATTGTATTAACAATATTCTAAAATCGTAATATAATAAAATATAATAATGTGGTACATATATATATATAGTGAAATAGTATTTACGTATACATTTTTAAAAATAATCTGTAATACCTCTAATACTTATACAAATGTAATAATAAAATTGTATAATTTAAGAACAGATATTTGAAGAGAGTTCCGTTTTAAGATTCTGGAAAAGTCAAAGTTCTGGTGAACAAGCGTTCGCCTGTTTAACACTTATCCACTTTGCCGTGTACCTAGCGTGGGACATTAGATGGAAATCCTCGATTATGTCAAATTACTTCATTATTAATGAAGGTAAAGAACACAAAACATTTATAATAAACATAATCGAAATTTTCCATAAAATAACTTGTACCAAGTTATAAGTTGATACTAAAATTACCAAGTTGTACTAAGTTTGATGATAACATCAAAATAATAATATATTCTGCGTATTTTTAGATAAATCAAATTCGATTTGGGCGCATTTGTTTTGTCCGTTTAGTCACATTTCCGTGTTGAATTTAATCATCAACACTGTGTATTTATATTCTCTATGTACATCTGGTAAGTCCTTTCTGTTTTCACAACGTGTCATAACTCATAAGTTTTAAATGAGTTCCATTAACATAACTGATTTGACATTTAAAAAAAATATAATTTTCGGAATAATAATTATTATTATTTACATAGGTACTTAATTGTATTATTTTTATTTTGCTTTATATTTTTAGTGTAACTTTAGGAATATATTAGTTTTACTATAATGTGTGTTTTTAGATTCTGAACAGAGCGAGGATGTATTGGTTTTATAATTTTTTTTTTTTTTCTGCGGACAACTTTTCTACCAATAATTTTTCTCTAAAGACCGATTTACATTGAAAGCACTTTATCTGAAAAGAAAACTGACTGGGGTGGTACTTTAGGGAGGTTACTTTTTGATTTTTCCTGGAGTTTTCCCAATAAATGGAAAAAACTTAGGAAAAACTGAAAAATAGGTACAATATTAAACAACTATTGTTAATGAAAACGTATACCTAATGCATAATATGTATATGTATATATAATAAACCTTTTTTGTTGCATTTTGGATTTTGTAGGTGTATTAAAGAGATAGAAGGGGATACATTTTTTTATTTAACTTGTAGATTTCCTAATAATTGGGAAAATCTAGTAGAAAGTAGAAAAAAAACCAGAAAATGTAAGGTTTGTTTATTTTTAATTTACTATTTTTGTTGTGATTCAGTTGCAAATATTCATAAATACCTGAAAATTTCACAGAAAACTTACATAATTTTTAAAACATTCTGGGAATTGTTAAACTATTATAGGCATTTTATATTTGAGTTTTTTTGCGTAAGAAGTTTTTATTTGATAGATGCATATACGTTCTTTATTTGGTTGATGGTCAAAATTGACTAATTTTTGATTGAGTTTTTATTTAAGTATAGATGTATACAGGGTTAATTTTGGTGGTTTGGCTATTTTACTATACAATTCATAAATTGTATATAACATGATAATGTATTTTGGTGAACTTTGTTTTAAAGAATTATTTAAGCTTATTTTTCGTTAGAAATGATGTTTCATTGCGTACAGATATAATTAATTATAAATTACTTTATGTATCCTATATCTTCTCAACTTCCCACCTACAAAACTGTCATAGTAATTTTCTTATTCTTGTACCTATATATAAATAAAATTGCTGAGAATAATAAATTTCAAAACTATAATTATATACACATATATTTTATAGGATTCATTAAGACATGGCCATATGTACTGACTGGAATGTCTGGAAATAGATTTTTGCATTATATGTGCATTGAAGAATTTTTCGTTTTTTACATCAGCGCGTGTGTTTTTTCATCGCTATCTAAAGTTTACATGGAACGAAAATTTAACACAGTATCCAAGAATAAACATGGTGCTGTAAGTATATTATTGCTATTATCAGGGTCTGATTAACTAATAGGCTGATTCAGTTGCAACAAAGGTAAGCCTGTGCAGAAATATAATGGACCCAGGGACAAACTAATCCCTCCTAATGTCAAATATTAAACTTCCTTCTAACAACCAGTTTCGCACTTTAAAATGTGTATAACAAATAGAGATTAAGGTATATGGTGTTAAAAGTCATATTGTCATATTGTAACACTTTTACTATGGTACAAAGTAATTATTATATTATTAACATTCAATTGTTAATACAATTTTTTAAAATAAAATATTATGAAATTAAATTATAAACAATTTTTATATTAATGTAAAAGGTAATGTATAAGACCTGGTTGCTTTGGTTAGGCCCAAGTCCTCTTTGAGTCCCGGTCCTTAACTATATTTTAACTATATGTAGTATATTAGCAATTGAGACTCATTTTCCTTCAATCAGTGCAATAAATATAATAAAGTGATACAGATTCTAAAAATATATTTAAATTCATAGTGTATGTATATCGGTTAAACTGCGTTTTTCAATTTAATTTTAGGTGCCTTTATTTTTATTTTATACATTTTTAAACCAAATTTTTCTAAATTAAGTACTGAAATTAGAAAGATATGGTATATTGGTATACTTTACATCAAACTTAAATCTGTTTTCAGAATTCTTATAGTTTCATAACATCAACTGAATTGATTGAAGGAAAATTGACCCAAATTGCTATATGCTGTGCATGTGTAAAACAAGAAAATTGGTATCCAATCTTCTTAAAATTAATAATTTATACAATATTAATAGGTGATACATAAACTTGAGAAACAATAATTAAAATTAAAGTTTCATGGTATAGGCTGTTTAAAATTAACCTGTTTCTTCTATGTCTACTTATATTCAAATTGAATGAAATTTAACAGTTGTTTTTTTTATTTTTCACTTAAGTTCGGAGCGATATCCACAATATTTGGTTACATTGCATGGGCCTGTCCAGACCAACTGTTAAAAATACCGTTCTTCGAATCAAGCCTTAAAATCAACACTTTAGAAGTAAAAATATAAATTTAAAAAAAAAAATGTATTTATAAAATGGAAAAAACTACTTGGTAACTACTGTTTTTTTTATAATCAAATTTCAGGCTTTCTTGTGTTTGTTGTTCCTGGTTATCGTGATTGATATTAAACAAAATCATAATTGGTCTAACACAATGACCATCATAACAGGATCCGTTTTCGGAATGTAAGTACAAAATGGCTAAGGTGATATTGTAAATGGGTCTGCCAATATGTTTCCTAATACACTGTAAATTATAAATAGTGGATCCAATTATTATGATCCAGTAATTTTAAGTTGCAATCTAAAAGTAAAAGTGAATATTTTTATATTAATTTAAGGTAAACAAAATGCTTATTAAGTAATGAATGATACATAACTAACAATTTGGCATATTCATTCTTAATATTTTCTTATGTCTACAAATAATTATTGATTTTTAATAAAATAAGGTTATTCAATAGGTTATTATTTTTTAATTAAATTTACACTTTTCTATTCAAAGATAATTTTAACTAATTAATTAATTAATTGTAGGGCTATTTTTTCAAGTCAAACTTATTTTATTGTTTTTGTTTATTATTTAAAAAAATGTATTCATATTATTATAAAAGAAAATTGCATTCAAACAATCATGTTGTTGTAATGTTGATTTTGAGTTCATACAAACAAAATTTAAATTATATACAACATTTAGAGTAATTTACAGATACCTACATAATAATTACATACAATCAGAAATAGTTATAGTGAATCATTTACAGAATATAGAATATATTACTAAATATACTAGATGAAAACTACATACCTAGTTTATAAGTTTTACAAATTACATAAAAATTATGGTCTATTTATATATTTCTTAAAAATATTTATATTTTTAAAACATAAGCCATTGACACCTTGTTTGTTGAATACAAATATCAATTCTTTACAAATAAATTATTTAATTTTCCAATAGTGGTATAGCATTTATATTTCATTTAATTAGTACTATTATTTATTACTATGTCATATTACATACCTATTGCTATGTATGAAACCAAACTAGTTTGGAGAAAAGAAATTATTTTTTATCCAAAAGTGTTTTGGGGGTGGGAGGAAGGTTATCTTCGCTACAGGGGAAAAACAACTAATACTTAATTAACCTTAATACCTGTTCACCAAGCTCCACTCAGAATCGTTTTTTGATTGTAATCATTGCTCTCGGTATATTTAAACCAAATCCTATACCTTCTCAACTTTTTACTTATCTACCTACAGCAGCTGTGAAGTATATTGGTGTTTTATTATTATTATTATTTATTAAAGATTTTGGTACACATTTTTGTCAAAATACTTATGGGGCAATCGAAAATTAGTTACAAACAAATGGATCACAATAAAAAACATTGGGTTGCAGTTCTGCAGACAATTGTTCAAATGTGGTAACTCTAAAGTACAATAAAATTAATTTATTGCCTGTAGAATATATTTAATGTAAATATTATGTAATCTCAGATCTACTCGTTTTATAAATAAAAATTGAGCCGTAATTGTGATAGTTATTAAATTGTATTGTACTTAATAAATTATGTTTGCTATGCTAAACAAGTTAAACTATGATAAAATAAGGGCAACCATACTTATATGCCTATATTTAATTTTATAAAGGAAATTTTCCAAAACTTGGTAATTTAGCTAAATTTTTTAAAAGTAGTTTAAGTTAATTTATACTATAAGAAAAAAAAAATTAAACTAATTTAAAACTAATTAGTATAAAGTAATTGAATGTACTGTACTTATTTAACTTAAGGTAAGTTACAAATTCTCAGACAAACATAAAATTTAAAAAAATTTTTTTTTAAATAACCCTTATTTACATTCATAAACTTATTTTATACTAATAAAATGGAAAATTAACATACATAGGCGTGCACCCAGGTGTGCCGTGGCAAACTTTCGACCCGTGGACTAAAAAATAAATTTAATTATTCTGGGCTTTATTTAATTAACTACTAACCCATGAGGTACAAAAATGTTTTCATGAGATCATTGTGTGAGAGCGTAAGACACTTTTTTATATCTCGAATCATCGGCCAGGGTGTAATCAATTCCATGAAATCGAATTTTTATAAATTAAACCAGTATAATAACTGGTAGTTGGTATCTACTATCTATATACAAATTGTAAATATTATGTTTATAATTATAAATTATGCATTTTTACATGTTTACTTGTGCTATTATTGTGATTTTTATTTATATTAAATCAAAAAAAAAAAAATTACATTCAAACCATGTTCAGGCTTATTACTACCATCGTTATCGTATGGTAGTAATAAGTTTAAATCATATAGTATATAATATATCTTTGATAAGTTACTTATAAAATCGTATGTCTGTCTTCAATACGCACTTCGACCTTATTTATGAATGTAAATATTTATATTTAGTTTAGTAATGTTGTGTGATGTCGTATCGGTGTTACCGTAGCATATTAAACAATTACAAATAAGTTTTAAGTTTTAGTTTCTATTGTACCGATAAATAATTATTGTATAATTTTAGTTCGAAATTTAAAACAAAACTTTCATATTATAGGTGTATTATATATTTATTTATACTACTATTAGTTATAAATGTATGTAAACATCAATATTATGGAAAAAAAAAATTAAATAATTAAATAGTAAGTATACGATAAATACATTATTGTACAAGTATCCGTACTGATTGAATTATCGGCTTTTCAATTATTGCCTATTATAATAATATAAATCTAAAACGCGTGTATAAAACACTGCATATACAATAATATAGCATATTATATGACCTTTTATTGCACTTAAAAGCTACATACTAATAAAATATACTGTAAAAATCAAAAACTGTAAAATATGCAACTATATATGTTATATTTAATATTAACTTAAGATAGAATTTTCATATAAACAATTTATCAGGGAAGCTACGTTTTATTACTTTTAAAATGGTTAAACTTAAAAACTTAGTTAGTACCAAAACAAACAATGAAAATAGTTTACTTTGCACTATATCAATCAAACTTTCAATATGGCATATTAGTATGGGGAGACCTTTGAGATAACATCTTAAATGCATTAGTAATTAATCAAAATAATATTGTTAGGATTTGTCTAAATAAATTTACTCTGCAAGGATTTATGAACGCTAACTATAAAGAATTTGGTATATTGCCTATAAGGTTTTTATATAAAAAATTTGCAATTATGTATTTGGTTAAGAAATTTAATTTAAATAACGATCAAAAGGAGGTAAGCAACAAGGGGGAAATAAAAAAAAATGATTTGACTGTTAAATATGCGAATACTTCTTTCGGTCTGCATTTTATCAAGGTCCAACTTCTTTCAACTCTTTGCCCTATGACTTTTAAAAAAAAAATACTTGGTAGTGAAATTTTAAATATTAAAGATTTAACATACAAATATTTATTCTTTGAATTAGACAAGGATTTAAGGTAATATAACCAAATTTTATTTCATTATTTTTTATTTATTGTACCTACACCTATAGCACATATTTTAGATTTGTTTTTATTTAATTATTTACCTTTAACATTTTTTTATAGAAAATAAGCTAGTTTATATATTTTTTAAAGTTGTTTCAAGATGTATTTAAAATTTTTTTTTTTAAATTGAAATATATTTACACTATGTTCTTATTTATTATATATATATATATATAGATTTAGTAATAATCATAATTCCTTATCTCCAACACAAGCTGCATAAGCTTACAGGAGGTAATTTAATCAATTCTGTAACAAATTTAATTTTGATGTATATTAAATGTTTTATTTTTGATATCTTAATAAAAAAAAAAAAAAATATGCAAAACGAAATTTAGTATTTAGATTATTTATATCATGTATAATATTTATATTTGACTGTTGTTTGTATAACTATTAAAAAAAAAAAAAAAAAACACTACAAGCCCCAAACCCTTACTGATTTTTTGTAACAAAAATATATTTATTTTTTATAATAAATAATTGAGAATTGTGCGGTGCAATAAAGTGGCAGCAAAATGCGAAGAGGCAGTTTTTATTATACAAAAAAAAAATATTGGACACAATAACAACCCCCTCCCCACTCCGTTACATACCTGTACACGTGTACAGATGACGACACACCACTGGGCAGTACCCAGTGTCGTTGCAGTAATTCCACCCGGACGTTACCTAACTACAGTCTCCAAAAACCGAGTAATTCATAATTCGATTCAATGTTAAATAAATATAGTTCACACTAAACACCTCTCGAATATTATTGTGGTGCCATCATTTCTCGCCGTGTATGATATTACAAACCCTGTAAGTATCTTCCGTCGTAAACGTTTAATATATTTCCTTTTTACTGTTGGATTACTCACACGTTCACCTGGGCAGCAGACAATCATTCAAGACCGGAATCGATTCGCAAAAAGTAACGTACATATATTATACCTTATTTTGATTTTATACCTTAATTTTTTTCACGGTCATTTTTCAATCTGAATCGCATAAGTATATGTACTCATATATTATACATTAGTGTACGTACATAGTGTGTTATACTCTATTCGATTTGAGGGTACACCGGTTCGCGTACTGAGAGCTGAACATTGCCGCACTCCCAGATTATTAATCGACCGGAAACAATTTTTACGGACCGTACTCCGCCGCCGTACAGCCCTGTGCGTCGTGCGCCGTGATTGGCACCACCGCCGCGAGTACGGCGAGTCATAATATCTAAAAACTATTTTTCACCAAGAGAAAGGAAGTGTTTCGCGCACGCAGTCTGGCTACGGGACGCTGCCGGATTACACCTGGCCCGACAGTGGTGGTAGCCCTGGGCGAGGTGCGGCGTGGGCATGCGTAAGAATGACTGGTTTTCGTCGAGACTCATTGTCGTTCTTTCGTGAAAAATACCTACTGCTAAAGAAATCATTGTAATACGCATGTATAATATACCGCCGTTTCGATCGAACGAACGGGTAACACAGCAAAATTATGTTACTTAAAGCGTAGATTGTAACGTTTATTCAATTTGAAACAGAGCGTTTGTGCGAGAAAATACGTGTACGCGGCAAGGCCGTTAAAACAAAATGTTATCGATAATATTTCGTTTGCCACGTATGCCGCACACCATGTGTATCGGCGGCGGCAAAATGATGACAGGTGGTGGCAATAGTGGTACCGATTGATAGGCCGGTAAGTTAATGAAGTGGTACCGAAAATCGGAAATGGGAACTCATGATGTGTTCATGAACTGATGCGTTTTCTCGCCGCCTGTGACTCCAAATAATTGAATAGAGTATAACTAAGGCACTTTATAGTGCCCTAATTTAACTATTTTCAACATTTAATTTACCTTGTATTGAAAACTATAAAAGAAATTAGCTTGAAACATTTTTTCCCCGTAGCAAATATTTATTTGTATTCTTTAAATAATGTAAATATTTGGACGCGACACATTTGATAATGTCTGATTTTCTGTGATGACTCAGTATAATTATAACGCACCCTTACAGCTGTACCTGTCGCTCTTTTGGACGGTGATCGCGGGAAATGCCGAAATCCTCGTCGACGTAAACGCCACGTCATCAATACGGTTCCAGCAATGTCAAAAAATTGATATTATTGATTTTTTAAAATCAATGCAATTTATTTTTAAACGCATTTACGCCACGCGGTTTTACATCAAGGACCCTTAATCCGAATCACACGTCTGGTTGAACGTTTACCGTGAAAACCATTTTAGATAAATAATAATTATATGATAATTAAGCAATAATAATATATTTTACGGAAATGGAGATTTTCCTACAGTTGATTGAAACTAAGAGCATCGGAAACATTCTACTGTTAAAAAAATGGCAACCAGCCAACAAACCAGATTATACAAACAACCAGGAGCCCATACAGGTATACACTATAAATTGTTTTAATACCTAGGGACGGAAGTGTGTGTTGTAATTATTGAAAAATAAAAACTATAAATGTGTGTATTAGGTATATTTCGGAAACTGAGTAATAATTTTTTTTATATATATATATATATACTTATGAAATTCAATATGAGTAAACCCAGGGAGGGGTTTACTCATATTGAACAATGGGGAGGAGCCCCACTGTTTTAATTGATATGAAAAAATAATTTTGTGAAAATATAGACTCGATAACTCATTCTCTTCCCGTACCGAAATGGAGTTGAATTATGGCACAATGGGTTTGTTTTTGAGTTTTTTTTCGATTATTTTGAATACTAAAACATTTAGCGAAAAAATGTTTAAAATATTTAGAAAAATATTATTGGACTTAGGGATAGGTACTATAGAACTTCACGGAATAGAATAACTATTTTCCATATTTATTATACTTTTAATTTTTATTTTAAAATTCTATAAAATAAAAATTAAGCTAGTATTACTTATTCTGTATAAAGCATAAGCATTGTTTTTGTATGTTACCTGGTAGTTGGACTGAGACAGTTGATACGGGTATATTGTCTTTTTAACTAAACGATTAATGTTATGCCCATTAAATTGTTTAAAAATATATGCTTGAAAATAATAATTGGGCGTTGTCGGTTTAAAAACAAACGTTAGTAACATTTCAAATATTGGGTAGAGGTAACAATATGAAAATAATATTAAATCAATGATTAGAACTGAATCCAAAAACACTAAAAATTAGAAAACGTTAGAAAAATAGGAAAATCGGTACAACATTAAACAAATATTATTAAAGAAAATATAGAAAGCCTATTTAATTATTTTACTATAATATAATATAAATATAATATATATTGTTGACGAAAAAGCATCACTATCAACTGAACTCCGCTCAGAATCGTTTTTTTTTTTTAAGTAATGGTTTATCGTTGTTTACAGGTATAAATTAAATTACCTATAACAGTGCAGGCTGAACCCGGTCTCATTATCCTAGGACGTCTTTTTAATGTTGATTTTTAAAATCATTAAAATCTATATTTATACTGATTAAAACCAATTTTTGGGGAATCCTATAATATAAATACATAAATAGGAATGTTAATTTTTTTTAAGTATATTGTAATAAGCAAAAAAGGAAGATGCATGGATGAAGTATGGTCGAACACCTTCACTACCATGTCCATGTGCTGGTTGTAAAACGACTACTAGGATCGCGTGAATTCTGAATTTTTAGAATTTTAGTTTATCTGTTGTGTGTGATATTATTTTCCGTTTAATTATTTTCAATAGGTACTAGCTATTATAGAATTAATAAATTATTTTATTAATTCAGTATTATTTTCTGAATACGAGTTCCACAAAATTATTTCCCAACAAATTGTAGGTATAGACTATATACGACCATTCGTATAAGCGTTGTCGCATCGAAATTTTGTTAGGCAATTGGTTTGTACATAGGTGGGCAATTAATTTTTTTGGCATCTTTGAAAAAATTCAAAAATTGATTTATACGCCCACCTCCTCCCCCCCCCCCAAAAAAATTTACTTTCAGAATAGGTATATATTAGTTACTCCGTGTCTTAATCACAAATATTAATTATAGTGTAATTGTCATATATCCGAATTCCTCTAAGTACCTACTATAAAATCAGTCGAAGTTAAAAAATGAAGTTAAGAGTATATATTATATAAGTGTGATTAATTTTTCGACAGGTCAAGTAAAAAACAATATTACAGTATTTAGGTACCTGTAAAAAAAAAAACTAAAAAAAAAAATATTTTCTAAAACATTAAAAGCTTATTTAATATTATTATTAGTGATATCCAAAAATATATGACACAGTCAATTTTCTCTTATAGGAAATTATCTACATCAAGACATCTATTACATTTAGACATTTGATTTCCTAATTTGCAAAGCGTGTTAAAAAGAAAATAATTTTGGACGTGTTGTGGCAATTCTGTTTAAATGAAATATACAAATATAATTATTTACACTTGGTTTATTTGTATTTTAATGTTATATAGTATATCATTAGTATCTGAAAACGTTTTACTACAGGCATGAGGCACATAGCAAAAATAATACAAATGAAGTATTTAATAGTCAGTTTTAAAACTTCGTTATAGAACATTTTGATACAAAATTTAAAAAAAATTCTCAATTCTATAGAATGACCATTCGAGGACATATATTAACTTATAACTTACATCTTTCTAAAAATCAATTATTAGTAATTTGTACTATAGAGGGGGAGAACATGTAAATTCATAAAACAGCTTTATACAGTAGCACTTCCCTATGTATATTATATATAGTGTTCTTTAATTTAGTACACATTTACAGAGACACTCACCTCATCAGATTCCACCACTCTCACTAAAATCGATTCTATCCCTCATGCCGCAGTCAACTCTACAACAGCCGACTCCAGATTTTTGCCGATTTAAAAACTCGCCAATCAAGAGACGCAATCCAAAATTAAGTAAGTCTCATTAAACTTATATAGGATGCTATACAACTACAATACTGATGGCTTAATATTATGTTCTCAGCTTTTTTTGGTGTCATCTGAACAATATATTTATTGAACAAGTAATACTATAGGGTATATTGAATTCATGGATTAGTGTCGCTTATCATTATATTTTATTTATTAAATAATTAAAAGGGATTTGTCTATTTATCAATGTTTTATATATTATAATTTATAATTACCACTTTGAAATATTTTTATATGACGTATATATGCATGTAAGCATGTATTTATGTATGCATGTATGTATGTATGTATGTATGTATGAGTAAAGAAATGAAGATCCTGGTGCAGCCAGGTATTTTCACTTTTAAAACTAATTTCAGATTTCTGTTCACGTTGTTTTCATACTAATTTTTGTTTACATATTTATATTAAAAAACATTAAAAAATAAATCAAAAATAATATTTAAAAATTTAATTTAATAATATTTTAAAGAACTTAATTTAATAATATTTAAAAAATTAATTTCTAACCTCCATTCACATACTTTCATAAGCTCAAAAGATTAAATTCTTAAATCAAAACATGAAAAAAATGTATTTATCATTTTAAATGTTTAAAAAAACTATTTTCACGTAAACATTGTGTTAGGAACCGTTCTCTTTAAAATAAATAATATAATATAGTACATATCGCACGTGAAATAGATCAACGTTGCATACAAATCAATAATAATTAAGTAGGTCAAACCATATATACCTAATAATATTTTTTTATGTTATTAAAATATTATATATTTTTATAAGAAAATAAAAGAAGAAGCTCTTCAAATAGCAAGAAATTATTTAATGTATAAAAGAAACCATAATAATAACTGAAGAACAAGAAACTGAATTTAACAAAGAAAATAACTGTCATATCATTTTGTGTTTTGATTTCAAAAGGTCTGATGCTATTTAAAAAAAATAAAACTAGAAACTGATGTGCAAACACAAGTTAAAGAAACTAAAGAGAAAATTAAAAAATTAGAAGATGAAATTAAGTTATATGAAAAGGAAGTTGGGAAATATGAGAAAGAAAGAAAAATGTTCCTTAAAGGTCTTGAAGATAATATGAGAAAATTTAGGAATCACAATCATTTAACAGGAAAATATCGAGGAGCAGCTCATTCTATATGTAATATAAATTCTAAGGTTCCTAGATGTATTCCAATATTTTTCCACAATCTATTTAGTTATGGCGCTCATTTATTCATAAAAAAATTCTGTATGGATAAAGATAATATAAAAACAATTGCAAATAGTGAAGAAAATTATATATTATTTTCAAAAATTGTATGATATGAGATATTAGATCCAGAAACTGAAGGCCCTGTTTTAGATGATAAAGGAAAACCTAGTTTTAAAACTATTTATAAAACTAGTTATAAAAAATTGAAAATTCCAGATATTAAAGTAGAATTTGAAAATAATACAAACAAGTTGGTAGAAGAGCACAAAGAAATGGGAAATAAAGGATATCTTCTTGTTACCCATTTGAATTTCTTTTTAATACTAGAAACAGGAACCAAAATACTACTGAAAGGAAAAGAGGACGGAAGAAAGCCATGGATAAGGCAAGAAACTACCAATTTGATAAATAAAAGAAGGAAATTCAAAAACGTCATCGATGAAGAAGGTCAAAAAGAATAAAAGAAGCTGAGAAATGAGATCATAAGAAGGAGTATAAGAGAAAAAGAAGAATACCTGAATGAGATATGCGAAGAAATTAACAGAGAATTAATAGCTAATAATTTAGATAAAGCGTACGGGATGGTCAGAAAGTTCTTTGGGAAAGGAAAAAAGAAATCTTCAATAATAAAAGACGAAAAGGGACAACTTCTATATGAAGAAAAGGAAATAGTTAATAGATGGAAAGAATATTTACAAAAACTTTACGGAGACGAACCAATGAATGGAAACATCATGAATGATAATGAAGAACATATAGAAGATAATATAGGAGAAGACATCTTGAGAGGAGAATTTGATAAAGCAATGGAAGAATTAAAAACCAATAAAGCTCCAGGGATAGATGAAATACTGGCAGAACTATTGAAAAACTGTGGTGAGAAAGCAAAAGATGTACTTTTCAAAATCATATCGAGCATGTACAAAACTGGCCAAATACCAAGTGACTTCACAAAATGTCTCATAATTCAAATCCCGAAAAAAAGCAAAAGCCCAAACATGTGAACAATACCGAACTCTAAGTTTAATATCTCATGCATCTAAAGTGCTCACCCTCATCATAATGAGAAGAATAGAAACTAAAATTGAAGGAAGTTTAACAGACGACCAAGAGGTATGGGAACTTGAGAAGCCATCTTATCATTAAGGCAGGTAATTGACAAGATGAACAGGAAAGGAAAAACTACTTTTATATCATTTGTAGACCTTGAGAAGGCCTTTAATAACGTGAATTGTGACATAATGTTTGACACNGCATCTAAAGTGCTCACCCGCATCATCACGAGAAGAATAGAAAATAAAATCGAAGGAAGTTTAACAGACAACCAATTTGGCTTTAGAAGAGGTATGGGAACTCTAGAAGCCATCTTATCATTAAGGCAGATAATTGACAAGATGAACAGGAAAGGAAAAACTACTTTTATATCATTTGTAGACCTTGAAAATACCTTTGATAACGTGAATTGGGACATAATGTTTGACACCTTAAAGAAAACTGGAGCAAGTTATAGAGACAGAAGGATAATTCATAGTTTGTATAAGAACGAGATAGGAGTAATCAAAAGTGGAGCAAGTGAAGAAGAGGCCAAAATTATGAAAGGTGTCAGTCAGGGATGCTCACTGTCACCATACCTCTTTAATTTGTATGTACAAGAGGCCATTAACAAGATTAAAGAGAAGGGTGGAGTCGGAATAAACATACACGGAGAGAAAATAGACATGCTTAGATTCGCAGACGACATAGCTGTACTAGCAGAAAATGAAAACGATCTACAAAACATACTAAATATAATGAATGACACTATGAGAGATGAGTTTAAAATGAAAATAAATATTTAGAAAACAAAGATCCTAATAAGTAGTAGACGTGAAGAAGAGAGACTAAGAATAACTAACATCGCAATTGATAACGAATCATTGCAACAAGTACAAGAATATAAATACCTAGGAAGTTTAATAACGGCAGAAGGTACTAGTAAAAAAGAGATAGAAGTAGAATAAATCAGGCAAAATGTGCATTCAATAAGAAAAAGAACCTATTCACCTCCAGAAGCATAGATATTAACATCCGAAAGAATTTGATTAAAACATACGTGTGGAGTGTGGTGTTATATGGTAGTGAAACTTGGACGATCGCTAAAGCAGAAGAAAATAGATTATTGACTTTTGAAGCATGGTGTTGGAGAAGGATGTAAGGAATAAGTTGGAGAGAACATATGACAAACGATGAGATATTCGCAAAAACTAAAGAACGAAGATGTTTCATGAAAAGTTTGAAGAAAAGAAGAACCAAACTAATAGGACATATACTAAGATATAACAACCTATTGAAAAGAATTATGGAAGGAATGATAGTAGGAAAGAATGTAGTTGGTAGACCTCCTCTGGACTACTTACAACAAATAATGAGGGATGTGGACGTCCCAGGCTACAGACACATGAAGAGAAAAGCAGAAAATCGGGAAGAATGGAGAGTTGCAACAAACCAGCCCCACGGCTGCTAACTAAAAAAAAAAGTTTTAAAAAAATTAAGATAATATTTCTTGATTCTTTCAAGTTCTTATCTAATTCTTTAGAAAAATTGGCTAATAATTCAAAACCAAACCAGTTTAAAGAATTATCTAAACATTATCCTGAACAATTGGATTTAATAAAGGGAAAATTGTTGTATCTTTATGAATATATGGAGTCTTCAGAAAAATATGATAAAGAATCTCCAACTTCTATAGATAAATTTTACAGGTCTCTTACAGGTGAACATTTAACACAAAAAGCATATGAAAATGCTAAACAAAATATGGGAAACATTCGAAATAAAAAATATGAGAGTTTACTGAATTTTATAATAAAATAGATGTATTATTACTTACAGATGTAATGGAAAATTATAGTGATGTTTCATTATGACATTTAAGTTAGATTCTGTTCATTATTCTACAACTCCAGGTTTTGCATGGAATGCTATGCTTAGAAAAACAGATGTAGAATTAGAACTATAAACAGATATTGATATGTATTTGATGTTTGAACAGGGAATAAGAGGTTTATCTCAATGTAGTATTAGACATTTTAAATTTAAAATTTAAAAAGCGAAAGATGTGAAAAAACCCATTGATAAAAATAAATTATGTTTTAATGATTTTTATAATTGTTTAAAAATAAAAATCAAAAAAATGTAAAACAGAACACTTTTAGAGCATAATATTTATACCGTTGAACAAAACAAAAAAGCTCATAGTGCATATTATAATAAAAGATATATTCTAGAAAATGGTATCAATACTGTAAAATGAGGATATTATTCAACAAAAATAGAAATAGAAAATTTCAAAGAATACCTTGATAATTTAATAAAAAAGAATAATAATTTTAATATAAATTATTTTCGAAAAATGATCTATTGTAATACACAATGCATAATATTTTATATTATTTATTTGTTTTAAAGGAAACTATTCCTAGCACAATGTTTATGTAAAAATAGTTTTTTTTTAAATTTTTAAAAATAATAAATACATATTTTTCTTGTTTTGATTTAAGAATGTAACCTTTTGGACTTATGAAAGTATGTGAATGGAGATAAGAAATTTATTTTTTTAATATTTTTTTATATAAGTATGTGAACAAAGAATAATATAAAAACAATGTGAACAGAGATCTTAAATTAGTTTTTAAAAGTGAAAATACCTGGCTGCGCCAGGATCCCCATTTCTCTACTACTTGTATGTATGTATCATGTATGTATATGTGTATGTGTGTATGTATGTCAATACATCCAAGGTTGAATTCAAGAAAGGGCCTTCTAAAAGAAAAAGTAGAATACTGCTTTTATATTTTGAGTGAAGTGAATGTTTGCTATGTACCTATATTGTACTTTTTTTTTTTCTGTCTTTAAATTAGTTTTCTACCAGAAATCTTGGTCCAAATTGGGAGAGAAGCATCTGTTCTCCTGAATAGCAATGATATATGTATGTATATACAGAGTGTCTAAAGACGATTTGACAAATACAATAACTTTTGTTCTATTCAATATTTTTGATATAAATTTTTTATCAATAATTAATATACCTCAGTGCTACGGTTTATATATGAACATTTTTTTTTAGAGGGAAGGGGACTTCAAATAAAAAAATTTCAAAATAATTATTTTGTAAAAAATATTTTTAGAAAATTGTTGTTGGTTGAAACTTTTGATAAAGTATGGTCTTTTATATTTTTCGATTTTTTGAAAATTTAAGTGATTTTCTTTTCAATTATAACAATATTGTTTATCAAAATAAAGTATCATTATTGATTAATTAAACTACCTAATAACTATAATATGATAATATTATTGCATGATATTAACTCATGTAAAAGAAAATCCTGACTTATAACTGAATAACCACATTAGGTAATATTCACATTTGCAAAAACTTCAAAAAATTATTGAAAATAAAAGACCATACTTTAACAAAAGTTTAAGCAACTAAAAATATTCTAAACATCTATTTTACAAAATGGATATTTTGAATTTTTATTTTAAGTCTCCCTCCCCATAAATAAAATGTTCATATATAAACTGTGGCACTGACACATGCTAATTATTTAAAAAAAATATTAATTTGAACGATAAATAGGACACATCTATATAATAATTGTAAATAACACACGGCCAGAAAAAGTGAGAAGAAAATAATTGTTTAAAATTTCTCTAATATTATTATTCGAGTTTGCGTTATAATATTTATAACTATCATAAGTCTTTTAATAATAGTTAATCACTTATAAAGCACCGTGTTTGCATTATACTATGTGACCACGCAGGCTGTCAGCAGGTTTACCCGCAAAAAGGTCAATCACAAATTACACCAAAAACGTTCTCGAGCGCAAGTACATTATGGCGCAACATCTTAAAATTAATATAATAATGATTTTTGTTTTTTCAGTATGGTATATAAACCCGAAGATGATAACACAAAATGGTAAATGTGTGATGGTAATAGTAATTTATTAGTAAATAGATTTTATTAATTGTTGTTTAAATAAAATACATATTTTTTTTTTTTTTTTCATAGATATTACCAAAAGCATTGAATTTTCAAACAGCAAAATTTATTTTGGAGAGAAATTCGGGTATAGTATACGTAAATTCTAAACAATTTCAAAGAATTGTACAAAGGAGAATAGCCCGGACGAAACTAGAAGCTATGGGAAAATTCAGTAAACCGAAGTTCCAGAAATTCAAACGTAAATAAAAATATAGTAAAATTTTGTTTGTAGTAAATTAACACATATTAAAATGTAGAAAATAAGAAAATATATTGAAGACAAAAAAGATTTATTTATACTAGGCACTGGCATATATCCATATTTAATTGCAACAAAAAATAATAATAATAATAAAAGACGTTTTTGGAAAAGGCTAACTTTGCAAAAAAAGGATACACAAGATGTAGATACACTTTTGATGAACTTACAAGATGATGATGGTTTAAATGCAGAACTTCAATCTAGTTTTAACAATTGTGTAACAAAAATTGTGTAAGGATGTCATTTGAAGATTTTGAACATTTTGTCTTGTTAGTCCAGCAATTAAAAAAAAACACTAGTAGAAAATTAGTATCACTTAACGCCTTAAATCATTAACTAATTTGCAATTTTTGGCAACAGGAAACTTTAACATAGCTCGATAAATCAGTTATGACTGGGTACCTAGCTACTCAGTCAATATCACTAGCAGTACTAATAGTAGCTAATCTGTTCGTCATTTTTAAAACACTGTCCATACGCGTTCTACAATGCTTACCAAAACAAAAACCTTTTTAGGTTTACCGACACTGCTCGGAACACGACTTTATTTTTAAAAACATTAACAATTTGTTGGAAAAACAATTGTTTTAAGAATGTTTTGATTTCGTCGAAAAACACAGTGTTTCTGTTTTGTTTTAATTTTGTCGTCTCAGTGTGCACCCGGCATAATATTCTAAGGGGATGCACTCAGTTCTCCCGGTGTGATAAGAACCATAACCTCAACAAAAGAAAATTCCAATTATCAAAGTTTGGCGGGTTACACCAAAACACGAGGTTTATGATAAGGTAATAAAGAAACATTTATTTACAACATACAAACATAATACAAGTGATCCCCTGCAGACGGCTTTCGACGGAGGAAAGGCGAGCACGCAACAATTAAAAACAACATTAGTTAAAAAAAATAATGTTGCATAATAATTATTCGGAGTCGAAAAACAATGTTCCGCGAACGGCGTCGGTGCTGAGAAAGCGAGCGGAGCGGTTGAGACGTCGAGTCGAGCGGAGCTGTCGACGATGACCGTTGAACGCCGACGGCGAGGGGCGTGGCCGACGTCCGCCGCGAGCGACGCGCAGCGGGAAGAAGAAATGTGGCGCGAAACCCGCCACAAAAGTTTAAAATTAATGTCCGTGCGAATTGAATATATCAATTTCAACTGCGTGACATTTTTATGTTTCTAAATTGGTTTACTTGGATTTCGATTTTTCATTCATTTGAGGTTATATTTCTTATACCGGGAGAACAGATATACGCCCTATTCTAAGACCGTGTACCACACTATTTCTCCCCCAGAGAGGACCGCACTGCTAGGACGTTGGTCACTCCTCCGGGCACTGACCGGCGTCCGGTTGCCACGCCGACCGTCGATGTCATTGCCGTCATCGCCACCACTGTTGTTTACGCTGTACTCACCACTACTCTTACGACCGTCTCGACGACTACCTACTACTCGCATTTCGATTCATGAGTAAATGTTTTCACTCTAGACCAGGCATGTCAAACTCTAAGTATCAAGTAGGCCAAATATATTGAATAGTTTACTATGCAGACTGTACACAAACATTTAATGAAAAAAGATATTTTATAGAAATTTTTCAATTTTATTCTTTACGAACACAAAAAATTAAAAAAAAATTTAACATTTTCATTTAAAAAAAATCATATTGATTATTTATATCTATTTAAATTACAAAACAAAATCCTATTAAAAATTTTTTTTGGACTATATCTAACATTTCTTTTCTCCAACCAACTTTTCAATTTTGGGAGAAATTTTATTGGCCGAAGCCACTTTTAACATTGAATTTAGATGTGTGTCGGTTAATCTTGGTCTTACGCGTGATTTATTGCTGTTCATTAATGAAAATAGTTGTTCACTTTGATAAGTATTACTAAACATAGAAATAATTTTACACGCAAATCTACGAGTTTCTACATATTGTACTGGCACGAAATTGTAAAAATCAGGCATTTATTTTTTAAAACTTAATCATTTTGAATATCGATCAGTTCCATTTGTATATGTGCTGGAACTTCTACTTCGTTTATTGAAAAAGGAGACACGAACAAGACAAAATCGTTTTCTAAATATTTGAAATCTTGAAACCTACTTTCGAATTTAGTTTTTAAACATATAATTTTTTCTGAATATTTTTTGTAGGAAATTGGTTCATTATTACTTGTTTTATACGTCACGCAAGTTGGGAAATGCGTTAAATCTTCATTTTGTAATTGTGTTTTCCATAGATCTAATTTACATATGAAAGCCTTAACATGGTCATTAATGCCTGTTATAATTTGATCTTTCCCTTGTAATTTTAAATTTAAATACGATAAATGCTTCGTAATATCGACCATGAAGGATAGGTCTTGTAACCACATTGGATCCAACAAAATGCTGACGTCTTGTTCTTTAGATTCTAAAAATATTTGTATGGAATCTTTTAACTTCCAGAATCTTTCAAATAAAGTTGAGCATAACCATCGATAACCATGATAACCATCGTACTTCATAAAGTGTGGTAAACCTGAATATTTACTTTCTAAATCGTTTAAAAAAATCGAAAATTTTCTTTGGTTCAAACCACGGGATCTTATAAAATTGACCATGTGTTTTACAGGTCTTATTACATGTGTCATATTAATAACTTTTGAACATAACATCTCTTGATGTATAATACAACGTGTCTTATGAAATGTATGTTCAACATTTTCATTAGCCTTTTTTTGCAAACTTTCAACGAAACCTTCATTTTTCCCTGTCATAGAAGGAGCTTCATCTATAGCCACAGACGATAACTTTGCCAATGGTAAATCATATTTTTTCAAGAGTTTAAAAACAGAAACGAATACATCCTCTCCTGTAGTAGTATGATGCATAGGTATAGTTTCCAATAACTCTTCAAAAATATAAAATTCCACATCGCAAGCACGAAAAATACTCGAAACAAGGTATTTTTATTTTCATATATTTTCATATTGCATGCTAGTTCAGTTATTCTTTTAGCAACCATATTTCGTGTTAATGAAATGTTTTGAAAAGCTTTTAGATTTCCGGTACAAATAATTTTAGCACTTTTAATCAAACACGTTTTTATAAAACCACCTTCAGTGAACGGTTTCGAATGTTTGGCAATTAACTCTGACAACACGTAACTAACCTTTACTGATGCTTTATTTTCTTGTAGTATTTTAGTAAACATCAGTTGTTGTTATTTATACACCGCTTTAAACTATTTCAGTTTTTCTTGTCTCAATATCCCTTCATACTGGTCGTATTTTGACTTGTGTTGTTCGTAATGTCGCTTAATGTTGTACAACTTTGGAACACTAATAACACTTTTACATACTAAGCAAATTATTTTATTTTGGATTGATTTCACTGCAAAAATATTGTAATTCTCAACTTTTTTTAAATTGACGATGTTTATCAGTAATTTTTCGTTTATTACTACCACTCAGTTTTGATAGAGACATTTTAACTATTAAATTTAAGTAAAATACGGCCAACAAAATTTAAACTCGAAGGTTATCGAACGACTAGATTAGATGTTGGCAATGGATGAAGCACGCGTGTCGCGTGCCGACGATATCAGTTATTAATAATTTATATATATACATAAAACCATCAAATACGTATTCGATTACAATTTATCAGAAGATGAGACAGTGTAATAATGTATATCAAATATACCATTCTCTAAGAATCTAAGATAGTTGTGACATAAAATAAATATGTTATAATATTTTTTTTATTTTGTCCGTTAATATTGGTAGCCGAGTGTTTGACATGCTCGCTCTAGACTTTTGTTCACTGACGTACATATCGATCTCTTTCGCCATTACTATTAATTTAATGTTTAACTGTCACTGTTTTTGTTGTTTGTGCATAGTAAATTCAGTAATACTCGACCATTGTTGCAGTATTCGGGTGTATCGCTCTCGTCGATGTATTATATATTATAGTATGTTTCCCCTTATCTCGTTTTTTGCTCGCTGTGCTGTCGTCGAAACATCGTTACGAGTCGTCTTGTTACGTCGTTGCTGTCCTGACGGGAATCTTTGTTACCGGCGATATCTGTTTTTTCAGTTTACCTATCCGTCGAAGAACAGTACGCGTGCTTTGTTGCGACCGAGCGAGTCCAAATTCCCTCCTAAATATGATGGACCGGCAAAATCCTCAGGATCTCGTCTACCAGAAATACTATAACCTATTTTTAGTGGTGATTTAGCCGGTTGACATGTGTTTCGTGATAGGTCCATTGCTTTAGTAAGTCGTCGTTCAGATCATACAAATATCGAACGTTTTTATTACCTTCTCGGCTGTCTCAATGGCGACGCTCTTTATACCATATTAAGAAATATTACTATTATCGAAAGTATCTACAACCTGGCAAAGTCTACACTAACTGAACGGTATGACAAACCTAGATAATTAGCGTCGTCTACCTAGGACCGCCTTGTTGTCGATCCGCTTCAGTTCCCAGAAACATTGAATAGTCTTTCTAGAACTATTTCTAGATTTTTTTCTGATCAAATCGCCACATTAAAGTCTTTAAATATTCCTGACCTGGGCAAGTTTATTTAATTTGCTTTATCTACTCGTTACTTACCGTTGACCTACACGTAAGGGTTTTGAAGCCGTCAACGCCTGTAAATTACCGACGGTATCAGATATATTGACTTACGTAAAAACGTGGGTTGCAGTCCTACACATTGTTATATTTTCCAGTAGTGCGCGAAATTGTGTCCAACGTTAAGATAAAGGGAAACCTGTCCAACGACCTGAATAAAAAAGATCTATAGTAGCATTGTTATTCTAAAATGATTCAGTCGTACCTACCCAGAAATGCTAAGTTGGTCCCGAAAACCATTCTACTGTCAATTGTACAAAGTTTACGGAAATATCCTTAGACGACAGGTATCAAGCAGCTAAGAGTCGTAAAATATGTTTCTGGTGATTAAATTCCACTCATTGGTCGTATTGTTGTACGGCAAAACCATGTTGCAAATGTAAAGGTCGTCATTATGTGTCATGTCCTCGATATGTGTAATTCACTAAGGCTTGAAACGTTCCAAGTGGACAGTTCCCCTTATGAGTCTTGCTGGCGTGCCGGTCCCTCAGCTAAATGGCGTGGTAAAGTGTACCGTCACATCACAGTATTACACTAGACTTTGGCTGACCCTAACTTTTATTGTCGAGCTCTATAATCGAGGTACATAATATATATATAAAGAATATATTTACTCCTTTAAGCCTGAACTTGTGATGGAGTAAAATGGTCAATAATAAAAAAAGAATATAGCTTTTTTTTTTTTTTAATCAATTATAAAATATTACATACAGATATAATTGACAAATGACAAAATTTAACTGTATTAATATCTTTCCAAATGTGTAAAAAAAATTGTAGTTATGTTAAAATAATGATAATACATGTTGAATAAAATTCAGTATTTGATAAATTAATAAGTGAGCCGGTATTTTTGTACTTTCCCTGGTCGAAATCTCTCCCCAATACTCCCCTGTACTTAAGTTATATGTATTAGTGTGTTGTGTGTGTCATGGCTATTAGGAAAAAAATCCCCGTTGTAAATTAATACGTACATTTTAATAATAATAAAAAAGAAAAAAACCATTTATATTTATTATACTTATTATTGTAAGTTAATAAAAACACAAGCAATTTAAAAATAATTTTTAAACTCATAATTTTCGTATATTATGAGTTTTATGACTTACTGCTATTAAAATGTCTACAATACTTGTTAGGTTGTTGTGTATATTGATTATAAAAAATATATCTAATATATACAGATTAATAGATTCTCAATAGAAGGTATACTTATTAAGAGTTTTTGATGCAATAAATCAGAAATAAGATAAATATTATATAGATAGATTTCCAATGCGAGTATCCCTAACAGCACTGAGAGTCCCAGACCCATATAGGGGTCTCCCAGTAGTTACCCGGATGGGAATAGAATTTTGGGCTTCTTGGTCTTTTTAAAAATTGTATTAAATTAAAACCCTTGAAGGGCTAATTTTTAAAAAATAATAATTAAGCTACCCAAATTTCTTATTCTACCAATAATTTATATTTAATATTAAATTAATTATTAATTCTTTCTATAAATTTGTTCTAGATGCTGGAAGACGAATATTTAACTTCAGAGTGAACAAAAATAATTATGTATAATGATATATAGATGTATATTGTGTATAATTATATAATAAAATTACAATTACACAATTATTATTGTTGTTTATGTATTATTTTGAAAATTTACCGAAATATAGGACCCTCATAATGTTAGGGAAGAACATTTCTGTTGTATTATAATTATAATACGCTATAAGATAGGATGAATACTTGAATAATTAATAATTAAATATAATATAATAGGTCAAAAATATATATTTATGTATCCTAAAATTAATAATTTCATAATATATAGTATCCTACAGGTGTCCTAATTGGAGTTATCCAGGAGTCCCAATATTATGTACTTAGAATCCCAAGCTGGAGTCCTAGTTTGAAGGTCTGTGGGAAAAGCTATTCGGATTACCGTAAGAACTCTCTTGGACTCAAATAAATGCTCCATAGAACCTCCCTATGGGACTCCTCATGATGTCAGTGGTAGATTCCTACATTATACATATCATATTATTCTGTTTTTAAAATTGGTGTTTAATAATATAAAGGTCACCACACACGGTCATGTCGGCCTGTCAGTTATGCCTGCACAGGCCGCCGGATACCGGCCGGCCGGAATGACATCAGCACCCCCATACGTTCCGGCGAATCTGTCCGGGCGTCACTTCAGTCACAAGTTTTGATAGATATGGCTACCAATGAAGACGCGCTTGCTATTTTAGGCTTGTTGATAGCCATGGAAAATAATAAAATTAAAAAACGTAAACGTCGACTGTGGTGTAAGAATTGGTTACAAAAAAGAAACGAATATTTTATTTTCCACAAACAATGTTCGTTTCGATATATGTTAATAAAATCTTCAATACACTGAGATTCTTTCTCTCGAGACATTTTTTTTTTTTAAATGACTAAACCTCACGAAAGTGTAGTGCAGTGCAATGTAGCACGTCGACTTTGAAATAAAATTAAACCGTTTAGCAAATTGGCCGGTCGCCGGAACCCACACACGTTTCGATACGCTTGCGCAGTCCCGCAGTTCGCCGGATGGACGAACGAGTTTTCATATTTTGTCCGGCGGCCTGTGTAGACATGACTAACAGGCCGACCGGACCGTGTGTGGCGACCTTAAGGAAAATGGCACGGTAACAAAAATTGACAAATGCTAACAAAACATTTGTGTGCAAATAAACAACCAAATCAATAATTTGCATTTTTAATTTACCAACATTATATTTTTTTTAAATTAATTGATCTGTTTTTTGAACATTGATGACATACTGATAACATATGAAAATTATGCTTTTAAAAAATTGTTTTTATTAACTTAAAATAATAAGTATAATAAATATGTATGTTTTTTTTTATTATTATTAAAATGTACTTATTAATTTACAACGAGCCTTTCTTTCCTCAATTTTTGTCATGTGGTCTTATGATAATATCATAATTATTGGTATTCGTGATAACACATTATTTTTTGGCAAAACATAATCTAAAATACACAATCGATGTAACTGATTATTAAGAAATAAATTAGAATTTGACTAAACTTTAAAAATAGCTTAAAAATTAATGACGTAACCTATCTGATAGTTTCAAACACCAACAATGTTTGTACAAATTCATTTATAAAATGGCTATTTTAAATATACATTTTATTAAAAAATTAGAAATATTTCTTAGTTGTAACGAAATATAAATGCCATTAGATACTTACTACTATTATATTATTACATGAAAAGGTTAATAAATTATTTTAGTTACCTAGGAAATACATTAAAAAAAAATGTATTAATTACTTACTGCTAATATATTATTATCGCATTTAATCAATTATAATTCTAAAATAAAATTTACCAAAAAAAAAAAAAAAGGTATTATAATAATAATGGCTTCTTAAATTTTTAATAAATTTTAGTCTACTAATATATTTGTTTTTATATTTTCAGCTTTCCGTTTTAAAAAATTAGATATCGTTTCTTTTGTTAAATTTTTACACTGTGAATGTTTATGCTCAATAACTGATTTTAAAACAATCTTTTTATCTTCAATTATAAACAGCTTTGAAGTACATGACTTCAATGTACATTATACTGTATTGATTAAAAAGTAACATTATAATGATAAACGCAATATTTGAATAAATTAATAATATACTTAAAATTGTATACAATAATTTACAAAATATATAACATAATAAGTAATAATATCACTAAACTAATAAAGTATTCAGTTTAGTGAATAATATAGACTATAGTTATGGGTGATAGATAAGATGATAGATATAGGTCCTATAAAAAGATCCTTAAAAAAAAGACAATGAATAATATCTTAACAAATAGACTTATGAGGTATATCGGTGGTTTAAATCAAAACAAATAAAAAACGATTTTGGGCGATAAAACAAATATATATTTAAAATATTTTATTAATTTGAATAATTTACGAAAATATGAATAACATAAATGAATAAGTTATTCGTTAGTATCCATAACTAATACAGTCTATTTTTAATAATGTATAAGTAAACTATATTAATATAATAATAAATAACTATAATAAGTTAATATAGATAGATACAAGTTAAATAATAGTATTTAATATCATTTAACCGTCAAGCAGAGTGGCGCAGTGGAAGCGTGCTGGGCCCATAACCCAGAGGTCCGTGGATCGAAACCACGCTCTGCTAAATAAATTTTTTACTTTTTTTTTTGTTCATAATTTATAATAATTAATAACTTTTAAACCAGAAACCTTACCCCGAGCATTTAGATATCAGAGGGATGATCTGATAGCGTTTTTTTTCTTGATAGTTCATTGAGGAAGTAATTTCTCAGTTTTTCATTGTAATTTTTTCAATAATTTATTATGAAAACTTGGAAACATTTAGGCAATAACGAGTTTTCTGTTATTCTTTTCTCAGAATTTTTTGTGGTGATTGAATTATTCAATTAAAAATAATCGTAAAGACCCGCCATTTTCATCAAATACCTACTATTACCTACTATTATCTTATTATTTTTCAATTTATAAAGATAAAACTTTTTGGTTTCATAAACATGGTCAACAATTTGAGGCAAAAATACTCATACAATAATTATAATTTTATTTATTTTGTAATGTTTTTAAATTAAATCAATTTTCACTTTTTGTTTATCAGAACGTCACTACATCAGGTACCTACAGCCACTTTAATAATATTATGATAGAATATTACAAATTATTTAGGTATAATTTCTCAATTATCCACCTACAGTGGCATTACCCGTGATCTGAAATACAATATTACTATGATGTGTGTTTTTGTATTTTTCTTTCTTTTTGTGATTAACTTTTCCACTATCAGAAAAAAAAATGAAAACTGAAAAATAGAAAATATGCTTCGACGTATCGACTATAGCACCTTTTCCAAAAGACAATTTTCTCTAGCTGATGCATTGAGGAGTTTATTTTTTTGATTTTCCGAGGGTTTTAAAAATAATTGGGAAAAACCCGAAAGAAAATTATAGGTAAAACGGCAAATACCCATTTACGGCTCGGCGCGGCGTAATCTACCGTTTTCATTGTTTTTAATTTGTTTACACGATGTTTTCTACTAGAAATATTATCTATAGTGTTTTTTTTTTTTTTTTTTTGTAATAATTGTGAAAAACCTAAAAAGTCATAAAATACGATTTTTGTTCAAATTACGGCGTGGCGTAACTATTTTAATATTCAAAATTTGTACAGCATATTATGTTTTCTACCATAAATATTGCATTAATAGAAATACGGCAAAAGATCTTTTTTGTTGCATTCTCAATCTGGTTTGTGTGTAAGTAATTCGGCTTTTGAATTTCTTTGTAGTTTTTTTATTAATTGATCGAAACCGAAAAATATGTAGAAAGAACGGAGAAATTTACAAAAATAATGCTTTTATTATTTTAAATGTTGTTTTTGTAATGCAATTCAGTTAAAAATATTTGTAGAGACTTAACATTTTGACAAAAAATTCAAATTTAGTTTTTCTAGACGTGGTAGAATTTTCAAAACATTTAAATTATTTTTGAGCTATTTTTTAACATTTGTATGACATTATAGAGGTAATTTTTATTGTGTAGGTACCCTGTGTATAAAATTGTTAGATTAAACAGAAATGCTGGACAATTTGACAGGAGGTGAATTTAGGCCATACTTAGCTTACTTAACCTGTTTTAAACATGTATAACCGAACTTCGGTCCAAATCGTTTTTCGTTAACAATGGTTTATCGTTGGTTATACAGATATAAATTAAATAATTGTATGCATCCCATCTTCCCAACTACAACAGTGACCGTGCACCCATCCTCCATGTCAACTATTTTTTATTATTTTTTTATTATATGTGTCGTATCATTAAATGTATAATTTACCTAACTTTTACCTACACTTTAACATATTAATATCGTTGTTAGTTATATTATATTGTCGTTACCTAATATTTTTCTCGGTTGTTTGAATTTAGATTTGTGGTTTACACTAGTAAACCTTATCTTAATAAATCTCTGCCTAATAAACAATTGGTAGGTAATTCATTTTTATTTATAAAAATCAAAAGGTGCCTATTGAATTGTTTGAACAGCAAAAACTTTATTAGATGGTTATCAAGTAGGTGCATAATACATTTAATATGTGGGCATAGCAGTAGTCAATAGACAAAGAATGCCATTGGATCTGATTTACGTAGGTAGGTAATTTAGATCGATTCTTTGTATTATCATAAAATTGAAATGGTTTATCTACTAAACAATTTTTACTTTTGAAAATAGAAATTATTTCGTAAGTCTAGACGTGTAACTATGTAAACACTTTCTGGTGTGCAAAAAATAAGTTTGCAACCACTACATTTGAAACGTGTCCATTACCTAGTGCAAGTGCTATACATTTGCACAGGCCGATATACGCCACTGATAACCTATACATGATCGATGGCCCGTGAGTAGGTACCTATTTATGCTAAATATCAATCCAGATAGGTAATCGAATTTAACAGAATTTATGGCGAAAATGTTATAAAAACGACGGGCGCGTATAATTTTCCGCCCATGTGTCCAATTCAAATAGGGGCGAAATGTAGAAAATACTTTCACGTTCAAATAATTATTGTCTATATTTTCAATGACATAAAGGGCGATTGCAAACTTACGGCGCGCATTTTATGTCGTAGTCGCTTTAACTGCAGTGTTACGGTTTTACAGTAAATAGGCACAGTATTGTACAGTTTAGTGACGATAGGTATTGGCGACATACCTTCTGGCTATCTAAAAAAAAAAAAAATTAGGTACCTACCTACTGTTGATTTGTGTCGTTATCCATAGGTATTCAATAACGTATTATGACTTTTCTTTCTATACATTATTTCGTGTTACTACCTAACCCATGCAAGTGATTACATAATAAATCGGCTATAAATGAGAAAAAAAAAAACCAATGAATTCGGTGCACAAAACAGAATTCATTAAGGAGGAATGAAAAAGGAAAAGCTACGGAAATATATTCACATTGGTTCTTCTCATTTCACAAACCAATTTAGGTAGATACCTATTTTAGTGGGTAAGTACCAGTCTACCGTTACTAATTATTATTTTATATTATATTTTTTAAAGTTATTACTGTCCCCCCTCCCTAGTCTAAAATTATTAAAATGTTAAAACCCCAGATACATCAATACGTGATCCAAGATTAAATCTACATTTTTTATGAATAAACTATTAATCAATTATGCGACTAGTAGTATATTTTATTGTATTAATATATGATATTTTATACTACCAATATTTTTTTTTTTCATTTGGTATCTAGTGATACCATTATAATACAAATACCTACATTTTAGAGTTTAATTAATTTTAAATTTATTATGTAGGTACTTATATAATTATTCAGAAATAATATAAATATTGCTGATTTGGACGAATCCCAAATTAAGTACCTTATATACTTATCTAAGTAGAAAAATAATTTCAAGTTCTGAAACACCATGTCGAATGTATCTGTTGTACGAGAGTATAATGCTATATTTTTTTTAAAACATGACACAAATAAATACATGAAAAATAATTTCAAATAAAAATAGAGAAACATAGAAAGAAATAAGTTCACACGCAGGTAATAAATTTATTATGGTAGATATGGAATATTTATAAAAAAAAAAAACATATTTTTCCAAAACATATTCTTAAAAAGTAGACATATGATTTACAATTTAAAAAATAATGAATAATGAGAATGGCCTATATTGACAATATAATATACGTTTGCTAACTACTAATATGCACAAATAACAAGTTTACAAAGTGTGCATACCTATCTTAATTACTTATTAGTATATTAATGCAATATTGATTAATTGATAATTTATTAGTTTTAATGTTAGGATTTTAAGAGATTATATAATGTATGCAAGTTCTAAATACTGCTGAATATCATTAGCAACTACCCGAGAAAAAAATAATTATTGATATTAAGTAAAAAAACTGATATAAACATTTAGGTATAAATAATCTAAGTATTCAAAACTAGCGAGCCTTTGTAAATGTATACATGTAATATTAAACAAATCCCAAAAATAATACTGATTTTTTTACATTATCATGTAATAATGTAAGACTTAAGTTCACAATAATACATACAGATATAAATATATGTATATATATTTATACTTTTCGTAAACTAATTATTCAATACACCACAAAAATAATAATCAAGGAGATATTCATTTATAAAAGCCAGCAATTTACTATTATTATTATTCCATGTTTTTTGTTTTATTTTTAAAAATGGTTTAAACATAGATTTTTATTGGGGAATATTAAATACAATCACCAACATTCAAAAAAATGGTTAAATCAAATTTTTTTAAATGGGTTCTTAAATACCAATAAATTACTAACTTCCATTATGAACTATAGGTACACGCATTTATTTGGTATGTCTAATAAAAATAAATTACAGAATTCATGAATTTAAAACACAGACTATATTAAATACTACAAAACCATCATATTTAATCTAAAAGTTACAAAAAAAAAATATATATATTTAGACACAAATAGGAATTGAATAAAGTTACCACAGGAGTAATTTAAATAAATACAGACAATAATAGTGTACAATCAATGAGATTAGGTAAAATTAAATAAAAAATGTAAAATAATCAATTAGTCAATAGTTGTTTCACATGAACATAAAGTATTTTTAAAGTCTGTTGAATAATAACTCTTATAACATTAAAAAAAAAAAAAAAATGGTAAAACAATAAAATAATTTAAATTAAATATTTTTCAAACCAAATAGGTTTCGAGTATAATCAAATTTTAAAAAAAAAAACAACTTTAGAATATTCATGTTCTTTTAAAAACAAATTTTAAATTATCTTTCTCTGGTCAAATCAAAAAATATGTATGATTGTTCAACTTCACTCATAAATAAATAAATAAATAAATAAATAATATAATAATTCTTAATTGTAAAACATGATTTTTCTAATTCTAAATAAAATCATAATAGGTATACATCATTAAATATAATATTGAAAAATAATTTTAAGCAATACATTTGATAAATAGCTTTAAATGATAACTATGAATCCTAATGAATTTTTTTTTCAACGAGCAATAAAAAAAACCTTAATATATCTATTTTTTTTTAAAAAGGGGTACAATAATTATTATCGAACATATAATTATTTTATTGATTTAAGAGAAAATTGTGTAAATGTCATTCAAACTTTTAAGAAAACTGAAAAAAACTGCACTCTCTCTACATGAGTTTTTATAATAATAATTGTAAATTGATATTAAATATAGAGTAAATTTAAACCAAATTTTATTGAAATACATCTATTCTGGTATCCATAAAAACCAATTATTTACCTTAAGTATAGTAAATTATATATTATAAATGTCAATGATGAAGAAAATAAGCAGGGCTCGGAAGTTATATCATTAAACACAGTTAATTTTGGGCATTATTTTAATATGTAATAATAAATTTTAAATAAGCTTTATAAAATAAAAATAGGAAAATATGCAAATAACTGTACATTCATACATTATTTCATACTAAGTTAGTATATAATCAATACGAAGAATCAAATAATCATAGTAAAATGCAAAATATACAATTTGAAAAATAACCAAATTATAGGAAATTAATAGAAGTTTTATATATCAACCAACACAACCACTTTTTTTTTTAATTTAAAATTTTTTTTTTGTTTGCCTTAAACTATTTGACTTAAAATCTTTCATTAAGTGACTAAATTAATACTAAAATAATTAAGAGTCAATTGGCTTTTATACGAATAAAACATATTTATTTCCATTACATAATTATATGCCTACACACATTGTAAATAAAGTGGTAAATATGCACAAATGGAAAAAAATTGCATATATATTCAGTGAAAATGAAACCGAGCCCTGGTCATAACTGTTAACACAAAATGTATCATTTACCTATGAAAATAGGTATGTATTAAGTTTTATGAAATTGTTTTGACGAGTTCTAATAAAAATAAATATATATTTTTAATAGATGGAAATTAGATTTAATGTATAAAATACATTATAAATTATTTCATATTTATAAATTAGTTTTTAAATATTTTTTATACTTAATTTGAAATATGATACTAATAAAAATGTTTAAATATTATACAAGTCGTATAATATGTAATAGTTACACAAATGAGTTCTGAGAAAAAATCAAATATAAATTCTTTAAAGAAGAATCGTATTATTTTAGTAAAATGCTAATATATAATTTGATACATTTCAATAATGAAAACTTTGCAAACATGTAGCACTAAATGCATCATTTTTTCTTTCTAAACTTGTATCATAAACCTATAGGTTAATTGTATTAATTGTATATTATAATAATAATAATAATAATAATAATAATAATAATAATAATAATAATAATATTAAGTTTTTGATTGCTTAAAATATATTATATTATACTCTATTATTTATGCCTGAGTTGTAGTTGTATTAGTATGAGATAATATAGGTGTCGAACAATATGGACAATCTTTTATTGTATCCACACACTGATTACATAACACAAAGTGATTACATGGTCCCAATGTTACACTTCTGTTTTGCTCTTCACATTTCATGCATTTTGTAGCTGTTTGTAAATATAAAACCTGGACCAAACAATAATCAAGAAATAAAACAAAATTATTGAAATATGAAGGCTTAAATAGGCTTGTATGAGTCATTCATAATGTTTGATAGTCTGGTGCCTTAATCTATTATATTAGATTAATGGATATTATAGGTCAATGTTTTTCAACCTTTTTACTGTCATGACCCGCTAAATGAAAATTTAATTTTTTAGCTAACCTCCCTTAAATACATATTTTATACTTTTGGCGACCCTAAATAATTAGTTGGCAACCCCTAGGTTGAGAAACATTTATATAGGTGATTAAATACTTAAGATTATTTTAAGAAGATCAGTTTTTCCCAATAATTGATTATTTACATTCAAAATTGAGTAACAAGAGGTAAATTTAATCAGGGTACATTTTTCATAAGTACAAATAGTAGGTAGAATGAATAAATATTTGATTGTACGAAGGTCGTCTTGAGGCATAAAATAAAATAATTATTTAGTTAATATACATAAGTTTTTTGTTCAAAATTAATATCAATTTTAGCATATTATTATACAGGTGAACTCATAAATAAAGAATAATTTAAGTTTACCTTTTCAATTTCCTCCAAATCATTTCTCATTTGACTCTGTAATGACTTTAATACAGATAGTGATAAATTTCTAATTTCGGAAACTCTACGTAATCCATGCAGATAAGGTGATCCTTGTAATAAATCTACTTCTTTTTGTAATGATTTTGCTTGATTAATAGCCTTTTATAAATAATAATTAATACTATAACCATTTTTATACTTTATCATATTTACTTCATCTCTTTGTTGTTCGGCAATTTTTAATTTAGTATTTAAATCTTCAGTCTCCCTTTGCCATGCATCATAAGTGCATCTAACTTGTGCCATTCGATCAACTTCCCAAGAAGCTATTTTTGTTTTATATTTCATTATTTCGTCTTGTAATCGTTGAACTTGTGCCTAGTATCAAAAAAGAAATAAGACATTAGTACATAATAGTTAGTTTTGAAATTGCAATTTTATTACATCGTTTGTATTTGAAGGACTAATTGGAAATGTATTTGCTGTTCCTGGAGAGCCAATACCAAATAAACCAGATGAGCCAAAATTATTGCCAGTGACAATATTTAAATGGCCTAGCCCATCTTGCTGGTTATACCTAGATTTTTGTATCATGTTATTTTGCATATGCTTTAAAGGAGAAGCTATTGTTGGTGAAAATTGACCAATACTATTATGACGAGTAAGAGGAATATTTACTGGAGCAGAACTTCCTAACATATCTGAAAACATGCACACAATTTTATTATGTATTTTATTAAAATACAATTATAAATAATTATTTTATAATTTTAAAGTCATAGAAACACATTAGTGGTAAAAATTAAGGGAATATATGATGACAAGATTTTTTCAAACATTTATTGCTTGAATAAATTAATAATAATAAAAAACAAAATAATAACATTATTTAATGAATATGTTCTTTTTCCCTAAGTTGTTAACCAAACGCAAAAATGAATAACAATTAATATTTTGCACAATTAAAAACAAAATAAGTTAGTTTTATTATACTCTATTCAACTTAAAGAGTACACTGGATATGTTTATACTTTACATTTTTTTCTCATTTAATCAATACATGATAAATAAATAAATCACTGTGACTATATTAAGATGTATCTACAGTAAATTAAGATAATATTCTATTAACTTAAAAGTAAAAGTTTTAATTCTTAGTTCTGTCAACAATTATTATTATTCTTTATGGTCTTCTGTAAAAAGAGGTTTGTCATCATTACTATATAGCATATAAAATATAGATAACCTTTTTAGATTCTGAGTGGATCTTACAAAGTTGTTTATTTTATTTTATTTTTTTAACCGCATGAATTCGGAAACTTGTACAAACTGTAGAAACTACAATAAATAAAAAGAAAACATTTTATGGAAAATCGATTTTACTGTTGGTTATTTATGAAAACTAAACAAGTAGTTATGAATATCATGGGAGGAACTTCATCAGATTCAAACATTTCGTCCACTATTTAGAGGGGGTCAATTTTTAAAATTCATGCAGAATAAATTTATAAATGGAAAAATATACATAATGTTAAATAAAATTATGTACAGTGTTATTGTTTAATATTTTTTAATGATATAATAATAAACAAAATGTATGTGCATAGGTGTGCGCAGACCTTGCTGGCAGGGGGGGCAGAATATATATTATATATAATGGTTTATTAGTTATTACTTGTTACTTATTAGTAGGGTTCGGATTCGAAGGCAATATTATCAATAAAAAAAGCATTTGAAATGTGTAAAAAGGCAAAAAACACCCATTTAATTTTTATAAAAAGTAATTACAAATTTTACTAATTATTAAATAGATTTCAGTTGATTTAACTAGTTTGTATTCAAAAAAATTCATTACCATGTACTTAAATAAATTGTCTTCAGTAAAACATTGACGGTTAGGACTCAAAATATTTATGTACATAGAAAATGATTGTTCTTTGTTTTAATATTATCTAAATTAGGATTACTACTTATTATATCATCATCACCATCAAAATGGCATTTATAAAAAAAAACAAAAGAGTTTATACTACTGACAGGTGTGGCTACATTAGTTAGTAAGTAGTATGGAAAGTGAGATACATAAAGTTATTTAATTTATACCTGTAACCAACAATAAACCAATAATAACAAAAAACGATTCGGAGCATTTGGGTATATATGTTTTGAAAGGCCATAAATGCCTTTCAAAAATACTATGTGTTATGATTTTCGTCGAAATTTGATATTAAAATTTCTTAATAAGATAAAATACTACATAAAGCTTAATTTTTTTGTACCACAAAGTACAACATTTATGGAACCTTCTGTTAAATTTCCAAGCATTTCTGTTTAGTCTAACAAGTAATAATTTTATCCACATAGTACCTACCAAATAAAAATTACGAGTATATATAAAACTTGCAAAATTAAAATGTCTATAGTTCAAAAATGAATCAAATATTTTGAAAATTTTACCACATCTAGTAAAAGCTAAAATAAGTTTTCTGTCAAAATTTCAAGTCTTTATGAATATATCAAACTAAATTACATTAAAAAAAAACAAAATTGAAAATAATAAAATAATCTTTTTCATACACTTTTTTGTACTTTTTGTATCTTTTGTTAGTTTTTTCAATTATTAAAGAAACTATATATAAAATTAAAAAACCATTTGCTTGTTCACCAACTAGATTACAAATTCAACAAAGATCTCTTGATGGTTTTTTTATTGGAACAATATTTATGGTCGAAAACATTGGCTGTAAAAATGTAAAACAATGAAATTGTAACACTGTAAATTTGTCAGTTTTAATTTCACGTTTTTTTTTTTTCCAGTTTCTTTACTAATTATCAATAAAACTATAGAAAAAATCGAAAAACAAATAACTTCTTTATAAATTGGATTAAAAATGCAAAAAAAAAGTCTCTTGTTGTCTATCTATTGAAGGGATATTTTTTCAAAAACCCATCAGAAAATAACAAAAATGACATCCTTAATGCTTCAGTAAAAGAAAATTAACTTTCAAAAAAGGTGCTACAGTCTATACTTCGGAGCAAGTTTTATGGTAGAAAAGTTGTTCACAGACAGAAAAAAAAAAAATAAATACAAAAACACATCACAGTAAAACTAATAGATCACATTTCCATATAAAAATAAATAATTTTTCTATTATTATAAAAAAAAAAAAAATGACTTTTCCCTTGAAATCTAAACCCAACTTATTAGTATTAGTTCAATTAATATTAGTAATAGAAGTATTTTAATTTTATACATCTTATAATGCATCATTTGAACAATCTTATATATTTACCAGATGCTTGTAAACTTGATGATAAAGGATTATTTAATATTGGAGATTCATTTTCTTGGTCTACAGAAAAATTTAAACCATCTTCCATAACTAAATCATCTAGATTACCTAAAAAAAAAAAATACATAAATATATATAAAGAATTTAATAAATGTCAATAAAATAAAAATTAAACTATACCATTCATAGCAGTTGTTGATTGATAAGATGAATAATGATTCATATATGATGAATTACCATTACCATTTGATACAACAGGACCAAATATGGAACTATGCCGCCGTTGTGGTTCAACATTAGGTAACAACGATTGAGTATCAAATGAACTTAAAAGCTAAAAATTGATTGATTATAATAGCATGTAAAATGTTTTAACAAAATAATCATTGAAAAACATACAGCTTGAATAGTATCTTCATGTGCTATATGAAATGGTTGTATATACTCAGATCTTGATAAATGGGCCCCAGGAGCTTTGTTTGGAGAGCCAATACTTGAAGTGCATTCAGAAAGATCTCCACTTTCATTCTATAAACATAACACATGGTTTAAATATAGACAAGTGTTTAAAAATTTAAAAACTACCAACCGATGAACTATTTTTGTCACTATCTTTTTTTTTTATAGGAGATCTTAAACATTCAGTTCCTATTGACGGCAAAGCATTAGATAATATATCTGCTAAATCTGTCGAAGAATCTAATGCAGCAGCCGATTCTCGAGCAATAATCATTTCATCTAAATAATAATGGTATTAATAAAATAAATAAACATACATAACATTGTGTTTATATTGTGAATATGTACGGTCAACATGTGCAAAAGCACAAAAAACTCCACGAGGGCAATAACCAGCTTGTTGTACATCATTACATTTTGTTGATTTATATATTTCTGGGTGAAATTGTTGTTCAGTTCTAGTATGGCAATAAGCACAAGAATCACCACTCTCACAATTACTGGGTTCACCCCATTCATCTCCATGTTTTACACTAGGACACGGAGTAGATCTAAAATATAAATATGTATTTATTAGAGGTAATATTGAATATTGGGCAGGTAATGTGGTTCTGCTCGGGCAAACTTTAACTGTAAACTTTGAATAAAACAATTTATTTTAACGTAAAATGTGTGAAATATTGTCATTTATACTATTAAAATGTGACGCGATTTCTTGAGATAGTTATCTCTAAAGGAAGTTTTACTCGACCGATTTTCATGATTTTTTCTCTAAACTTAAGTGGTCGGTATGTATCTTAATTCATTTAACTTAAAAAACTTTTTTTTTTCTTAAACCCAGCGACAGGTAATTCAGCTAGTATTATTTAAAAGGCGAACAAATTTAAATTTACTTATCACATTTGCTTTGTTACATTAAATGTGCTATATAAACATTTAATAGATTTATGTAATAATATGTACAAAATAAGTGTTAAAAATCTAACAGCATTTTTTTAAGTAAATTATTATCATATAATTAATAATTTTAGTTTTTCTTTTAAATAATACAATAATATAATTTATACAACAAAATAAAAAAATAAAGAAAACTAATGAATTAACTATTAAATACATTTCATGTTAAAATAAATTGTGTGTTCTTGTTGCCCTGCCTTGACAACTTTGCCCTATATTCCACATTTCCCATAACATTGATAGGTAATAATGTTATTAATTTATTAGTTTGAACGGCGCTCTATCATAAGATTAATTATAACAAACCTATATTTAAATTTTCTTGGATTTCTTCTTTTATCCCTACTATTGTGGTATTGAGGACATGCATACCCTTGCCGACAAAGTCTAGGAGGACGTTGACATTGGTCAGTTTTATAATGTGATAAAACATAATTCGTATCTATAAAGTTTACAAAATATTTATTTGATATATTCAATAATAGCATAATATATAAATAATATTTATTAGTTTTATTTTATATAAACCCTACCCTGCCATTTAGGATCTTCATTCATTAAATTTTTTTCTTTATCTAATACATTTGGTCCATCTAGATCTATATTATCATCATCGTCATTTTCTGTTACCTAATAAAAGTTATGAAGTATATTATTGATAATAAAAATAATTTGAATGAATTAAATACCTTCTGCTCATTAATATCATATACAGGTGGTCTTAGATCATGATTCCCATGAGCAAAAGCACAATGTGGCCCATTTTTTGAACAAAATCCCCTACTGTCAGTATCATGGACACACATGCATGTCTTATAATATCGTAAATGGTACCGTCTTTCTGTATCACCAGCTGTTCGGTGTAAATATTGGCACCTTTTTTTATTGAATTAAAAGCAAATGGATAATCATATATTATTTAATCAATTATAAATATTTGAGTAATAATCAAAAAATATAATTAAATATAAATCTTGAGTCATCCAATTTGTGAAGCCAGTCTCTGTCAGTTATATTTTTATAATAAATACTTTAAATTTAAATGAACAATAAATGCTATCAAAATATAGTTCAATATTAATAAGAATACACTTGGGGGATTAGTGTTGTCAATCTGGGTGAATGTAAATTGATTCATAACTTTATTGAGTTCATTCATTTTTAAATTGTTGAATGGTCTTCAAAAACATGTAGAACAATAAAACAATGAATACCTAATTAAACATTAAAAAAGTGCCAATTTAAATATTTGTAGAAAAATATTTTATAATATATACTTAAAAATAAATTTTAGAAGTATTCTTTACAAAATGAAAGAATAATTAATTCCATTTTGTTTAAAATACTTCATTGTATATCGCCCAAGAATATGGATAAATAAATAATACTAAAGTGAGAAGATTGTCATCAAAATATATAAATGTGAACTCAAGAATTGTTCCCTTACTTATTTGTTAATAGTTTAATTAATTTAAAATCATATATGTCGGTAACATTTAAAACATATTTAATAAATACAGTGAGTGCCAATTAAAAAACTTGCTTTGGGACACCAACACAAAGCAAGCCTTATAACCGAATGAATCTGTATACATATAATATAGTTATAAATATAGATTATAAATTTTAAATTTATAAAAATAAATAAACATTAAAAAAATAAAAAATGTGAATGTAGTTAAATTTTTAATCAGTTTTATTAATTAGATATTTAGTCCCTTAATACTGTTACATACATTATATACATCACATAATCAACTTCAAAATATAGTAATTCATTTAATTTGAAATGATATTAGTGGAAATATTTTTAATAAGTGTATAAAATAACACAAATACACTAATGTTTAGCATCATCAAATATATTTATATAATCTAATATTATTAATTGAAAAATTAATCGTTTATTAATCAAAATTGTAATGTAAGTATAACGTTTGTGTAGATATTGACTATTATTTCAAACACTACCTACTAATAGTAAAACAATCATCAAATGATTAAATGTTATTAAAACAAAGTTTATATTACAGTGTTATATATTAGGATTGTGATCATTTAAAACAATATTTGCTATACGTTCACAATTTTAATAGTTAAATAATATACAACATATTTCAATATGTCAATATCATTTCTTGTAGACTCAATATTAAGCTTAAAGACAAAACTGTTTAACAAGTTCATTGCAGAAGTACCAACGCCAATTAGCGTCATGAGAATCATTCAGCAACAAGTTTGATGCTATTTGGCATCCAATATACATTTAATCTTAATCGTTTAGTATTTTCTCCATGTTGCTGAATAATATTTAATTATTAGTTAACATGGTTAAAATTATATTCTAAAGTATGTATTCATAAACCATTTGGTTTTATGACAAAAACAGAGCAGTTATTTGTATTATTTCTAGAAGACTGTAGGTTTTTCCTTTTATCAGAGTTATTCAATAATATTTTATCTATTATTGAGTTATCTAAAAATATTATTTTGCATTTGTTTATCGTCAATGGTGTATGTCGACTTACTTTACTCATAAGTTATTTATTATTTCCCATCATACAACATAATGAATAAAAGGTTTTAATTTTTTTTCTATGTGGTAAATATATAATTATATTGTTATTTTCCATGGATAGAGATTAAGTTGGTTCATTAAGACTAAAAAGGGCCTATTTTGGTGAAATTCAGAAACTAAAAACTTCAATGATATTGACGAGGCTAATTGGCATCATGAAAATTCATAAGTTCAAAGTTGAAAAAAAATGTTTTTTATGAATTGAATACGTATAAAAACAAACCAAAATTAAATTTGACAAAAAAAGTTAAGCACGCATTTGAGTGATAACTACAATAACACATCTATAGTCTACATGGTAATATTAAAGTGTACTAATATCTTAGAGTAGGATATACTAATGAATATTTTTTAAATGTTGTTTTTTTTTTTTTAATAAATAACATACACATAAGAAATTAGTTATTAAAATAGTTTTAAGAAATATGTGATAAATTAACAATGATAATTAATAATTCTTAGTGTAACCATTTTAACAAAAAAGCTAGTATTTTTTAAATTTAAAATGGCATAATAAAACAATTTATAATTTATACTTTACATTATTCATAAAATTTATTTAAGTTTATATATTTGTCAATTTGCATGTGAGAAATACAATAAAATATTTTTATTGTTTATTACCAAATGAGTGAATAATATTATATTAATATTTATACTTTAAAATAACTAATATTTTTTTTCGTTACACTCAGTATCTAAAAGTAAATCATTTAAATGATATAATTTACTTACTCGTCTCCTTTTGTACACACTCCAGTGGTCTCATCATATTGTGTACAATAATCATCTGCACTATAATTAAATGTACCATCTCTTTTTCTCACAGGTCTACGACGTCGTTGATTCATAAAATGCCAATTAAAACATGTATATGGTCTATGTTGTGTACATTTATGTTGTAAAAATAATGGACACTGCTCAACACGAAATTCTTTTAAATATCTATAAAAATACATAAATTCAGATAATATTTAATAGGCAATACTGTTGTCTAAATTTGTAATTTTTGCAACCAAACAAAAATCGTATCTTACGAATAATGATTTGGTTTCTCCATTTGGGCAGGAATCTTAGATTCTGACGGCATTTTGTGTGTACTTTGTTTGTCACTTAAACTATTATAAATGTTAGTTTCTCTAGACTCGCTTCATCTACAATGGTTCGAAACAAATACCTCGGGACATAATTTTCGTGATGGCATACGTACATTCATCCGGCTAATTCATGATGCTGAGAAAATATACTAAGCAAATTGTTTTTTTTTTCTGACGACTTATGTTATTGTTTTACACTTTCCAAAATATTGATCACTTGACTAAACCACGGTAACATATGTAAAGACAGTGTACCCAACAAAAGTTTAAAATCTACTATTTGGAACACTGAAATCAATGGCATTGATAAGCAATCACCTTTCAAAAATTCCCCCTTTCGCTTTGCCTTTCTAAAAACGTCCGATCTTGAAACGTTAGTTTTTATTACTCATTACTTTAGTTTTCTATATATTTATCATGTACCTAGTATGTTTTTCATTACGTAATTTAGCCTCACTCACTACTCGGGCCATTCACTATTGAATGGCATTCAAACTGTTATGGTAAGTGAAATAAATTTATATTGTATGTAAATTTGTTTTAATTAATACCTTTATTTTTTATTATTTTAGCTTAACCAATAGGCACCATGGTTTAGTTCTTTTTTATCATAAATATTTTTCTTTATGATAAATCTATTGCAGTGTCAATAATTTATCTATTTTATTTTATTTGTCATTCTATCGTTTAATCATGGACAAAAGTAACCAAAAAACAATCATCCGTGTAGGTTCACGTAAAAGCGAACTTGCATTAATTCAGACAAAGTTTGTGATCAGCCAATTAAAAGAATTATATCCGGAAGTAGAATTTGAAATTATTTCAATGACTACAATGGGAGATAGAGTACTAGATAAACCTTTACCAAAAATTGGAGAAAAAAGTTTATTTACTAAGGATCTAGAAGTCGCTTTGCTTAGTGGTACTGTTGATTTCATTGTACATTCATTGAAAGATCTACCAACCATTATGGAAATTGGAACAACTATAGGGGCTGTTCTTAAACGAGATGACCCTAGAGATGCTCTTGTACTTCGAGATGAATTAAAAGAATTTGAACTAAACTCACTACCTTCAAATAGTCTAATTGGTGAGTGATTAAACTAATATAATAATGTATAGTATAAACATATTGATCAGTAAAAAACAATTTAAATTTATAATTACCTATTTAAATGTTTTGTTATGTTTCATTGATTCATATTGATAAAATGTGTATAGTTATTAGGTTAGGTAAAATATAAGTAGTAACTATTCTAATTAAAGAATTCAATAAAATTTATTCCAAAAAGTAAATATTTACACTTGTTCCTATTTCCAAGGGCAAGCCCTAAGATGTCAAAACATCTTACAAAGGTTATACCAATACACTATGCCCACCAAATAATTTATAAATGAAAATATTCTCATATTATGCTAACATATGACAGCATTAATTTACCAAAGTATTGGATCTTTTTGAGTTGTATTGGTGATCTCAACTACCATGTGAAAGTAAATTATTATTTGCTATTATATATAAGATTACATAAAGAATAATAGCATGCCTTCTATGTAGAATTGACTCTCATCAAGTAACAAATTAAATCAAATACCTAAATTTATATTCTTATTTCTAACTACCTAATTATCACTTGAATTTTATAATATCCATAGGGTTTTGCATTTAGGGGAAGTATTTAATTTTGTATTTTTAGGAAAAAAAATATCTTTACATGGTAATTAATATAAACCTCTACATTTTTATATTTGTGAATTATAAAGTAGGTAAACTGAATCAATTAGCTTTTAAAAGATACATAAATTAGATAATTAACATAAGTTCTTATATAGTAAAGATAACAGTAATTTTAGTGTTGAAAACTGGTTACATTTTGCTTATTATATCTAGCTAAATTTAGTAGTTTGTTTTCCAATATTTTAATTTGAATGTAATAGCTAATAATTATTGCAATACAAAAAAAAAAAATGGCCTATTTACTTAGAAATACGATTATATTGATAATGCAATTCATTTTAAGTATATTAAAATAATTTAAATATAATATTTGTATTTATTTTAATACCTAACTAAGTTTATCAGTTCACCAAATATATTGGGATTATGTATGCGTACAAGTTAAGATTATTATGCAATTTAAGAATTTAATTATTTGTATTTTGTTGGTTCTTATGATAAAACCATGAATAATAAAGAATAATAATCTTTATTCCTCATCTCATTATAATATTATATTATATAAATAATACATACAAATTAAAAACTATAAAAATAATATAATATTGATATAACATAGCCATTATAGACATTTTGTTTATAAATTATGAAATGTTTATGTAACAGAACACATTTCAAAATTTAGTATCTAAAATAGTACATATTTTTAATATCAAATTTTAAAATAGCCAATACGTATTAATATCATGCTGGTTTTGAACAAGTTTATAGGTACTAAACATAATTGCATTTTTCTCATTAAGAATTGTAAAAATAACTTCTGAGAAATACTATGAAACTTGGAATATATTATTATTATATATAATTAAAAATTTTGAATCTTGATTTATATCATTATCTTTTGATTATTTGTAGTACAAACTACAAATTAACAAAAATACATAAATATTACTTGTCATCTCGTTTTTCTATACCTAATAAAGAAAAATAAAAATTTTCATAACTATGTGATAATAAAATATTAGTAATAAATGTAACTATAGTCTATACAAGTGATCTTGTTTAAAAACGAGAATGAACCAAAAACATTCACATTATTCACATTCAATTATAAGAATTTGTTCACTTTCAAATTCATTCCTTGAAAATTTTAACAAGTTTATGTCTTGTTCACATAAAACAAACGTAAACTTTTTCTTTATATTTTTTAGTGTTTTGCAACATTTAAAATAAGAAAAATTACCTCTTTAAAATATATTTAGTTCATAAGTAAATAGTAAATATAAAAATGCTGCTTAATTCCTATGAAAAAAATGATTAAACCTAATTTTAAAATAAATATGTGCCTTTGCTTCTTTTATTATAGAAAATCAAATATTAAGTATCCAATTATAATATAATACAAATGTAGGTATAATTTAAATTAATATGTTTAGTTTTATTTGTGTAGGTTTTGCATACACGCATATATTTTTATGAATTAATTTAAGACCAATTAATAATCTGTTCTGTTCGTCATTAAACCTTAATTAAATGATTTATTAAATTAATAATGTTGCATAACATTACTATTGAATATTGTTTTCATAATAATTATAGATCATAGGCTAACTTATTATCATACACTTATTTCTAGTAATAATTGATAATCTGAACCATTAAATAGTAATATTTAATCTACTGTATTCAGATTGTTTTTATTATTTTTCTAAAATAGATTATGAGTAAACATATTTTATAAACTAACTATAAGTAGAAAATGATTTTCTATATTCATAATTCTACAGTTTTGATAATATGTATTTATGCTATAATAAAGTGTACCTAATATTGCATATTATAAATTATTTTTGAACATGAAAACCACTGAATTCAAATATAATTAATAATTTTAATGATGCAAAATGAAAATTTTAAATATTATTACTCATTAAACTGGTGTATTAAAACTGAAAATTAAATTTATTTTATTTGTTATGATAGATTTTTCAATATAGTTACTACTGTATACTTATATACCTATAGTTTGTCCCACTAGAGATCCGACCGCTTATTGACCAAAGCCAGTTGCTGCCGCTCATCCCCACGCCACAATCATGCCCGTTGATCACCCGTCTGTCGACACTCAAAGTTAGTTGTAACATTATACATGCGCAAAAGCGGTTTGATCTCTTGCGGGACAGACTATAACTGCTATTCAATCAAATTACATTTAATTATTGTGTTGTTTAGACAAGTATATATGGTAAACTTTTAATCTTTTAATTACTTACTTATAAAATATTAAAATAGTCTACTTATTTTATTAAGTATACATGTTGATCATCTTATCATTTTCAGTGTAAGGTTAAAGTAATGTAAGATTTAAGGTGAATTTGATTTCATAATTTTTTTTTTAATAATTAGGGAAGCTTGTTTTAACAAATTTACCCCCGCTCCTAATATCTAAAATGAGTGTACACTTAGGATTTTTAAATAGTAATTCTCAATTTTGAACATAGATTCAAATAAAGGATATTTTTCTATACATTTTGATGAATATAACAGTAATATCAGATTTACTATTTATGAGGTGATAACAGTAAATCTGATATTAGTGTTATGCTTATCAAAATGCACTCATTTCTGGTACATTTCTAGGAGCAGGGTTAAAAATTGAAAATATTGTTAAAATAAAATTTAATCGATTTCATAATTATTTAAAAAAACAAAATAACATTCACTTAAAATCCTTTGAGGGTCTGTTGGTTTGTGATAAGTTGATCACTGTATTTGAATTAATCTTAAATAATTACAATTTCAATTTTTACTTTTTTTTTTTAACTAAAATTAAATCACATATTAAAATCTAAATCCTAGTTCAGATACTAATCAAATTGTATTGTAGATTTCAAGTGTGACTATTAGTGATGTAAGTAGTGAATATTTCAAATAAACAATGGAAATTAAAAAAAAAATGGCATTAATATTTTAAGAATGTTCTCATTAAATTAAATTTCATCTTGAAGAACGGTAGATAAATTCAAGTTCAACTGATTTCAATAATTCTGATGTTTTAAACTCTGGTTATGAACATTTTGAATGAAAAATATGTAGGTATTAATTATAAATAAATTATTATATAATATAATATAATTATTATATAATATTCATAATTAATATTATTTATATTTTTAAAAGATCAGTAATGTTGTAAGTGAAACGGATCTAAAAAAAAAAAAAACGAAAAAGGTATTAAATGATTTTTGATTGCTTTCTCTTTATCAGCTTTAGACATTAAATTATTAAATATATGTAAGATACTGTCTAATGAATACTACAAACATGTTTCGCCAATATACGTATTTTGTATAGGTAGCTCTCGTAACCATCTATACATATATCTTATAAGTTATAATATTTTATGTTCTGGAACTTTCACGAAATAAAATAATCTCTTGTGAATTGAACATCATTAGAGATTATAATTTATAATTCCTGTGTCAAGAAACCAAATCGAAGATATTTTTGTAGTTTACTGTACTAAATTTCATAAATAATTGTATGTTAAAATGTACCAATCTGTGTACATTGTAATCTTAAAAACTTGCATTATACACAATTTAAATTGGCATTAAAATTATGTATTTATCAATACTAATCATATTGGTTTATAAAAAAAAAAAAAAATACCTATAATAAGTGTTCTATTTTTATTTATTAATACATTATTTTCGAATAATTATTTATTATATAATATTTTTTTAAACTATTTGTTTTTCAAACATAAGTTTTAGTATTTTTATTATAATGTTTTACTTTTGTTATCAATTTTATATTCATGAAATTCACATAACTAGTTTTTAATGAATTTTAAAGGTCAAATTAGATTTTAAAATTTAAAATAGAAAACATAAAAGATAAATATACCAGACATTTTTTGATAGGATTTAAAAAAAATATTTAATAAACATAAATATTTGTATTTGTTAAAAAAACATCTGTTATCTAACATGTTATTTTTATTAATTCAGATTGTCCTTAATATTTTAACAATAGGTAAGTTTGTTTTAAAAAGGAAACAGATTATTTTTTAGCTTTATATAAGTATTAGAATATAACATATAATAAATATCATAGATAATTCTTAGTTGGGCTATTTTAGTTATTTACATATTTGCAACAGTTCAAACCAGTATAAAGATATTTTGCAAAACAAAAAAATTTCACTTGGTATTAAAATAATTTATTTATTATATCATTTATTTTCCCCTCAATAATATTATATTTATGACTAATGTTCATTTATGTTTTTGCCATTATTAATATAATTATTGGTTTTGGATTTTTGCCATTTTTAAAATTTAAATATTGATATTATTATTTTTGATCTATTTAAATAATAATATATTTTCAATAGTTAGTTTGAATAATAACCAGTTGAATCAATATTCAGTATTTCAATATAAATATTGTCAGAAAATTAGATTATTTAATGAATGTCATTGGAAAGAATATCCTTCAATATGACGTATTTTAGAGATACAAATTAGTAAAACCTTTTTTTAATATACTTATTGAAATGACTGAATTTGGTTTTAAAACAAACAATCACTATCTATCTATTAATTTAATTGTATTTTCACGTTTAGATTCATTAAGATTTATTATGTAGTGAATAATGATAAAAGTAATGTTAACCAATTAAATATGAAACTGAAAGAAAATCCTATGTATTGTCATTTTATGAATCCATCTTTATTTTATTTTAAAAGACTATTTTCTGTAATGTTAATAGGTACTAGTTCATTAAGGCGTACAGCCCAATTAAAAAGAAAATTTCCTAATCTCAGAGTGAGCGATGTACGTGGTAATTTAAACACAAGGTTGAAGAAATTGGACAACAGTAGTCAAGCTGCAAGCGATAATAATAGTAAAAATTACAGTGGCATAATTTTAGCCTTGGCTGGTATTCAAAGAATGGGATGGGAAAAACGTGTTTCTCAAATTATTGATTCTGATGTTATGCTTTATGCTGTGGGACAGGGAGCTTTGGCGGTTGAATGTCGTTTAGGAGATGATGATATTATCGAAATGCTGGAACCACTGCATCACTATGAAACAGTTTTACAAGTAATGCATTAAATTATATCACAAAATTAATACCTTAATATTATATTTAAATTTTACATTTTCGTAGGGTTTAAGATAATATAATTTTGTATTTTGTACAATCCAACCCAGCGTTCCCCAAACTTTTTCTCCTTTGGACTCTATAGATAATAAAAATAATCGCAACTCCTCTTCCCCCTTAAACCCTTTTATACATCAATATTTTAGTTTTTATATATACTATATAGTATTTTCAATGTATGTCCGCAGACCTTCTCCAATATACATTCAGACCCTTGTTTGGGAAACGCTGATCTAACCTAATCTTATAATTGTTTTTCTAAAAGCACATTAAAAAATACTGTTAGCTGTTCCAATAACAAATATTATGGAAATAATTTTAAATTTTATTTCTTTAACTTATATACTTATTAAAATTGTTTAAATTAAATATTACACCATTAACATTCTGCTTTTAAATGGTTTTGTTTCTCTTTAGGTTGTAGCTGAAAGAGGTTTCCTTACAAAACTTGGTGGGGGATGCAGTGCTCCTGTTGGTATAAAATCTACTGTCTGTCTGGATAAAAATGTGATTTCTTTAGATGGTGCCGTGTGGAGTCTTGATGGTTCTGAAACATTACATTGTTCATCTTCTGTAGAGTTAGCTGATAAGAAGGTTATACAAAATCATATTGATCAATATAGGAGCGAGGACGGAGAACCACCAAAAAAATGCCCTTACAAACAACCAAGACAATTTGTAGGTGTTACACCAGGAAAAATTAGTTATTTAGATTTGGATGCAGCATTACAATTAGGTACAGAATTAGCAGACAGTTTAATTAATAAAGGTGCTCTAAATATAATGAACACAGCAAAAGAAATAATTCATTCTGCCATAAAATAAAATATTTTGTTATTCACCTTATTTGTTATTCTGGATATTTTTATTTGGTTTCGGTTTCTATGTTTAAACCTTTTTATTTATTGTTTTATTCTTTTGACAATATTCAATTATTGTTAGTCAAATATATATTTAATTAGTTACCAATTAAACTATTGTATTTTTATGAATTTACATTTTTTTTTTTTTAAATGTATACAGGTTATCCTAAGTTTTAAAATTTAAGTGTATAGAATTGTAAAAATGATATAACCATTCTTTTGCCAAAATTAATAATTTCTGAAAATTGTGTTAAATCCTGGCATATTTTCATAGAACTAAAATTTCAGTATTTGAAGACTGAAATATTATAATCAATATAATATTGTTAAGTGCATTTAAAAAAATATAGCAAAAGGTATTGCATCAATTTATCATGTGCAAAATAATCAATAAATTATTTATTAGGAATAATATTTTTAATTGCAGTTAAAATATCTGTACTACCTACATATGGTTGATTAATTTTATATTTTTAATGTCGATTTTAAGAACTTTAAAATGATAACTAAACTTTTTTAGTTTAAAAACCTTTTTTTTAACCAAACTTGCCTAAAATATAAAAATGTAGTCAGTCTTAAGGTTCTTATTTCTTAAATTTTAACCAATGTTTAAATGGGAAGAAAAATATTGAAATATGATACTTAAATCAAAGTAGTCTATCCATAACAAATTATTATACCATGTGGAACCCAAATTTTGGCATTTATATTAAATTTTCAGTTATCTGATTTAATTTATTTTTTTTTGTGCATCACATCATATCATTATTATTATAAATTAGGTTATCAATTATAATAAATTGATTTTGATAATCATTAAAACATTTCCATGAACACTTAACCTAATCAATTAAGTTTTATTAAACAATTTATGAGGACGCTATACTCGCACAAATTAATACTGAAAACTAGTTTTGCGAGGACGCATTTTAACTGAGCTGTGATTATTCTGCAGATTCAACATTTTTACACAATATAGAACATTTTATCTGTGTTGCAGCATTTTTAGTTTTTTTGATAAAATTATTTGGAAAAAAGTTATTGCATCTCAAACTTCCACAATTTTATGTGTTTTTCAAATGCCTTGTTAATCAAAATTGAGTCAAAATTCGAAAAAATTAAAACTGCTAGAACCTAGATAATATTCTTAATAGAAGCTGAGCGGCCATAGAGATGTATATGTCACATCCGCTTGATGAAATTGTCCATTTCGTGAAAAGTTATCCAGTTCATGAAATGGAAACTCCTGTAATATAGCATACAAATTTCGATGGTAGAAGCTGACTAGAAACAAAATTATTTCTATTTACGACACCCGTAGTACGACTGAGAAAACTATTTTGCGGGGCATAAATCTAATTTAGCACCCACTACAAAAACTATAAAAGTAAATATGATAGGTAAGTTTAGATTATACCAAACAGATTAAGCGTTAAAAAACACATATCGAAACAAAAAAAAAAAAATTTGAAAATGTTAAATTCTATATAAGAAATACGTGAAACGGAAAACCCGAACTTCATGAAGTTTTCCCTAATAATTTCAAAACGAAGTTCGTCCAATTTACTTTTTTTTTTTAATATTTTTAATGTACACGTAAAACCGTACGTTTTGAAAAAAAAAACTAAAAAACGCTAAACTATATTTGTTATCATTAAATTACTTACAACAATGGCTGCACCCGACCCCGTTACCCTAGGACGTCTTTTAATTTTAATTCGTTATTATGTATCTAACACATATTATACTGTACTAATTGATAAAATTAGCAGCCACTGTTATAAGTAATTTAATGTACACCTGTAAGCAACGATTAACCATTACTAACGAAAAAACGATTCTGAGCGTTGTTCAGTTGATAGTGCTGCTTTGTCCACAATAAATATGTCATATTATGTTAAAATTTCAAAATTAAAACGGATTCCGTTATTCCTGGGAAAACTCGTAAGAAAATTTAAAAATGGCCTGCCTGAAATACCTCCACAGTCGGATTTTCTTTCAGAAAAAATGTTATCGTTGTAAAATCGGAACTTTTCGGGGAAAGCTGAAATGATTTGTATTATACACATTACTTCATGTTATATGGAACTCAATATACGTCAAGACGTACGCATTGTCAGGATCCATTTGTAGACATAATTTCTAGGATTTGAAAATAATTATTACTCACGTTTTAGTGGTTCTAGTTTATATTTTCATATCAACAACAATGAAACTATGTCTTCAATTTGGTGCTCATCGTCAACGTCAATGTAATCAAACTAATTTGATTCTAATAGGAAATTAAATATTTCATAATCACAAATTTACCCACTTTTTGGTAAACATGAAACACAAGTAGACGATAATAGGTATATTACATTCGAATCGCGTAACATTAAATACTAACATTTCTGGGTATGGGAATACATAATAATTAAAATATTTGAACGCAATCTAAATCAGTTCGAAACATTTTTATTTTTCGGCTCTGGGCCCAATCCATTGCCGTATCCATGTGAGAAGCCACATAACAATTTATTATTTATATTAGCTACATAATTGGTTTCTTTTTTAAATTTATGTAAGGTGCATTTTTTTTTAGTAGAAAAATAGAGTTGGCGGGGTACTTGATTCGAAAAATTTGTTTTGAAACTCAATTTTTCGACTAAATTTGAGTACTCGGCTGTTTTATACAGAATACTACTGAATAGTAAACGTAGATATTTTATCAGTCACGCAACAGCTGAAAAATAATAATAGGTAGTTACAAATTTGGCCAATAGTCGCTCCATTGACTACACTGGAGTACTCGAATTTTGAACTTGACTCGCAAAAATTAATACTAAGATTCAAATTCCAAATTTAACAAACTTTACAAAATAAGAATAGTAGGATTGTATATTGTATACACTTATATTAATAGATTACACGTGTAAAATACAATATATATAACACGAAATTTATGTCTTTACACATTTATAGTGTTCTGGTTGTTCTTGGAATCGTGAATTTAAAATTTATATTTGATCAAATATTGGCCAATAAAAACCAAGATCATATAAAAGAAACATGAAAGGAATTCCAGTGCTCGTGGTTATTTAAATGTAGTGTTTAACATTGAAATAATAATTCAATCGGATATTGACGATAAAAAAATTTCAAGTCTTGGCAAATTTGTCTATTGCAATTCGAATTGCCTATAGTCAAGTTGACTAGTTTAATGTTCCGTTGATGTTTCATGTATGTCTAACAAATCATTTATAAAAATGTATAATGTAATTGCCAAAGTTGTCAACGAAAATAATGTTTAATTCTTTAGAGTTATTGTTGGTTTTAATGTGTGTGCTTTTTTGTTTTTCTGTCTGCCAACGACTTATTTTATCATAAATCTCGCAAAAAAGCTCTTCTTACATATTGAATCTAGTTGGTGAGTAAAAAAGTCCCGTTTTGATGTTCTGTGTATATTTCTTGTAATTTGGAAAAATGGGAAAGTTTACAGACATAATGGTTTTATTATTTACAATTCTACTTTTTGTTATATTGGGTTAAAAATATCTACAAACATTACAGAATAATTGAAATACTAATGTCCCACAAGGTGACATACTTTCTCCTATTCCGTAGACCAATTGATTGCATGCAATACACTAGTGGCAAAGTATGTAGAAAACAAGGTAATAGTAATAACTAGCATGGACTTATAGCTTTCACCAACACACAAAATCTTTTATTAATGGAAAACTGGTATAAATCAATCAACAAAATTGGCCCATAAGATGTTTCCCATAAACCTAGCACAATATCCTAACTTACTATAGTACACTAATTCCAACCCTTACTGTTTAACATCTCAGTTTAATTCTTGACTGTAGTCTCAACATATCAAAGGCAAACTACCGTAAGTCTTACCTACAACTGTTTAAATCACTAATAGCAAACAAATAGATTTGGACATTATTTTTTTTTTCACCATAGTCATATCACATTGATAGTGAATTTTGTTTCTTAATTTAAAAAAAATATACATATTTTTTATTACCTTGGGGGGTATTCATAAGTAAATTTAACAATGAACATAAATAAAATACCAGATACTGGTTATGAAGACAAATGAATCGCTGAAAATATTTATATACATTTAACCAAACTTGGTATTATAAAAATACCTATTTTTTTTTTTCACAAACATTTTAGAGATACAATTTTTAGGAGCCAATACTACACACTTAAAACAACAAGTGTAACATTATAACTTTCATGTCGACAATCAAATTATTTGATAACCAATCATCTACAATAAAAATTGTATGAATGATAGGTAACTTATATCATTATAATAAGTAAAAATATTAATTTTGTGAGAAAATATTTATTAAGTCAAAATATAAATACACATTTATTGGGCTGGTTGATCAGTAGGTATGGTTTTGATGATATCTGAATCACCAGGGTCGGTGATAGATAACGTTGCAACCCTGAAGTATTTACCACATGCAGTACCTAATTCAATATTGTTTCCTGAATACTGGAAAACATCAGTCTTCGACAACATTGCATAGTATTCAATTTCCGATACTCTAAATGTGAAAAAAAAAAAGAATTAAATCAATTTAGCAAAAACATACCTAGATGGTTTATCGGATATACCTATTTGTAAGGTTTCAACGTCATATTAATGAAGAACTCAATAAAATAGCAAAGTAAAGGAAATTCAAATGCATGAAAATCCTGATCTACATAACTTGAGACTACTCCATAGGTAAACCCCAAGTCGGAAATTATATATTTAATGTTATAGGAAACAGGGGTTTCCTACTTCTCAGTCTCACCTTAAAGGAGATGTGTTGTTTGCAATGATGACCAGCTTAGATTTTCCTTGTCTTAAAGATTTCAAAGACTGCTTTAGGCCAAGTACACATTTTCCAGACTTCATGACAAGAGCCAATTTGGTGTTGATGCTTTCCAAAGCCTTTTTCTAAAAATGCAAAAACAATTTTATTTTTTAAAATTATTAATTGTAAAAACAGTTTTTTTTTATAAATTAATGGCTGTTAAACATAAGAGATATAAAGTAAATTTTTCTGGTAAAAGAAATATATTTTTAAAGGAATATATTACATGTCTAATTTAAATGTTTTAGATCTAATATGCTTTAACTTAAACAGTTGAGTTAATCAACTGAAAGCTAATACACAAATATGATTGACTCATAAATTGTAAGCACAATAATGAATTGGTATAAGGTTCCAAGAAAAATTAATGCCCTTTAAAACATATTTTGTATTTTATTAATTGTAGATAATAATATATCTGCTAATTTTGTAGGGGTGTCATGTCGGTAATATTAAAAAAAAAACACTTAGCAACCAACAAATAATTTTAACTGTTAAAAAGCTAAAAGTCACCAGAACTGTTTGTGTTGATAACAATAAAATGTCCAATTACCCAACTAAGTGGGAACCCTCGGAATCTTGCTAAAAATTGAAATGTTATTACAAAAAAAACATTATAGAATTTGGTACTTGGTTGTAATCACCCTGCTAGTGCACAAAAAAATAATAACAATTGATATATATATATAAGAATAATCAGTTTAAATAATTCTGAATACCGGGTGAGCCATTTATTGTGGGTACACTAATCATTATCTCGGGAAATACTAACATTTCCAGGAATTAATTTACTAGAACATTTGAATACCGCCAACTACTTTTAATTGATTTTCAAATGGCAACCTATATTAAAAATTCCATATATAGAAGGAGTATTAGTTAAAATAAATAAAATAAGTGTTGACATGTTTTGAATTCTCCTCCAACCCAAACTTAAAATAAAATATCTTGTTAACAGCCTTACAGAAATCAAAAATTATATAAAATGTGTAGCTACCTACAATTCAAAATTTGATATTAATTAAAAACTGTTCTTTACAGGAATATTCATATTAAAAAAGCCCTTTTAAGGGCCACCAAATTTATAAATTCCTTACAAAATAAAAAAAATCTATGAGACTTTTAATGTTCTTTTTCTTAAACCCAAACCTGAAAAGCTATACTTCAATCTTTATTGTGTATGCAATTTCTACAAAAGTTAAAGCAGAAAGTCAGCGATAAGCTCACAGGATATCAGATTACAGATGAACAGTTATTATTATGGCAACTATTAAATCTCAAACATTGTTTTGCAGTTACAAATTGTTACAAAATAAATAACACACATAACAAATGGTTTTTATGTCAAAATTATGACATGTTTAACATGAAGGTGCCAAGGTAACGCACCGCCTAAATATTTTGATGCGGCGTAGCGATAATGAACAAGTAGAACATAGAAATTGTATAGATACCTAATTATGGAAATATTACAACTAAGAAAAAAACCATATAAAACATTTAAGTAATTTTGATTTACCCCCCCCACGGTTAAAGTTAAATCTAAAAACCAAACACTTAGATTGGCAAGAAATCGTTTTCAGGGATAAATAGACAAACAAATATTACAACAAATAAAAAGATTCTAATGGAAATAAATAGAGTAACTATATTTAAATAATATATTGATGAAAGTTGAATTAAAAGTAAAATAATATGTACACAAACCTACGTTAAACACGTGGTTCAGTTGTGTAATGTATTGAAGTTTTATATGAAATATTCATAATTATAAGTACCTGTTTCTTTCCAGCAGCCATAGTTTACTATTAGACGTTAAAATCTGAATGAAAAAAAAAAATATTTATAATATAATTCGTCTGGTAGCAAATGGCTAACCAAACGAACACTCTCGCAATACGTACGTAAACGATAAAAAAAAGAATGGCCGACTATAATTTCTAAATCATTCAACAGTGTTAAGGTTAACCAAATCTAGCGTTACGGCATTTCAACCAAAGAGTGGGGTTACGTCGCGTTGTCAATAATAGGTTAGGTTTATACTTAATAGACCTGCAAATATTTATATGTCTATGATTAGGGTAAGATTGATAACCATATAGACCGTTGCTACCATAACCATGGTTAAGTTGTGGTAACGGCAAGCTAGTGTAAACAGTGTAATCCATAGTATAATCAATATTATAATATTATGTGTTTGCGGCGTAATAGCGTTTTTGATATTCAAGTTGCACTACAACTATACTACACAAGTGCCACACTTTCACAACACTAGGTTTTTCATTTCGAACAGGACAATTGTATGGTAATGAACTGTATGTGGTTTACCGCAGGAATAAATCTAGTGTTTAATATACTGAGTGTAATGCACAACATCAGTTCATGGAATTATTTAATCTGGCTGTAAGCTTTGGTACAAACTACAAAGTACCAACTACGAGAATTTCATCAAAGTTAATATTATTTTATTATTCAATTTTAATATATCAGTACGTAAAGCTAAAGCACTTAAGTTTAGTTGAGTGCGATCATTTTCGTGGTGATTTATTTTTTAATTTGTATTCATAACCGCGGTCACTCTCGTTTGTTGGTGGCTGCAGCGCTCGCTCTACCGACGATAAATGACAACGACCCTTCTTCTCCCACTTATCTACCTACGTATATTTTTGTTTGTTTATTTACTAGTTTCTTGATTTTTCTATCTGCGTCCTGCGTGTTGCTGCCATTGTTTTGATCAGATGTGTGTGTTTACTGAATCCTGTGCCTTCCAGTGAAGTATATCTTGTACCAAAAGAGCCCGTTTGCTGTTCAATATAGTCGTAAATATTAGATTTTTAATATACGATTGAAGTGGTGATACAGTTGTAATGTCAGCCGGCGTTTCTGAACAGGTGAAATATAACCATTATTCTTACATAGGTACTGACTGTTGCAATTGGTACAATCTATAATATTTCGATATTATTTTTGTATTTATTTGTCATGTTCTATGTACTCGTTCAGCGTGTCAAAGGACAAGGAAACCAAGGTAAATATACTTTAATATTTTTCGCCTTTACCTATTTCAAATAAGTACATTTCTTGTAGGTACTTAGGTAACCAATTCATCTGAATAATTTAATAAAAACATTCTAAAATTCGGTTTTGTTTACAACTAAGTATTAAATATTAATCTTATCAGCAGATATAAATATAGAAGTGTAGGTACTTACTTTGTTTAATATAACATTTAAATAAGTACCTACTGCATAGGTAGTCTTAATTGGTTTATATGTTTAATAGTTAATGGGCAAAAAGATTATAGTAAAGTGAAAGAACGTGGACAATTTGAAACCGTTTGGCGTCCACAAGTTCTGCATCCACTACAACAACAACAACAACAACAACACCAACAACAACAACAACAACATCAACATCAACATCAACATCAACAACAGCAACAACAACAACAACACCAGCAACAACCTGTAAGGAATACTTACTTACCTATTATCTTAAAAACCTTTCCGTATGTCCATGTACAATTAATTGTTGGATATTTTATAAGTTTTTATCTGTATCAATATATTGTAGTTATAAAATTTTATATTAACTTTTTAGGGCTATAATATGTCACCAGAGCAATATTATCAATATCAAAGCGCTGCTTCGTATCCGTATCCAGCAACTGGTTACAATTTAGCCGATAGATCTTGGTCTAATGCTCCTGAAGCTGTTGCATATGTTGGAGGATATTTGCCTAATCCAGAGTCTTATAATCAACCCAATATTTTTAATGCTCAATATAGTCACCCTACTCCTATTCCTGGCTATAATTATTACCTTGCTCAAAAGCCGTTTGAAGGATATTACAGAGGTGGAGATCAAATGTTTGGAGTTCCTGTAAACGAACAAATAAAAACCATTGAACAAGAGGTACAAGCATTGAGTGTAAATGATTATCGGGACAATAGTAACTTTGAACAGAAAAAACCTATAACGTGGGCTACTGCTGCCAAACAACCAGTCAAACCTATGATATCATTAACCTCTTTGACTAAAAATAAAGGTCTAGGTGTGCCTCCTCCTATGATATCTATAAAAAATGATAGCCACTGGGAACCAAAAAGTATAATAGCTAAACCTCCTCCTTCTCCAGTTGTACAAGTCCAGTTACCACTTGTTCAAACTCGCACAATTGTGGAAACAAAACCTCAAAACTGGAATGACAACAGAAATTCTTATAATCCTCCTATAGCTGAAATTCCTACTCACATTCCTCCACCAGACCATATCAGACATGTTCCACCTCCTCCTATAATTATGTCATCACCACCACCACAAGTGTTGGCTTCTCCTATAGAAGAAAAGCCTAAGCGTCAAATAATTGACGAATTAAAGATGAAAAATCATTATAATCCTGTTGAATATTCTAATCCTCCGGAAGGATCAAGATTTTTTGTTATAAAATCTTATTCTGAAGATGACATTCATCGGTCAATTAAATATGAGATATGGTGCTCTACTGATCACGGAAATAGACGATTAGATCAAGCATTTGGTTCATCAGAGAAGAAAAAGATATTTCTTTTATTCTCGGTTAATGGTTCTGGTCATTTTTGTGGTGTGGCAGAAATGATATCAACTGTTGACTACAGTTCTTCTAGTTCAGTATGGTGCCAAGATAAATGGAAAGGGCAATTTGGTGTTAGGTAATTATAAATTAAATGTTTTATTAATTTGGTAGTTTGTATAATTAAATTTTTTTTTTTTCAGATGGATATATGTAAAAGATGTGCCTAATAGCCAATTAAGGCATATTCATTTGGAGAACAATGATAACAAATCGGTGACTTATTCTAGAGACACACAAGAGGTTCCTTATAATCAGGGTGTACAAGTATTAAGAATAATACACTCTTATAAACACGAAACCTCAATTTTTGATGACTTTCAACACTATGAAAACTTACAAAAATTAGAAGATAGTAAAAAAAGTGCCGCACATCTTCCTCCATCGTCACATTCAACAATTAAAAAATATAATCAAAATGGACCGGCCAAATTTTTAAACGATAACCGACAAAACCAGAGCTATTATAATAAAGTATGTTAATTTTGTTTCTTTATTTGGCACTTTTATTCTTGATCTTTTATTTTTATAGGATTGGGAAGGTAAACAAAAAGAAATACAAATCGAAGATAGAGAAAATGTTCGTTTTCCTCAAAAGTTTGAAAACTTCAGTCATAGCCATCGATCAAAAATTGAAATCCATAAAGGACGCAATGAAAACTATAGTAAAGAAGATAATTTTTCAGACAGAAGTCATCGTAGTGATCAAAATAAAATTCGGAATGATCAGCATCGTAATTGGGATGATAATTATAGAGGTGGTTACAATTACAATAGGGGGCGCAGAGGTAGGGGAGGGCCCTCAGTTTTTATTAATAGTAATTTGAAACAAACTCCTCGTAGCAATGAATAAAATATTAAGCAAATGTCTTTTTACCCCGTTAAACAAAAACAGTTAGTAGAACATTGTTTAATCCTACGTTCCTAAATTATTTGATTAACATTTATTATTACTTTTTTTTTTCCATCAATATATGAACATAGATTATTCAACATTCAACTTCAATTTTGTTAACAATTTTTACACTGATTGATGGAATACGAGTCATTTTAATACTCATATCTTGAATAATTGTAAAATTATCTTTAATTAACAATAATAAATCATTTTTTAAATTAATTATATTTTTTTATTGTTTTACATTTTAAATTTTAAGTTTAGCTCTTATTAGGTTATAATAACAAGTTTTTCCACACATTATGACTGGTCTTGTCCAGTTATATGCTACTCACTTTCATAATATAATAAAAATATTGAAGTACCTAAATCTTGTTATTTTGTTAATTGTATAGTTATAAAAAAGTATGTGTGTTAATAATTTGGATCTTCAATTTTTTGAAGTTATTTTTAAGTAAAGCAGCAATATTAATTAACAACTTGCCTCGCTATAAAATTCTAATATTGTACAATATGGTGTATTTCATGTACTTTTGGTACATATGCTACATAAAATTGGCTTTTATCTTAACTAACACAAATAACAAGTTAAGTCACTAAGTAGCACAGCTTGTGGGCCTATGTATAATGTATATTATAATGATATGATAACAGTGATTATTGATTAAATCGCTGGTGGGAAAAATGGTCTGTGTTACAATACATTTGAATTTAATTTGTTTTGATAATATCTGTTTTAGGTATACTGTAGTTGTGTTCGAAACAGCAATTTGTGTTGGTCCACAGTAGATTATAGGAAAAATATGCTATGTGGGACATTGATTATATATTTATGCCAGTTTTGATAAACACACAAGTTATTAAAGTCACTATGTGTGATTTATACGCAGACACTAATTTTTTAAAATCATAAGTGATACCATTCATTGTATTACAGTATGTACTATTTATTAGAATTATAAATAAAATCGCGATAAAATTAAATAAGTACGACAGCAATATCGCAGTTAAAAGCAGATTCCTTATAAACATGGTTGCTGGCTTTCAATTTTTGCTTTTAGCATCTATTAATTAAGTATATGATAACCGGATAATGTGATATTGATATAATTACATTACAAAACGATGTACGTATCACAAAGTTGCTAACATACCTATTTATTTTGTCATGCATAAAATATTGATTTATATTGAAATCGTCTATTAGTTGATTAAGAGCTTTCAGATTCTGAACTACCAAAAATTATTAACTAACAATTTATTTACTAATTGAAATTTTATTAAATTAGAAATTAATAAATGGACATGTAATATTTTACAGAAATTTAACTTTGAGATATGCAAAAACATTATTTATATGAAAATGCCAATAAGAATATTGATGGTATTGATTTGATTGAAAGTTAACAAAATAAAATAATGAATCGTTATCAGAAAAGGAAGAAAGGCATGTCATATTTAAAAAAATTATAATGTATACTTTATATTAGTGTATAAAAATATTGGTTTGACAATGGTGTAAATAATTAAAATTATTAGTCTCCAGAATCATTAAAATCTGGATTACAGAAAATAAAAAATATAATATATAATGTCTTAAGGACATTATAAATTTTAGTGTTTACTGAAATGCATTTTTCTCAGAATAATACTACAAAAACAAATACAATTAGAACTATAAGTAAAATGTATAATAATAGTTACCACAAAAAAAAAAAAAAAAAAAAGATATATAATATTAATTATAATAGATCATAGAAATATACAATTGTCGTTTTTATATTTTTCTAACTATTTCTAAACAAATTATTCATATTTTACTTAAGCCACAAAATCTAATGGTCTATTGAACCCACCTTTACGATTCATATACTGTCGATATTTACGTTTTAGTATAACATGAACATCCCCAACATTATTACCGTCAACTTCTTTACCATGAGTAGAGTCAAAATTACAAAATCCCATCATTTTCATCATTTCTTGTTCTTCGGCAGTTTTACCACGGAGATCTTCTTCAGTAAGTTTTGGTGCTGATTGTTGGACAACCCTATTGATTTTTTTGTCTTTTTTTGTTGGAGTTCTTGACCTGGATCTTCGCAAATCGCGATTTCTAGAACGACGTCGTTCTCTAGAATGACGTCTTACTGGTGATCTCGAACGCGAATGACGTGGCCGAGATCGACTTCGTTTTCGTACATCACGTCTAGGTCGTGGAGAAGTACTACGAGAACGTATACGACGTGGACTTCTTGAATGATCACGTCTTGGTCTTGGTGATGCGCTTCTTGATCTACCTCTACGTGTTCTGGTCAAACTAGTAGATCGATCACGGTGTTTATCTTTAGAACGTTCATGCCCTTTATCTTTATAACGATCACGATCACGCATAATTATTCTGCAATAGAGAAAAATAAAATAATTTAAACTTAATAACTGTACCTAGTATATCACTAGAGATAATTGATGTTTACATTTGTACTAGTACCTAGAGATAAAAAAAAAAAAAAAAAGATCAAACAAAATCATATACATATTAACGATGTAAAGATGTTGAAATCAAATATTGATTCAAACAATTTCATAACGTAAACAATTCATATTTGTATGATTTGAGAAAATTAAGAATTAAGCATAAGTAGGTATATAAATTATAACAAATTAAAAATAATAATAATATCTCTAAAGTAATCTTAACATATTTTACCAACTTACCAATCTGAAAGTATTCTAGTACACTCCAGCGTGCAGAGGTACTTAATTTAATAAAACAATCTGCAAGAATCGAAAGTTTAATCTGCAAATAAATTATTTACGTACTTATCTATGAATAACGTACGTTCCAGCATTATTTGATAAGAAAGCCCAGTGGTTCCCAAATTTGTATGCAGTGTTGCCTATTCAACTCCTGAAATTGTCTGCTAATGGTTAAATAATGGGTGACCATGATTTATTCGGAAGTCTACAAGATCAAAATGCCATCTTATCAAACACATTTTTGATCGAAAATATGTAATCGAAATAAAATTTTGTTATAGAAATCATGCAAGTAAAAATGTTAAGTTTAATGTTTAAAAAAAATTAATTTAACTATTAAGAAGTATTTCTGTCTGTTTTAGAAAATAACCATGATATCAGTTTTGATTTAAATACAGATATAGAAATATTAAATACCTAAAATAACGTTTATATTAATTCAGTTTTAGAAGAATTACATATGCCCAATGAAATAAAGAGAACAAAATTATAATAATATTTTAAATGTTCAAAACGATTTAAAAAAAAAAATCTTATATCAATACGTTTTAGATAATAAATAACAGCCAAACAATTTATATTTCTTAACATATCTATGTCTAATAATAACTCATTTAATATAATCCCTCCTATTAAAATAAATTATTTCTATGTAAAACGGTAAGTTTATAAGTAAAGTAAAAAGTTAATTAAGTAAAAATAATTATCGAAGAAAATTTAATTTTTTATTTATGTAAATTAAATCTAAATTTGTATAAAATATAAAGAGATACCCAGGTACCTACTACGTCCATAAAACGTCCATATTACCAATAATATTTTGCGATAAACATCATGTGAGTATATCTATAACCGTGATTGTTTAAACATTTGGTAAAACCACAAAGGTCTATATTATACTATAATAATTATTAAACACAATAACACAGTTCAGCAAATTAGACAGTCCCGTCTTTTTGTTGGTAATTCTGCTGATAATATGCTAAAATATCAAATGATTTCATCACCTAGTAGTTCTTATAAATTTAAAACTGACGTTGATATTATCAGTAGGCCTTTTTTATTTTCACGGCATAACCAATAACTTTGTTCCTTAAGCGTTTTAAACGGTGTCTTCTGTAAATCTTGCGTTTTATTTAATCCACCCCTTGACATTGGCGGAGTTAAAGCCGTGTTAATAAAAACAGCATTTTGTAAATACAACCAATTTCAAGAACATTCAAAAGATTTAAATTTATAATTAGATAAAATTCAGTTTTGAATTAGAGTAATACTTCCCCAGGAAGTATTACATTTTTTAACGGTAGTTTTTTATTTTCGACTTCGGTCCACCTCCGGTTTATATTTTTGTACAGATCTTGGGGGGTTCAGGGGTCCCTCGACCCAGTGTTAATTTTTTCCGGTAAAATTGGCATCTTTATTCTCTAAAAACGAACTTTAAATTTACACATAGCAGAGAGATAACAATTGTCTGTACGCTGTACCGAATATAAAAATGCATATCAACTTCATATTAATTCTAATATCGGAAATATACAAATTAAATTGTTTGAATCATTGGCTTTTAAAATGGAGCTTTCCATTTCTTGGGATTCGTATTCATCGATTGCGTTGTTTGGTTTTGCTTAGGTATACAATTGAGTTGTTTAAACGAAAAGTATAGTTGGTCGTATATAATATTATGGCTCATGTATAATGAAATTCAATATATAGCTGAAATAATTATATTTATATTTCATTAAATCATTGTGTATATGATAATACAATCAACTGTTTACAACCAATGATAAACTAATTTTGTTTTCCCGTGCGGCCATGTAGATTAAATAATGTTGCTGAACTTACCGAAGTAATACTGATGAAGTAATTATTTACCATACGCTAAATAATTATTTCATCTAGAGAAATAAAATGTGCGGAGATCAATTATTTTAGGTATTGAAATCGTTGCACACCGTGTATAAACTTAGTAACTAATCATACTTACTTGTAATAATGTTTTCTTAGGATAAATATTTCGTAGAATATAAATGTGTCATTTTAGATTCTGAGTGAAGTGAGTAATGTGTTGGTTTTACAGTGATGTTTATTTTTTTGTCCGAGAACAACTTTTCTAACAGAATTCTATCGGAAATTTTCCTGGGGTTGTACATTAGGAAAGTCGTTTTTTGATTTTCCCAGGGGTTTTCATAATAAATGGGGAAAACCGGAAAAACGTACTTAATGTATTATTTTCAAATCGTAAATATTAAAAGGGATTCCAAAACATGTACAACCGAACTCCGCTCAGAATTAGTTTTCGTTAGCAATGGTTAGTCGTCACGTAAAGATAAACATTAAATTTCCCCTTTACCTTCCCAACTCCTCACCTGAAAACAGTGGCCAATTCGAAGTGCGAAATATGTCCGTTATTTTTTTATTTTTTTTTTTCAGCGGTTTTACGGTCGGTCGACCCCGAAAATACGACTCTATTTTGATTAGGCCTCGGACGAAATGCCTTATCTATTCACGTTTCACGTACCGTTTATTTGCATTCGTCCGTTTTTGGTCGTGAACACAAATAAAAACGGGCCTCGCGACCATGGCACTATAATTTCGCACGTATGTGAATTTTCATTCTCACTCCTAAATCTAATATTAATTTTAGATTCAGAGCGAAGTGAGGGAATCTATTGGTTTTACAAACTGAGATGATGATGATGACGTGTGTTTTATTTTTAAAACAATTTGTTCTGTCTGTAATCAACTCTTCGAACAGAAAACTTGCTCCAACCGGTAAATGTAAGAAACCTATTTATTTTGTTTTAAATTTTCGACCTAGCTGATGCATTTAAGAGATCGTTTTTTGATTTTATGTGTAGTTTTCTTAATAATTGAACAAGACCGGGATAAAATTTAGAGATAACGGAAAAGTTTACGGAAATAATAGTTTCAATAATTTAAATTTTGTTTTAATTCAATTAAAACATTTATAGACACTTGAAATTTTGATAGAAAACTTGTATCGTCCTTTTCTAGAAGTGGTAACATTTTCAAAATATTTTTAAAATATTTTTGATCTATTTATAGGTATTATTTGTTATCATTTTTTTTTCTAAAATTTTTATTTGGTAGGTACTATGTAGATAACATTTTCAGACCATACAGACATGGCTGAAAATTTAACAGAATGCATATTATAGGTTATACTTAGTGGTAAAAAAAAAGTGTAATGTAGTAATTTTTTTTTTTTATTAAGGTTTTAAGATCAAATTTCCATGAAAATTGTGATATCTAAGGCGTTTTAAATCATTTATACACAAACTTCATTTAGAATCGTTTGCCGTCAGTAATAGTTTATCGTTGCTTACGGGTATAAATTAAATAACTTTATTTATCCTATCTTCCTAACTGTCCACTTACAACAGTGGCACACTTATCAGCAGTATCGGCTCTTTTTTTTTCTGCTATATGTATTTATGAAAACGTTTATTTAATTCAACCGGGATTTATTATTGTACAATGGCACAAATAAAATATTACGGTATGGTATTCGATGTAAATATGTATATAAAATGTTTAATGAATAATTTCTTTCTAAATTTTTTTTGTTGAAACATTCAAGTATTAATTGACTAGAGATTTCTAATCCGAAACAAGAATTAGTTAACAATGTCGCATTAATATTATAAATCTATGTATATACATATATATATGTACATATTAACAATATAATATAATAACAATTTCACATTTTTTTTTTTTTTTTACTATAAAACACAAGGGAAAAAATGTAACATAATATTATATTTTACTAATCATAATAATAATAAAAAAAACATAATATTCCGTATAACATATTATTGTATACACAAATACCGTTTAGACATTAATAATATACGTATTATGTATTATAGATAAATTATATAAAATTGAACATTTCCAACAAGAATAAAATAACAGAAGACGGTATTTTGTGGTCTAATATTTAATGAGTTAAACTATTAAGAATAATAATGTCATAAACTGTCGATAAACATTAATACGATACATTTTTTTTTCTTTTTTTTTTATGTAACTTGTAAAACACTGTTTTTTTTTTTTTTTTTTAGTATAGGTATATAAATTAAAACGAATCCTCTTAATGAGACATAAGTTAAGTGTATAAAGGAAAAACCGTTATACCGTTTCATTACACTCGCAGTCATCACGCAATACAACCAAGTATTGGTTAGGTATACAGAACGAAAAAATGTTAAAGTAAAACTTTTTTTTTTTGAATTATGACTTAAAATTTTTCTTGGTTTTTTTTTGCGTAGGTACCCAAGTTTCATATATTTAAATCGGTATAGGTATATAGTTTAAAGGGGAGGGGGTGGGGGCAAAAACAAGATCGTGAAAATGTGTACAAAATTACGTTCAAAGTGTACCGTTAGAAACACAAAGGAATTGAACGAGAGAATCGTTGGAACAAATAAAATAAAATAATAATAACTCGATAGAGTTAATGTGATAATGAAAACAATATAAGAGAGAAATTCGGAAATTCGAGACACCTAGACGTCACAATGATAATGTTTAATACTCGCGTATTATGTTGTCTTCGAGAAGTAAAAAAATAAATTTAACCGATTTATTTTATTATTATCGTTACAATATAAAATACCGATCCCGTGTTGTATACAGTGTAATGCTACTTCTACTGCAATTTTATCGTAGAAAATGTCGAAATTGTGTGATACCTATACAATATGAATTGATGGTTTCAAATGTATTGGGAATCCCAGGACACCGCAGTACGCCTTATTTTCTATACTGCCTTCTCATTGGCCCATTTCGAGTTGTCACGGATTCCCGCGCGTTTCTGATTAGTAAATTTCAAATAGGCCGCCTTTAAATGAATTATACAGTGTTATCGGCATCGTGGTACTTATAGTGTAACCGTAAAATACATTTTCTTTGTCTTGGTGGTTTCGACGTATATTATAACCAGTGAGCACGCAGTATGCGCACAAGGCTGTATGATAAAATGATACGGTATTATGTTAGATTAATGCCGTATAGTCGTTACAATATTTAGCAAAAGATTCGGCGTTGGCCGCGGTCTATCAGGAAACGAATAATAACTGATCGAAATATTTAAAAGCAACTTGAATAATAAAATAATTTTACGCGTTACGTTCTGAACGATCACGTGGTGAAACGAACCTAAAATAACTATAGTAAGCTTATTATATCCAGTACCCGGCCACCAATAATTTCCAATATATCTCAGTTTAACATATTTGTACTATAATATGGTAGTAAACGAGCACTTATGTTTAGTTATTTTCATATAGAGCGCTCACCCGTAAATCTTTAAAAAAAAAAAATCAAATCCAGAAGCAAACGTTCTTCTCAAAGACCGTATGCGTCTCGCCACTTATCCTTGAAATGTAAGCGGTCGATAGTTATTTTTCAATATAGTCACTATTTTGTATTTTTTTTAACGAATAGACGAATTGGATACGTACAACACGGACTTCAAATTGTAATTAGGTTTGAAACGTTATTTAATGTGTGTACGTAATGGTATATATAGTCGACAGTCGTGGCACTCGTAGCCAGTTTGATATGAAATTCAGGTACAGCGGAGTCGTGTCGGAGAATTCGGTTAACCAACTAAGAAAGCTAAAAATGAGGAAAAAACCTAGATGAACAAACATGACGGAGAATATGTGGCGGACGACTTATTTGTTTTTACTATTAACCGAAATGTTGTTATCGTTGTTTTCTGCGGTCAGGTGACGACGGTTGGTGATATTAGTATTACATTTATAACACTCGTTCAATCGTGAGCCGAGTGAAATATTTCAAAGTAAAAATCGAACGAAAATTTCAAGTTCTGGATGTTTTTTTTCCTTGAAACTGTTGTCCTCGGTCCTCGGGCCGGACAAATGCGGACTACGTTCGCGGTCGTCATTTTCGGAAATTAACGTTGTCGTTTATCGCAGCGAAACTTATTTTACTGGCGGTTCGCTCTTTCCGCCTGACCTTTAATTTTTTTCACGTTAAATCGAAATCGAAAACGGCGTGCGGCTCGCGCAGCGGCTTGCCCGGGAATTTTCAACGTGAGCGGATGTAACGAATAAGAATCGCGAATAAATCGTAAAATCGTCTTCTCTACCCGACTCGACTATACGGGAATTGGTAACTTGAAAGCCGATTTCTAATCATCGCGTCAAGCTTTTCCTCGGTAACCCGGCTGAAATATATCAGCATTTCGACATTAGATCGCTGGTATTTTTTTGTATTTTCAAGTCAACGGGGGTGGGGAGGGGGGAGGTAGGGAGGGGCCTAATACCCGTTATTCCGTGTACCGAGACGCGAAACAAAGATACGAAACGCCCATAGGCGCGCGTAGATCTCTTTTTCAAGGTATGTAGAACGCCGCCACTAGCGTCCCCGCAAGTTAATTTGAAATTCGTAAAACTCCGGTACACAAAATAATGTGCACGTTTATTGAAATGCCTTAACGACCGTTTAATTAAAAACGCAATTTTTACTCGAAACTCAAATGGAATATTACAACGCAAAACGCGCGTGTTCGCCAGATATTTGATCGCGCTCATATAATATGCGGTTTTTCGATGACCCCGGAGCCGCGCCCCCCCCTCCCCCCCATACACCCGCGCCTGTGACGGAAACGCCGCGATTTCAGAAACGGACACGCAGTTGTCGTGCGAAATTCAAACGACGGCGGCGCGAAATAACACGCCCGCAGCCGTATTTTTTTCCGACTCTTTAAACGCGGCTTAACATCTGGAACGTCCCCGTTGTCCCCGGGAGGAAGCCGCCCGACGCCCGCAATAACGTAACACCCGCGCGTTACCCGTACGATATATTATCACAAACACAATAATATTATTGTACCTGGCGTCCCGAGTTCCGACGTCGTCGCATTGTTGTGCAAATCGCGCGTTATTTAAACGTTTTCCCGCCGCGCGCGAGTGTTGCGTGATATTTCCTTCTCCGTCCACGAAAACGGCGCGCGGCGTTTGAATTCGGACAAAATCTCGCGTTTCGCATAACCGCACCGGGCGTATACGATATTTTGATAATCGCGTTTCTTTTATTTTTTTCACGGCGTTTACGATAGTTACAAGAGAAATAAATACGAAATAAATTGAAAATTTCAAAACATAATTATCGGATATACTTATTACGTTCGCATTGCGTCACGATTGTAATAAAATAGATAATTTCCAACCATCATATTCTGATAATCGGGTAAACAAATTGATTGCGAACCGTTGAAACGATTTTATATTTGTTTTTTCGTTGAAAAATGTGAAATCGAAATATTAAAATACTAAATAATAGTTACCTAAATAAATACAGATCCAGAGGAGGCGATCGCCCCTATCGCACCTGAAATCTTACATTGGTGACCGAAATAGTGTACTGGCCGAAAAGGGTACCGTCCCCCCGTACCCACCTATAATGTGACCTTGTGATATAGTACGTTTTTCCTGCGTATCGGGCGGGCTTTGAGAAACTCGTACGAATGTAATAATATTGTGCGCACGTTAAAATCGAAACAAATCGGGAAAGAGCTTTTCTACACAACGAAGAAATCCGAAATTTCGATTCGAGTGGAGAAATTCGAAACTTCCATCCCGGGTTAAGATTGTAGTCATTATCTATATGGTTTTTTTTTTTCGAGGTTGAAGTTTTGAACGTGCGAACCAGAGTTTTTACTCTGAGGTACAATAAGAGACATACAATTGCTAACACAAACTTAAATGGAATGTGCGACTACAAAGTAATATTATTATGGATCGTGCGATTTTTAACACGGGTTGAATAGGATACAGTATCGAAAATCGTACGGTTCATTGGAACATGCCAGTTTGACCCGTTAGGGCCCTTTTGTTGAATGTACACCGGTTTTCGGGCGTTTCGGAATGAATTATTTGCCGAATCGGATTCACCTTGAAAAATTCTGTAACAAAGTGCAGCTAACTTAAATTTTTTTTTTTTTTGGACCATATGATGAGTTTTTGATTCTACCCAATTCATAATTAGTTCGGATCAGGATTCGTATCGTTTCATATGTATATAGAAACGGCGCTCTCCCTTGTAGCGATATACGTCGTCAGTTGATTATCAGATTATATATAGGTATGTACTTTTTTTAAAATTTTATACTCGTAATGAAATTGTTGTTTTTTCGGCTTTTAAAATGAAGTCGTTATATGTATATATATATATATATATTGCTTAAAAGCTCGTAATAGTAGATTTTTTTAGTGAAAATCGGAGAGTCAACAAACTCGTTGACAATGCGTCGTCATGGGGTGCATTAAAAGTCCGTCGTCGAAACCTTGCACGTCATACACACAAAGAGGGGGAAGACTACAAACTGTGAATGTGTGTGTGTGTGTGTGTGCGCGCGTGTGTGTGTGCGTGCGTAAGATGATTCGCGGTGATGGCGAAAACGAGGGTTTTTTTTGTGTTTCCAACTTCTGTCACAGGCCACTACTGCCGGGGTTTGTATATATATTTATACATATATATGTATAAAATAAATCGAGTGAAATGGGGTAACACAAAAAAAAAAAAATCAAAAGTACAAGAAAATTTCTGAAAAAAGCAAAAAAAGAGTAAACCTTATATAACTTTATCGAACCGCATTAGGAAAACATTAATAAAATCTACCGAGTGAAAAAAAAAAAACTACAAAAAACGAGCGGTGTTTACGCTTTTGTGAACTATCGACATTTCTTGTCACGAAGTTTCCGCCGCGGACGCGCAGTAACGGACGGCCGCGAAATCGTATTTCGTTTCCATTATTTTTTCACGCACCGCCCCGCGACAAACGCTCAGGTATGTCGCGCGCGCCGGTCCGGGGAAGACAATGGACACTGATCGCTGTCGGCAACTAAGTGCGTACGGAATTGGCCTTTGAACTTATTTTTTCGTGACTCGAAAAATACATACATGTGTCCGTGCGAGTTATATTCAGACTGTCGTCGTGATACCAGAGACGAATCGCGTAAAAGTCACAACGCCCCGTAAAGTCGATTTATTATTATTTTTTTCGTTTTTTTTTCCCTCCGAGACGTACGCGGATATATTTTTATAGTCGCGGCGTCGTCGGCTCGCGAACCGGATTAACACGTTAAAACGGGAGAGGAGGGAAAGGTAGTCGGACAATCGTATTTTCGTTTACATTCTTGCGGGTTTGCGGGGATATAGGGACGGCGTTCCGGACGCGACGACGTTTCTCGAGAGCCGTAAATTCACCCGTCTCCTCCGGGAACGCTCTCTTAGTAAACCGAATTTATTTTCGTTACATTATGAACGCCGACCCGTATGAGTGGCCGTATAATATTGTATAGGTCGGGTACGCCGGAGCCCAAACTATACTTCGAGTACAGCAGTTGCTACACATCGCATTTCGAACGGACGGGTAAAACGGGTATGAACATTCGAGGTACTAGGCTGTAGGTCGGAAATTATATATTTATACGGGTAAAAGTTCTTGGGGTGGGTGGTGGTTTGGTGAATTTGGAATTCTGCTACACCGCAAAAATGCAGTTTGGGCGCCACTGGTCTGGCGTACGGGGATAACGACGGACGAAGCTGATCGGTGGCGTTCGGGGGGATGTTTTTTTCTTCAAATGGGGATACAAGAATAATTATTGCCGTTCACAAATGGCGAGTAACCCAGCATCGCCACGGACAAAATAATATAAATTAAATCGCAATAATGTACGGGTCGGGGAAATTTCGTTACACTCTATCGTCGGCCGTACTATACGCTAGGCACATTTCTCTGGTGCCCCTGATCCCCCCCCCCCACTCGGAAAATCAAACACGAACAAAGTTCCTTTGTAGGGTAGGAAAATGATCCATATTGTATAGTCGCGGCACTCGAATGTCGTATATGTTTAATTCGACGGGACGGAAACGAGAAACGCCCGCGACACAGATCCCGCGCGGGGAGATCTATCCGCCAACACGCCGCCCACACCTACCCTACGTGCTTTCGAGGGCCGCGTACACGGGGAGTTAATGCGCGTATGTACACCGTAACGATATAATAACATCGTGCTGTATAATAACGCGAGGACGTTGTTCTTATAGCGGCAGATGTTTTATAATACAATAATATCACCGTTGTCACCGTGGCCGGACGTTATTAATATATAAGAGCGTCGCGGACGCGGTAAACCGTGAAATTTCGTCGGCGGGGACAGGGCCGAGAATAATTTTCCCGGGCCAAGTATAATAATAATTATAAATGTTATCGTTCTCGGCGTGGCGGACGATTTAATACGTTTATGCGATGCGTTACGGCGAGGTACCCACGGCACGGACGTTATAAAGGGCCGGACAGGCGAAATTTCGTCCCGGCGCCGCCGGTGAGCCGGTGGAGCGGGGTAGGGGAGGTTCATTATTATTATTGTTGTTATTTCCGTATTCTGACTCCATCGCCGGCGAAACACTAGATCCGGGGGCTCGGGTCCTTTCGAACGGTTTAAACGTTGACATCGCCGTGTTTAGCATAGATACCGCTATGTCAATCTAGAAAACATTAAACACGACAATTGATCGCTCCGAAAACGGATGAATTTTTAAGCCGTTTGACGTACTAAAATAGCGTTGTTATCAATACAATGTTATCGATTGTTTTCGTTCTCTCCATAGCTGTGTCCAGAGGCGTCCGGGTAATTTTCAGATGGAGGATAAAATAAAACTAAATTCCGAAACCTATTTAAAGTATGTTGGTACTAAGTTGGTAATCCTTGAAAAGGAATGAGGAAGAAAGTATATGCATAATCGTGTAAACATTACTTTAGCGATCAGCAAAAGTCTATGGTTATCATCATCGATATAACGAATATAATAACATTTATTTTGATGGATTTAAAGCATACGTAATTTTTTTTTTGTTTTTAATAATTTATTATTATTTAGGGGGGGGTGGTCCCTCGAATGGACGACCAGTTGTGTCAATTGTATACGGTCTTATTTAAGGGGGATGTACGAATTATAATCTGTAAGGGGGCGACCGTTTGGGCACGAGTGTCGCGTATATCGTCACTGCATAGGCGCAACTAGACATCCGACTTTGGGAGTGCTAAAATTACCTATACCCGTGGGGCTATACCCTCACAATCCTCTTTATGCGGTTACACGCGGGTACAATAAGCAAATAAACATTTCACTAATAATGTAGTACATAGAAATTTATCATAACTATTTTAACAATATTTTTCATAATAATATACACTGCGCGGATTGTTTGTAGGAAATCGGTATTTTGTTCATGAGCGGAACTTTATAATATTGCGGTGCACGGATAGAATATGATATAAAGTCATTACTATAAAAAAGCTTATTGAATTTTGAAGGGGGGCTAATTTAAAACTTGGGGTTGCTAAAAACTCACTAGTTGTGCCTACGAATTTGACAGCGGATTTTGAAAATTTCTCTGAGTAATCGGCGGGGGATCCCGAAACAAAATATGTATTTCAAAAAGATAATAATTCGAATAGAGTCGACGAATTTTGTATATTGTCTTGCCGGTCAATCCGCCGTCGACGTACCTATACGGTATTGAACAGAAAGGTCTGTCGGATCGGACGTGTGAAGTTTGACCGTCGGTCGGGCGAAAATGTTTTTAAGGGTCCAAACGAGTTCTTATTATTGTTATTGTTATTATTATATTTTTTTTACCGATTTATACTTCGTCGTAGCGTTCGTACGTGCGTGCAAAACGACCTTTGGTCAGGCGTATACCTAATGTATTTTTTCTTCGGCTTAACGGGGCCGAGACGCACGCGAACAGCCGCGAAATAAGATTATCGGAAAAGTACGTTTTTAATGGATTCGTTTCTTTGGTTCGAAGTTTGTTTTTAACGACGACGACGACGACGACGGCTCTGCGTATTGTTAGAAAATAATATCGTCCTGGGAATAGGATTTTGGGCAACTGCAACGACGACGACGGCCGGGGTATTATATTTTCTTCGTACGGCGTATTCCGCAGGCTTTTAACGGCTCCGGTCTTTCACCTGTTCCCCCCCCTCCCTTTCCCTAAACTTTCTACCTCGCCCTTTACAATAATCATCCGTTAAACGGTATCCCGCCAGCGATAATTACTGTACTATAATACACTATATACGCCCGGTTATACCTATACGGTTAACCTAACCTATACGAAATTATTACCCGTATAAAGTTTTTTTTTCCCCTTTCTTCCCAGCCCGCGTTCCAACAAAGTGTTACTGCAAACGAGTTCGGTGTTTACTCGCGCAAAATAATAAAGAGTTGTTGTAGGTATATGTGCGCGCGGGTATATTTACTTACGCGTATAGTCGAATAATAAAGGTCTTGTAAAATATCGTATAAGGTGAAAATAAAAATAACAGTTTATTCTTTTTTTTTTTTATCGCACCGCCCCGAGTGTACATTTTTTGGCAACGATGACGCGACGACACGTATGGCGAACGGCACGATTCTATCCGTCGTTGTTCGTTTTCAATAATATTACCCGCGACGGGAACAGTGGCGTATCCGTTTTAGTTTTATGGCGATGGGATTTATGGCGGTGACGCTAATTGAATTATAACACACCGCGCAGCCGGTATACATTTTTAAAAACATATATTTTATACTCGTTATACATTCATTCGACTTGGGTAGGCATGTGATATTTTTCAACTTTATTGAGACCGTTACATTCTGCACGATTGAGTACCACACCGATACTGGCCCCAGTAGCGCACGCACACGATATTTTCGGATGGAGAGGAGTTTGTTTATAGTAGTTCCCAAGAGAGGGGATATAGCACATATTACAAATGTGGTATTATCACTATATCATTACTGAATAAATGGTTTTCGATGAAATTAAATTGTATTTTATTCTGGTGGTGTAAGATATTCTGTTGTTGAATGTAAAATTCAATAGTAGTGAATGAAGACATTTCGGAGGGGAAGGTTGACCCCGTAACCCTCCCCCCCCTCTGACGCCACTGACTGGCCCCGTTTGTCCTTAGTGTATCTCATAAGGTGACCGAACGAAATATTGTAACATAAATAGCTGTATAAGAATACTATAACAAACAATCGACCATAATCCTATAGGAGTGTTAATTAGGAATGTTAGGAGTGTGAATTAGGAATTCACACTCCTAATTTAATATTATAAATTTGAAATTAAGTCTGTCTGTTACGTTTTCACGACTACACCGCTGAACCAATTTTGATGAATTATACAATACAGATATTATGTGGGACTTTGGAGAAAAACACAGGCTACTTTTTGTCGCGAAAATAAAACTCGAAGGGGATAAAAGGTTTTTTGATACGAAACTTAAATTATTTTTGTTGAATTATGAATAACGTTAGTAACACGGATGAAATGAAAAAAAAAATTAAGCAAGAATAAAAACGCCATAACAACTACAAAAGTTTAAAATAAAGAATTTATCTGACTGTCTGCCGGTCTATTATTGGCTTGAAATAGGACGGGTTACCTTAAATGAATGAAAAAAAAAAATAAGAAATTATGTGCTGTACTGGGTGTGTAAGCGAAAAGTGAAAACACGTAAAACGTTATTTTTGAATATTTGCATTTTTTGATACAATAATATAGTAACAACAATGTAGTACTATTATGTCCTCATAGTTTTAGCGTTATTAGAGTGGATGTGTAGTTTAACCCCTGTGCTGTGCGGGTATCTACGGTAACACGGATTAAAATATGTATAATGCACTAGAACACTTTTAGTCACATTTAGGCGGACTACCGCCACTTTCCATAAAATTTTTTCGTTAAAAATAACTGTTACGGGCAAAGCGAAACGGGAATAAAGGTAATAAGAATAAAAAAATTGGCACGGACATGGAAACGCCGGGCACGGGCAGCTATTGTAGTAAACTAAAAAATCGTTATTTATTTATTTTTTTTAATTTTTGAAAATTCATTAATTCGGTATTTGTTTAGTATTTATACATTAATATGTTTGCAACAAAGCCATTCCATTTAACTTTTTTTGTCCCGTTCTCGATCTAAACCGTGTTTTTATACTGCATTAAACAAAGCCGAAACGATATTGCAAATAATAACGACAACGATGGCATACAATTATAATATGATAAAAAAAATAAAAAAAAAATTGACTTAAGATATTATAATTTAATATGTTTAATATGCGTTAGAATATATATTTAAAAAAAAAATGCCGACAATTTTTTTATAGGATCAAAAATATAATATAAAAACAAATATATGCGGGATCATGGGAGGGGTAGGGGGCGATTGCCTACATCGCTTGTCCCCTTCAAATAATATCGCTCGGTTCGCTATATTATTACGGCCGTACTACAACAGTATCGTCGTACCAACCGAGTTTGGAACTCGCGTAATTAGGTTTTGTTTTGTTATTTTTTTTTATTTTCCGATTTTCTTTGTTTTAATCCGAATCGTTCGTTTGTGCGCGCGCGTTACAATAAAAAAACAATCTTCCGGGCCGAACTTATCGAAAACATTATACGAAACGCCGGCGGCGCGGCGGCCCGGTAGTATTTTACTTTTTTTTTTTTTTTTTTTTTTTTCAATTTGGCGGATACTCGAATTTATATACCTACGCGATGACTGCGCGGGTTCCATATTTTCCGATAGCCTCGGGGGCATAGGTATTTCCGCGTGTGTAGTATTTTATATATAGAAGGAGGCGAATTATTGCGGGTCCGTTTCTCGTGCTGCGCGGGTTGCAGCCACGGCGGGGGTGGGGGGGGAGGGGAGGAGTGAGGCGGGGGGCGGAAGTCGCCGAACGACACGCGGTCGGGATAATGTGTGCGGAATTATTATTTTTATACGGAGCTCTTTTATTTTCCGTCGCGAAAAATCTAATAAAACGAGGACGGTTTCCGGTGTATAATACGGCCGCGCGGTATATACCTGTACACGCACGTGTACAGCATTCGCGGGGCGGCGAGGGAGGAAAAAAGAACGAACCCGGGGGAAATTTAGAACAAATATCCTCGTCCGCGCGCTCGGCGGCTCTCGCGGAGCGCTCCGTTTCGGCCTCCCCGCCGCCGCCGACGCCGCCGGTAATACGTTACGAAATTCGGGCGGCCCGTCGTCGTCGTCGCCGCCGCCGCCGTCGCGTGTGCGTGTAATTTTCGAAATGAAAACGAATACGGCGGCGGCCGCGTGCCAATACAAAACGTATAACGGGGCGGCGGAAACGTAAATCGTATTAAAACGCGCGCGCGCTGCACGCGGACGCGCCGAGTCGACGAAATCATCGCGTCCTCGGGCCGGCTCCAATGTTCGCCGGGCGGTCGATGTGCCGGATAACCGCCGGCGCGCGTCCGCGGCTCACCGGTCGTGCGAGTTCGGCTATTCCGGTACAGACCGGATCGGCCGACGGCCGAATGCGATCCGTTTTCGCGTCGTTGTGCGGACATCAATGCGTACGACGTTTTAATTCCCGAGAACATCAAATATTGTCGCGCTATCGGTTTTCCGTCGGCTTTTCCGCCGCATCGCGTCTCTTATGCGCGCGTGTACAAATAAAACGTCTCTTTTTCTCGACGCTTTCAAACGCTCTTAGCGTCTCCGTCCGACCCGAGAAACGAGCTCAAACGCGGGAATTAGAGTTTTGTGGCGACGCGATTTCGGTTGGATTTCATTACGAGTTTTGCCGTGTTGTTGCGGGAAGAACGCGTTTTTTTTTTTACATCCCTACGGACCTCCCGAATAAATCCGAGGGCATTCAATTCTATACACAGGGAGATTTTTTCGTCATGAACCAGCAATTTTCTCGGAGGATTCTAAGTGAATTTGATTTCTGTCTTTTTTTTTTTCTAATCGTTGTAGAATCGATTAAGTTTTATTTTTAAAACCATTTTTAATTTTTTACACCTACTTCATGCGCCTTAAATAAGTATATACTTTTGTTTTTCAAATAGCAGCTCCTTTTTTTGAACACAAATTTGAATAGAGAATATTTTTCTAGAAATGTTGATATGCATAACACTAATATTCGATTTACCGTTTATGAGTTTTAGAGCCGTTTAAAATTTAAACTGGAGGAGTAGGAAAGATTTAAAGATATGCAATGTATTAGTTTAATTATTATTTATTTGTTCATGATAAAAAAAAAATCACTCTGTATATAATATGGCGGTTTTCTTGTTCGACCTCTTTCCCGACTATTTTTATACTCAAATGCCACGTTTTTACATTAAATTTCGGGTTTTAAATACGCACAAAGAAAATGAAATACTTTAATGACGACGGGGAAAATTCGACTCTAGTGACGGAGCTCTGCTGTTCATGGGTGTCTTTTTGGTGTTATTACAATAATAATACGACGGCGTCATTAACGGTCGAAAAAAAAGCTAACATATAATTAAGACGACAGTGGTTGGGCATCAAATAAAAAAATGTAGAGATTTTAATCCTACGTTTAAATTTAGATTTTATAAGAATGAATAAGGTTTTCATGTACTATTGCACTAACAGAACACGGTACCTAGTGTATAGTAACCTCAAAAAAAAAAAAAAAAAAAAATGAGACTTTGAGTTATACTAATTTGCCTACGATAAAAATGTAATTGTTTATAATGCACTACCGTTTTTTTCTCGTATCTACAAAATTTAAAATGTTAAGCGAGAAAATATGAGTAGGTATTGAGGTACAAGGTATTGAGGAATATTGTGAATTGCTATCTAGTGCATAAGTCCACTGGTTTTAGCCAGTGGCGGTTCCAGAAATTCATCATGTAGGGGGATTTACGAAAAAGCTATATAATCTATTAATATTAGTCCAAGGGCCTCCTCCGTTTTAAAGGAATCTAGGCCTGGGTGTAACTCATAGAAAGTAAATTTGGTTATGAGATAATTTTTTTTTACATTGTATAGTTAAAATATATAATTGTATTTATGAACTGCTTAAGTCTAACATTAAATGATAATATTAGAAATACTTTTTTTTTTTTTACAGGTATTTAAAAATTAGTAAAATTTTTTAAATATTTTTTTTCAAACTATGGTTTTCAATGTTAAATACTGTTCTGACAGGGCGTATTATATAGTTATGCAAATTAATTATTAAATTTATAACCTAATATATGTTACGTTTAATATTGTGAAATCGGCTAGTGTCTTTATATAATTTATACTCTAACCAATTTTGTGCCGTAAGTTTTAATATTAGAGCATATTGGACTGTTATCGAACTTAAAGGTAAGAAAATTGTCTGTGTTTGTTGATTAAGTTTTTTTTAGAAATAGTAATTTTCAAGCCGAATTCGATTGTACAATAATTCACATATTCGTAACTCACTTTAAAATTAAAATATCGAAAGAAAACCTACGTACAAAAACAGATAATGTTTTTAGTTTCAAGTACCTTCAAGTATGGTAATACGCACTCTAATATTAACTCTAACAGCACTAAATCGGTTTTTATATCGTGCGAAAAATATAAAATACAACGATATTAACCGATTTCTCAACATTAACATCGTAACATGTATTATTATTAATATATATACGTATAGTACGAGACGGTGTAGTTATAGTGCAAGGGTCTAGAGGGAATTTATCACCCCCTTCTATTAAAACTACGTGTTTTGTGATGGACGTACGCGAGACATTTTTTTTTTATTTTTATTTTTTGTATTTTATTTTTTTTTATTAAGGGTTTCGCGCCATCACCCTCTAGAAATCATGTTCTTTTATGCAATACTATATGCATAGTTGGCGTGTTGAAATGAATATTTTAATTTTAAAATTACAATAGTCAGTTCGTCGCGATGGAAAAATACGTGACGGTTCGCGGTCGCGGCAAGTTAATAAACGCGTAAAATCTCGCCGGAAAAACGGTTAAACCGACTGGAAAACTCGTCTGCGGTCGACATTTTCGTAAAACGAACGATCGCGACCCGATACTTAACAACGTCGTCGTCGTCGTCTTAACGCGTTCCTCGCGAAAATATCGATCGCCGCCGTTGAGGTGTACGCTCGCCCGTGTGGGAATTCGCGCGGGTAATTTATTTGTATTCGATTTGCCGGAAATTTACACGTCCCAGCAGTCCCAGCAGTTTAAATGTGAACGACACATTTTAATTTGCAGCGCGGGCGATTATTACGAGACTCTTATTTGCATACACAATGCACGTTCGTTTACATTGTTTATCGATCGTTTCAAAGTAGACGTAATTATTAATTCGGTTATATTATAATGTAGAGTCGCTATCCGCGCCTCCGGGACATCGTCGGGTAAACGCGTGAAAGGTTATTTGACATAAAAATAATAATAATAATAATAAAACATAAACGGTTTAAAAAACGCGGCTGGTTAATGATTAAAAACGAAAAAAAAAAAAACATTGCAAATTTTTTACTACGTAATACACGTTCGTATACGAAAAACGAATTACGACAAAAAGCTACGGGGGTGAGAGATCGAAATGGCAAATCGAAACTCAGCGGCGTAAAGAAACCACACGAACGCAGAACGCAGTAGCGTGGTGCAGCGTTACCGGGTCGGATTGGATCGGAGGAACGTACGTCAAGTCCACGAACGGGAGATTCTCCGCGACGCGTTTCGAGCAGAATCGTTGAAATACCGTACCGCGCAGAAACGCATTGCAATTATTGTGCTCGGCATTCTCGACGATTTATACGGCGCGAGTGTCGCGGGACGGGCGTTTGTCTTTCGGATCTGTCCGTCCGGCCGGCCGGCCGCTTCCAACTCCGCTTCCCTCCCCCTTGGTTCCCCCTACCGCCGCCCCCGTACACGGACCGGAAGAGATCGCCGTATCAGATGGCGTCGGCGCCATCGTCGTCGTCGCCGTGATTATTTTCGCCCGACGGAAACGCGTACGATTCCGGTAATCGGGGGTAATCGACTTTCGGTCGTCGTCGTCGGTTTTTATAACGTGTGCTGCGGCCGTTTTATACCACTGCGGTATGGATATTGTGTATAGGCGCTGGCCGCTGCGCGGGGGGTCGTAAGCCTCCGGAACCCCGTGATACGCGCGGCACTATAGTAAATCGAATTTTTTCGGTGCATTAACTTTTAATGTATATAATATCTGCGTCGGAGTGTTTCCACGTGTGTGTGTGTGTGTATATATATATATATATGTAAGTACGTACGTACGCGTATAATAATAATTTGGAGATATCCTGTCCGCGTAATGACATTAAAAGGGGGTGGGCGGGCAGGTATTACGGTACGCGATATTATCAACCCCGCGGAGGGGCGAAACGCGTACAAAATAATAACGGAGATGTTGTTATTCCGCTAATAATAATAACAAATATTACGATTGCGATGATAACGGCCATCGGGATTTTAACGGTCCGATAGGTTGAAACTGCTGCTGCGTTATAACCGCGCGTCCGATTTTCCGGACCGAGAGGGCGAGTCGTCGTCGTCTAGAGCGTAGCCTCCAGGGAGGGTTAGTGGGAGGAGAAGGAGTTTCGGGCGTTACACCCCCCTCCCCCTCCCCCTACCGCTTGGCCGTATTCGAGCCGAAAACACGAGTATAACATTATTATAATAGTGCGCGCTTTCGGGTTCTTACGAAACGTGGTGGTGGTTTGACGATTCTGTACCGCGTCGTATTACTATTATAATATTATTACCTGCACGTATATTGCGAAAATCGAAGGCGCGTTATGTCGAATATTCGACGGTGCAAAGACCAGGCGCGTCCCCTAGGGGGCGGGAGGTCGAAGGGGGGCGATTGTCCTCTCCCCCCTCATAAGCCGTGCAATGTTCTTTTTTGTTACACAAAATATCCATAATTCTTAATTGCAGAGCCGTGCGTTTGTAGTGAATGTATTATTTTGTTAGTTCGTCGTATACCCAAGCCCGGCTTAAAACATCCAGAGGTCCCGGGGTCAAACTTTTCGACGAAACTCTCGTCGAAAGACCGATATAATATGAATTTTTAAATAATGTTTACTATAATCAATATGTTTTGAGAAAAGAATAATAATAAACAGTGTGTAGACATCATAATATATAGATCTTAATTCAGAAGCCATGAATATTATTGAAATAAATGGATGTATTATTTTTAACAAATTTACTATAGTAGTTCCTACTATATAATAATACGAATAAGTCATTAGGCAAGGAGAAAAAAAAAATTAAAATATCAAAGCACAATGTTAATGGTTAAATGCATACGTAAAGAACATACTGTGGCAAAAATCGAGGTTCCGGGCTTGCGTTTAACTATGGTTCGAATGACGTTTAATAGTGGTAACATTTTTTTCGGTCTTCCTAATCCTTTGTTTTAATAAATTTGACGGTATTTAAAAAAATTTAAATTCACGTTTGTGTTATATAATTTTTAAAGTAATTTTTTCCCCTAAATTTTTAATACGAACTGTAATATGCTAAAAAATATTTGATTTATCTATAGGTACTCTAAAATGAGACACGTTATAGTTTTATAATATTAAGTTTTACTGCACGTCAGCGGGGTTGTTTCTTTTTTAAATTTTAAACGCATTAAATGATTAATTATTAAATTTTGAGCCGCTTTTTTCAGGTTTTTTTTTTAATATATTAATTGTTTACCTCTATACGGCTGTGTTATAACAATTTCGCTGTACTCGATGTCGGTTATTATTCGACCGCGATGTTAAACGTCACAATTAATTAGACGAAAACACATAGGTATTATTATCGTGTTTAACGTTTTACATCCAAACGTTAATACAATATTATTATACCCGTACATTTGTATATATAAGACTCGAATTTATTAGTTTGATTATTTTTTTGTTAATTATTATTTTTGAGCTGCACGTCATTGCCGGGATCCGCGGAAAATATGTATACCGGTGTATAATTCGTACACGTTTATAATCGCAATCCCGAAATTCGTATCATCGCTGATGCCATAACATATACTATGAATAAAGTACGTTTTATGTACTGTAGTAAGTCCGGCCGAGCGGAAAATTATTTTAAGCCACCCATCTGCGTATGTATAGTAAGTTTGGTGCATAACGTACTCGTTTAAGCCATCGGCGCATCGCGATCGGTCATATAATATTATAATGATTATTATTATTTTAGGTGTAACGCGCGATGACGTACAAATGATCGGGATAAACCGCACGTGATATAACGAAAAACGGTCGGAAAAATATAAAATAAAAACAAAAAAAAAAAAAGAACGGGAAAAAAGAGAAAAAAAAGGAGCTTAAACATCATCGGTGTCCAGTCTCTCTCTCTATCTATCTCTCTCTTTCTATCTCTCTCTCTCTCTCTCTCTCTCTCTCTCTCTATGTATACAATAATAATATCAACGTTTTGTGTAATAATTTCGCTCGACAATAAAGGTATGGGGCAGGCGCTGCGGCTGCAGTGTGCCCCGCCGGTGATGTGTGTAGAGGAAGTTTAGGGTCGGTAGGTATAGTCATAATATAATCACGACGAGGGCACGATAAAAGGAATGTTTCCGCTCTGTTCGTTAACAAAAAAGATAATGATAATAATAAAAAAAAAAAAAAAAACGCGAAAAAATTGTTTGACCGGTTTACCCTTGATCCAGTGTGTATATTATATTATTGTATATTTATTTATTTTTTTTTTCGTTTTGTTCTCGCGGAATCGAACGCATTGAAAAGGGGAAACGTTTATAAAAAAAAAAAAAAAAAAAAAAACGAAACACCTCTCGGTATATATCTTATACCTACACTATATACACTCACACTCACAAACATATATATANTATTTATTTATTTTTTTTTTCGTTTTGTTCTCGCGGAATCGAACGCATTGAAAAGGGGAAACGTTTATAAAAAAAAAAAAAAAAAAAAAAAAAAACCCTAAAAAATATACCGTGTATATAATATTACATCATTGTTATTTCGTGACGTGTATAATATTACGGGTACCTGTTCCCGATCAGTACCGGTATACACAGTATCCGAACTTGAGGAAATCGCGTTTTTTTGCGGCCGTTACGAAAACCGTAACGATACACAATATAATAATTAAAACTTTCGTTTAATTCACTCCGTTCACTCACCGGTGGTTCGGTCGTTGTTTTAAATTTAAAATAAACCGCTGTTTTTGGAGAACGTAAAGTTTAGAAAAAAAAAAAAAAACGAAACACCTCTCGGTATATATCTTATACCTACACTATATACACTCACACTCACAAACATATATATACATTCAATATATATAATGACACTCTCTCTCTCTCTCTCTACGGATACGTTACGAAAACGCGTTTTTAAAGGGATCAAGTGGCGCGTGCGAATCTCGTATCGTACGCGGGTCCTTTTCGTCCGTTCGCCCGTGCCAACCGTCCGAGCGCCGCGCGTTCCGATTTAATCTATTCCGCGACGAGGCTCGAAACCCATCGGCGCGTACTCGCCACCGTTCGCCGGCAAATCGCGAAAATACACGTACGGTATAATAAATATAGGTAGTGTAGCAATAGTATACAGTACGGTGTATTTTACGTTTACTTGTCTACCGGCCGGGTCGAAAAAAAACGAGACAGAGAGAAACAAGAGAGGATAAGAGAGGCGCGGCCATATAAAAGTCGCGATTTCGGAACAGCCTCGACGTCGTCACGCGTGTCGAATCCCCGGGAGGCGCCGTTCTGCGTTTAACGATCCTACGGAACCCTCAGGTACGCATAATGATACGGTATATAATATTATAAAAAATATAGGTATACCGGTTATTTGAATATTTTATCTATGTACAGATTTATTTATACGAGTATATATATACATATATATATATATGTATATGAATATATAACATATGTTAATATTTGGACCTATATGTACACGTGTGGAGTATTTAAAAAGGGGTTTTTTTTTTTTGTTAAATTTTTTTGTTTTCTGTTGAAAGACGACCGCTGTCGACGCAGAAGACTTGAAGGAGAAAACGCCCGCACGCTGTCCGCTGCAACGCTGCAGTGTCGTCGGTCTCCTCGGCTCCGGCGGCGGAGAAAAACGCCGCCCGAATTCGGCGTGTAGGTATATATTTCGGTGCGTATATCGCGGTAACCGCGGTTGCGGGGACCGTGGTATGCTGCATTGGCGGCCGGGGTAAGGGGTTCGGTGGCCACTCGTCCGCCGTTTACTTTGCTCAGTGGCCGAACAGCACCGGGTTGGACAGCATTATGACCAGACTGAACAGGGCCAACACGTGGACGGTCATCTGGCCGCTGACCGCGCTCCGGTTTCCGTGCTGCATGGCCGCGGGATGTTCACCTGCGGACATACGAAATTTAAAGACGGTTGTACAGATAATATTTATTTGGATGCATCGCGTCTGCATGTGGACGTCCGGGATAACGGCCGGTGCTAAACATAGTCGGGAAGAAAGACGAGACAGGAGAAGAACGTGAATATCAATGTCACGGGCGAAAATACGCTTCGACTTGTATATTGATACCATAGACTTGTACGTCCAGACGGAATGTACTAACGGTTTTCAAACGGTGGCTCCAGGGGCGCCGTGGTTTTGTATCAAGGGATCCGCGTCTACAGTAAATACAGTAAATTTATTTGTTTTAATCGTTTTAATTGATTGTTTTCATCATTCGTGGGGGGACTCTAAAATCGGAAGAGCCACGGGCCCAAAAAGGTTGAACTAAACCACTGACGTATACAATCGTTTCGAACAATATTATTATGTCGATCCCCGGACGGAGGAAAACGCGGCCGCGGAAAAATCGCCCGTTTTTTTTCGTTTTTTTTTTTTTTTTCCTCGGCCATTATTTGATCACCTACCGTTGCCGGAACGCCGTACGCGACAGTGGCGGATTAAAAACCGTACTAAAACGGCAAACGTCGTCGTAGAGTATTATCGTCGTGGAAGGTACGAAGAACACGACGCCGGGACAGTTGTAAACAAGTGGCGGGCGTATTACAACACCGCGGAGGAAACTCGAGGTTTCGATAAATCCCCGCGGGCGGTCGTCACCGCGACTGCGGTTCGGGCCGCGGTCGTATATATCGCTAAATCGGTTTGCCGCGCAATAAATATCTTATATTATGTGATATACCTACTCGTCCGACGGACAAAAGCTACGCACCATCGTTTTCCTGTCGCTAGGAATAAAAAAAAAAAAACAAAACACGTTGTACAATACGTATACGTAATATACAGAAAAAGGACCACCGGACAGTCGTATACGCGGATTATTGTACGCGATATATCGTTATAATACAGCCGAACGTCGCGGTAATAATATATTGTATTGTATATAGAATAAAAAGTAAAACGGTACAGGGATTCGCCGTTCCGAAATTATAAACGTTTATATATATTTTTTTTTTTTTTTTACCGTATACCAGTACGCGTAACTCTAAGGAGTCCGCGACGTATACGGTATTTATTTTTTATTTTTTCAACGGCGTTTTGTGGAAACATCGAGCAAAAAACCGCGTAGGCTTTTTATAATAATAATAATATTATACAGGTAGGGGCGCGAAACGATACTATTATATTATAATATTATAGGCGGCCTTTGTATTATAATATACGCTTAACGCGGCGGCTGTGAAAAGATTAATAACTATTAGGCGCGGAGGCCGGGCCTCGCGAACACAACAATGCGTTCAAAATGAATAATATTTTTAAATTTTCTCCGTCCCCTCATATCCCTTCCGATTAACCTTAAAAAATAATGTAAAAAAAAAAAAAAACTCGAAAAAATACTTAACGAATAGAAAATCAATACTCTTAGGCCGTCTATATAATACGCGCGTATATTACGTATTATTCGAGACTTGTTTCGTATATGTTCTTATACCTACTCGTTCTGCGAGTTTTTACCGAATTTACCCTCTAAAATGGAGACAATCGCACCGTAGTGACACGATCTTTACATTATTATTGCATATGCGCCCGTTGCACACGACGTGTGGCTAGTGGCTAAATCCGAACGCTGCACATTTTTTTATCGGACACCCTTCTTTTGCACACGGATAATAATGAAAATAAATATTTTAACCAAAATATTATTTCGTTTCTAACGTTCTCGTCACCGAATAACAATCATTATCACTCAAAAAAACCGGCGCGTATGGTGCTAATTATGTCAAAATTATTAAATATCAATATTGGCGATCAGACCTATGTATCAGACCTTGATGTGCGTATACAATGTAGGCAACTGGGTGCACTATGATATACAGATACATCGCAGTCGTAATCGGTGATGGATTCGAGGAATCAGTTATATTATATTTGCAGTCGTAATAATATGAGTTAATTATGATGATAAATCGTCGTTCAATTTTACGGTCAGATAAATTATTACGTATGTTGATACTATTGATTGTAATTTTATTTGTATTTTATATTTAATGTTCGTTGTTCAAAATTAATTTGGCACTCCCCCAAAATAAAAATCCTATATCCACCACTGGTCGTACAATGAACGAATAACTATAAATATCCGGGACGCGGGTACATCTAAAATTTTTCGGTCAAGAGGATGTGCGGAAACCCGTCTCCGTCTCCTAATGTCTCCGTTTCACTAGCGCACGACACAGTAAAATTTCGTTGCAAAAAAAAAAAAAAACATGATTTTGCAACTGTTTTGTATGATATATTTTTTTTTTTCTTGAAAAAACCCGTTTTTAAAATAAAAATGTTGACAATATTCTTATACAATTGACCAAAAGAAAACCACGACGCGCGCATTATTGAACAATAATTATTTCGTACGGAGTTTCAACTAATAGACCCATTCGTTGTTTCAATTAATGCACGGATCGGTTAACCGTAATACACAGTAAAATTTCGTTGCAAAAAAAAAAAAAAAAAAAAATGAAATATCGTAACGGCAAGAAGTTGGCGCGGGAAAACTCAGCTTTAGTGCCGGAAGTGCTCGCTGATATTATTTTTTTCGAAACGTTTATTTCCTGTTTGAGAAAAATAGTATAGGATATTGAGTACAGTGAGTCGAACATAATAGTATCTTATTATTGAAGGGACCCGAGAAAACGCAATAATGATGGTCAACACGACGTAAAACCCGGAAAGTTTTGTCTTTGAAAACTTAATAATTTTCAGTCTATTCACGTACTTAAATTTATTTATGTGACAGAAAGACGATTATAATAATAAGCAAAAAACGAAAACAAAAAAACAAATATTACAGACTGTCGATAAACTACGGTAAACTTCAAAAGCCCCGCTATATTTACCGCCATCGTCGACGTTTCGTAACTTTTCACGAACCTCTCATTATTGTCACCGTGTTCGTGCTGTTCATATGATATAGAATTAAAATATTATTCGAGTATTAAACAAATGTTAAACGGTTGTTTTTAACGTAATAGCATTAAAAAATATGACAATCGATCGATTTAAAAACCACTGTAAAATAATTCTTCATCTCAGTACATCAGTCGCACTCATTGTGGCGTATAGCGATGGTCCGCGGTACAAAGACGTGTCTTTTAGATACACGATATTATGTTTTATTATATTTTTATTATACATTATGTCTGTTTCTAATAATACAGCAATGTAACCTGTTTTTTTTTTTTTATATTTCGAACGTAGTGAGGTAGCTATTGATTTTACAATGCTGTTTATTTATTTTTCTTTGTTCTAGTCTGTGGACACGTTTTTTCCTAGTAAACTTATTCCGATTTTTACGTGTAGCATCTTTTCTAAAAGCTCAAATCGTCTAGATTATACTTTAAACAGGTTATTTTCGACACCATTTTTTAAATGAAAGTACTGAAACACTTAAGTGGGAAAAAACATAGGAAAACGTACAATTTCTCGATTTCATTATTTTATAAAAACACGGAAGACGTTTTCTACCAGAAAAAATAATTTAATCGAAAAATCACAAGGTATCTTTTTTGTTTTCATTTTGATTTATTTTTTTACAGTATTATCGCCAAAACTTTTTAGCCCTTTTTGAGCTTTTCAGGAATTTTAATTTTTGGGAGTTTTTTGCTGTAATTCAGTTATAAATACACTTAGATATTTGAAACTTGATCATATTACTTATATTAGACTTAACTAGACGTGGTAAAATTTCCAAAATCATCGGACGACTTTTTTTTTTTAATAAGTGTTTTGAAGTCAAATTTAAAAGTAAATCTTAAAACAAATTACGGCACTTCAAATTATGTATTACCAAACTGCTCTCGGAATCGTCTTTCGTCAAGCAATGGTTTATCGTTGCTTACAGATATAAATGAAACAACCTATGTATCCTACCTTCCCAATTTCTCACCTAAAACAGTGGCCGCTCCCATATCCAGTATCAGCTCTTTTTTTTCATTTATTACTATTTAGAATATCGGTTAAGACATTTGGTGGAAATCCTATTAACGAATTTTCAACGATATTTTCGAGGGAAATGATTACCTACCTAATACTTATTATACGTTTAGAATAGCTAAACGACGGAAACCGGCAAAATAAATAGCAGATTTAATTTTAAAAAGTGATAATATAGTAACACAGTCGAAGGTAAACGCGCTTCTAGGTCAGTCGACGACGGCCACTATATGCAATATAATACGCAGGGTATAATATACTGCAGGCTGCAATGTAACCGGGTCCGATAATTATTCATAAGTCCCGTCCGCGGGTATTTTCCTTCGAGATTACAAAATAATATTTATGAGCTCGTAAAAAGATAATTAAGGTCGGACACGAAACAGTCCGAAACAACCGGCCTAATGGCACCGATATGAAATTATTATAGGAACGACGATGACGTGCGTATAATATTCTCAAAACTATACCTACCTATTTATTTATTGATTAAATCGCTATACACCTATATGAAACGTATATGCTTAGGCCGATCGAACTAGACCGATAACTTCGAAACGAAGCGATCCTTGATGGTATACATTAGTTATGGAACGGGGTTCTGTTTCAGAAAATAGTGTGTTATACTTTATTCAAACGCTCTCAAACTATTCTCTTCCACTAGATTCGGGTTCAATACGAAAATTTGTATAAACTAACACTCGTCTATTAACGGGAGATGTTTAATACAGGTAAAAATCGAAAATAGGGTGCCCCCTCCGACAAAGGGCATCTCCAAACCTTGACAATGGGTGGGGGGCCGTGCGAAATAATTAAATTTAATACTAACGATTAATACGAATAAAAGACGAATATACTTCGCACGATGACTGAACGACTGTAGACGACAAGTTTGGAAAGTAGAATATAGAGGGAAATATAATGTATATTTGTAAGCAAAATTAATTCATTCCTACCGAAAAACGATTCTGAGTGAAGCTTGGTTAATATATGTTATATTACAGTAAAATAAATATTATATCGAAACAACGTGTATGGACCAGTAATTAGATTTGTTCCATATAATTTTTTATTAAACAATTTTCGTCAAAATTTGATATTAAAATTCTTATAAACAAAATATTTTACATAAAATAATAATTTTTTGTTTTGACAGTAAACCACGACTTATAATTAACCTCTTGTTCAATTTTCAAGCTTTTTTGTTTTGTCTAACAATTTTATCCACGATTTTATTTACCAAATAAAAATCTAAAAAATCGTGTCAAATAATATATTGATTATATCTATTATATCTACTTCTGGACCAATGACCATGCCGAATGCCAGTGTAAATCCACTTATCTCGATTAGGTTATTCACATCGCCCCTTCCTCGTTTCAGGAACGCGCCTGTCCGGACAATAATAATCGGTAATTTAACATATCGAAGGTGTTTTGTTAAATAGGCGTATACCACTAAAACATTTTTTTTCGGGAAGCAAAATTAACTGTTTTGCGAAAATATAGCAAAACATATTTTAATGATGTCTATCATGGAAAACAATAAAATTAACCGTACACATAATACCTTGTATACACAAAGTACACACGTATTGAACATGGTGTACGCCCTTTTAACAAATCAGTGTTGATTTAATTATATTTTAAAATGACGCCTGGATATCTTTTAGTCGACATTACCGACCGAATTTTCCCTCTTCAAATACGCCAGTTTTACCAGTTTATGTCACTAAATTTTCTGATTTTTTTTTTTCGATAGAATTTTAAGAGTGTTACTCGTCACTCGAATCGTCGAAAAATCCGAAAAAAGTTAACGTTTCCGAGACACCCGACGACGGTCCGATCTTCGTCGGGACACCCGCCGTATATATGCAGGGCGGCTAAGGTTGTAATTGCCCCGTTATCCGAGGCATTCATATCTATAATAGTGCCGCAAAGTCACTATATATAATGATATAAGTGTATACTCGTATTGTGTAAAAGCCAAAGTGACCATTGATCGATTTTACGTTCCGGTGGCGGCGGCGGCGGCGGCGGCGGCGTGGCGTCCCGCGAAATGAGAAAAGAACCCGACCGCCGCCGCGCCGTAAAAGTCTCTCCGTCCGCCCACGTGCGGATATCCTGCGCGTCTATATAATGTGGCACATTTTAAGGGTTTTCGTCGGGGACAGAATCAACTGTGTGTGTGTGTGTGTGTGTGTGTGTGTATATATGTTATACAGTGTATACGTACCTACCGTGTACCCCTCCTCCAACTCCATGAATCGCTGATGGTAAATTTGACGTTGAAAAACCGACCGATATTAATAAAGTGCCACCGCGACCGCGCGCGTACGGTATCGGTCGATTTTCGTCGGCCGCGGTTACGCGTATTAGGTATCTGCGCGTATTTGTAAATGGCGAAAAGATCCGCACTCTGGTGTGCGTAAATGTAAATTTCACGCTCCCGCGTAAGCGACGACGGCAAATTGAATAATAACGATAACATTATTTTGCGAAAAAAACCGGACGAAAATACGACTCACAGGGCCGCGGTAAAATCTGTCGGGGGTGGTCCGACGCGTAGAGGCTGGCTAATGGCGTAGTGGATCTATAAACACGTTTAACAATGCGATTTTGAAATCGGCCGATTATTTAAAATGATTTTCGGAATTTATTTAACGTGATAACAGAGGCGGATTTGACGATTGGACTTGCATCGGGACAACTCGATACGTCCCGCGAACATTTTTCGACCGAACGAATTTCTTTCCAGCTTATATTTATATTGTTAATATTGAACCAACATAATAAAATAATTCAATAATTCATTCATATTTTCATAGGACGCTTCGGTATAGAATGTATTTTTTATCGGTTGTTCATAAAATCATAAATCATTGATGCAGTAGGTACTGGTAAAACGTACAATACTCTTGTCATCGATAAATAATAATAAAAATTACGGTCTATAAATATGACGTAAATAATTAAACAATTTTAATCCAGGAACGGGCTGGAGTGCTGATGCTAAATTATTAGTATTATTAATTGTTAGGTATTATTTTTAATCTATTTATTACTCTATGCATTTATTTTTTTGTTTGCGTTAAAAGTCATACGAATAAATAAATATTAATTAATCAATGTTAATATTAATATTAATTTATGTACAACTATATTTGTGTAAAACCATTCATACAATGTTTATAAAATAAAAATCTCAAATAATTTTTTTTAAATTTAAATTAATTTATATCAATATTGATCATAAATAAACTGGATAAGGAATTTATTCGGCCCAAGTCCATGCGTATGTGTGATTAGGACGTGGAATATTACGAATATTTCAGATTCTGAATGGAGCGACGAAGCTTATGGGTTTACAATAATGTTTATTTTATTTTATTTTCTATGGACAATTTTTTTACCAGAAATTTCGCTCCGATTTACAATGATAGCACTTTTTTTTTTTTTTTTTAAAGAAATTTAACTGGGGAGGTACTTAAAGGAGGTATTTTTTTGATTTTCCCAGGAGTTTTTTCCAATAAATGGGAAAAACACGGTTAACACCGGGAAAAATGAGAAGATAGATACAAATATTAATCAAATATTATTAATCGTTGATATACATTAAATTCCCGTCTACATTCTATCTTCCTAAATTCCCACCTAAAACAGTGGCAGCTCCCGTCTCCATTATTCTAGGACAGCTTTTTTGAATAATTTTTGGTACACCGTAAGTCCGGCATGTTATTATGCTGATTGGTAACAATGTTTATATCCCAACTTGGCTGCTACTGTTATCGTATAAAAAACCATTTGAAAACAATTTTCGACAAACTGTATATGATTTCGTTATTTTGTAACAAAATTTAGCTTTAATAGCCCTTTGAATAATTCTTGGAGCAGCCCTGCCCCGATGTAATATGATAATATTATGATAACGTCAACAGTAATAACGTAACTACATCCAGCTCGGGAAACGAAAACTGACATTCGAACACTCCTCTGTTCTTCTTATACTACTCGGGAGGGGGGGAGTGTGGGAGGGGGCACACGACTTTACGATCATTTCGAGTGAACTTTTTTTTAAACATTTTCGGACAATACTATATGAACGTTGTGTGCACGCCACTGCTAAAAGTCTCAATACAAATTGTGTAATATATTTTTTTTTTTTAGATTATTGACGGAGTCGAATATATATATATATGTTTAGAAAGTATAGTTATTGGTTTTACAACGATGCGCAGTTCATTTTGTTGTATATATTTGTTTTGTCTGCGAAATGTTTTTCGGTAGATCCAAAATGTACATATTATACGGGTGGACAAAAAATAAATAATACGCAGTGTGGACAGTGTATCTCTCTATCGATTGGACTCGGTGCAGTATTATTATAGGACTTCGGACGGATAATTTTAAGAATTTCTTGAGGATTGTCGAAGAAAAGATTGCGATAACTGCGGGTAAACTGCTAAAAAAAAAAAAAAAACAACAAACAAACATGAAATTTATACGCAATCGGTGGATTTTGACTGCATTCGATCTCGAATGGAACCTATATATTTTTTTCTTTTACAATTTTAAATTTCGATCGAATATTAATAATGTCTAGATCGAATTTTTCAGCAAATATGTTTCGATTATTTTTGCATATTGCATAATATAGAGATTTTTTGAAAATATATATTGTTTTTATCGGGTATAATTTTGAAATAATCAATGCAAATGTTTTTCGTCCTGTGATATATTATTGTGTAACGTCTGACGGATTTTTTTATCGTTAAACCACATTATAAGCGTTATGAGTTACGACTGTTGTAGCGTGTAAGTCGAAATTCAAATTCAATTATTTTTTTTTTTTTAAGGGATATAGAAAGAATATTATTGTCTTAATAAACTGAGCGAATGAATGTGATCTTAGATATCTTAATATCATATACGATGGACGAATACATTTTTTCGAGAACAAACAATAAATAAGTGAATTTCATTTGAAATTAAAAATAAAGCTTACAATATTAGAGAGAGAAACAATAAACTTACAATGTATAGGTAGCGAATATATTAGCTATAGCATGACGAAATACCTCCAGTGGCGGCGACTCGTCAGATGAGACAAGTAAGACGTTGCTTCATGTACAACAATTATCTGATTACAATAAACATATTTAGTTTATTATGATTGTTATATACTATCGCGGTATAGTTTATTATTTTATAATCTTAAAATTAATTTCATTCAAAATATACGAATCGAATTTTTAGATCGGTTTCTAAAAAATATGTATATTTTTAAATTTTCATTATAAGTTATGATAACCAAAGATTATAATTAACAAATACCTATATAATAACTAATGATAATAACAGCACTTAGTTTTTCTCGCACCAGATATTAAATTTGGCCGTCCCCCGTGCAGCAGTATATCGACACTCTCACTTTGGGTTTTCAAAATATTCGCCTTACCTATTACACGGCTCACGAGCCGCCGTCCACTGAGATGGGTACGATAACAGTTTTTCGATATGCACACCCTGCTCAAATATTTCTTCGCTTCACATAATACTGTAATTCTCATTTTTTTATTGGCTAACTTTAGCATTGCCGACAGTAGTGGAGAACATACAACATATAGGGCTGGATGTGGAGGAGACGCGCATACCGAACGAAAACGAAAACGTTACGCACTGTGATGCGTATCCTATTTATTTCGTCATGGATTATAGTTAGGTATAGTAATTCACTTTAGTCATTTTGATGGTACTCTTTCTTTGAAAAAAATATTGCTAATTTTACAATTAGTTATTCATTTTGTATGGCATTTTACACGAGTACCTATACAAAATATAGGTTGCAGTTTGCATGCAGAAATTGTATCAATCGACTGCTTATTAATATATTCATACACGTTATAAATAATATACAATGCAATATATATACGGAAAGATTTGAAGCACATTAACAACCATAAAAGTGTTGACAGAAGAAAATATACGCATGCGTATATGAGTATAATCGTTGAACCGACAATGGCGGCGGCTTTTCCCCCGGTTCCGTTCAGAAACTATAAAACGAACGACGAAAATAAATACACTTTTTTCCTTTTATAATATATACAGAAGTTTGCAGTTTTGTTTTAAACATTTTTGTTTACCCTTCTTTATATTATATAGACGATAGGTATCGTGTCGTATATATAACCTCACCGTGGGTTTACACCAATACCTATAGTGAAATATTACGAGGCGAGAGGCTTACTCACCCGATACTCCTTTGCCAATATTACAATGAATATATAAATAATAGAATGGTAATTATTGTGACGGGGTTTTTTGTAACGTTAAATATTCTAATGCTACGTGACAATACTCAAAAATAAAAATAAAAATAAAACTATCAAATGTCTATAAATAGCTCAAAAGTTGACAGTATAGTTTGGAAATTGTATCACTTTTAGAAAAGGCCAGTATAAGTTATCTGTGGAAATTTCAAATCTTTAAGTTGAATTTTGATCAAATTACAATAAAACGACCGACTGCAAAATGGAAAATAATGAAACTTTATTATTTCCTTAAACTTTACGTTTCTCACGGTTTTTTTCAATTATTAAGAAAACTATAAGGAAGAACAATTGCCCCAATTCATCAAAAAGATCAAAAATTATTTAAAAAAGCTCTTTTGTTGTTTTTTCATTGTAGTAAGATTTCTGGTAGATAAGTTTTTCACAATACACGTACAAAATAACTACGTTTTAAAATGCCGTGATTTGATTGATTTTCATAAAAGATTAGAATAAGCAATCAGGGGGGCATTTGATGCAGGAAAACACAGGATCCACAGCTCTTACTGATTGAAAGCTGAGGTGGATGATTCCAGTAAGCAGAAAGAGGTGATCGGATGCAATTGAGACTGATGTGAGGTCAAGGGTAGTCAATTTCAAATAGGGTGAAGGTGAAAGAGAAAAATAATCAAAACATAAAAAAACAATTACTACATATACTGATTTGATCATCAAGTACAAGTGTACAATTTATGGTCACTTGTGTCATAATTTCGAGAATATTTCCTTAGCCAAAACAATTGTATTCACATAAAACCAAATTAAAATCTAAAAACCCTCAAATATTTTAAATGGCTAAAAATAAAAAATACAAATATTTCAATAATTCCGGAACATTTTGCAATTTACATACTGCCTCTAAAAAATGCTTATATTTCGGTTAATATTTCAGGATTCAATAATTAATAGAAAACATAGATTATAATGTAGTTAAAAACAAAACTATATGGACAATAACTGATTTAAATTAAGATTTCTTTTTTCAATAATATTTTAAACTTTACAGGGTGATTAAAAATGTATGTTACAGCAATTTTATCATGTAAATATTCAAAATAGAGCAAATATATACTTTGAAAGTTTTTTTGATTTATAAACATCTAAAATAATTTATATTTTATATTGTTTTTTTTTTTTAGGAGAAGTTTTGGGGATCAATTTTTAAAATTCAACAGGGAACCTAAATTTTCAATTCCATGAATAAATGGAACGTTAGTTTAAATACATTTTACTGTTGCCATTTTTGATTTCCGTAACCTGTTGACAGGACATTACACATTTTAATTTAGGTATGAGATATTTTTTTATGTATATTTCATATATGAATTTCAAAATTTGACCACAAAACTTCTTCAAAAAAAAAAACAAAATAAAAAAATTACAAATTATTTTAAATGTTTATAAGCCGAAAAACTTTTCTATTATACATTTTTTTCTATTTTGAATATTTACTCGATAAAATGGCTATAACATTAATTTTGGATCACTTTGTACAGTACTTTTTGCGTGTAATATTTGATCAGTGTTATAATATATAAATGCAGAATATTATTTTTTTTCCGAATAGGCTTTATTATAATACATTTTTTTGTTCATGTATTCGCGTTTACAATATATTTTATTCGTTTAAAGATTAAACGAATATACACTTTATAATATACATTAGTATATGTATAATATTAATTTAAAAAAAATTGCATATACTACTCCATGTCTCCGAGTTATAATATACAATTAGAGCGTGTTGCAATATTTACAGAGAGCTGATTTTTAGATTAAAAATAAAATACGAAACGGGGGAAAAAAATATGTAAAACAATTATATTAGCTATTCGTTATTTGATAGATAATATGAATACCCCGTGGAATATTCATTTGAGATTTTTAATTAACTCGATTGTGGGGGGAAGAGATGAGGAAATGTTTAAGGCGAATCGTATCTAATTGTTTTGATTTTTGTAGTCGGTTTTCAATATTTTCCCGGTAAAATATAATATATTATGTTATAATTTTTAACGATTTTAAAACTAGGGAACAGAAAATTCGATGGAAAATGTACGAAATCTTTTTTTTTTTTTTTTTTTAATCTTAACTTAAAGTATACGCGTAGTTTCAGTATATTATTTTTGTTGAATTTCCCCTAAAAAGTTTGTTGTACATTTTCCTCGTTCGTTTTGGATAATTTTATCCATGTATCAATATCATCAATATATCGTCACGTTATTATTTCCGTCGGGTTTCCCCTCCCCTCCCCGTCGAATAGTTCCGATATAATTGTAACGGTAATATTGCTTTACTTATGTTTCCCGCCGTCGCGTCGTCTTACGGCCGCGGAGCACTCGCCGCGTGATAATCGGATTACGGGACACCTCGGAGTGCGCCGCCGCCGCCGCCGCCGCCGCGATTATGCGCGCGCGTTATTGCGATAATACATCACGGCCGCGCGCGCGCGATTCACAGAGCTCTTGCGACACGGCGTTAAAACGGATCGCGGGACAATTACAAACGTACGCGTGTTAACGTTTCGATCTCCGCGCGCGACGACAGCGCTTCGGTAAACGGTTTTGCCGATAATGAAACGCACGGCGATCCGCGGGCGCGTGCGGCGCCCTCGGTCCGAACGACACGCGCGCGTTTTGCGGGCGGTCGCGATTTCCCTTTCCCCCCCTCCCCCCTCCCACCGGTCGGATTTCGCGCGACGCTCCGTTAAACGCCCTCGGTCTTCGGGATTGTTCGCAGCGTCCGAGATGCGTCCGGCGGGCGGATACCGGTTTCGGTTTACCGGACGAGAACACGGCCGGACCTCTGATCGCGGAATGCTGCGAAAAATCTAAATATTCGAAAACATCGGTTCGAAAATCCCGAAAACCAGAGTTCGATTATTACATGCGAATTTCAAACGAAAAGAAAAAAAAAAAAAATCTGAGCGACCTCGCTCAGCGAATCGTCATGTATACACGCAATATAACCGCGAGTATTTCGGATAGTCGGGTGATGTACGGTATAAAACGGCCAGACCGTTTTTAATGCAGGATGATTCGTTTATCACGGACCGACGATTTTTCGCTAAGGGTTTTAAGTGACATTTTTATTCTTTTTTTTTTTTTGTTTTGTTCCACCGTTCATAATATACGAGTACGTACGGGAATTGTTTGAACTTTATTTCAATATTTTTACAATTTTTTTACCCAATCATATCTCTCTTATACCTTGAAACGGGCGCACACTTTTGATTTTCAAATAGGAATCCCTGCCCTCTCCGTGTTAAACGCGGATTCGAGTAGAGAATATCTATAAAAAACATTTCGATACGCGTAACGCCCATGTCGTTAACGGTTTAAAACGTGGACCAGAGAAGTAGAGGAGGAATAGACACTTCACAACCGTTTTTATAAATCGTATAAAATCGCGTAAAAAACATTGTCTATTCGAATCAATGTTTAATGAGGGGGTAGGGGAGGGGAGTGGTTGGAGGTGCCTGTTTGAAAATCGAAAAAAACCACCCGTTTGCGGCACGACGGCGTGTAAACGTGAACTATTATCGGAAAATACCGTTGAAACAAAACTCAAACGTTTCCATAAAGTTTGGCGAGACATACGGGAATCGAGTTCGCTCGTAACACCCCCGGAAAACCGGTGGATCGTGATGAATGGACCGCCGTCCTGTACGCACGCGGTTTAAAACCTCTCGGCTAAAATGAAAACGAGAGTCGAATGCCGTTTCGCATCGGGATAATCTCGCGTTGAACGTGTTATGGTTGTAACGCGCAAATGACTGGACGGAATACCTTACACGGCGGTGCGGAGAACGGGAGAAATTCAATAATTAACGTCAAACACGGTCGTTCCCCCCCCCCTCACCCGGCGCCGAGACAGAACGTTTTTAAAGACCGGAATTTATTTGTTTATCGTTTCGGAGGGGGTTTTTTTTTGTTTTTTCGTTTCGTACGATAATTACGCTCGCGTATCAACGGTACAACGACAACGTAACGGTTTAATATCGTGGCCGGTAAATCACGTGGAACGGTAATGTTGTACGGGCGTAACGCCCGCGTGCCGCGTATTACCGAAAACGTAACGTCGTCGCGTAATAATGTTGTCGGGCGCGTGTGTGTGTAATGTACGTGTGTATACACACACACGCGCGCGCGCGCGCGAAAGGGCCGAGTGTGAACGTTCGCCGGGCCCACTCTGCGCGCGGCGGATTCCACCACCTCGCCCGTCTCCGCCGCCCCCCGAAATGACATTTACGCCTCACATTCAATAGGTTTTTACTCCGTTATCGCGCGTCCCGGTCGCCGCCGTCGTACCGGCGTATTAATAAACGACGGCGGCCCGTTATTGCAGCGCGCGGCGTCCGACGTCCGCGTTATTAACTTTCCCGCGTAGTTTAGCCCGTCATCAACCGCCGCGGCGCCGCGCGTACCGTTGTACGTCCGACCGCGTTCAAAACAATTATGCGTGTACGGTGCCGCGCGTTTCGTATTGCCGCGCGGCTGATAACGGCGCCGGCGCGCGGCCGAACGGATCGCCGACGAGTACGCGCGCACGTTCGACGCGTTCGCGTTCGCCGCTCGGAACCGACGTGCCGTCGTCGAAATCGACGGTCGATGACAATTAAGCGGGTATTGACGTTTACCCCATCCCTACTTCTCCAACCCCCCCCCCCCCCAACGAGCGGCCGCGGGACGGCGACACGTTGTCATTACGTTATTGTCACCGCATCGTTACTTCGGGCGAATCCGTCATTGCAATAGTGACAACGACACGGCGGCGCGGCGACCGACCGGTACCCGTACCGCGGGCCACCCCCCCTCACCCCCAGCGAAATCTCCGGAGACGACCAAGACGATCGAATCGCGGCCACTTTTTTCCCACCCGTTCGCGGACCCCGGCCGCTGCTGTTCGTACCGCGTCGCTCGGCACCGACGAGCGCCGCAACCGGTCCGCGGTATCGCGCGACCCCTGCGCGGGCGTCGTCTCGCTCACCGCGCCCACCGCGGACGGACCGTCGTCGCCGGGTTCGCGGCCACTTTTTCTTTACCGCCGCCGTTCACCGGTGCGAGCGACCGTTTCCCGCGTTTTACATTCGCGATCCGTTTTTCGTCCGCCTCGCGCTGTCGCGTTACGACGTCCCGGGCGGCGCATGTGCCGGCCGTCGCGTGCGCGGCCAGTCGAAATCGTCCGCGTTACCTATTCGTCGTTCCCCCGCCGTCCGTCGCCGGCCGCTATTTCAACGCCACGCAATCCGCGCCCGCACCGCCCCGCCGCGTACGGTTGCGCGGGCCGCGCGCCGTTATCGCGAGGGCCGCGCGCGATTAACCGACCGCGGCCACCGGTGCCCGGCCGCCGTCGCTGCGGGTTCAACTGTTTAACGACACGCGCGTTGTTTCGTAAACACCGGCGGTTTCAATGTCTTTCTGTTTACGTCCGCACTTACTCGTGTCGCGGCGCGCCTCTATATTGCGGTCGCTACTCGTTCGGCGATTTGGTTCGCGAGCGAAATGCACACGGATATTCTTTTATCGTCCGCACAATTACGCGCCGGACGTTTATGTACGCGGCCGTGGCTCGAACTGCGCCTCGCGTTTACGTCGCGAGTCGGCACGGTTGGCCTCGACAATTTCCGCGGAAAGGCACCGGGCCGGCGATTCAACAACACTGTGTTTGCGTTAGATTTTGATCCGGGGAACGACCTAACCGCGTTACGCGACAGCATCGGTTTCCGTACGGATTAGTGGAATTTAAAACGGCTGTATTCGTCGCACATAAAATTTCCAGAAAAATAAACACCGCGGACTGGCTGTTTTAAAATTTTTCCAAAACAATACAATAAAAAGTTATTTGTTTTTATGAAAAAAAAACAAACATAATTTGATTATTTTTATTATCTCCAGAAATATTCAAGAGGTATGTCTTCGCGGGACAGCCTGTATATTATTTTCTTTAATAGGTAATATAATTTAATATTATACCTATTTTTCTGTTTTTCATACATTTTCCCCGGGTTTTACTAATTTATTGGGGAAATCGAAAAACTACCCTCTTACAGTACCACCTCAGTCAGATTTTCTTTCAGAAAAAGTGCTATCATGGTAAATCAGAGCGAAATTGCTAGTAGAAAAGTTGTCCGCTGAAAAAAAATAAATATCTTTTCTAGAATCTAAAATTATATTTAATGCGTCATAAAATAACATTTATCACAATGTATATGAGATACTAAATGTCTGTAAGGTTAGGTTTGAAATCATTGAAAAGTAATTTAAGACTATTACAGTGTAGTTCATAGTCTATGGAAATAATTTCGAGATTTCCTTAAAATTACGGGGGGGGTGGCCTATTTTTTTCTTCCAGCAATTCAACAATGTGTATGTTATACGCATTGTTACGCATCTGTTTATGACGGTCGCCGTTTGCGTTGAATAAAAAACAATTTTGTTTATTTATTTTATCACTGTATTACTATTGTATCATTTTCCAGCAACATTCACAAGCTACAATCGCATATTCATTTACTCAATCCATAAAACAACAAAGATATTTTTTACCAATAATTTTTCAATCTCAACAAAACCCCTCCGTTGAATACGTGTAAAAACTTCGCTAAAAAAAAAAAAAAACAAAAGTTGTAAAAGTTGTGACATCAAGAAAGGTTAAATAATTTATATTAAATTTGCGTTAAAACACACGGAATATTAAAGACCGCCGGAGTGCGTGACAGTACCGTCGACGCATCGACGCAACGCTCGTTATCTCGAATGGTATTAACTATTTTTAAAATTTCGTGTTGTGCATAGCGATGGGATTTTCGACTCGGTTCACTCTAACGAGTCGACTCAGTGAGCCGATTCCCGAGTTCCCAGTTCGTTAAAACAAACAATTCTCGTCATCACGAATCATCATGACGATTCAATAACTATGTAGATTTTAATTATTAGTATTGACATCTAGGCGTTCGCGAGTCGCCAGACTTTTGAATAACTTAGGTACTCGTCAGTTGTAACCAAACCCGTTAATCATTAATAATTCGAGAACTGATAAATGCATAACAGGCAATTGGTGAATTGTATTGAACCAGTGGTAACACTGAAGCTAACCGTCACACTGATTCAATTCACTCAGGTCACCGACAAAAGTCAACTCACACACGTACCACCCATTCCCAGTCGTGGACCGTTTAAGAAATAAACAGCTCTAGAACGGTACATAACGGTTATTTTTCGTCATCGTTATTGTTGATTTTCAAACGACAACTTATATGTTATCCATAACTCCATACATGGACGGGATATTAGTTGAGATAAATTTCGGTATTTAAATTTCTGATTTCCGTTTTTCGTCAACCTGTTGCGAGGTATTCAATTTTTAAGTTTCGGCAGGGATAGGGCGGTGGGACACTATTAAAACGTCGCGCGCCGTGCCGTCACACAAATGATGCACCACTACTCCCCTTTTCACCCACCGAAACATAAAAGTGGAATATCTCGTGACGAGTTGACGGAATACAATACAGGTTGCCGTTCGATAATTAAAAGTTGGTTTTGACCCGTAAAATAAAGGTGACAAAAAAAAAAAAAACAAAACAAAACAAGTTCCAAAAAAAGTCAATACTTTCCGATTGCACTTTCACGTTATGTTTACCACCCTGTTTAACGCTGGACGATTTTAAACCGTTTACCATGCTGTAGGAATATCAGTTTTAAAATCAAAAAGGGGGATTTTTTCGGTGACCCGGTCACGGTGTCTGCAATAGGTAAGAATATAACAGTAAGTTATTTAGTTATATAATAGATGGCGTTACCGTTGACCACGTGCACGTTGATGGTGGCTGATTGTCCGAACGTGGGCCTGCACGTGTAGTTGCCGGAGTCGGTGAGCTTGGCCCGGGATATGTGCAGCGTGCTCTTGAGCCCGTCCGCCCATTCGGTGTGAACGCTGACCCGGGGCTGCCTGACCGATTGCAGGCTCGTCTGGTCCGTGAACACGGGCACGTTGCCCAGGTACCAGAATATGGTGCCCAGGTCGTGGGGGCCCTGGCTCAGCTCGCACCGCATGCTCACCGCGCTGTCCTCCTTGACGTACAGCTCTTGAGGCCCGCAAACCCTGGCTCTCATCTCTGCGAAACCGACACAATACACGACGGAATGAGCAAAATGTGGATCGCATACACATTCGCGCGCGTAGGCTACAACATGCGCTATAGACTGTGAGTTCAACGCCGCTAAAAACCCCCAAGAAAAGCGTTTATTTTCCGGAAAATAAGCGGTCGCCGCTTGAATCGAACCTCGAGCAGCGCGTTATAGCGGAATTAGTGACAAGGGCGCACGCCTGTTTCGGGCGTTTCAAATATCAACCTCCACCGTTACCGTTTTAATTCACCGTTCGTTTGAAATAATTTATACATATAAAGTTGCACGGTAAATTGTGGTAATTGTAATATTGCATTCGGTTATTTATCGGTCAATGAAAAATATTTCTTTAATACATATGTGTATGCAATATAGATAGGGCAAGGGGTGGTAATTCAAATCCATAGCGGTGCATTAAATTCACAGTCCTGGACTTGTAGTATAGAATGCGACAATAGTCAAGGAGACAGGCGATATGAGCGTTGACGCGGGACGGGTGGACTGGAGGTTTTCGCGCAGGAGGTATGTGTGGGCACGTGGAGTAGATTAAGAAGCGGCGTTGTGGAATACGAGAACAAAATTGACTGCGTGGTACACATCAAGCGAACGAGAAGATGAAGTGCATTGAGAGTGAGTTAGAAAAATATAACCCAGCATGACCACTGGCGGTAAGTATAACCGGCGTGTTATGTGATACGCAAATATCTATTGGTTGAGCAACGCGGAGATTCGTGGCGTTTTTTTTTAAATTTTATTATCGTTACGTTCCCGATCGGGGAGTAAAAGGCAATCGGTTAAAAAATGTGTAACAGGCGTTAAATGCTTCAGCTAAATATCATATAAAACACGTTTTTTTACCGGAATCGTTTTTTTCTCTCGGGATCTTTTCCTCGGAATTTGTCGCCTAATATTAATGTAAATGACATTCGTCAAAAATAATATTCGACATCGGTATTATTAGTATAATACAGGGACAAGAGGTTTCCGGCTTGTGTGTACCGCATCGGCTATTACCGACCTCTCTCGGGCTGACGGGAAACCGCGGTCGTTACGACGTAAACACCGCAACGACGACCGCGGTTGGTCGTCGCGGTTACGCGAGTATAATACCCTACAAGTATAATTATTATTATTATACCGAGGGAACCGCTTTTCTGCGGCCGTTAAGGTCCCGTTCCGGGGACGTGTCCCGCATAGACACGTAACACACATGTTATATCGTTTTGTGGTTTTTTCGAAACGAATTTCCCTCCGCGTTTTTAAAAAGACACAACGATAAACGCTGCTGATTAATTTATCCTGATTGTCGAACCGAATAACATATTCATTGAACCTGATCGGCCGCGCGGCCGCGAAAAAAGGTCGCGTCGGCGACAAAGACGGCGTCTAAAACAAATATCATTATGCTAATGCATTTTTGCGCTTAAAAAGTCGGCCGTTACACTTTACCAAAAACAAGCCAGTGGTTCACGAGTAATTATTAACATAATGAATTCTCAAGTAAAAAAACAAAAGTACAAAAGAAATAAAAATGTCACGTAGCTTTTACACGAATGTTACTTGAAATTCCGAATTAGTGTCAAAACATTCGGTATTAATTAACGAGTATCGACAAGTTCCGTATGAAACAGTCAAATACGGTGTTTTATAATAAGTTTTAATAATATTTAAATTCATCTCGACGAAAAATATTAATTATGATTTGAAATAAAACGAAAAAATTAATATTAGAAAAGAAAAAGCTATTCGCTATAAAACGGACGGAATAAAGATTACGGATGTTGATGCCGTGCTGTTTCCGCCCCCCGCCTCCTATATAATATCGCGAGAGCAACGACAAATCATTGTACTCGAAAAAACGATTCTGATCCGGGTTTAGATTAATCGTGCTTAGGACAATTTGTGTACGGTTCGAAAATCATGCGCTTTTCGAGAATAATAATTTACGTTCACCGCGGCCGTCGCAACGGTCTTAACGTACGTTTATTTAAAATATACGATACATAAATAATATATAAATTGTAGCACGTGTCTAAAAAATGTAATATCCAATATACTGTTTGTTAGACACGTTTATTTATGCGATATCCGGGAGTTCGTTTGGGTGTTCGTTAAAACAAATTTTAGATTTTTCAACTCCTTATTGATGTGCAATTATTTTTTAATCGTATCGACAAAGTCGTTTTACTTAAAAGAAACTTAATGAAATATATACAACATAAACATTTTATTGCAGATTCGAAGTGTAACGAAAAGAATTTATTTAGTTTTACTAAGATGTATTCCCCCTGTCTCGGAAATTGTTTGTCGGGTTATTCGAAACGTTCCGGATTTTCGCACGTCTTAAAATATGCGTATTTATTGCCAAATGAAAAAAAATTCTCAATTTCCAACAGTTTTTCCATAGAATTTAAAAAAAAAAATAAACGTTAACAAATATCGATAAGTCGGTTATAATTTTGTTGATTTTCGAATAACCTTGGCCATGTACAAGGAGAAAAAATAAGACTAACACTATACCAATAATATTCCGTTCAGAATCGTTTTTTCTATCGCAATGATTTATCGTTGTTTCCAGCAAATAAATTAAATTACCCTTTGAGAATTTCCGCTTATTACAGCGGCCTACCCATAGTGCGAATTACTTCCGGATTCATTTTGTGAAAATTCGAACACGACGCGATAATAGGTGTTTAATATTATACTTCGAGTTAGGTAAGGTTAGGTTGAATAATTAATTCTCATTCAATTATACAGGCCAGTAAGAGTATACCTATACTCGAAATTAATATTTTATCATGTTGGGTTTTAATTCTACTAATCTAATATACTCGGGACTAAATTTCAAAACGTTTACAGCCGAGAACTCGATAATAATCAATCACTAAGGCAGTTATTTCCGCGCCCTGAAATTTTTGATTATACATGCGGATAGTTTTTCAAAATTACCAAATCGGGCTCTAAAAGAAAAATTCAAAAAAAAAAAAAATTCCATACATTATACATGTCATATTGTTATAGAAAACACCGGTGATGATAATTGATGTACCGTTATCGTCATAGTGTTGGAAAACCCGTAACGTCCTATTTGATTGAACCGATGATAAACAATAATATATCATCTAAAACACCAGCACACTTGCCGGTATCAATGAACCTCGAACAATTGTTTTGCGATTCAAGATTTGTCTTGATTTTCAAAACGTACAAATGTCTTCAATATGCTCTGAAAATGAACGGAATCCTTAACATATGCCCTGAAAATGTACAAAATCCCGAAATACGCCCTACGATTCCGAGGAACGCCAAAAATATACACGAAATAAAATTGCGTGTACAGAATCGTATTGAGTAATCAAAACGCATTTCGGTTAGTTTTCGATCAACCAATAAAAATATGCCGACGCATATAAATTCCTGTCGTACACCAATTACCGAATAAATAATGTACACGAAATGAAAATATTACGACGACGTTATTTTCTGCTGTAGATTTATGGTTAATAATATACTTAACTGCAATAATAATACGAAAACTTCAATAAAATACGTTTTATCGAACAAAATATACTACCTATACGGTATATTATATACTTAAAAAAAAAAATTATTTATATAGACAGTAAATTACAAAGGTATTATGGTTCGATCTATACGACTACGGTATACGTTGTGTTGCCCGACGTCACCGGTAACCCGAAGAAGCCGCAGAACCGCTTCGAAGTTATTACGGTGCCCGCCTACAGTGAAATCGATAAAACAAACGTTGAACAGTTTACAATGTTATAATAATAATCCCGTCGATTGTATCGAATTTTTTTTTATTTTCGTCGGAAAATCCGTTCCTATCGAGGACATCGTCTGAACACTAACTTAGCGTCCCGGCATCCCAGCCGTTGTTTCGATAAACGGAACAACGATGCGAAAAATATCGCGGCGCTCGAATTCGGAAAAAAAAAAAAAAAAAAATAAAAATAAAACACCGGTACGAGCGACCGGACCATGACGACGGACCGCCGTGACGGTAATGCGTGTCGCGGCAGTCCGTCCGTCGTAATCGGCGCGCGAGGTTCGTTTCTGACGGCGACCGTCGAGAAAAAAACGACTGCGTATTTTTCGACGTAAAAGGACCGCGCGCGCCGTAGACCCGGTCGGTCGACGGACGTGAGCATCGGCGGATTATCGTGCGACGCGGCGGGAACGCGACGGCCGCACGTTTCGGGGCGCGAGACGGCGGCAGAAGGCCGGCACGGTTTCGATCAATTGCGTATGCACGTTTATATTGGTACGAAAACCGCCGAACGGGTTTTCATTATTTTTCCTTATTTCCCCCCTAAAAATTTCTCCCCGTATATTATTTTGATAGGGACGCGGGTGGGTCTTATAGGTGTATTGTATACAGCGGCCATTAGCCTCGAATAATATACGCCGCGTACGCAACACACCTATCTACAGCGAGCTGGCCAACGGACCGGCGGCGGGTCGATATTTCGTGATATTGTCGTATACAGAGCGCTCGGGAAAACGGCGGCGGAACGCGGCAATCGCTTTCCGCAGTGATAAAACCGAGGGGTTTTCCGAGGGACTCGGTCCGTTTCAAAGCGGACGGCGCGAACAGGCCTACACGGATAACGGTATTCGTGTCGTTATACCGAAGAAAAAAAGTCCCGTTTGTTCGTGCGGGTTTCGACACTGGACCCGGTTTAACCCGTGTCGAAAATCGCACGGTCCACAGTACGAAAACTCGCACGGTCCTTTTTTTTCAACTAGTATCAAAACGCGCATGTTTCTGTGCACATCCCAGAGCCGAAAATCCAGTGCCAAACTTTAACCAAAATAAAAAAAAAAAAAAACAAAAATATCGATAAGAGTCTACTCAGTATTCATATTGTGCGAAACATCAAATTTTTCATGAGACAATAACAATGAGAGACTATTGAAATTGTTATTTTTAGATTCTGAATGGAGCGAGGAATATATTGGTTTTACAATGATGGTTTTTTTTCCCGTGAACAACTTTTCTATCAGAAAGTTTACTGCGATTTTCAAGCGTGGCACTTTTTCTGAAAGGAACTCCAACTGATATTATGGTACTTTAAGGAAGGTCATCTTTTGATTTTCCCAGGGGTTTTCCTAATAAATGGGGAAAGACATGGGAAAATCAACGAAACGTATTATTTTCAAATTATAAATATTATGGCCTTTCAAAACGTATGCAATCGAATTTCGCTTAGAATCGCTTTTCGTCGGCAATGATTTATCTTCGTGTACAGATATACATTAAATTTCTCCTGTGCATTCCCAGCTTCTCACCGACCACAGCGGCTCACCCATTGTCCGTTTGCGTTTACTGACGGTGGCTGTATTATCATAGCCGTAGCTAGAGAAATATCTCGATTTAAAATTAGCAACGGACGAATCAAAGCCGTCCGCATTAAAAACCTATAAAGTTAAACATATTGGCATTGAATTGTGAAAATGATCGTACGCATCGTGCATATTGCATGATACAACGATGGCCTAGCTAGGCACTAATAAACAAATCATGCGTTCGAAAATGAAGAGGATTTTACCAATCGTGCATTTGGAATCCCCTAAAGAATCGCAATGTTGCTTGCGTTTCCGAAGTCACTGAAACATTACGGAATTTATTAACACGACAAAATCATAAACATTTTTTATATATTTATATCGGACGGGAATATAAAAACTGCGGGGCGCTTACGCGTACGAGCTATTTCATATTCACATTCTGAATAAGTAATACTCGTCCTGTAGGACGGGCCGACCGTTGTCCGGGGGCCGAGACGGTTTATGGCGGACCGGAGACCAGGCCCGCAGCTAGACCAGATCGTCAGGTAGGGCAATTCGAATTTTAGGGGGGGGGCTTTGGAAAAAAAAAAAAAACACCACTACATACACACGTTTAATACTTGTTTGGGAGGGGGGGGGGAGTAATGATCAGGTCCGGACGGGCAACGTATCCCTCGCCCGCCCCCCCACCCGTGGCCACGGGCCTGCTCCGGACCAGGACCGCACACGGCACCGCCGCCGAAATATTACGTTCATCCGCCACCGCAGCACGCCGTACATGCCTACCCGAAAACGTTTTCCGTTAAACGAAATAAAATTCTCGAGACGGATAAGAAACGGAACGACGCGTACCCACCGCCTACTCGTAAATACCCGAACGTTTTGAACATTCCGATAATTTGCACACAATGCGTGAGTATGCCGTACGTATACGTATTACGTATTGTGCGTTTGCGCGTATCGAATTTTTTTTTTTTTTCCCGGGACACTACACGTTTTTCTCAACCGCGATCGTATTATTTACCGTGCACGGGAAATTAGCGGATTTCGTTCCACAACTCGTAACAGTTCGTCTCGTTTACGGGAGACGAGTGCCTCGCTGCAATATAATTCAATCGTAACTGTTGTGTTGTGAAGACGACACAACGGTTCTACACTCCGTGCATAAAATCGGCGACGCGAATAATAAAGAAATGTGCACGGACGTTTTATTCGTTTACCCGCCGAAATATACCGGATCTTTTCATTTTCCGTAAGATGGAAATAATAATACGATTTCGGTTGAGTATAAAAATGGAATACAGCGAAACCGTACGAGCGGCATATATAGTGCGGAGTTATATTTATATATAACTCCGCACTAAAAAGCGTGGTTCATCAAGCACGCACACCGCTCTGCGAACGATAAATTATGAAATTATGTTTTTGTAGGAATTTTTAAGGATATTTAAAGGCGATATCTATTTTCGTGTATTTAAATTTTTCACAACGTTCAAGGAGTATCATGCGGCGATACCAACGTTGGTTTTTCAAATAAAAGAACCTATTAAATATTAAAAATTCTCAAATTTCGGTCTATGTATCTCCTCCTGCCTAAAAAATAAAAATGAAATATCTCGTTTACGAGTTGACGGAAATCGTAAATTTCAAAATCAAAATTGATATAGCAATAGTGTTGTTAATATTTTATTTTTTTTGTTCACTGTAATACTGGTTTAGCGTACACTATTATAATTTAAAATTTTGAATTCATTTAACTCCTAACGCGATGTAAAATATCTTTCAATTAAACTAAAATGAAAAAAAAAAAAACATTATTCAAAAATAAAGCTGATACTGCTCACGGGTGAGCCACTGTTGTGGGTGAGAAATTGGGAAAGTAGGATACATTAAAATTATTTAATTTTTATGTGTAGGCAACGTTAACGAAAAACGATTCTAATCGAAATTCGGTCATACATGTTTTAAAGTGTTGTAATTTTTTTTCGGTTTTCGTTAAAAGTCGAGCTCGAAACTCCTTATGAAAAAACCTACTGCATTACACTATACATTTTTGTTTACTTATTAGCATTAAATTACATTTTAAAATAAAACCTACCCGAGTGTTTGGGGGGGAAAAAAAAACAATTATTTTACTGAAATCTAAAATTCAAAAATAAAAAGTTTTTTTTGTCATTTTTTAATCAGAACAAGACTACTGAAAGGAAATTCAATTACTGGCCCAACAATTAAATAATCCCATGTGTCATTGTAAAACAAACAGATATCTCAGAATCTTAAGCGATAAAAGTATTTGAAACAGATATTTGATTACAAATGGAAAATTCTTTGGAAAACAATTTAATATTAAATATCAAGTGATTTTAAAATAGCTATTCGAAACATTTATTACGATACTTTCATCACAAATACATTACAATTCTACTGTTGAATGTAATATAATATTATGATATCAACTATACGCTGTGGTATTTTCGGTCAACGTTTTTAATTCAGCTAACGGTCATAATAATTTCTATTCCGTTATACCTAATGTAATATAATATTATATTTGGAGTGTTTTTACTTGTTTTAATATGTATCAAATATTTTATTTTATTTATGTGTATCTTCGGGGAAAGAACCAACTTTTTAATTTTTTTAAATTTTTTTTCTAATAATTGCATCACATAACTTTAAATTCTGAGCAGAGAGAGGAATGTATTGATTTTACAGTAATGTTTATTATTTTTTTTTTTTATTTGAACACTTTTTCTCACAAAAAGCTTACTCCGATTATATTATCAAGTATAGCACCTTTTCTGAAAGGAAATGTTCTCTGGGTGGTATTTTAGAGTGGTCATTTTTAGAACTATCATTGATATTCAAGATAATGAGGAAAACCCGGTTTTTTAGGTTTAAAAATGATTAAAATAGGATTGTCATTGGCAACTGTTATTTTTTGTTATTATTAAGTTTTTATTATTTTAATCTCTTTTTAAACAATAATTGTAGTCGCGGAAACACACATTGGTTTTAATCATTTTACCATAATATGATATATATTGTTGACAAAGCAACGCTATCAACTGAACTCCGATCAGAATCGTTTTTTCGTTAGCAATGGTTTTTCGTTTCTTACATAGATATACATTAAATTTCCGTCCGTATCCTAACTTCCCAATTTCTCACCTACAACAGTGGCTGAACCTATGCGCGAAGTATGACCGTCCTTTTTTATTTCTATTTCTCGATAAAAATCGTAAAAACGTATGGATATTCTAACACATGTTACACTAAAAATTGAAATATCTTAATACACATTTGTTTGGCAAAGAACGTCTGCATTTAGGTATATGACCGTTTGATAATTCAGCCGTTTAGCAATATTTTGCGTTATTTCGCTTAACGGTTTTCAATATTTAATTTATTTGTGTTGAAAACTATAAAAATTCGAAATGAGCCCTTCTTTTCCGGCACCAAAGATATATTCGAGATATTATTTTTGGCGAATTTCAATCCTCGTCTATATAGCACATGGGTGTTATTTCGTATAGCAAAATTCGTGATGCGAATACGATTTTCGAAACGTTTCGTCGTGTCGGTATTATATAGCTACCACTGCACTGTATAAATAATAAGTAAGCGCAAAACGTTTCTCATCCCCGGAAAAGCAACCGGAGTTTTTATTAAGCTCGTCGACCGTCATCGTTTTACGACTCGTCCGGTATAGGTATTATACAGTTTATACGTAGAGGCCAAGAAGATAACGCGGCGTCCGCGTAAAAAAAACCTGTAATAAAAATAAAAATGAAAAAAAAAAAACAACCACTCGTATAAACTTTTTCGGTTGAACGAATTTCGCCGGGGGGTGGGGATGGGCTATCGTACAATATAACAGCGTTAAAATAATTTACGTCGCTTTGCGGTAGAGATAAAAAATATATAGTTGCTAAAGTGCATTAGGATAATTTTCGAAACCAATAATAATAATAATAGTAATAATAAAAAAAACCCGTCCGTATTAATAATATTGTCCAACAACTCGGTAGATGCGGTAGGTACCTATAATAATAGGTAATGCCGTCATCAAAGCGGATCGCAAGTCGAAGGGGAAAAAATAGTGTAGTTTTTTTTTTTTTAAAAAAAAAAATGAATTTACGACAAACCTTTCTGTATAATACGTAAGCAAGTAAAATCCATTTTGTTGATGTACTTTTCAGGACCGAACACTTAAATATATAACTAATATTATACCGCAGTATAGATGCAGCAAGTTGTAGGTAGGCACTATACACAACGAAAATACTTCGGAGAGTATGAGAGATGTTTACGATCCGTTCGGGTTTATTGGTTTAAAACGATATTGTCGGGTATCCTTTTTACCCGCCAATAACTTATTTACATAGTTTAGCGAGCAGAATTCGCTCGTCTCTGCACTGTGTGTACATACAAACTCCGCGTACTCCGCGGGTATACGCGCGCGGACGACAACGGCGGGCTATTTTGCGGCGAAAACGCTGAAGACATTTTACGACCATTATTCGGACGTTACGCTTAGACAGTACGCAATAATAATAACGCGCGTTTATTTCCCGCAGTATTCATAGCCGATTTAGTGGCGCGCTCGGGACGTATTAGATGATAGTAAAAATAATAATAGTAATAATAATAATAATGTCCGCACATGACTGAATAAACAACGGGCACGTCGGAAAAATTACGAGCGTTTTTCATGTACCACTGCGCGCGCACCCGGGACTCGGGAGAAACGCTACAACAATAACTGTGATCGAAAACAAACGCATGGTTACATTATACTTCAATCAGTTCCTTTTTCCCATCGTGGTTTTATCGTTTGTGCCAATAATTTCGGAACGTGCAGACAATTTCCGTTTACATATCTGATTATTCATTCATGATTGTCCGTAGGTATAACCGATACACGGCGATCCAAAAATAGTTTGTTTTTTTTTTTTTTTAAACAATTTATCGTCGTAATTTTTTTTTGATTTTTGCGTTGGTGACGTTGTCCATATTATTTTTGTAATCGACTGTGATTCCGGTTTGTTGTTGTGCAATTAGTTTTTATTTAATCAGGTTACTGATCACCGTTGACCGAATGTTAATTGATACGTGTGTGTTGTTTGTCAAGACCTTGTAACGAAAGCGGTGCGGAGATAGCGCGACGACTGCACGAAGTAGTAATGCATGATCCTTACTCGGACAGGACGCTACTACAAATTTGTCGACAGTCCGTCGGCTTATGAAACAATTCACCGAAACTGGTTCGACTGTTGATCTCAAAAGCTCTGGAAGATCTTGTGAACGACATTCTTTTCAGAACATTTTGGCTGTACCCTATGCAAGATAACGGAAACGCCAGCCCGTTGAAATCAGTTCGTCCAAAGTCATCAGTTCAGTGAATCTTTGTGAAAGATTTCAAATTTCATGCTTACAAAGTTCAGCGCATACAGGAATTGAAACCAGCTGACCTTTGAAAAAGGAAAATTTTCTCTCGATGGATCTTGGACAAGCAACTCGAGGGTGGTGGATTCATAATGAAAATTATATTTCCGGACGCGGTATATTTTCATTTGTCTGATTTTGTCAACAGAAAAAACTGCCGCATTTGGGGCTTGGAAAATACTCTTCAGTTTCAGGAAGGAAAATGTACCCTCGAACGGGTTACTGTGTAGTATACATTTTGGGCAGGGGGCGTGACCGGTGCCTTTTTCATTGAGGACGAGAGAGGATAAACTGTCATAGTTAATGGTAAATGGTGACACAACACGATCCGATTTCATGTGGCTGTCATCTTGACAATGTGGACCTTACAGAGCTGTGGTTTCAGCAGGATGATGCCCTCTAGCCTATCGCAACATAAACCATTGCACTGCTGCGTGAGAAGTTCCTGAATCGCCCCATTGCGTTTCGGGGGAACGTGGACTGACCAGTAAGGTTATGCGATCACACTCTTTGTGATTTTTTGACATTTTTCTAATATGCCTAAATACGATTGTTCTTTCTACTATAGCGATTTTTGCGAATATTATTAAATATAAATTTTAAATAACCGAAGTAACAATGTTTTAACGAGAATCTTTAGATCGTTCACAGCTAATGGCAGCAACATAATAATTGTAGACTGTGAAGAATCCAGTGAGGAATGTATTGGTTTTACTACAATGTGTGCCTTTTTTTCTGTCTTTAAACAATATTATTATCAGAAATCTTGCTCTGGTCAAAAAATGTCTAGAGAGCTATTTTGTAGGATTTTAAATTTAATTGGTGCACTGAGGATGTCATTTTTTGATTTAGAAAATCAAAAAATTATAATTATTGGGAAAACCTGGAATAACGTAAAGGAAAAATGGAAAAATCAAAGCTATAAAGATTTCGTTATTTTTCTATCTTCGATGAAAATTTTGTCTAAGAAATTTGCGCGTAAGAGAGTCGTTTTTTGGTTTTCCGTATAGTTTTATTATTTTATTAATAATTAGAAAAAAATGCTATTTTCCCCACTTTAATGCCATTTAAATGTAGTAATTTGTTAATATTTATATATTATTTTATCTTGTTTTTTTTCAAATTTACTATGTGTAAATTTAATATGTAAACCATTCTGCAATGTTAAATCAGTAATCTGACGACGGTGTAAAGCCCAAATTTAATAGCTATACAATTTTTTTTTTATAATTCTTAATTATAGTTAAAATTTGTTAATCAATTTAATTTTCTATTAGGAAAGAAACGTAGAAAAACCGGACATTTCACTGCACTATTATTACGGCTATTTTATTATTTTCGAGTTTAATAATTTAAATTATTATTCGTAAAGACCTAAAATATTCAAAGTATAATTAACATTTAGTCTTTTATTAAAGTTTTCAAACATTCTCGGGATTTTTGAGCTATTTAAAAGCATTTGACATTGTCGAGTTTTTTTTAGTTTTTATTTGGATTTATAACTATGTGGATACAATTATTTGGCTGTGCAGAAATGCGTGACATTTTTACGTTCATTATAAAATAATATAAAAAGTAAAGAAGAGTTTGGCTTAATGTAGTTGTTTTTTAAGCTCAAATTTCGAGGAAAATCACGGTTCAAAACGTATTTAACTGGACTACGCTGAGAATCATCGTATTTTTTTTTTATCAATGAGTTTTCGTTGTTTACAGATATAAATTAAATAAAGTTATATGTCCTACTTTCCTAACTTTCCATCTACGACAAAGGCACGTCCATTCACAGTATCATCTCTTTTATTGTTTTGTTGAATATCGTGTCCGTTTATATACAAATCGACGAAATAATAATTGTTTTTTACGCCGTCAAACATATTAAATTTATAATTATCTAAGTCAGGTTCTCCGTATACTCCTGGGTTAGACATTTTGGACGGAAAAAAACTCATTTATTAAATAAAGTATTTATTTTATTTTTTTTTTTTTGTTGAAACGATTGATAATCGAAAGAAATTGAATAAGTTGCCTATTTGTTAACAAGTCCTGTAGTTAGATTGTGTTTCATTTGATGATATTTCGGCAAAACTCATCGTATAGGTTATTATTTTAAAACTCCGCGGGAGATTATTGGAGGGGTGGTTGCACTTTTCTTCTACGAAAAAAAAACCCTAAATCCTCCACTGAAAACGCAAAATTTGTTTTTTAATAAAATAATATTATATATGAATTATTTACAAAACACGTAATTTTCTTAACGCCTTCCCACTTCTAAAAAAAAAAAAAAAAAAAAAAAAAAAAACCCCCGGATAGATAGTAATATTATATAAGTACGTATACTGCGGTCAACTTAATTGATTTGCAACGATGTATTTTTGTTTAGCGGGCATATTTTATAGTTTTAGAACGCGTATACGACGACGGCGGAGGCGATTCTCCGACACAATAGGCGGGTCAGTGCGAAGTAGGTGCCAAGTTTATATACCTTATCTCGGTGTATTGCCACCGCAGAGAAGGAATACCGGTCCAAAAAAGATATATAACGGGCCACGTAGGTATATTTCCAACTATATATACTTACTATATTGAGAGATCTTTATCCCACGAGGTCGAGATAACCGCGGAAATTCCTATTATTTTACCGCATATAAAACGATTCACGGCTGCGCAGATTAAAACGCGGTTTTCTAAGGATTGTTTTTATCGCTTTTAAAATTCAGTTTTTATTTAACTTGTGCAATTTGATTGGCGTTTACCTAATGAATTTAAATACGTGAACAAATTCCCTACCGTATATATTTTGATAATTGATAATTTAATTTTTAAACTCGGTACCTGTTTAATTAATAAAATTAAATCCTGTATAAACTATTACATTAATATATTTACCTACCTATAAAATGTGCAGACGTTGTTGAAAAGTTTAAAACGATATCATTAAAAATCTCTTTTAACTTACCCCGTTTTAAATGTCGTGTAAACAAAATAACGAAGAATTTTAAATGAACAGACTTAATAAAAATATAAATAACAAATGGTCGGTAATATAGGTACTAAGAGATTTGATTAATGAAATATATTTTTTAGTGCAGAGACAAATGTAATAATAATTATAACATTTTTTCAAATTTCTGTTGTACTTAGTATAAAATATTTCAACGTTCATGATGTATATTAGTGGAAACATCAGAAGCAGGTTGTCTAACTATAGGTTTTTGTATGCAATATGTAGAAAATATGCAAATAATAAAAAAAAACTCATAAAATAATAATCAGTAAACTAGAAACAAATTGTTTACCTTATTTTTTTTTTTTTTTTTTTAGAGAAACCAACGAAATTACCAAAAAATAAACATATTTTTGTTATAAACTGAAATTATTCATTTTCAAAGCATTTTATTTTAGATATTACGCCAGATAATATTATCATTGTTTTTTTACCTGGAGGTCATTCACTAATTATTGAGGGTTACCAAAAATAGAAAATATTAGGTTTAATATTCATTTAGGTGGTCGTGACAGTAAAATGGATGAAAAACACTGCCAAAAAACCTATTGGTCATAAAACTATCGGGTATTGATTCGATTTCAATAGGAGTTTAGAATTAAAATGTTAATTTTTTTTATTATTATTATTTTTTTTTTTTCTGTCGTTATTTATGTTATAGCTAGGGCACAACACGCTGGGCAAATTGAAAAATGTTTTATTTTAAAATAGATATACCTTGTACGTGTTCAATTATCTGTTTATAAATTGCTGCACGTATCTCTGTGTGAAGCACGTTTACTACCCTAAAAAGTGTTAACAGAAAAAAAAAAAACATACCAGTCGTAACAAACAATAGCTATTCATTACCGAATCTAAAACACGTAGGTAATTATAAAACAAATGATAACTATTCGTTACCGAATTTAAAACGTGCAATTATAAAACAAATAGATTATTCGGTGATTATATCGCCCAAGAGTTTAATGTATTAGTGTAGATATTGTTCGGAGGGTAGAATGCAGATGTTCGAAAATAATAAATAACGATAACAAAAATAACAACGGCCCAAAAGTGTCATTTCTATACCTGTATTTAAATTTGTAATATTCCAATACTTAATGCTACTATAGTTAATTGTGAAATTGTTTTGTCCGGGGGCCTTTGGATTGTTTTATGTAAAATATGATATGAAGAAAAATACACAATAGTTTTGTCTGTGTTCGTTGATAAAAAAAAAATAACCCCTAGGTACCCAGTAAGGTATAGAATATTAAGTTATTGATAATTTTAATTTATTGATCATAGGGTAGTATTATTTTTGTATGGATTAACAGTTTTAACTTATGAAAATTAGTTTGATAATAATTGTGAACAAAAATGTAATGAAAATCGAATTTCCAATTATTATTGTTATCTTGATATATATTTAAATAAAAAAAAAAAACGAAAAAAATCGAACCGTTAATGTAGTAAACTTTATCAATTATAAATACAATAATAAAGAAAATGAAAAAAACGATCCCTCAATACATCAACAAGATACAATTTACTTTCAGTAAAGACGCTATATATTAAAACCAAAGCAAAATTTTTGACCAAAAAGTTGTTTACAGACAGAAGAAAAAATAAAAGTCCACACTATAGTAAAACCTTTACAATCCTCGCTGTGCTCAGAATCTAAAAGCAGTTACCTATTAATTTTATATTTAATATTTACATACTTATGTATTATATTTTGTGAATATTATCCTTAAAGAAATCAAAACATAATTAATTTTATAATTTTAAAATGATTTGTTCTTATGAATGGGTGTTATAAGAAGTGTCCCAAGGCGTCACAGTGTCGTACATGACCCTTTCATTGTGGAGGCATTCACGGGCTGTTTAATTATATATTTTTATGTGTGCATTTTATTTGTTTTTAGAATAATTTAGAATTCTACAATTCTAAAATTTAATTTTTTTTTCATGAGAAAGTTGATAATAATGTAACATGGTCGAATCCATAGATATTAATGTATTTTTGTTATCTATGGTCGACCAGGTCAAAGTTTCCAGTGTTATCATTTCGTTTTGGTGGTTCGACTGTTGTCACTTATCATTGATTTATATTTTCAAAATAAACGTGCCAGGGCTTGCACTGTTGCATTTTTACTAGGAAATAAGTGTATTTTTAAAATATTTATATCTATTAAGTAATCTTTAAAATATCATTGAAAGATTTTCTTCTATGCAAAAACAGAGGTTAGACTCTGTATTATACATTTATAACACGCATTATAATATCGTATTTAATTAAATAAAAAATGTCTTATTTTATGCATTAAAATGTTATATTTTCCATGTATAAAAAATCCCGATTCCTCTGTCTATTAATAAAATCGTTGTAGCTATGACGTTATTTTGTTTAAGGAATTTTCTATTTTAAGCAGCGGGTGAAAATATATTTTACGCCCCTTCTCTCCGCGTAAGAAAGGCCTAGGTATGCCAATGAGGCGTCAACAATTTAAACACGTATTCGGCTACGGGAGTTTTGTACATTGTACAGTATACAACCTTTTGTATATTGTATTGAAGTACATTCATCAGCACCTCGAATTTACTGTGTTGGCACATGTTATTGTGAATAGCACACGATCATTAATAAAACGAATATTTATGGAAATACGTAGGTAACTAATTGTATTATCCAATTATAACGAGAAAACCTCGTTTTAAAACGTTTTGGATTATTAAATCAAACGGTTAAACGATTATTTTGTAAAGAGAACTATTTTTTGTTTTTTACACGACACGTTAATTTATTGTTATTTGAGTTCGATTATCGGCGTATTTGCTGTATAGAAAATACATTTCAAAATAAAAACTGAAGCTCCGTGTTTATTTTATGGGAAAACCTATATGGAAGTAAATACATTTAAAATTAGCGGGATTTAAAACGTATTTTTTTATATAGAAACCGTGTAAACTATACGTATCGACGTTCATTGAAAGGGATTTATTTCTATTTAATAAGAAGAATTTCCATAGAAATAGAGAAGGAGAAAGAAACGAAATCAAAAATACCGTCGAGTCGGTTTTTCGATTCAAATTCAGAGGGGTTTGAGGAAAAAACAACTATGTAATACATACAGGCGATAGTTTTTGGGATCATGATTTTTTAAATAAGTATAGCCGTAGTAAAAATACACCTACACGTTGATTACATTTTTTTTTCTCTGCCATTTTGTCCGAATAATTATCGTTTTCTATACACGCTGCAATTTTATTAAATAGGTACTCTATTTTAATTTTATAATTTACTTTCACGCGCCGCAGCTTTTACGGCGTATGCACGGTGCGCGAGCATTTTTCCGCAGAGAACCGCGCTCGTTTTACCCTACTCGTTTAATGCTCGAATATTTTATGAGGGTACGAAAATACACACGATACCGGCTGAATCACGTATTATTATAATATACTTGTAGTTAATGAAATCACTCATCTGGGATCTTTCTACATGCGGTCGGTTAGCGTCCCCGGCGCGGTGGTGGTGTCAAAACCCGTAGTATAAAGTATAATAATAAGCCTTTGCGGCGGAGAAAAACCAAGAGAATTATATTTATAATGCAACATTGTAGTATTAAAAACATAAATATTCTTGATAAAATAGCGTCTAACTTAAGTAGGCGCCTGACTTAAATTTAAAAAAAAAAAAATAATAAAAAAATAAAAATTAATGTGTTTTTTTTTTTTTTCATAAAACGAGTTTTATGAAAATTTGACAATTTTAACACGGCCGAAACGAGTTAAAACGGCAAACAAAATATCACGCACATTATACATTTTATTTCAATCACGAATTACTATAATATAATTATAATTATAACTGTAGGGCTGTCAATTTTATGCCCTATAAAACTCTGAAAAATGCATTTACGATTCGTAAAAAATGCCGTGTGAAATGCAATTCAAGTGCGAAGAAACGCACATCGTTTTGTTTTTTTTAAACCAATGTACATCAACATTAGCATAGATCAAAATTAATTGAATCGATGAAGTGATGTACTTTGAAAGCAATTACCCATTACTATTTTGATTTTATTCGAGTTCTATTCATCAAAAAATATGTTATTCGTTTAAAAACTGATACAAATATCGTAAAATTAACAAAAAAAAAAAATCCATTTAAAGATTAAACAACCTAACGAATGCGTAATAAAATTCGAAACAAAAAGTTTCACGATTGAACTCACCGTATACGATTAAAACTTTGTATTAAAAAAAAAAAAAGCTACGTTCTACAATCGGATATTTAATGTACTTTTCTGAAAATTCAAAGCTGTTTTCAACGTGAAATCCGAATTCACCGTAAATACTCATAGTAATTTTGTTCGCGTAAAATTTAAAAACGTACACATTTGATTATCGTCTACGGTGTACCATAAACCAACGCATCAACAATTTTAGTGTAAATTTCGATTTAAACGTTTCCGAAAATCGAATCGCGGACTACTTCCGTTCGGAATATTTTACACAACGCGGAATAGCGTCACACGTATAATACTGCGATTACCGGTCGTCTCTGCACGTTTCTTTTGACAGATAATTATTTTGTTGTCGCAATTTTATATACGAAACGTAAGAGAGAAAGGAGAGAGAAAAAAAAAATAGGGGGAAAAAAAAGAAAGGAGGAATGCATAGTGTTTTATGGTCTTATTTTGCGGAGACGGTGAAATTCTAAAGTTTCGTCACGGCGACGACGACGGCGGTGCAATCTAATACCGAACCGGGTCAATGGTAATATATATCAGTGGGTTTTTCACGTAATAATAAACGGCGTACGCGACCGCGACAGCTATAATTTTCTCCGCTGCAGACATCATCAACCGCCCACGCCGGAAATCAAGCAAAAACCCATAGATCCTAATCTATCGGACCGTCCGAAATCTAACTGCCTGTTAAACTGACGTTAGGCGACGAAAATTCCTCGTATTTTTCTAAACACCCCCCATCCCCCATCCCGCCGTACTGGCTCCGTAAGTCGCCGGACGATTTCAATTGCGATGCCGTTAATTCGCCGTCAACCCCTCCGAGTCCAAACCGAATCCCGTTTATCTCGATATTATTATTTATTATCACGCGGGCAAAACGATAATATTATCGCGGCGCACGGAGAGGACCCGTTTTAAACATAATAATAACATTACCGATTTGCATATAATCGAGATTCCTCCGAAACGGCCAGTCCTGCCTCCGACCGCGAATCCGAATAATCACGCGAAAAGTTTGATTTTGATTATCGATGTTGATGCGACGGGTCTCTCGTCCGACAATTTAAATCCGCGAGTTTTTAACCCAAAAGCACATACTGCGATGGCGTATTATAAAATATACGCAATGGTGACACTATATCGTTATAAAATACCACACACTCGGTTTTTCGCTTTTAAATATTTGAATACCGGCGGAATTTCTATTTTATTATTATTGTTATTATTACTTATTAACGCCACGACCGGCAATCTCGCGTACAAGTAATAACGCATAGACCACACATAAACATCAAACGTAATACCATTTAAAGGGGGCAGCTTACAAAGGCAATGCAAAAGGAACATTAGATTAATAGTAGAGCATGCGGATTTAGAAATTTAAAACGAGAAGGGTTTTCGTTAACCAGTCGCATCATACGATGTCAGGGATGGTCACGACCGAAGATCGTGGAACGAATCGGGACAAAAAAGGGGGCGTGAAAACGCAGAGAACGATAAGGAACTCTGTAGTCAACGGAGCCATCAAGTAGCTTGGATAGAGAAGCTTCGTCAATTTCACATGAATACTCAATTTCAGAGCGCCTTCTACTCAATGAGCAATGGCATAGACTTGCAATATTAAAATGCAGGACAAGGTGAGAGAACCACTCAACTGAGTTGTTTAAATCGTTTTGAAACGCAGCGCAGTCACTTATTGAGGATATTTTCCAAAACAATTTCAGATCGTCTGCAAAAATAAGAAAACTACAGTTGGGTAAAATTCGTTCAGCACCGTTGATAAAAACAGCAAACAGAAGAGGGAACACTATTGGCCTCCTCGAGGGACACCAGATGGCATACAAGTGATAGCGGACTCATGCCCTATTATAATTTTTAAACTTTAGTGTGTAGTGAGTGGGAAGGGGGGAGTGTTGAACTTTTGAATCATACGCAATGTTTACGAGGCAGCAAATGAGATTTCGCCAAGCGAATTGGATAAAGAACGGAAAAAAAATTGCCCCGGTTAACGTTATACGCGGTAGTATTATCTTTGAATTCTTTTAGGGACCATGGCCGATTTTAGTTATGCTCCCAACACCTTTGGATTCTGAACCGCGATCGAACGGTTCGGTAAACGGGGTTTCGGGCCTTTGGTTGCGGTGCACGCGTGCAACGGAAAGTAATCGATTTCGTTTCTGTTTTTTTTTTCCTATATTGAAGGTATCTGTCAAACGTGAGCGTTTTCTTGTGTAAGCCTACCGCGACGACGCTAATAATCAATAACAAACAATTCGTCTCCGCTAAGTGTTCTATACGTATTCGTTTGTCGATGCCCGGGGAATCCTGTATTCACTATCGAAAACGATTGTCGTCGGATGTTTTACACCGTTTCTTAAATACCATTAGGTCTTGTTTACGACGACGACGGCTCGTCTCGTCCGCATCTACCGTCTAAGTGTATCACCACTAGCGGGAAACATTAATTGAAATTCGAATTACAAAATATAATACAATTCAAAGATTGGAATATTATCGAGGACCGTAGTACGTGTACGTGGATTTTTTTCCTACAAAGAAATCGTTACACAGAGATCACTGTTGATTCAAACTAATTTAACAACTGTCAGAATAACAACTTGATGGTCTATTTTGTCAACGGTTTTTTTTAATTTACGGCGGTAAACTTCGGTGTTTTAAGCGTCGTGGATAAATCATTTACGCATACAACCGCGTATAGGACGCGTGTCAATAGCCAAACGTTTGGGGGTCGGGGGCTGCGGCCCCGGAGCCAACGGTGTTGGGTGCAGTGTCGCGGCTGTACAATATTCGTTATACGACACACGTTCCCACGCAGGAAAAGGCCGTTTATTAGTTTGTGGACGAACAATATAGCGTGTATAATAATAATACCATATATGGTGTACGAAGAGGATGAAATCGTCCGTATTATAGCCGTGCGGTTGTTTTATTCAGACCATAATAATAACAATATATTTCACGGGAACACGAAGGCCCACGCACACTGAAATCCTGTTTTTTTTTTTTTTTTTTCCCCCGTCACGATTGTTATTGGATGTCTCGCCGAGTTTCTTCGCACGACACGTCGTCGTCGTCGTCGTCGTCGTCATCATGTGCGGTTTAATAAATACACGTTCGCCGGGCCGACGACGCCGTGGTTACGAACGAGAAAAGAAAACTAATAATTTTTTGTTTGTTTTTCGTCCCCCGAACGTAATGATTTACTCCGCAATCATCGACCCCGTCACACACGGCCATATACACAACACCGGGTCCCGACGGGGAAATGACCGTAGATCATAATTTCGCGGCGGACTACCGACTAAAAACCGTCTTCCCGAGACGATAACCAAGAGACGCGCGGAAATTAATTTCGTTTTCGTGCGTGAGTTATCGTCGATTCGGATGACAAATGTATTGGTTTTACTATGACGCGCGTGTTTATTTTTTCCGACTGTTAGCACATTTTCCGGCCTCCCGACGGTCGAGGTTAGCGTCTAAATCGCCGCAAATCAATCACTAGACGGAAAACTGCAGAATAACACGGCCAAAAATATTCGGCTCCGATCATCGATTTTATTTGTAGTTTTCTCAATAGTTAAAGAAAACCGGAAAAAAACCCACAGGTTAAAAAAAAAAAAATAAAAAAATCGCAAACCCGAAATTTTCATCAAATACTTTTTACTCGTAGTACAATTTTAATAAAACATTCCGGTCATTTTTGAGCGATTAAACGCTATTTGAAATTGTCGAATTGTTTTAGTTTCTATTTGGTTTTGTGTGGATAAAAATATTTTATATTTTGCACGAAAATTTAACACAAGGATTATCGTAAGTTGTATTTTGTGGCCAAACAAAAAAAAAAAAAAAAAATTGAGCGTATCGTGGTAGTTTTTTTTATAAGCATTTTTAAGTTTTAATTTCGACGAATACCGTGCAAAATTACGGCATTTCGAATTAGGTACAACCGAACTATGCCTAGAGCGAATTTTCGTCGTAATTAAACTAATATATAATATCTCCTATCTTTCCTTTTCGCGTTCAACGGTGACACACCCATCAGCGGTATAAGCTCTTTATTTTTTTACGTTTTGATATTATGTCTTGCCAAGTTTACTCACGTTTCGCTATGATTTATCGTGCGGCGACGTCACGAGCAACAATAACGATAAAAACAATAATAATAATTTTCGTACGATATTACGTGGTTATGGGCGACGAACAAAATTAAAAGTGATTTTTTTCTGAATTTTTTGTCAAACCGTATTAATGTATCGATTCTAAATACAATATTTGTATTGTTTCCAAAATATGTTTCCACTACCGGAGAAATAGTTTTCAATGTTGCCCCAACGAAAATGGACTGAAAATTAGTATATTATACACAATATAAAAAAATACTTGAAGGCTGCGCGAAACTGGGGCGATTGCCCACGGCTCCGCGTTTAAAAATAAATGTTTAAGCTTCGAGGATATTTTCTTAAAAAAAAAAAAAAAAAAAGAAACAATTTACTCGGTTCTAAAATTTATTACAGAGCGATTTCTTTTGCCTGAGGCCACGCAAAATTTACTGATGGCACTTACTAACTGCAGACTGTATACAATTTGTTGTACCTATATTATATTGTAAAATAACCTTTTAGGTAGGGTTTGCGTAGAGAGTTCGGTTTTAACAAATATTTTACATTATTTTTGCTCGCCAAGTCAGTTATTTTTTGTTGAAACCCGTTAAAATTGTAAACTTTTGTTTTTTGCACACCGGAAGTCTATTCGAATATAAAACGAAAATTATTTCACCCGGAAAACGCATTTTGCAATTCGATAGCGGCGGAGATGCGGTGACGTATTTCTAATAAAATCAATAATTTGCTATTATTATGTCGAAAACTTTGCGACATTTGTAAACGTATGTCAACATTTGTGACACATGAAATCGATGAAAAATCGTGTATGATTGACGTTAAATCTTATTAGAATCAAACATTTTAGATTCTAAAACCGTACTCGCGAAAATTAGTAAAATCTCATCCAGTCACCGTGCAATGGACACTGTGAAATATCGTTTATTATTTCCCGTTGAAAACGCGTAAACTACCGTTTTGAAATCCCGAAACATTAACAATTAAGAAGCACCTATAGTTTTATCGAATATATTATTGTTCATGCAACATCCGTGTTTATCGTTTTTTTTAAATATTTTATCGCGCTAAACAAATGCTTTTCGCACGGGTTAACATTATTATTCGCTTGTTGTCTAATTAATAATATAATACAACGAGCATACTCGTGAAATTCAAACGGCGAACGCAGGTATAAAGCAACAAATTGACCGGACGTTTACCAATCTGCAAATGCAAATGATATTCCTTTACCCGTCTCCCCCGTTCGAATTAATTATTATAGTTGTTTACACCGCGGGATTCTAACCGTTTAAGAGATTGAATAGATACTTTGAGTACTACTGAAACTTCCCCGGCATAATTTAACGATTTACCGCAGTTTCCGAAGTCAGTATTTCAAGTTGCGCACACTCTCTCTCTCTCTCCGATATAAATCAGCACAAGTGGCGGCAGGTAGGTACCTACAATTATTATTATTGATGGACCCTTGACGACATACGTTTGTGCTAAAAATACATTTATTTAATCTATAATATTATAAGAACGTTTTATTAAAAAAAAAAAAAAAAACGCTTATTTTTCGTAATCGGTACACCGAACAAAACAAATTAATAAATTAACGTTATTTAATAATTATATAATTTTTAGCATAATATTTTTTGTCTAGTTAAAAACATTATTCTTTCGGTTTTCGATACCAGTTCTTTTATTTTTGTACAGTACGTATAATAAAATGACAATTTACATTGATAGATAGACGGATTTTAACCCAATTAAAATCTAAAGAAATAGAAACAAATTTTAAAAACGTAAAAAACGACGCAAAAACAATCTAACAACTTCAAACACGAGCAGTAAAATGTACACAAAAACAAATCGTTCTACCGATTATCGGTTATAGGAGTTACCACAGAAATAATATTCCGAAAAAAAATATCTATTTTCTAAAAAATAAAAACAAATTATTCAATCCGCGTGATCATAAAAAAAAAAAATAAAAACAGGTACCGATAAAATAATCATGTTAGAACCGACAATTATCGGGTCCTTAAGAACCTATAAAACCAAATGATTCCTGGAGAAGCCTGTATTATAGGAGTTATGAAAAGCAGCAGAATAACATGGTCCGGATGTGTGTACTGATATCCGAGAGAACGCCGGGTAACATAACAAGATGGAAAGCGGACTCATAATGACCTATTTGTGTCCCGGTAAATTGGACGCCGGTTAAATCGTTCGTAAAAAAAAGATATTAATTATGTTGTTTTATACAGTCTTTTCTCCGGTTTATATTACAAAATAAATATTCCTTGGAAATAATTAAATAATTAATTACGATAAATTACAATGGTTTTTCTCCCGTTCCAATATTTTCGAAATTTTACTTAATCTTTTTTAATATAATATCATGTTAAACGTATTAGATTCGGTATTATAACTCGTATACAAGATAAACAGTTTATATAAAAAAAAAAAAAAGAACATTCTAAAATTAATCGGATTTTTACGAAATCATCATAGCGATAAGCGCCGATTGCAATAACTCGTAATTTATATTATTAGTCGATTGTTATTATTAGTCTAGTGCAGGGGTCGGGAACCTTTTCGTGCAAATGAGAAATTTTCAAAAAAAAAAAAATTGTGAATCCACGATTTTTAAATAGTCGCAATGGTTAAGATAAAAATAAACATACCACAGTACGAAAAACGACTAATATGGTTTACTATGCAATTTCATTGGATATTAATAGGCATGAAAAACAGAATCATGCGTCTTAAATTTAGATAATTTTTATTTCGTTAATACATTATTATTACGCATTGTTTAATTATTATTATTATTATTATTGTTTATACAATTCGAATTTCAATTTATATTTGATGGGTCTAGCTCTAGATCCAGAGCGTCTAGATATCGATGCATTTTCCAAAGAGCCACACATTGCACGTTAAGGAACCGCAGGTCCCCGACCCCTGGTCCAGTGTGTCCAGTGCACACGGCGCGGTGTTGTCACCGCGCAAAGAGTAGCAGAACACTTTTTAATCGCGGCGCGAGACACGAATTTTTCAACATTTTCGACGATTATAAAAATATAGACAAAGCTGTTTTTGTAAAACGTATAGCTCATAACTTTCAACCTCAAGATCCGACGGGTTTTTAAATATTTACGCGCATAATATTCTATTATAATATTTTTGATTTATAATCGTTTTTTATTTTTTTTTTCTATCTAAAATAATATTTGTTCATAATATTAAAATAACAAAACTATGACGTGACGTCGAATATTAAATACTGTTTCAATTAACAAGGAATGTTTATTTCGTAAAACAAAGTTTGCATAAACGAATATAATAATAATAATAATAATAATACATTTTTTTTCCCCGGTAAATTTGACCGGTGATGAACTTACCGGATTTCGACCTAAATAACGGCGTTAGGATAGAGTAAAAGCAAACCTTGAAATGATCGGAGTATCGGGTGCAGAAAAAAACATCAACAGACCGGGAGAAAATACGGCGGAGTCTATTGCGGTTGCGGCGATAAGCTTTAACGGTCTTAACATATAATATAAATGCCCGAAATAATAAGTACGGGTGATAACCGTACGGAATAAACGGCTTCGGTTTACGTACAATATCGAGGCCGGTCCGCGCGGTGATAGTATGACTGTCGCGACACCAGAACACCGGTACTGAAACGTGATAGTTACCGTCGCGGACTGTCGTCGCGCGTAAACACCGCGATAATAACTATCGAACCGTCGGGAGAATAACAGCCGCGCAAATGACGCATTCATGATATTTAAACGCATACGTTTCTACAACGTTACACGTTACACCGTGACCCCATACATAAAATCGTCGTATTTAACCGCCGAATCGCGCGCACGCAAACGTTCCGTTTTACTGTGCTGTCACGCGGACGTTTCGATCGAAAATTCGCACACGACGCGTCTTCTGCTGTCGCCCGAGTTTACTGTCACCGTGCGGCCGCCGTCTGTGCGACAGTCGGCGTTACGCGGCGGCGTCACCGTTAACGATAATACACCGTCGTGTATGGGCCGGGCTTTGGTACGCTCGCGGCGGTAATACGCTATTGTAATTTAACGGGCACGAAAATAAAAACGTATACTTCAAAAGTATTGATCTCGACGAATAGTCCTCGGAGACGGTTACACGTGGGTAATCCGCCCGCAGAATTCGCGAACATTTTTACATTACTTCTGTTTCGAACTACGGTCGTTTCTTAATCTGCGGAGCTCGAGAGCAAGACGGTTTTCTTTCTTTCGTCCTCTTTTTTCTTTTTCTTTTTTTTTCGGCGTTATATTGGTGGACGCGAGGTTATCGATATATATTACAAAACGTAATTTTTTCCCGACTCTATCATTAAATACGGATTACAGAAAATCGTTAAACGTACCATTATAATGTGCGTTTACAACATTGCAATATCCTGAGATAAAACCTTTTGCGTTCGTTCTACTATTTTATTTAGTGCAAACTGATGACGCGCTAAAAATCGAAATTATTACAAAAAACCCGTAAGGATAAAAGGGACAACAAAACACAATATATCTATTACGTGTATAAAATAACATGTCCCGACCGACTGATTCATCATCGCCCAGCCCCCCTAACCACTAGACGGATTGGGCTGAAATTCGGCTCGCTGATAGCATTTATAACGAATGCGTCCGTTAAGAAAAGATTATATGCGAAAATTCAACTCCTAAGGGGATATTTAGGTACATTCGGCACGAAACGAACATCTAATTGTTTATTTATTTATTTTTGTTTATTCAAGGGTTACCTCGGTGTTCGGAAAAGAAAACTACTATAATTAACACTATTCAAATTTCATAACAGAACGCATTTAGTCTGCCGAAGGCGGACTACCTACTTTCCACATATTTGTTTTCATTCGATTCTGACACGGCCTAAACCAAAAATGAATATGGATAAAATAACAATAAATACTGGCACGGGCGCGGGACAGCTAGTATTTAACAGTATATCCAGTAAAAAATATTAGCTCCGATACAACAGAAATTACTCATATTTCGCAACGAAAACTAATCGAATATATTCGTCTGAACTGTTTTAAGGGAATTTTCAATCTCGGGGCAAGTTGAAAAAAGAAAATCGCTTCATTGCACTCGTGCTTCGTTTGTACACGTACAGTTGCTGAGTTCAAAGTAATGAAACAGTTTATATTGCAAAGAGCCGTGGCAATTTCGTATTATGTAAACAAATGAAATGAGCAAAAGCCGTTTATTCAAATTTCGATTTTCGACACGATTTTTAATACGCCCGCTTTCGAAATCGATGTACAAATTATTAGATTGACAAAAGTTTATCGAGCAAAAAAACAATATCAGAGGTTTTCGATTCGAAGGATGATTGTGAATAATTGTGGCGTTCCCGAGCGTCGTAAAAGTGATTATGTGTTATGATTTTATGTAGCTCTTAAAAAAAAAAAAAAAAATTCTTACATGTTATTGAAGTATATTTTATGGTTTTATCGGCATACGCGTGTGCCATCATGTTTGAAACTTTTGAAAAACTAAAAATTCGTTGACTCTAGTCCATAACAATATTACAGAAATATTTGTTGTCAATAACGCGTTATTCGTTTTGATTTTTTTATTTTTTTGTAACAACCAATACTGTGATAATATACAGCCAATAACGAAGTTATTGGCGTAAATCTTATATAGTTTACGATTTCCGTTTATACTAATTTAGGTAGCTACCTAACGCGGAAATCGAGATTCGATGGAAAAAAATCGACTGAAAAAAACGCTTCGAAAAGTATAATAATAATGACGTTTTTGCGCTCGTGCGTTTACTCGTTTGTTTCGCGAAGCGTATTACCCTCGGAATTTCTGATTTTTTTTTTTTTAATTTTATAATATACCTAAAAAAGCGACCGTCGACGGACGAAATAAGACGCAAAATGTTATTACGTTTTTATACAGAACTGTTATTAAAAATACAATTCTTGGATTTTCATGTTTGAGAACCCCTTTACGTGAAAATTTAAAAATATCGTTTTACAATAATGCAATATAATTTCATCACAGCTCATGCAGTAGTTATCGTATTGATTACAGTAAGTAGTTAATAACAATTTGCACCTTGCACAGTATATTCACTATGGTTTTTTTTTAGATATACGAGGTGATACATTTGAGTGGGTACACTCATTATCTCGAAAATTATTAACTTTTTCCGGAATTTTTTTCTAGAACATTTAAGAAACGAGCGGCTCTACAGTTTTATAGTTATATTTTTTTTTGTCACCCTTATTTTTGGGGGTAAAACCACTAACTACTTTTGATTTTCAAATGATAACGTGTATTAAAAATTCTATATTCAGATGGAATATTTTAGTTAAAATACATTTTAGTGTAGACATTATTCAAGTCGTTGACGAGATATTCCACTTTTAATTTTGGGTTGGAGAAGAGTAGTGGAGTATCATTTGTGTGGCGGTACGGCGCGTGGCGTGTTAATAATGCACCACTTTCCGAGATAATGAGTGTACCTACTTAAACGGAGCACCTGGTATATTATATACTGGTTTTTTGTTCTCTCGGTTTATAGGTATCTAATCTGATAGCGTACAGAAATTTGTTCAATTTTGTCGGAACTAATATTGAATTATTTGAATTATAATAGTGTGCACCGATCAGCGTGTGATATGCGTCAATTAAGACTAGTTACAGCCATTTTCGGTAAAATGATTTGCAGTGAACGTGACAATCCTCAAATTACAAGCAATCATTTTATACTTCGCATCAAAGCGTATAAAGGCGACCATAGAGTACGTCGGAGGTGTATTAAAAAAAAAAAATCAATCATGTAATGCGAAAGTATTCACGAAAATAAATTACTACAGTGAAATGTTGAACACGGAAAACAACACAACTGCGGTGTTGTAACCAATATCATATGCCATAAATTGGAAAATTGTCAATACCCCGTGTAAAAGAAAACCACTAGAAAACATAAGTACAAGATCCCTCCCCCCCCCCAAAAAAAAAATTATTTTACTTTTATATTAATAAATAATGAGCGTGCTAAAGAAATAATATACTAAACGACATTAATAGAATGTAACAATAAATTTGTACGATAACAGACGTAAAACTCTCTCGACAAATCTGAAATCTATTGCTGAAGTACACCAAGTATATTAAATGACGTATATATTCAAACAAATAAGTACGGACATCTCTCATTATCACAGCGATGAAAAATGAAGTATAATTATTTTTCCTTGTTAGTTACACAAATTTGAAATTTTTTTCATCAGTTGATACTGTTTTTATGGATTGAACATTTGATAATTGTACCCATTTTTTATGCAAATTTATTTATAATCGTGGATTTAAAAACGACCAATATATGTTTCGTACGTATTTTGTTGATTACCAAATAAACTAACATCTTCCTATGTTTTTGCACTTTCTTCTATTTGCCAAAAAGCAACGATATTAATGCGATTTTTTTCCCAGGCAAATGTAAATATTGATCACGAAAAAACCATTTAAAATGCAATTACTGGAGTTCGGTCGAAAAGTAATATCATCATTGTAAGATTTTAATTATTGAATAATTAATGGTGGAAGAAAACACAATCTCTTGATTAATCAAATCAATATTATAAGGGTACGAATTTCGAAGTCGGCGAATGTTTACGACACACATTTGGTCTTTTATTTCTTGATGTGCAGGAGGCCTCGGAATGTTTTTCTTTTTTTATATGGTTTGCTGAATTATTAACAAAATGCTCCTACTGATCGGTATCTAATTATGCTAAATAATTATATAAAAGACGATTGTAATATTACCATCCGTCACTATGAGCTGCATTATCGGCAAGTTTAACCAGGACAACGGATGCGTGTGAATCATTTCATTCTGTTTTCAAAGATCCTTTTTTTTATAAACGAACACCGCATATGATTCCATGGATTACTGTTGTTATAGAAAATATGCAGACTATCGTCTATGCTGTTTTAAAAAATAGACCGAGGAAAAAGTATATCATTGATAAACGTAAACGAAATGAAGAATTAATTTCAAAACACTAACAAGACGAAATCAGAAGATACGAATTCATGAAACTGATTGGAAACCATTATCATGAAGAAGGTTTGAGTATAAAAATAAAAAAATTAGATGATATAGGCAATATATTTTTAATTGTATTTTTTCAGACTGTTTTTCCGATCTTTACACAATGTGATTACAATGTCAACCAATGAATTCAGCAAAGACTACAATATTGTTATGAAAAAAAAATGTAAACTCAATAAATAAGTAAATACAGCAGTTTTAATTTTAAATTAAATACTTTATTTTTATTATTATTTTTTTTTTGAATATAACTTTATATTTATAATTTATTACATTTTAATTTTTCGATTTAAATAAGTGACGACTCTAACGAAAATAAATGTGAATGGAAACTGACAAATAACTGGTATTCATTATTTACAAATTTTACGCTTTATGTTTTCTATCAAAAGTTCCGTTCTAATCAAAAATGCCGAGAGAACATTTTTTTTTTTTGCATTTTGGATTCAGTTCGTTAGTAAGAAAGTCGTATTTTTGTTGTAAATCACTTAAAAATTATCGTTTTTAGCTGACATTTACAAATAATATTAATATTGTGTGTACAATTTATCATTACACTACACTATAGTATATAGTTTTTTACAAAATAATATTATTTATTTAATAAAAAAATAATATTATTAAACACTTACGTAAGAGGCTCCTAAACTTAAAAATTATAGAATTTATAACTGGTGAAAACGACTTTTTTTTTCATATTTGACGGAAAAAGGTATTGGTGGAAAACGGAAAGGTCATTTTCGGCTGAAACCGGTCACGCCCAGGTGGAGATTGTCCGAACGAAATATTTTGTTGGCGGATTGAAGGAAATAAAAAAAAAAAAAAAAAAATATGTATATATCAATACCAAAATGTGTTTAAATTGAAACTTATGACTTTTCGTTGCGTAAAAATAACAATTAAATATCTCCGTTCCCGACTTTCCTCCTGCAACAGCGGCACACCCATCGGCAGATCAGACTTTTTTTTATTTTCTAGAGTTTACTCCGAAGTTAACGTATAGTGTTCCGATACTCGAGGTAAAAAATAATATACATACGAGTGTGCGCTCGTATAACAATATCCATTAGTATTTTTGAAAAGAAAAAAAAAAAAAACCCGTTACTGGATCCGCCGAATCTCGCATTGTCCGAACGCGAATACTGAGGTCAGGCACTAATATCACGATAATAAATAATAGAGGTGACGGCGGCGACCGGCAGGTCGCGATCGAAATTATTATTATATTACAGTTATAGGCGCCTAACCTTAGCGGAGTACCTTTTGCAGTGTGGGTAATTGTGACCGGCACGCATATAATGTTATTTCGGTGGTAATAATTTACTAATTCAGGAGACCGAGGGAGAGCGAGAGTGAAAGAGAGAGAGAGAGAGAGAGCGAGAGAGAGAGAGAGAGAGAGAGAGAGAGAAATGGACACTATTTATAAACTTTTTTTTTAATAATTTTTTTTAATTACACAGATTCGACCGCGATTTCACTATACTCGTATATATATATATATATATTATAATAATAATAATATTAAAATCCACCTAATGAAAACTCCATTAATTTAATATTATAATATACAGGTTTGTCCCGACAGTGCTGCTGCCGCCGCTGTTATAGTGGTTTTCATGCGTGAAATTGCGTTTTAAAGTGTTATAAAATTATGGATTAACCATCCGAGGACGGTGGGTATCCGGCTATACACAGTGTATAATAATACGTGGACGCCTCTTATATACGTATTATTGTGCGCGGTAGGTCGGTTGGGGGTACCTGTATCATTTTTTTTTTTCATTTATTAATATTAACTGACCCATCTATATTAACACACCAGACACATATTTTTTTATATATATTTTTTTAACGGTTTCTACATGACTATATGTAGGAAAAAAAAAAAAAAAGGCAAAATGTCCAAGGTACGTTCCGCAAACTATATATTTCCCCGCGCGCGAATAAACTCGAGCCCGTAAACTTTATATATATGAAACACAATACCGCGTGGTGTAGTGCGATTTATGTTCTCTTTAATTTTTTTTTTTTTTTTTATTCGTATACAAACGGACGTATCATTACGGCAGATACTGCGTATGTGAATGTCGGGTTTTTCACGATAGGTTTAAAATGACTCGTGTAAAACTGTAATAGAAAGAAAGGCTGACACCAACTAGATCAACAATTCTGTAAGAATGTTTTTATTAAGTTTTGGATTAAAGCAAGATTTCATCAGGAAAATAAAAATAAGTTGTTTATAGACACACACACACACACACATTTATAGCGAATTTAGGGTTATTTTCGATCGAGGGGAGTTAATTGAGGTTGACGAGAGTCGTTGTTCGCGATTTGTATCCTCGGGCGCCCGGGCAAAAATATGCGCAATTTAATTTTGATAAGTATAATATCAAAACATAAACATTGATATGAGTGGCGATCACTGTGTTCGGGCATCCCATACCAGTTCTATTGTTAAAATCGATAAGTCGAGTATACATCAAATTCAAAAAAATGTTCGCCTCATTGAATTGTCGCCGCTTTACGTGGGAACCGTGGAAAACCGCCGGAAGCATTTCGTAAAACGATTTGAAAAAAATCAAAAAAAAAAAAAAAAAAACCTTATATATTAATGTTCCCGCGCGGGCTCGAAAACAAAATCCGGTGGACATATCATACTACATAATACTGTATAATAATACGTAATTCATATGTCTCGACTCACCTACAACGTTGAGCTGGAATGCCAAACTCATTTTGGGTTCAGTATTCACTTGGCATTCATAGATTCCGGCGTCTCTCGGTTGAGCAAATTTAATCAGCAGGGTCCAATTGTCCGAGTTATCCGGGTGGATGACCTGGAATCTCTGGTCACTGGTGTAAGTCAGCACACCCGCCGTCAGTATATGCAAATCTCTTTTCCGCATCCACGATACCTGCGTGCACGCGCCAAACGGGCCGTCATAAACACCGTAAATACATAATAATATTTTAACGCAATGACGGTCGCGTAATAATAATAGTAATGATAATAAAATTACAACGTTATTTTAATTTATTTTAAGCGGGGCTGTACACATTGCAGGAAACGCGTTTTTGATTTAGCTTTTTGCAGCGTATTATAATCCTATTGTTTTCCTAGGATAAACGCGTACGCGAAAATATTAAAAACAATATTTCGATTCCAATAGCGAACTCGGTTTCGGCATTTTTATTTCGCGTGTTTTACTATTTTCGATTTTCTAAGGCGGTTTTTTTATTCTCTTCCACCCCCCCACCCATCCTCCTCTCCCTACGATAATTTATTGCACTTACCGTTTAACTGCATTATCAGTGCGCTTTCAGTAACCGTCTTAAAGATCATCGGGTTCACCGGATTCACAGCCCGGATTGTCGATGTATTATAATAAATACGGCGCAGATAGTTTCATTGGTTTTGGATTTTTCAATTGATCGTCCAAAACATAGCCTAGTTATAGCTACGTTTTGCTATACCAAAATGTGTTTCGTAAACTACCAATTCTATACCCTTCAACATTTTTATTTTCGTATTTTGTCGTTATTTTTGGATTTTTAGAGTATATTTTAGTATTTAGTACACTTTTAGAGTTTATAGAACGATTTCGTACGTTTGAGTTTTATTTTTATCTAGATATTTGTTTGGAGTATATTTAAAGGGCGTTTTTGGTATTTTTTATGCGCGTCTCCAAATACCGGTATATGTAAAGGTTCAATTGCATATCTGCCCTATTAATACTATACAAATTGTAAATACAACTTAACTCATTATATTATGATTACAGTTTTATTTACATTTATTTCCATTAATTTTTTTTCATTTTACTGCTTTGACGTTTCAAGTGATTTTTTAACATTAATAATTAATTTTAAAAATAATACGATTTACGGAAAATTATTTTAAACAAATCAATTTATTAAATTATGTTTACAGTTTTATTTACATTTATTTGTATTAATTTTTTTTTCATTTTACTGCTTTGACGTTTTAAGTATTTTTTTTAATACTAGTATATATTTCTTGAAATAATACGATTTACGTAAAATTATTTTAAACAATTTCTTGAAACGCTTGCGCTACGATCGTTACAAAAATAGTTTCAATTGTTTTATTACTATTATTATTATTATTTATTTTTTTTTTCGCTGAACCGTTGTTAGGTAGCCCGTAGTTATTATTGACAGCATTCAATCCTAAGCAGTAAATAGTTTAAAATTATTTTTCTACTTAAAACGATTAATTGAATATATCATCGCATATTTTATTTATTCACTTAAACGTTTTTAACATAATATTACTGTACTCGGATAATCGCCATCATGATTTTGTCATTTGTACGAGGCAAATCTAATTTACTTCATTCGTTTGTGTGAGTATAAAATACGTTATAGTGTACTTATAATATTAGAAAAATAATAATCACAAATTAAATAATACATTAAGTACGTAGGCGTATTTGATATAGTTATTTATTAATTTGGCTGTCTCGGCTGTCCCAGGTAAAGGAAGTACCGTTAAAAAAAAAAAAAAAATGCCGTTCTAGGATAACGCGAATGGCTGCACCCACCACTGTTGTAGGTGAGAAGTTGGGAAGGTAGCATACAAGAGGGAATTTAATGTATATCTATAAGCAAACGATAAACCATTGCTAACGAAAATACGATTCTTAGCGCAGGTCAATTGCTATGTCAACAATATATACGTCAAATTATAGTAAAATAATTAAATAGGCATTATATACTATCTTTAATAATGTTTAATTAATATTGTACCATTTTTCCCGTTTTTTTCTAAGTTTTTCACGGTTTTGTTTTATTTTTGTTGGTAGAACTCTTGTGAAAATCAAACAATGAATTCTTGAAAGTACTTCTCCAGTCAGATTTCCTTTTAGAAAAATTTTCTAAAAATATTAGACTATTTTACTAATACATTTCGTACATTTTCCCGTTTTTTCTGCGTTTTTTATTGGTTTGTTACATTTGTTGGGAAAACTCCTAAGAAAACATTTTCTTTCAGAAAAGAGTTTACATTCTATACATCGGAGTAAGCTTTCTGGTAGAAAAAGTGTTTACATAAAAAAAAAGTAAAAAAATTAATAAACGATTTTGTAAATTCAATATATTTTTCGCTTTATTTAGAATCTAAAATAAATAATTACTGGGCAACAACTATGATTTGTAAAGGACGGGACGGGGAGACATGGTTTAAAATTTAATCTGTTAGGTGAAGTCATACAACACATGTGTTATATACAATTTTTTTTTTTTAAGTCGAAGCGGTAGAAAATTTTCGACTTCGCGAACGACCAGACATGACGGCGATATCAAAAAATCAGGCGGAAAAATCGCTGAAAGAGGTGATGTTCTGGAAAAAGATTATTTTTTTAAAAAGGTAAATTATAAAGGGCAAATATATATAACAAGGCCGTAGTTAATGGACACCGAGTTGGGGTTCAAACTTTTAAAAATCTCATTCTGTAAATAAATAATAATAGAAATTTTTTCTATTCTTACTAATAACTGAATGTCAGAACCTTCTACCTCATAAATAGTACTCTATATATTATGATTAGAGACCGGATTTATATTCTTCTATAATCCACAAAAAGGCGCTTTAAAACGTCAAAAAAATCCCTGTAAAAAAACACTTACATATAATTAAAAAAGCAAAAATGAAAGAGGAGTTCAAAAATTCCTCCACTAATGACTTTAACTTATTTAATTTAATTTCCAAACACTACAAAAATGATTTACACAAAATAATTTCTTTTAAATAAAACCATTCATACTATTAAAAAGAATTATTTTTTATCAATAATTTCGATAATTTAGAAAATATTATTTTTTAAGTTAAATCCGCTTTAAGGGGGATTTTTGAACACCTCTATTTTTTCTTTTTTAAATTTATATAAGTGTTTTTTTTTTTCAGAGAATTTTTGACGTTTATAGCACCTTTTTGTGTATTATAAGAGAATATTAATCTGCTCTCTAATTATAATCAATACTATTCATCGTTATTTATATACATTATGTTAGGATCAACGAAAAATACAAAAACTGATTGAAAAACTTAATGAAAATAAATACAAGTCAGAAAATGAAAAACTGGATGGCGTTAAATCCACCAAAGAAAAAACGACTGATTAACTAATTTTTCATAATATAAAATGAAATAATAACCTATGATTATTATGTTTTCTCAAAGATTATTGATTTATGCGGATGCAGAACTACAATTTGAATTTTTCTCCGAGTATTTTTATTTATAGCATATAACCTCGACGCTGGTGGAAATAATATTCGAATTGTGTTTTTCGTTTATCCAAAAATATACCACGTTCGTGAGGTTGGCATCCCCACTTTGAGCTATCAACTTCAAACCAGTGTCAATATTTTGCAACTGATTCGCAACAATTTGCAATGCCAATTTTAAAATTTGCAACTTCAACAATTCTCTGGAAAATCCGATTTTACAATGGGGGTGTCAACTATATGCAGCACCTCTTCTTTAAGCAATCGACTTTATACCACCTAATCACTTGTTCTTATTGCTCACTAAGTACAAATTATAATAAATCTTCTGTTAAATTTCCAATTATATTTATTTGGTCTGACAATTTTTTTTACAGAGTATCTACCGAATAAAAATTTCGTAAAACTCGCAAAATTAAAATGTCTCAAACATTTTAAAAATGTTATCATATATTGAAAAGGCAAATATGAGTTTCCTATCCTATTTTCAAGTCTCTACAACTATTTAAACAGAACTACAAAAAAAAAAAAAAAACAAAAAAACAAAATTAATAATACAAATTGGCAAATAAAAAAAATAACCTTTTAAAGTACCAACAGGATACAATTTTCTTTCAGAAAAGGTATTGTAAATTTCAAAAAAATAATCAATATCGTAAAACTAATACATTCCTCGTTTCATTCGGAATCGAAAAAAATGATCGAATTAACGAAATTAAAAAATATATGCATAATGTTTGCGTTGTCAATATTCTCTTTATTAGATGTTTAAAAACGTTTTGAATTTTAATCATTTTGTAATATAACATAGCAATACTCGTATAGAGTGACAAATCCACAGAGGGGCGATCGTCTCTCCGTTCACTCTCCAATATATTTGATTTATTATTAAATGCGTATTAAGTCTCAGTTTTTTTTTTTTTTTTTTTCGAAATACCCCCCTTCCCGCCGTTATTTTGTCCCGGATCCGCCCGTACTGGTACAGCATACCATCCTAAAATGGAAATTAATGTGGCCGCCGCTGTGGTTATTGCATGCCGTTTGTCGGAACGACGAATCGGGTTAGCGGTGAAAAAGTAGTAAATTGTAATTGTTCCGAAAACGATGAAAAACATTAAGTTTTTATACGTTTATATGTATTCGGGAGAGTGGGCTTTTGAAGAACAACGGATACGGCGTTATGCTCTCGACTGCGCGCCAACACGCGACATAATAAAATACCTAAAAGCTATCTCCCGAATGTATGCAATAAGAAATATATATATAAACGAGTATAAACATATTTATATACGGCACGTATAAAACTAAAAGGCGGACAAGAACGGCAATCATCAAAAAGTGTAAATACATAAACATACGTGTCTATAGGTATATATATATATATATATATATAATAAAAAAAAAGGAACCGACGAGTAAAATAACCTCTCGTACCGCGCAGGTTAAACGGCATTGTTGAATCGCCCGAGAAAATCGAATAAAAACCATTTTTTTAAACTGACGATGAACGAGTAATTGTATTCGTGATTTTTGGAAACAATTTTCGCCAATGGCGTGCGTACAATACTATTTAACAACAATGATAATTATGACTATTCGAAACGGCGGTTCGACCCGAGGAACGAGTACGAACGAACATGTACATTATTCGAACGGCTTTAAGCCCACGAGAACAAAATCTATAATTAATATTTTAACGCGAGAAACCGCGGTACCGCGCTTATTTGGAATTCGTTTTTGAAACAAAAGTATCGACGGGGGTACACGATAATATTGATTATTACAATTCGAAAACGTACAAACAAACAGACAAACTATTTTTTTAACTAAATGATCGAATCGGTATAAAATATACTTGTATGCAAATTGTCTAAATTGATTTAAACGGTTTGTATATTTTTACAATTTCCCCGAAGAAATCATGCGCCAAAGTCCGAACAAATGCGGTGGTGAGATGTGTTTCAAAAGGATTTTTGAAAATTCGAGAGTGCGCTGTCGTAGTTGTATTATCCAGGATCGTGTAAAACCGAAGGAAGTGTAGAGTTATTGTTACCCAAAAACTCTTATATAGTGCCTTACAAAAGTAAAATGAGAAGAAAATATATTCATTATTTAGATATTTTTTTTTTTTTCAATATTATATTATTTAAGATTTCTAGATTTTAAGTGCAATGAGGAACGCATTGGTTTCACTTTGATGTTGTATTATTCGTTTTTTCCCCTGTTTCTCAACTTTCTAGTTATTTTAAGGTGCTCCAATTTTCAAATGTAGTATTTTTTCTGAAAGATTTGATTTTCATTCAAGTTTACATAATAATTGGGAAAAGCCGAAAAGACGGGAAAGTTTTCGATGGTAACAAATTCATTATTTTTAATTTTGTTTTTTTTTTTTATTGATGTTCAAATAAAAATAATTGTAGTGACCTTGTAGTGAATTTTTATTTTAGTTTCGTTTGTGTTTTTTTTGAGAGTAAAATTGTTTTGAGAAGTAAAAAATGCTTGACAATTTAATACGAGGTTCATTAAAAGTTGCACTTATTGGAAAAAAAATAAGTTGAGTGTTATGTAGTAGTTTTTTTTTTAAAAGCATTTTAAGTTCAGATGTTTATGAAAATCGTAAAAATGACGACATTTTGAAACATGTGTAGTCAAACTTCGCTCAGGATCATATTTTGTTTGCAAAAATATACCGTTGTGAAAAGATATTAATTCAATATCTCTTTTTATCCTATATTCCTTATTTTTCACATACAACAGCGGCACACCCATTAACAGTATTAACTTTTATTTGTTTTATATAATATGTAATTTGAATATTTTTTGCGTAGGTTTCACTATGATTATTTGCAATCGGTTATGCTTCGAAAAAATATAAATTTTCCTAAAATGGGAAGAAATAATTATTATTATTGCGTATCGAATGTTTGGTACTATTAGTAGAACTTATTATTTTCTCGTGCGAAGCTATAAAACTATAATGTACGTGAAGTTAGCTTACTATACCAATTGATTCGATTAAAAATGATATCAAATAATCACAAATTGATTTCAAATAATAGTAAATTTGTTTTGGCCACTTACACATTCTTCAATTCATTATAAAATAAATTTGTTTAAACAATTTTTTTTATGTACTACATACAATACTATTTTGAGACTTTCAGTATTTTTTTAAAAAATAATTTTGTTGAGTAAAATGCTCAGATTTTACGAGCCAAAACGTTTGAAATAACCAAATAAATAATTAAAACGATACGCGATTATGGAAAGACGATTTGCAATTATTTGATGGTATTCCAACGCACATCGACTGAATTGGGGATTTTCTCGGAGCTGTTCTCTTAAAAAAGCAATTGATTCTACACGGGATCAAAGGAATTAAAAATTTATCTCCCCCAGTTTACTGCAATTATCGTTAGACATCTAATTGATCGACGTTGTCAGCTCTATACGCGTTCAATTATGTCGGTTATTTTGTATTTTGAGCATATATTATATTATTGTAACACACGTGTATGGCAACTGCACTGTTCCGTTGGGAAATGTCGTCTTTGTGGCGTATTAAAACACGGGGCAATCTCAGCGAGAAACATTTCAGAAGTCTTATTATAATAATGAGTGTCCTATGTCTGACGATTTAGCGCTCTGCAGATATTATACATATTTTGGAAAACATGTCAAATCACGTTGCGGTATACATATTATATATATATAATAATACATGCTGTTTTAATATTATGTGCAGTGTGTGCGTTAAAACGGAAAATTTACTATTTAAAAACGAGACGTGCTTATAAAAAAAAAAAAAAAAAAAAACCATTTTAATTTTAAATGGTGAACGTATATTACAGGTTGGTTTTTTTAGATTTTTTTTCAAAATATTACCGAAAATTTACGTAGCTAATCACACACTACATTAATGATCACACTGTACCTATAATTCAGGTGAGGAAATGTCGAAGTAAGTTACTACCACGGAGTAACTCATATAAAATATTTTTATTGTTTCACAGTTTTACAACTCAGCTTGTACGTGTATTACTAATAACCATAGGTGTCTACGGTTCTTCTCCTTCGGGTGATTTATGCATGTCAGTGATCATCGCGGAAATCGTCACTATTCCGTGCTGACGGTTATCTGAATATACTATTACACTGTATACATTTAATGTGTGTTTTGCATTTTTTTCTCGTTACTTTTAAATACTTTTTTTTTGAAGTGATCGAATTTCGGTTAAATTCCAATACCTATTTCACCGTGTTTTCATGGGAGAGGAGGTAATTTTTTGTTAACACACGAAAAAACCCCATAATAAAAACAATAATCTTGCAGCTACGCTCATAAATCGAAAAGAAAAAAAACGAATCAGTGAGATAATAATTTAGTCCTCAACTCAGTATCGTACTACTATTGCCTATACGTTTCGCCGCGCTGACGTCTCGATAACTAACACAAATTTACTTTAATGAACATAACTATTAAATAGAAATCAAATATACAATTTTTAAACACTTATACTTGAATTTTTTTTTTTAGATCTTTTATCCTTTATAAAGACGTAAAGATTCTCAGAATTTTAAAATTAATTAAAATACAGATTTTACTAAAGTCATTAATATTTTATGTAATGACAATCTTAATTATTTATAACGAAACTGTTAAACGGACGATTAACATTAATAAATTCTTGTCTGGAATAGATTTTTTCAATTTACGTAGTAGGCATACATTATTATTTTAGTGGAATCACTTAAATCCAACATATTTTGAGTTTTATTAAACTATAACTTGATTTTAACTGTCGAAAAATGATTTGTATAAAAATATGTATTTATTTGAATACAATTTGTAGGTTTTAACTTGAAATCTGTAACCATTGATAATTTTTAACAATGTCTTATACTCTATAACTTTTATCACAATTCACAGCAAGAAATACATATTATATTGGTTTTACTATTTTTTTTTTTTATTATTATTATTATTTTAGAGCGCATTGTTTAAAAGTTTGTCTCCGGAGTCTCTAAATAGTTTAATCTGGACTTGTCTCTCTATCTCTTTCCCTCTAAAAAATAAATAAACCATTATATAATATTAATTTATAACTCTGCGTGAAATACCTACTGTTATAATACTACACTGTGAATGCGAAACTATTTGCCAAGAGGGGAATCGTAGTATTCACGGAAACACTTCCGTGTGAACTAAAACACAATCGAGCATCCATTTTGTTTCGCGGTTCTCTCTCACATTATACATTTTTTATGAGACACTTGATTATGTATTAACTGGTACCTAAATTACTGCACGAGTGTCGAATCCGCTAATAAACGGTTTCCCATTATTATTTATTTATAAACGCCCGATGGGCATAGAGTGTGTAGAGAATTAATGCATATATATATATATATATATATATATATGCTTTATGTCTTTATATATAATGGTTAAAATTATTTTAGTAAACACTGTAGACATATAACAAGAAGTAACAAAAATAAGTCAGGTAAGGCAATATTAGCACTATGAACTATAAAGTAAACACTCAAGACAACTCAGAACTACAGAATACAACTATATTCAAACAATGTTTTATCTCCAAGAGAGAATTAAAGAAAATATCAGAATTATTAAGTTTATTACCTGGAGTTAACATCCGGTTAACCGGTGCGAATAGGCAATAATTACGTTTGCAAGTAGGTGCATAGAACGGGGTCGTGGATCTTAACGTAATGTTTTGAATATTTATATTAATTAAAGCTGGTATTTCAGGACGATTAATTTTTGATTTGAGTAAATTACAAAGCTAGCGTAAATCGTTAACTCGCCTTCTAGATTCCAGATTTTCCATACTCAATTTTAAAGCAAGATATTGCAAAGTTAAATTACCGTTGTTCGTTTTATAAGGTAGTATGCGGATAAAACGATTTTGGATTCGTTCCAATTGTTTTTATAAGAAACTCTTGATGAGGGCACCAGATTATCGAAACATATTCCAGAATTGATCGTACGAGAGAGAGATATAAAACATGCAGGCAATTTGGATCACGAAACTACCAGCAGTTGCGTTTTAAAAACCCAAACATACGTATAGCTTTATTATGGATTTCAATAATATGATCGGTAAATTTAAGATTACTAGAAAAAATAATACTTAAGTCTTTAACCTTAGATGCAACACCGAGTTTTTTGTTATTTATACGACAATTGAGTATAAAATTATGCCTATTTCTAATGAATGTGATTTGAATGTATTTATCCGTATTTAGGTCTAAGTCATTGTTAGCACACCATAAACTGAACAGATTGAGGTCATATTGTAGCTTATTACAATCATCTATTGAAGAAATTGGCATAAATAGTTTTAAATCATCCGCAAACAAGGCGGATTTACTAAATTGAAATAAATTATTTAAATTATTGACAAAAATTAAAAATAGCAGGAATGAAAGATGACCGCCCTATGGCACTCCAGAGGATATTGTGTGAGATTGAATTTCCTATCTTAACTTGTTGAATTCGGTCAGATAGGTAGGAGTTGAACCATAAAAAGAATTGGACCTCTTACACCAATAATATCCAATTTATTTAATAATATATTAGTATTTATTGTATCAAATGCCTTTCTAATATCTGTGTTTATGGCATCAATTTGAATACCATTACATATTGATTGTGTTAAATCAGAATAAAACGCCATTAAATCGGTTAAGGTTGATTTCGCCTTACGAAAGCCATATTGGTTATCAGATAAAACAGTTTTAAATATATTAGATATTTTTGGTTCAAGAAGTTTTTCAAATAATTTTGATAAAAACTCAAACAAGAAATAGGACGACAATTACTCACGAGAGATCGGTTCCCGGATTTAAAGTCCGGATAAATAAAACTAGTTTTACAAAGATCAGGAAAAACTTCTTTCGATAATGATAAGTTAAATAAATAATGAATCGGATGAGCTGAGATGTAAGAACAATTTCGATAAATTATTTCGGAAATTTGATCAGGACCTAATTTTGTTTTAGATGACAAGTAAATTAGAGAGTTAAGTATTTCCGAAACAGAAGAAAAATCAATTTTGTCTTAAGTGTAAGATGAGTTGTGTAGAGTATAAGAAGGAAAAGTTTGACTAGGAGTGTAGACTGAATCGAAGTAACACTTAAACAGATCAACAACACTATCGTGTTTGTTCGCGGTGTTATCATTAGAACACATAATATTAGGAAGATCGTTACTTTGTTTCTTATCCTTGATAAATTTACAAAAATATTTGGGGTTATTTATTAGGGAATCTTGAATATGTTTTAGGCACTTAGATTAACATGATTTAAAGAGTTTCTTACAACGACTTCTTAACTGTGAACGTTCGACATACAACTTGTCACCATCCGAAATCTTAAAAGCTTTATGTAATTTTTTTTTTCAATATTTTTTCTTATCTTTTCGAGATTATGATGTCTCATTGATATATCATGACATCGTATGCTAATAGTATTTCGGTACTAGGTACTACTGTGTCAGTGGCGTCGTTGTTAACGACTGGTGTAGCGTGCGATTTGAAGGCACAATTGGATTTTATTACTGACCGATGAAGTATTTAAAACTACAATACTATTATTGTTACATATGTGGGTGCACGTGTGTCGCATATTATGTATTATTATTATTATTATAATATTCCGTGATTTTAGGCTGACACAGACGAGGGTACGAGCTTTTTTTGTCGTCACTGTCAGCTACCGCCACGCGTGGTCCGAGGGTCTGGGTTCCTTACGATAACGGACCGCCGCGAAGTTTTCTCAACGTTAAATATAAAAAGAAATAATTTCTATACAAATTTCAAAAGAAGCTCGCGTGGAAAGCGTGGGCTATCGAAGTCTACAAGGAGATATTCAAAAGAAACGTAAATTATATTATTATCATAGTATGGGAAAATTAAAAAAAAAAAAAAAAACAAACTGACATACTTCGCACAATAGGTGGGCCACTATTGTAGGTGATGATTGGAAAAGTATAGGAGAAATGTAATGTATATTTTTACGTAAAGATTAATCATTGCTAACAAAAAACGATTCTGAGCGGAGTTCGGTTATAAATTTCGTAAACTATAAAAAAGGAATAAATAAAGGCCAGGAAAAACTGGTACAGCTAGTCCTATGGATAAACACTATTTCTAAAAACTACTACATTTTTGGTATTTTATTTTATTAAAAAATAAAACATTCTCTTACATTTTATACTTCACTAAACGCTATTATTAGAGATGAATAATACGAAAAGACTGTTGATTCTTATCAAAAATTCATTCTACATACGTATTATTTCTTTCAGTGAATACTGCAGTTCCGTTCAAATAATTTCTAGAGAATTCGACGCATTTCCGGGACGAGAAGTTCGATCGGAACATGTCCCGCACAAGGCAATAATAATACTGTTTTTTTTTATCGATTAAATTGAAATAGCTTACAAGACGGAATCCGATTTTTTTTTTTTATCGTGATGTATGAATTTCTTCGAAAAATTATATCACCGAGTCAGTGACGTGATTAGAGTGTACAAAAGGGAGGAAGGCAGAGGATAATGAGTAATAATAAAAAAAAAAAAAAAAATCAAAATAAAGTATTAAAGTTCCAAAATTTTGCATATTTTAAGTTAGGGCGTGGAAAATTCTGAGTAGTTTTACTAATCAAAAAAGTGTTTTCCACGAAAAAACAAATCTTTAACATCTTTGGTCGAAATTGGGGATAGGGCATAGTCCATATGTACTATGCAACCTTCCTAGATAAGCCACTATGTCGAGTGTGTTAGTATGATGATAATAATATTATAATATTGAAATGTTACAAAAACAGCGGAGATTTACGGATATTCTCGGGCATATTTTATGGAGTAGAGCGTTTCGAAAATCGGAAAACCGGTCGGAAAAGACCCGCGACACGTATTCGCGATAACATTAAATGGCAATATATTATTATTATTATAACGGGATAACATCGAAAACTTTATACCTTATCGTGGACATCCGATCCTCGACGGTTTGTTGTGACCAGACCCCCCCCCCTTCTCCTTTTAGGTATACGAGTTTACAACCTAAATCCCGGTGAATCGTATATTATTCTGACACACGGATAGCGTATAAATTATAAAATTCTATTAATAATTCGAGTTTTGTCGAATTTTTTCTGCAAATAGAGATAATTGCACTGTAAATCGTGTCTGTTACTTATATGGATGTTTATTTTTTTCCCCGCTACATTTCGACACTTTTAGTGGCTCCCTTTGGATCTAATGAGCTGAAATTCAAGAAGTTGAGATTTTTTTATAGGCGAAAAAAAGTTTGGTTAAATTTTAATATTAATTTCACGATATAATTGCGAAAGATGAATGTCTTTTTTATCTTTATACACCTCTATAGGTCCTCAACATTGGTCATTTTTCGGCGTTGAGAAGACGATAATTAAAATATTTATCTAGGTAATTGTTCAAAAATCAGCAGATAAAAATAAATCAATAAAAACAACAAATAAAGAAAAGGTAAAGGTTTGTGGGATTTATCCAAACGAAAAAAAACACCCATCTATGTTTTTTTTTTTTTTAAGTATTGTCTACTATTGAGAACATTATAGCAGGGAGCTAAACATTTAAATGGTTAAAATAACGCAATTGATGGAAATTATCGTAAGCTAGTAACTACGAGTTTTTAAAGTGCCATCTATTCGATCAGATTATTCTCCATAATATTAAAATGTTACGCCGTTGAAAATAATTATTGTCAACTCGTTTTACCAAGCTATTCTAACTTCGTCTCGTCGCGCGCTATAAAAAATAAAACTTTATTGTTGTCCAATCGTCTTCAAACTTCGTGATACGATTTCGTGAACAAATAGTTGAAGCAAATATTTTTGCATTTTACTTTTGGTATTTTTAGAGCATATAAATCACAAGAAAAACATAAATGTGTTTGCATACAAAAACTCGAAAAAAAAAAAAAAATTATCAAACCACGACAACAAAATATTTTCGAAAATTTGTAAAGTGGGCCATGTACACAGCATTTTCCATACTATGCATTTATTTACTATAAAAAACGGGACAAGCCCAGTTTTCGAAATTATAGCAGTGTTTATCAATCATTATAACCGTGTCAAGTAAATGTATTTTCACAAATACAGTAGGTATCGTATGCATAATCGAAACACTATCTTATAATGTAATGATTTTTTGATTTTTTTGACTCAAGTAAATTACTAATAATATATTCGATAGATATTTCAGTACGTTAACACATTTAAATATTCATTCCTTCTTTTACTAAAAAAAAAAAAAAAAAAAACTTACAAAATTAATTTGGAATCGGCACTAAAATTCCGTGCTATCATATTTATGAGCATACAGTAATTAATTAATTTAACTCCCGCGTACAATATTACGGAACGGTGGTAAAAGGCGTTACTAGTTTTAATATTACGCTCGGTCAATTTATTTGCGAAAGGATTCCGTGTATATCCGTGTACGGCACAACGCGGGAACGTTAAAAGATTTATGCTGTTTCTTTACGAACACAAAAAAAAAAAAAAAAAAAAATGTACAGGTAGGTGTATAAACGCATAAATATAAAACCTATAAAACCGTTTCGGAAAAGTGCAGATTTAAAAATTCAGGTCAGGGATATTCCGGGGATCGGCGTTATATCATAAACGGACATCTGTAAATTTTGGCGGCGATTTCCTTTGAAAATATAATATACCAAAAAGGTCGAACCATGTTTTAAACATAACGTTCGAAAACCCGTAGCCGTGCGATACGGCGAGAGCGCATCACCGTGATAATTGTCCGGAACGCTCGACACCCACGGAATACGGTATTCAATTCGAATAATATTTATTTGTTGGTAACTATTGTAATGAAACGCTGACAGAAATACGTATAACCCCCCACGTGGTCGTGTGTGTTTAACTGTTGTAATACCATCGTTTTGTATTCGTTCAAAAATCCATAAGTTATTGACAATGTTGGAATGCAATTGGCAGGGAAAAAAAAGGCGACAAGTCGTAAAATTATATTAAGGGTTTTCATTTTTTAACAAATTGTTAAAAAAACGTCTATCAACTTACGTTGTGCAGTAACCGGTTTAAAAGTTGAAAATAAATAATGCGTAGGGCGTATATATATATATATATATATATACATTCTAAAAAATTAAAAATATGCGTGCAGATTGGCACTACACATACCAAAATATCTCATTAAAAATTTACTGGGAAAAAAGACCTATGATAAAAATCATGTACGACAGAATTCTGAAAATATTCTGAAAAATGTATATTTATAAAAAAAAAAAAACAACGAAGAATTGTCGAATATACTGCAGGGAATATATTCCTTGGTGTAGATTTTTATATGCCGCCCGCCCGGTTCACTTCATTTAAAAACACCCATCTTCAAAATTTACCGAAATTCATAAGTCGTAATTTGATTATTGTTAACGTATCATTACACTAATCAAAAATACACGGCTTGTCTCGTCTTACCCGCCCGCCAAAATTTATTCGGAACCGTAGCGTCACGAAACCATTGTCCGCGTTTTACCGACTACGGATAAAAAGAAAAAAAAAAAAAAAAGGCTATAGAAACGGTCGTATAACGGGCATAACATTATTCCGGCTATAAGGAAACGAGCCCAGCGATGCCGTCTGAGTAGCGGCAGAACGGAAACGATAGGGGAATAGGCCTGGCGCCTCGTGGCGAACCTAGAAAACGACGGATCCGGTGTTGTCGAAGAGGATCCACGAGGCACGCGCTGCCGGCGGTACAGAGGCGCACGGCGCGAGAGTCGGTGCGGCGAAAATCCCGCAGAGATTCGCAAAGGTCGAACGGAGAAGAGGAAGTGAATCGCACGTATGCCGTATACGAAAACGCGATCGTCCATTTAGAAGGATCTGCGAGACACGTTGAAAATCCGTTGCCGGGATAATGCCGGTGCAGTTGTCAGCAGCTTTACGGTTTTTAAACTCGTCGATACGAACCGTGTATCGGGACCGTTGCCCGTGTATACGGACGGTTCTCGCGTAACGATACTAATTCAGCTCGTTAAAAATAACAAGTGTCTCGCAGTAAATCGCGCACGAGTACGGCATCTATCTATAATAATTATATATATATATGTATACACACACACACACTTACACACACACACACACACGCGCGCGCGCGCAAATAGATACACGAGTTTTAAACGAATCTCGTTGTCGAACCGTTAACGCGTCGGAAAAACGGTAACCCGTGTACACGTGTACGTGCGATACGTATGATCGCGTTCGTTCTGTAATAACGTCCGAACGCGCGTGAATAATGGGCAACAATGTTGTTATACGGGAGAAAAGTTCGGATCGCGCGCGTCCGCGCGCCCGCCGAGACTGCGTGCGGGCCGGGCGAATTCGCCGCGCGTCGGACAATCGGATAACGACACCGGCGATGACGACCGCGGAGAACCACGTCTCGCGTAAAGGCCGTCCGGGAGCCGTTCAAAAGCTTCGTCGACGTGCCGACATTCGCAGACGCTCCTCCGCTTGCCTTTTATATATATATACTCGTATAATATGTCCGCTTTACACTGCGCGGTATAATGTATTGATAAGCCCGCGACACCGAACGTTTTATACGCACGCAGACTTTTCGAAAGTTGTTCGTTCCCGCCCACACACTCGCTCGCACGCGCACACACACGCAAACACACACGCGCGCGCGCGCGCACACACGCACACAAACACACGCAAACACACGAGAAATTATTAAATTTATAGCCGCCGAGGCGCGGCGGCGGCGGCCGGAAGTTCTTTGGAATAAATTCTTTTATTCCGTATAACGTTTGTATACGTATACGTTTGAATAGTCGACGCGTATTGTTATTATGCGTTTAGCGTTTAAGCGAATTATTATTCCGACGTTTGTTTTGCGGAGCGTGATACGTTTTTTTACGCGCGCAAACACAATATTAAACGTCACGCGTGCGTATTAAACGGTATATAGTGTTCAATTTTGATTTTTTTTTTTCGTTTCTTTTTTTTTTCGTTGTCGACGAAAAAGTCCGCATAGGAAAGAATTCGGGAAAAACAACAAAACTTTACACGTATGTACGTAAACCCACGTGTTTACGCGTACGCGGCCGGCGGTGTTTATGACGGCGCATATGGAGGCAAAAAAGCGCGAAATTCGAAAAAAATTATTTTATTTTTTATTTTTTTTTTTGATAACAGAGATTTAAAAGATTTAAAGCGTCTACATTGTATTGTGTTATTATAACAATATTGTTGACCGAAACGCCGTGTAAACCGTACTCGTTTTGTCGTCGATTTCAGTTTGGTGTTGAACTATGTTTGAAAAGTTACCAATTTTTTTTTAAAACGATAACCTGCCGTGAACCGTTATATTATTATTTATTATTTTAATCGCGGACGTATTCATTTCAAGCCGGTAGATACCATTGCAGGTGAACTTGGCCAATGTTCGTCATTGGTGAAAACGGGTGACAAGTCGTATGGGAGACTTCACGAGTACAATATTATTGATCACCGGCATCGTACCCGTGGATTGTCGGTAAACCTCTGATATACGTCAAAGGACCACCAATGTTTACATTAAAATTAGTGTTTGCTCCTGTATGGCATGGTGACTGTCGTTTAACTGGCCGTGCAAGCAATCTGTATATCTGTGGGTCTGCGACACGATCGAGCATAAAACACCTTTTTTACGATTCGATTGAGCAAATTTTTCGGCGTATCAAAGGTCGTACAAATACAAAAGACAGCCTGCACGACTGTGGCTAAAAAACTGTGCTATGCTACAATTTTCAATTTTGTATTATCCAACGATTTGTGTTCAAATAATTGTTTTCCGATTAATTTCTATTTTTATGACTTCACTAGGGCCAATTTTTCGCCTCTTTCCGATAAAATTATTGTAATAGTGTTCTTATTCATATTAAAAGAAAATAGGAACTGAAACTTTTTTTAACAATCTATACAGGCTGCCCCACAAAGATATTCCTTTTGAGTATCTCTGGAGATAACAAAGACGCTCAAATTCTGGTTTTTTATATTACTCACGGGGTTGAGGACTACAAATATTTATATTTGAACTAAATTTTTTTTTAGTAAAAAAATTTTAAAAATAAATTTATTCTATTAGTTTTGGAAAATTTTAAAAGCCATTCCGTAGAGTTTATTCTACTGAACATTTTAATGTATCACACGTTCATATCCGATGAACAGTTTCCAAGTAATATCCGTTTTAAGTTCTACTAATCCGTGTGAAAACCGATGTGGTCTAGGGAATAACTTAACCGTGTTACGCCATAATATCGGTTTTCACACGGATTAGTATAATTTAAAACGGCTGTCACTTAGAAACTGTTCATTGGATATAAATGTGTGACGACGCATTCAAATATTCCGAAAAATAAACTATACAGAACGGCTATCTTATAATTTTCCAAAAGCAATCAGATAGAGTTATTTTTCAATTTTTTCACAAAAAAAAAAAGAAATTAATATATAAATTATAAATATTTTTAGTCCTGGTCTCTGTCAGTAATATAAAACGCCGGAACGCGATTATAATTATTATCCCCGATATTCGAGGGGTACGTCTTCGCGGTAGTACAATCTGCACAATCACACGACCGCGAACGATCGGACGCTACGTAAACCGAATCGTTTCCACGATGATTTCGGGATAGTCACCCGTGTTCTACAACCGTCCATAACGGTCGGTGCGTTACGGATAAAATTGACATTTTTCGCTGTCGATAATTCCGGGCTCGGTTCGCGGCTCGTTCGAGTTCGCTGCCGCAATGCGCGGAAACGCGAACATTTCGGCAGCGTTCCAGTGACAGCGTCGTCGCGAAATACTCCGCGCTCGACCGTGCCGCTACGGAGTCCATGTGCTCGACCGTCGCTGCGCGTACCCGTGACTACGCGGGCGTACCCGCCAATCGGGTCGACGGACGCGTACGGTTGCCGCGGCGAGCCGTCAACACCGGCGCCGGGCAACGGTGCCGGGCAATCGCATACCAAACGCGAGCCGCACGCGAGTCGCGTAGGAGCGTAAAGACCGGCCGACGTTGGTCCGCAATATTTCAACGGTGACCAATGGTGTGGCCCGGGTACGCGGATCCCGTAGTGCCGGAAGCCCGGGAAACCGTCCGGCGAACGCGCGCTGCGTTTTCGTCCAATTAAAATTTCGTCGGCGGACCGTCGCGTTTCGAATCGCGTCGGTTATTGCGTCCGGATATAACGCGCGAATTTCGCGGAAACGGAACTAACGATTAGCGTTGCGATATTCCGCGTTTTTCCGGCGATCGACACCCCCGCCCCGGTACAATAACGCGAACGGTACGTTATTACGGGCCGCGCAACGAGAACAACAACAATAATAATAATTATTATTTTTTTTTTTTTTGTTCGCTCTCTAATTGAACCGTTTCTATCCGAATCGCGCCGCACGGAACTACTCGAGTACCGACACGTCGTTATACGAAATCGCAGCGAACTACGTATTCGAAATATTTCGCCAAACCAATTGGAATTTATACGCCCGCGTAATCGAATTACATAACGAGACGTAGTAATTTTTATTTATTGCACTTAACGTGCGCGGCGCGTAGGTAGGCGGCCGTATAATTTGAATTTATACGGTGCGCAATTCAACGGTTAATCAATTATTAACCGGATTAATTACAACTCGAAGTTAATATTAAAAAAAAAAAAACACGCTCGTTTTCTCCAATAATATAATAATTATAATACATCTGTAGGATCAGAAAAAAAAAATTATCGAGGTCGCCTGTGTTCAAGTGTCATGAAACACTGTTGATAACGTCGAATATTTTTACGTTTTTGTCGAATTTTCCCCGCCCAATTACACTATTACACCGCACTGTGTCTATTATAACTGTGTGTCTATATATTAGTACTTTCTAAATTTTCGCGACTTTTAGACATTTTTCACTGGTTCCGTCTGGACCGAATGAACTCGGGAATTAGAATTTGTTACGTATAAGCGGATTTCAGTGATCGAATTTCGGTTGAATTTCATCACGTTGTTACATGATGCGTTTGTAAGGTTTTAAGTGTAGGCGTTATGTAGTTTTACGCACATACATAACTCTCGAACGAAGGCAGGGAGATGAAATTTTGTTTATGCGCGGTACGTGTATGTATCCCGGATGTGTTTTTTGAGGGATTACATTTTCAACCCCCTTTCCAAACCATTTTTACGCTCAAATTTCATATAGTCATTTTACTACGTTAGATGTTTGTAAAAGGCGTAATAAATCTTCGTCGACCATAATTGTTTTGCATTAATTATAAATAAATAACACAAATTCAATTTCGTAACGATAACAAGACGGTTGTACAGCGAGGTAAGGTTAAGTTGTTGTCTTAATGTCATTCTCAATCGCATTAAAGCATCTATTTCGGTCTTATTTTTCCCTCTATTTCTCCTATTCTTTCTCTTTATTTCCTTCCATGTTCATTAAAATTCTTATTGCTTTTAATTTCTCTTTCATCGTGATATTCCCAAACCATATATTTCCCTTATCATATCTTCTCTTGTCGCTTAAACCATCCATACATACCCGTTCTCATTTACGTTACATTTATTCTCTATTTTTTTTGTTTCTTTCTACCGTCCAAGACTCCAAACCATACAACCGGTGACGTTTCTCCAGGGTAAACCAGGTAAGTGGCGCATGCTCGGCCAAAACGGAAGAAATAAAAAATACAAAATTTATTACGTTAAATGACAACGCGACTCATACGTTAAAATCACTACTCAGTCAGTTATTAGTTCGTTTTGAGTATTCATTTTAAAACAATTTATCAAATTTCTTCGAATGAAATTAAATTCATTCTTTTTTTTCGTATAGGCCATTTTTTTTTTTTTTTTTTTTTATAGTAGAGCTCGTGTTTTAGATTGTCCGGCCCGTATCCTCATTACAGGAACGACCAATTGCGGTTGAAGGGGATATCTACGTTTTTATATGGCAGTTGGAAGCGCTGCGTCGAGCGCTTATCGATATTTTTAAAATTCCAACAATTCATCGTTGAATGTCGGATTATTATCATTAACAATACACTTTTATTGTAATACACGGATACATAATTAGCTATGCAAGTATCTATTGATATTATGTTGTCGTAAACCGTCGATGTGTCCACAAGTTAGCCAAACAACCGTCTACAAGACAATTGTAATTTTTATCAATAAAATACGTTTTATTTTTTTAAGATTTAGCCCGAAATTTAATTTCCGCGCTTATAAAATAATATGGAACAACATAAATGCCCTCGCATCACTCATGTAGAATTAATATTAATATTACTAATATTAAAAATGCGAAAGTTCGTGTCAATGTTTGTGACTCATTTATTGCTGTACGGATTTTGACAAAAAACGGTACACAGAATTAACACATAAGATACATTTCGTCCCGAAACCAAGTCCTTACAAATTGGCTGATACGGGGTTTTTGTTATTTTCGGATCGAAAATTGAATTTTTTTTGTCGATTTGTTGGTTACTTGGGCTACACGGACGGGAAAAAAAACTCGAGTTGTTATTAGTTAATTTACTGCTTGTCATGGGAAAATAAGTACCTTAAGTCATTTAGCTTTTTAACTTTGGAAAGCTTTCTTTATACTGCGTTTACCCATATAAATGTCCAATTTGATTTTATTTTTTTAATATTTTAAACAAATCATTCGAGCGAATAATATTATTTTTATAGGTATACTTCAAAATTATTCGAAACAGTACCTATTCAACGAATAACATTTAAATCGTTGAATAGTATATTTCCATTCCGTCCGCACGAATAAATTATTCGTTCTACGTTTTCATAATCAATATTAATTAATATAGAATTTTCTAAAGCAATAGAAAGTTAAGTGTGGTAAAAAAAAGTACCTATGAACGATCGGTCGGGTTTATGATATGCTCTCGTCATAATTTTTAATAATAATATACCGAACGGATGTAAGAAAGAGCCTATTGAAGATATGTTATTTTCATAGTCGGACAGTACACTTCAGGGCAGTCAAACCGCTCCAAAAGTTCTGTTTAACAAGAACTTTATGAAATAAAGGCGGGACATTTGAATATGTAACGGCACTCGCATGAATAGTGGAATACGTCGGGAATTTTGAAAATTAAGGTGGAAGAAAAACGTGAGCAAGTGTTATTATTTTAATCGAAAACCTTTTTTTCCCACCACAAACGAAACCACTTTGGATTTTAAGCTCATAATTACTGTAATGCGAAGTATATCTGTTTGCTTGAGGCGACACGCCCATAACCTATCAAATGCGAGCAAATTATATAATATGTTTTTTTTTTTTTATAGCATCGTTTCAACGTTGGTGTATATGTCGAGTGTACGAGTGTACGACGAAATTATCTTTCATAAAACCTACAGTTATATTATATATTATACTTGAGGCGACACGCCCATAACCTATCAAATGCGAGCAAATTATATAATATGTTTTTTTTTTTTTTTTTACTGATTTTATTTTCTACGTATAGTCGAGTCAGAGTCGTCGGCAGAAAAACTGCTATGTAGAACATAAAGGGTGATTTTTTTAAGCGTACTCACTCTATTTTCACGATGGTTAATAAACGGTCATTTTTAAGTAAAAAGCAGTGGGTAAAAAACCACTCCGTATCCGTATAGATATAGACGTTTATATTTTACCAAACGTCGCGTGTCGAATAATTAGTAGTAATATAATTTGAATAGCCCTATTCCGGTTTTTCGTTTTTTTTTCCTCCACCCCCGTTCTTTATAACGAGTGGAGCGTGCGTTCGGGTCGTTAAAAACAAACAGAAAAACAAAAAAAAAAAACCTATCGAAGTTAAACGAATGTCGTGTGTCTTATAATAGTATATAGATATATAATGTGTATGTATATGAATAACCGACAATGACGATAAGAATTCGAATAATATCGTTTGAGAAAAAAAAAAAAAAAAAAAAAAGAAGGAAAAAAAAAGAAAGTTTTTCAATTTATATTTGTCTTCAAATTGCCAAAAACCCGCTGGCGCTTATCCAACTGTTCGGCCACGGTTCCCCGGTCGGACGGTATAAAACGAACAAAAACTATTCGGATTTCCCGCAAGCGCAGCGCCTCACATGCATATTAATTAAGGAAAACAGAAGTGATTTCCCTCACCCTTCCCCTGTGTGTATATGAATATATATATATATATATATAAGTACTTTTAAAATAAATTCCCCCAGGTGTACTACCCTTACTGTACTTATACGCTTTTGTTTGAAGTATTCCAATTTAAGTTTTTTTTTTTTTTTTTTTACCAAACTATTAAATTATTATTACTACGGGCGATTGGTTTTTTTATTATTATTATTATTATTATTTTTTTTTTTTACCCAACCCAATCAATTAATTATAATGTTTTTATCGATTCGGTTGTGTACCTAGGTATTTTGTTTGCGCGAAGCACTTATAAATACAGTGTGTTGGGTTTGCGTTATTATATAAATACAATTTTTTATTTAGCCGAGATTAGTATTCGCCAGTCAAACGGTACCGTTTTAATCAACGGGACCATTGTTTTCGATTGATATTTTTAATTCGATTATCGGATTTGTTTGGCGAGTTTACTATAAATTCGCGCGTTTATATCGAATACGGCCGTAACGGAGTTTTGTATTGCTTGTTGTCATTCTCGACGGGTAGCGATATTAGTCTGTAAAACATTTTCACAGCGAACAGACGCGTAATACGATTTGTAATTATTTTAAATTAAAGAGGAATCCATATTATATGAGTTTCACGGCGGTGTATTGCAGATTCCGGCCGGTTAACCGATCGAGACATCGACGTTAGTTTCAAGTACAAAATTTACAAAGTCCGGAGATTTTTATCGAGGCACAGTAGAAGCCGCGTATTAGGAACGCGGATAATGTACACAATCGCGTTTCTGAAACGAAATAGGGACGGACCGGTCGCATATTAAAACAATCGTACATTAAAACCAATCGTTAATTAGAAACAATCGGTTAATTGACACGTTTCACCTAGGCCCCAAAGTGTTCCGAATAAGCGGCTTCTACTGTATTTATAGCCAGTTGAAATTTATTCGATTTCATGCGATCGAAATTGTTTTGACCCACAAAAATTTCCCCACACAGTTAACACGGCGACGTTCACACCGCTAAATGGGTATGGCCGTTTAGCGGTCAAAATCCATTTGGGTATAAGGTAGGGACGGTTTTTTTTATAAACGTTTAAATTCGAACGATTACGAGAACAGTAAAAATCTCGGCGTTTCAAAACATAATCACCAAACTCCGTTCCGGAAACGTCTCTCTGCTCAAAACGTCTCTATGCGCCCCAACTTATCGCGTTGATTTATCGTTGCTTTCAGTAAATATACAATTTAAATTAATAAGCATATCTAATATTCTTAATATACCTTTCTACCACCTACAACGGCGGCCCACTCGCCGGTGCGATTTAATTTATAATTTGAAAAAATTGATATTATATACTTAGGGATACCTACCTAAATTATTCGATTATTCGAAATTAAAACGTATTTTAAAAAATAACATTACGTGTTGTTGCACGTATATATTATAATTTAAAATATGGTTTTGCATATTCCTAGAGCTTATACGAATCCACTTAAAATTATTCGCATAGTGATGTGTCCTTAAAAGTTTTAACTTGGTATTTTTATTATTTTTGAAACTTAAATGAGTTTTCTTATTATTTTTTTTTTCTTTTGCAGTTAACGCGTTATTAAACTTTTTCGTTTGAAAATATCCCGCTTTGAGTTCAAACTTAGGAAATACAATAAAATATACATTGATGTATAGTACATACACGTATATATATATATGTGTGTATTATTTTATAGATATTTTTTTCTCACATTGTAATAAGTGTAAAACTCATACTTATTAAAAACCGTATCCTTGTTTTATATACGACTTTTTGTCGAATGGAGACTATTGCAGTGTATTGTGTCCGCTATACTTACGTATCTGTCACGCCAAATTTGACCACTTTCAGCTGCTCTCGGTGTACCGAATATGAACTCAAACTCGGGAATCAGAAGTTTTTTGTATTTATGAAAATTTGAGATTAGTTTAAGTATAGATTTCACCATTCTGTTGCGGGAGAAGTGTGTTCTTTTGGTTTTACAAGATTAGGATTCAGATCGTTCAAGCTGTGTCTTTTGAGTGTTTTAATTTTCAACCAACTCCCCAACCATCTGGGTTTTGAAATTGCATGTTTAAACGAAATACCGGGTTTTAAATGCTCTTGGGTTTGGAATAAAATGTAATAAAATAAACTATTATGGTTATTTTAGATCAATTATACATATAAAAAAAAAAAAAAAAAATAAAAAAATATTATTATTGCGATGGGAAAATCGGAAAAATTCGATCCTAATGAAGGATGAAAAAGTTAACTGCAGAATAAACCGAATTGTATACGTTTATAATAATAACAGTATAGTCACGATACACGATTTTTGTAAATAAATGTATTTATTTGTTTTATTTTATTGCCAAATCGTTTAAACGTATATTTTGTTCACAAGTAAATTCTTTTTGTTTTTTCAATTCATTATACATTTTTCAGAAAAATGCGTGTGCAGTATAATACGTATGCGAGTGTAACGATTCCGTTGTGAATCCTATAATTTTACCGTTCAAATTTTATCGGGATTAAATCAATCGAATTTGAAATGTCGTTTTTAGATTTTTATCAAAACAACCGACGTAAAACCTCGTTGCGTTCCGAATCTAAAATATTACAACAGTTTACTACGTCAGATCTTAATACGTTATTACAGGTAGTTAGGTAGGTACATAAATTCCCTGTCTTATTTATCTATATAAGCTCGATAAATAAATATTTTTGAAATATCATCAAACCGTGTGGGGGAATAAAATGTGGGATTTAGGCTACAGTCGTTTTGCATCGTTCATCTTCACGCGAGACCGCGTTTTATTTATTATTATTTTTTTTTTTTGTTCAAATAAATGTGAAAATAATGATTAATCGTTGCATTTGAATAACGATTCCTCGCCGAGTTTACTTAACCGTAGTGTTTATAAGTGGTTCTTTTTTTTTTTCTTCGAAAATTTTAAGTGCTCATAAAAAATAAGTTACGAGTAGGTATAAAGATTTTTGGCATATTTATTGCGATTGTGTCGATAAAGAATACCTCTTTAAATTAAACGCGTACACTAATATCAGTTTTACATCTGAATAGGATTTTCATTTATATTCATATCCACGTCGAAAAATATCTATTGTTGTGAATAAAATGTAATGCTGTGAATGTTTAAATCTCAAATTTTAAAATTTTGATGGGGGTTTTTTTTATGATCAAACTATTTCCATTTCGTTTCTTTTACGACAAAACAAGAAATTCTGCGGGCGTATAGAAATTAACTAAAATTTACATATTATTATTTACCGCTAGGAAGAATACAAAGAAGTCAAATTATTATTACTTTCAACATTGTTCGTCAGGCAGGTGTAAAAATGTCAAAAAGAAAAAAAAAAGAAATCACGGTCGTTCGCGTATTTTACTACTATGTTCATTGATTAAAAAAAAAAAAAAAAAAAGTTTTATATTTTTAACACGCATTTTTGAGATGTAAAAATAGTTTACGCTTTCACCAAATGAAACATTTGAACAACAAAGAAAAAAAAAAAATAATAACTCAATCAATACGCGAAATAAATTCAAAACATTCCGTCCCTCAACTTCTACGATAATGCAGTTCTACGGGTTTTATGTGTATTCAAATGTAATTTTACGCGGAGAAAACTAATCAGTTATTATTGTGTAAACATTTTATGGTACGGTTATTATTCGAGAACTATTAACGATGGGGCACCGCGTACAGGAGGGCACTGGGGCTGCAGCCCTCCGTGAGCTCGATAAGACGGAATTCAGCTCACCGCTGTTCTCATATTATATATATACATAAAAAAAAAAAAAAAAAAAATCAATGTTTTTCACGTGCATGCTCAAAATGTTATTTTTATTCGTAATAAGTTAATTGAGAAAGAAAAGTGTTTTTTTGTTTTTTTTGTTTTATGAAATCCATAGCAGAGAAAAATCGTAGATTTTAGCGATCAACCAGGTTCTTGGTTAACCGGGGTCTGATTATTACCGTATATGTCGGCATGTAAACGTTAGTAATTTTTAGTAATTGTTTCGAACGAACGGTTCAAGGAAAATAAACAAAGGAAATATATACATGGTAAAATTTAGGTAAAGCCGTACATGTGTTAGTAAACAAAGTGAGCTCCCCATGACATTTTCAAAACCTGGCGCCCCCGTGCGTAACACAATAACATTGTCGAATCGCGCGAGGTTAGGTTAAAACGTTTTGAAAAAAAATTCGCAGTTTATCAAATGAAAATAACGATTTAAATCGCAAACGGGTCGAACCTTATCGAAAACGCATTAATTATAATGCTGAAACTGGGTCGGATAAAAACGGTTCGGGACGAAAAACGCGTAGAATTTGATCGCGTCTATAGGTGTTAGGCACCTATGTCTACCTATAGAGGTACGGGATACGTCTATACGTATAGGAGGTCACTACGTCACTAAAATTTTGAACGACATTATTTTTGGCCCCGCCTTCAATCGAAACACATTGTCGGCGAAATAGCCGTTGATTCCGGAATTCCGGGATACGATTGACGGTTTATGTCATTTTTTTTTTTTTTTTTTTTTTTTACGTACGTTTTTATCGATCGCGGCGAAAAGAGCTAACATTTAAAATATAATATAATACGTACCAAATACGATTATTGGATATAATCGTACTGCATGGAGTATTTTTTTATGGGTCGTAGTTTCAAACTTTTATATATATATATATGTGTGTATAAAACACATTTGGACGACGACGTTATTTTCGCGTTTAAATTTAACGTCTTTAATTTCTAAAAGTGGCCAGTAAAAAGTATTGTACATTTTAGTCTCGGCAAAACATAGGTATATAGGTACCTACTGAGCAAATAATAATAATAATATGTCTGTCGCGTATTTTTTTTTTCTTTCTATAAAACACAGTAATTTGGAGTAGATTTAATGATTTCAGAAAAATAATCTCATTATGTCGAGGCCTATAAAATGCCGAGAACGTAAAATTTATCAATTATTATAGTTGCAGAATTTTTTTCACAAAGGAGACATTAACAACATGCTAATGAAGATTTTTATTTGTTCTAAATATTTGCCTATTTGCTCGTGTAGGTACAACGTTTTCATCGGCACCCATGTAGATATTTTATCAATTTCGAACAGTTAGTTTGCAGTTTTCTACTTGTTGGGTTGAAAACGTCACGGAAACGTATACGAAATCCTGTTTAAACGCTGTTAAAAATGTAAAAATCCTAAAATATGTCAAAAAAAAAAAAAAAAATACCATAATTAAATTTGACATGTGTACGTATAGAATTGTTGCCTAGGTCACGAAACATATTTCGGTATAAAATATTTGACTTGTTTTACCTAAAAATAGCACACTCGAGAGTTCATAGATATTTGTAGGTTAAATCTCAGTTTTGAAGGGGCGAATTTAAAATCCACGAGAGTAACGTGGGGTTCGACCCCATTCGTTATCCCCGTCGAACACACGTTTTATTGTTATTAATGTCCCCCTCCCCATCAAAACTTATATTGAACAATTTCCGAGCGCGGTCCCGTTCAAATCCGCCCGTATCGCGACCGTTTATGCACGGGTATTCGATGTTGAAAATATTCGCGTGTCACAGCTACAAAAGTAACTCACTGTGTTATTGTGTAACCGGTACAACGCATTTCGGTCAATGTGGCACTGGGATAAATCTACGAAAACCCCTAGGGCGGCAACCGTCCCCGCCCATCTCCGCCCTAGATACCCGCCGGCCGTCGCCGGTTAATTACCGTATTGTTCGCGGCACTTACCGATTTGTCGTTCAAGTTTTCCGTCCGACAGTGCAGGAACGCACTCTGCCCGATGGTCGTGGTGATGTTACGGGACACGTAATAATCGAAAAACGGGTACAGTTGCTGTTGGTCCGTGCCGTTGTCGACGGTGGCGGGCGATCGGTCATCGGTCTCCGGCGACGGTCCCTGCGTGTACGTCACCAGTTTCCCTAAAATGAACACACCGGGAATACGTCGTCAGTTTCGATAGTATAATAATATCGTTGGCACTTGGAAGCGATGCAGGGGCGTATTGGCCGAACGGGAATTTTGAATTTTTATAAACCGAATAACACATGTTTTCTATTGTTGTGAGAAATTTACAAAAAAAAACAAAAATCAACCGAAATCGGTTATTACGCGCGAACAATTAATAAAAAAAAAAAAAAAAAAAAAAAAAACAATTTAGATTATTGATACGTTCTCCTGGCTTTAAGCCCGCGATATAATAATACAGGTATGGACATTTTCGCAAACCGTGGAGAAATTCGTTTTTTTTTTTTTTTTTAGAAACGTTTTTATTGTTTTTATTTCCATTGCATTTTATAAACACAAATGCTAATATTATTTACGCTGTAACTATTATCGTTACGGTCACTTTTATTTTTTTATACTTTTCCTAGTATAATATAGTTTTTACATGCTTTTAACAAATTGTTAATTTAATAATGTTACGAATTTTTCGGAAAATTTCAGATATTTATTTTTATTTCCGAATATAATGTGTGGCGTGTACATCGAACAGGTACTTCACGTATTCAAAACCTCATGCTGTGCAACTGAACTCTGTTGTCTTCTCGTTTTCCCACTTACAACAGTGGCACATCCTGATTCGAAAATCCATTTATATTTCGGGAGGAGGTGCTTCACCCCCAGAAATTCTCTTAATTCTCAATAAAAAAGAATTTCAACATAATACTATTATGATAGTGAAGTACAATATTACAATATTATTTTTTCGTTTAATACAAAATAAAATACTAATTAAATAGAATGGTATAAAAAATTCTGAATACGTATAATAATCATTTAAACAACAATAAAATTGTTCTATTGCCCGATTTTCCTTACCAAATTAGTCTAAAAAAAAAAAGAAAAAAATTTGATTCCTAAGCGGATAGTTGCAAAGGTAAGATAAATCATTGATAACGAAATATGATAGTGAACGAAGTTCATTTAAATATATTTTTAATTCACCAATTTGTTTTTTAAAAATACGATACTCTTAAATATCTGAAGAATATATCCGGTAGACAAATAATTGTTAACAGACAGAAAAAAAAATTCACGCATCGTTGTAAAACCAATTCATTTTTCGCGAATCCGAAATGAAAAAAACAACAGTGTTAAATCAATTCCAGTTCTAATTTTTTTTTTCTGGGATGTGTAAGTATTTGAGAGAGTGAATACAACCTCAATTTCCGTTTATGGGTAAGGGACGGACATAGGGCGTGAAAACGTTATATTTATGACGAAAATCGAGTTCGAAGTATATCGGGCCGAGAACGTATTCGGTAGCCGATGGTGGGGGGGGGTTGGGGAGGCCGATCGGGGCCGAATTATGCCTCCGTAACCCGGGGCTGAGGATCAATGAGCAAAAAAAAAAAGAAGATCATAAGCAAAAGATTCGTATAGAAGACTTAAAAGCGAAAAAAAAAAAAAGAGATGTCAAATACACAAATACACACATTGCGTGGTCCCTTTCGACTTGCGGCCCGGGGCTATAACCTCCTTAAGCCCCCACCCTTCTTCCTTGACTCAGCTCAAGAGTCGAACGTTCCTTTAGCTCGCCCGCTCCCCCGCCGCTCCCCCCCCCCGCTCCCTCATCTTGTTTCGCCGGCACTGCACACACGGCGCGAAGCGCGTCGGTATTTTCGTCCCCGCGAATTAATAAACTGTAAAAGACGAAATACTATCCGCGACGGTGTCTTATCGGACCGTGGGAACGGGACAACGGCGACGTCGCCGTCGCCCGGGCTGCGGAATTTTCCGGTCATGTACGCAGCGCCGAACGTTCCGATAAAACTATTCGGTCGGAATCGAGCGCCATAAACAACGGTCCAAACACGGCGGCGGACGAGCAACAATAGGGCGCGCCGGTCTTGATAAAGTTTTTGTCTCCATATTAACCGTGTACATTTTCCGACCCGTTGCCGTTCTCGCACAACAATAATAACATATATTATTTTCGTGTCGGGCGTGCCGTCATCCCTCTAAAATCAATTACGTACGAATAATAATAACATTCTGTTCACCGAAAATCCAACCGAACCCCTTAAAAAAAAAAAAACCCCTCAAAACACATCGCGTCGCAGGCGTTCCAACGAGAGGAAGATACGGGGGGCGGATCCTCCCGATTGCCTTTTTCGTTTTTTTTTTTTTTTTTTTTTACGTAATATGGAGTTCTCTGTTTAACTGATATTTAGTGATAATTATCTGATAAATAAATATAATCAATTAACATTTTTTTAGACCCGTTATCAGTTTCCGCGATAGTCATTGACAGACTACAACGGATCACGCACAGTTACATAACGTGTTGGGGACGTGGGGACTTTTCATATCCTCCTCCCTCCCAATGAGAAATCCTGAGAATGCGTTTGCATCGCGGACGTTTTAAAAATTCCGAACGAAACAAGAAATCACGTTTTACGTTTTAAACGTGCAGTGCACTACACGCGGTCATCTATATCACCCGGTGTGCCTGGTTTTATAAAAAAAATACGAAACGAAACACGAATGCGACGCATTATCGTAACACTATACCTTTAATTTGATAACACTTATCGTATTAATGCATAGACCATGCACAAAATATTTATCGAACAAATAATCTATACGCCACACACACCGTCGAATCGGACGGTGTCATTTTTTTTTTCCTACACTCGTGTAGATAATATTGGACTACACCGACTTAATATAGAATTCGCGTTATTTACTGTATAGAGGATGACAGTTCTAAGAAGATAAATTCGAGTGCACTGTCGTGTTCACGAGTGCGGTTTGATGGAAAACGCTATTCGTTTTGCTATAATGTGTTTATTGTCTGTCTACAAACACATTGACTCCATATAGATCAAAACACTTTTCTAGTTCAGCCAGTCGTTATAGCATCATAGGGATGCTTTCTGATAGCGAATTTTGTCGGACGGTCGGTACAATTGCAGTACGCGGGCAATTTTTTTCCCTCGTAAATTACTTAATATCAGTGAAGGGGAAAACGGCAATATTGATGTAATAATACACATTTTCGATAACATGTATTTTTTTTTTTTTTTTGCGATTCGTGTAAAACTGTTTTAGTATAAACGCACCCAATTTGTTGAGTTTATAATACATTATGTATTATAAGAAAGTATGGTTATAAGATCCATAAGCTCTTTACGTTCGACTGTATTTTCGTTTTTTGCGTTTATACATTTCATCGACTTGGTTTGGGTACGTTATAAATATGATTTGGGTCGTATATTGCGCTTATTAAAATCAACAAAAACCTTCATTATGGTGCTTACAGCTTAGATAAACTCTTAAAAATATATTTTAAAGAAATTACCTAGTAAAACGCTGTTTTTTTCTTTTTAAATAAACAAAAAAAGCACTTTCACCGTTCATATGCGAACTCTGATTCTTTTTAAAACTAAACTCATGGATTTGTATCGGCCAACGCTCAAGTGAAACATCAAGAAGTAGATAAAATAACGCGAAGACAGAATATAAGAATTGGATATCGTGGAACACCAAGACAAAATTATTCAAAAATCCCTGGGGGGAGGGGCGGGGAATCTGGAGTGACTTACGAAATAACAAAATAGAGAACGTGCAACAAAATAACCGGAAAAACTAGTAAAAATAATTTATTTCATTTGTTCGGCTATTGAATTATTAGAAGCGAAAAGGGCACTTTTAAATTTCATACACGAACTCGCTGTAACGCGATGACATAAATTTTCATAGCAATTGGGTGGATTCAATGACACGCCAAAAATATAAACAAACGCTATAAATCCCGAACCCGGCTCATAAGCAGTATACACTGTGCTATATTATTCGAGGCGGTTTTCCGGTCGTTTTGGAATACAACCCTGTTGGGGGGGGGCGACCCACGCGCGTATAGTCGCAGAGCACATCGGAAAATAGAGCACAGTAATAATATATACTTCGTGATTTAATTAAATTTATCCTATGTGTTTAACGAATCAATCAAAATATCTTCCGGTAATCGCAGTAGATGCATGCTCAATATTTTCACGCTCAAAATATATCCGATGAATTATCGCCGGTCACACATACTGTACACCGATCCGAGGACTTAAAACGTCACTCAAAAATTAATATTAATTTTATTCGCAAGAAATACATATGTAAATCATTTTTTAGATTAGGAGCTTAGGAATGTATTGGTTTTATAATATAATGTTAATTTTTTTTTTTTTTTTTGTAATTCAGTTGAGAATATTCGTAAAGACTTAAAGACCGACAAACTTGAACAGAAAACTCATATTTACTTTTTCTAGATGTGGCAAAATTTTTAAAACATTTGGTCCATTTTTGAGCTATTTATTTTCATACGCAATTTTTTTTTGTCAATAAGTTCTCTGTGAACAAAATTGTTAAACAAAACAAAAATGCTTGAAAATTTAACAGGAGGTTTTTTTATAAGTTAATTAATTTATAGTAAAAAATAAAACTATTGAGTTTGATGTAGCTTTTTTCCGTAAGCATTTTGATTTAAAATTTTTACGAAACTCGTAAATAATACGGCCTTTAAAACATGTATAACCGAAATCATATACTCCAAATCCATAGGCGCACAAATCCCACACATTTAAGGACGGGGAGGGGGAGTGGTTTAGTCGGAAATTCGATTGGGCTCTATCCCTCCCTCCTTCCCATTTCTTATTTACTCCAATGATTTTATCTGCAAAACACAGTAAAATAAGTGTTTTATTCAACAAATAAACACAATATACTATTATTGTATAACGTAAAACCAACAGCTTGTATTTCTTTTTTTGTGCTGATTTTTTAAAATAAATATTTGTATTTTAAACGTAATTATAATGGTATTACAATTCGGAATGTTGTCAAACAATAATATTTGGTTTTCTTTGTTATAACATAATAATAATTTGAAGCATTTTTTTTTTTCAAATCATTAAACGTTTTTATTGCTTGTTCCGATTTCTTCTGCCTTATACATATTTATAGAGTTTAAAAGATGAAATATAATTTATGTTATACTGACATCTTTCATTATTATTGTTATCATTTTTTACATTATTGTCAAATTGTTTG